ACCCAAATGCTGGGCTCGCCCCGGTGAATATTCCTCCTGCCATGAGAACGCCCATGAATACAGCGGGGAAGAATAGGGAGTTTCCGCTGAACAACAGTACCCGATCTCCATGGGCCAAGCCTGCCTTCTGCAACCCAAGAGCAACTCTCTTAGAGAGAAGGCGATATTCGGAAAAGGTCAATGATCTGGTGTCCGGGTTATCCGCATCGACGAAAGTGACACGATCAGGCAACGGGCCGAAAGATGAACCAAACACCCATTTTTGCAAAGATTGCTGGGGAATTGGCACTGTCCATCGTGACTGGATCGGCATGGTTATGGGACGTGTCTCACGGGTATGTTGGGATCAAGCGTACAACTAATATGTTTCACACGTCAAAGCCTCTCAAAATCAGAATTTGCTTAAGATGAAAACGAAGTGTTTTACCGAATTCTCGGAGAGCAACTGGATCCCGGCGCTTCCACCACGATTTCGATGCCTCGGTTCGTGCGGGGAAGCGAAGTAACATCATCATACCTGACACGGACCAAGTACCTGCAAGGATCACGGCTTTTGTTTTCCAGGGTCTCTTGGTTTACTAGGCATTCGAAGTGCCTAAATGGGCTAAAGACCCACAGGTCGAGTCAGAATAGATAGAATCAGTTGCGCATCATATACCCATCCTATCCTCTATCGATATGTATCTCTAGGAATACCCCTCACAATTGAGAGTCTGCTAGAGTTGCGATGGCTTTCAGGTCTAAGCGATTCCATCCCGCCTCCCTACCATTCTATATCTTAGTCTCTATAATAATCATAAAGTTTAATCAACAATAATCAAGAATTGTACGAGGGAAGCGTTTTCGCTCCATTGGCGTGGTTAGCTGCCCTGAGAACATACACCAATTTTGTACCATATTCATTAATATTGGGATATCACATTGTTCAAAATCATATGATGACAATTTAATTCTTGAGCTTTATTGAGGACATGTTATGTCAGCTAGATATTTAAAAGAGGAGATCATATTAAATTAATCAGACTAAGGATGGGCAGCCGCATCGGATTAACATCATATGATCCTCACTTCAGCTCATATGGCTTGCCTAGAAAGGTCGTCGGGTAGGTTACGCTGTCAAAAGCAGCATCTCGCCTTCGTCGCCTCTTGTAGGTATGCTTTAGATATGGATCTCCTTGCCGAGATCGGTAATTTCTGGAACTGTGTTCTCCTTGCTGTTGATACTTTGGATCTTGGGTTCGTTGTACCCTGGAATATCGTCGGTATCAATGGTGGTGGTGAGAACGTATTCCTCCTTGTCAATGTGTCTGAAAAGAACCCACTACAGATAGTTAGCTTGCGCACTCCATATTGTACTGGATTTGAATCACTCACAAAGAGGATAGTAGTAGCGAAGCCAGCAATAGCTGGACCGCCGAAATCCCAAACCAGGAGCGGATCAGCTACTGCGCTGGAGCAAGCCAGGTTGACTGCGTACGAGAGGGCCGTGCTAAAGCAGTTGATGGCAGAAACGAGACCCTTCATATTTCTGGGAGCACGAGAGTACGCAATACCGTAGGCTAAGCAATGTTAGTATCATTTGAAAGAAGGCGTGACCATAATAAGGGATGACGAACCAGGAACATTGACGAAGAGCTCGGAAATACCACCAATGGAGTAGGGAAGTCCCATCCACCAGACAGAGATATCCGAGGTCAGGCCAGGGTCAACACATGCGGGATCCGATGAACCGTAGTAGCCGCAGGGAGAGGATTCGTAGGCGTAGTACTGGAGGACGCAGTATGCAATACCTCCCAAACTAGCGATGAAGAATCCGGTGCAGATACGCTTGATAGGGCCGTAGTGAATCTTGAGGGATCGAAGGAGTGGGTAGAGACCGAACTATGGCATAACATGTTAGCTATATGTACAAGGAGCTTTAAGTCATAACTGTTTTCTTACATTCAGGATTGGGGAGAAGAGGATGATAGCAAGGGGGTTGAAGTTGTTCAAGACATCATTAGGCGCGCCATCAGTCCTGAGCATGGTGCTCAAGTAACTAGCAGAATTGGCCAAACTGAGATATCAATGTTAGCAGTGTAGAAAGAGTGGCTGATGGCGCATGGAAACATACCCGTTGTCGTTCCAAGATTGCACTGGGAGAAGACAGAACATGCCAGTAGCCTGGAATGTGCGTCTGACATCCTCAACAAATTGGTCATCGTACTTGGACGTGACTGGGAGCCCCTGGGAAGCACGATAGGAAGGCTTCGCATGCTCCCAGAATCCCTTGCGTCCGATTCGCCAGATGCCACCGTTCTTCAGAGCCTGACCAAGCACGTGCATGGCGTTGGGCAGATCAGAGCCTCCTGGCTTGTGCAAGACAAGCTTCTTCTTGATGAGTAGCAGGATAACAGGGAGGGGAATGTAGAGGATCAGGGGCAACAGCCACGACAGCCACCAACCAACATACTTCTCCGAGTATGAGGTGGCGACCTGCATGAATCCTCCAATGTTGATTAGGAGATAGAACCACAGCATGGCTCTCTCAGCACCATGCTCTGGGTCCTCAATGACGCGCTCTCCGGTCTTAAGAGTAACGACCTTTGGTAGCCGAGTCTTCATCTGATCAAGGAGGAGTGGAGTAACATTTGGCTTGAACATGGCCGCGCCGAGAGAAATGATGTAGATACCAATGAAGAAAGGCACCTTGGCGTTTCCGTTCTCGAGGAGAGACTTTGCACCCGAAGAAACCAGGATAACATGTCCAACACCCATCACAGCGATACCTGCCATGACCATGGAGAAACGACCGGTTCGGGTGTCGGAGAGATAACCGGTGATGAGAGGGAGAGCGTACGCGAGGAAGTTGACAGATTGGTTGACGGCATTCTATTGAGTGTAAGTATTCGGTTAATAGAGATTATCTTATTTGAAGACTTACAGCCTTGGCTTGTCCCATTCCCAGAGCACCTGGAGTTTGCTGGGTTCCAATTGGGGGCGCACCGTACCCATTGCCACCGTCTGGCATCGGCCGGTTGACGAAGTTGGAGTAAAGACCTTGGCAACCTGTAGCAGAGTATTAGTGAAGCTGCCAACAGGGAACCACTGGCTCAGATTGAGTCAATACTGACCAAAGTAGGAAGCACGCTCGCAGAATTCGGCCAAACACAACAGATATGCGACGGCTGGAAGCTTGCCGGGGACACGACGAAGGGTGGCAGACTCCTCCTTGGTCGGCTTGCCCTCATAGTCGGCGTCTAAGGCCGCGGTATAGACCGGCACGTGCTCATCACTGGTGTTCTCCTCGCTGGCATACACCTGCGTCACTGTCTTTGGAGTAGCCATGGCGTTCCTACGTGACGGGAAAAATGCAAGAGCCCAAGGAACCAGACACTGGACGGTGTGCTCATCATAGAGGCCCAGTTGCTTGGGATTTATACCATCCTGCCTCAGTTCCGGCCTGCTGATAAGCGGACTGTGGCCCCTGGCCGCATTCCACAACCTGATGTTGCCGCAAACCCGGAGAATAGGACTGGACGAGAAATATCGTTGGCTGGAACCAGGGCCCTCGTGGCAATTTCCCACAATTCCCGTCCCCGCCCTCTTGGCAGCAGTTCGTTGTGGGAAGGTGGATCAAGGAACTTTGTTTATCGCAGGCCTTCTATCTCGGCAAAGCGGCAAGGCTGTTCGTGATCTTTTGCAATGCAACGTTAGATTTTTCATTCAATTGGGATCTGGAATGGCGACATGGCAAAAGTTCGCCCCCCGGACCAGAGCCTAGAAACAGATAAGAAGGATTCGAAATCGGCTGAACGGCACGGTCTGTGCTGTTCCGAGACTGGCTTGCTTTGCTTCATGGTACTAGTCTCATTGATTATATTAGAGACAAGACCTACCTTTGACAAGAGGGTGCTTGGACGGATGCCCGATTCGTAACTGCCCCTGCTTGATTGGCTCTCCTTGATCCTTCGATATTGGCCCCCAACATTTGTCTCTCCCGTTTCAGCCATTTGTGAACCCAGGATGATGGGCACATACGATTCAGAAGTGATTTACATTGATCAGGTGATGATTCATGGCTGCCAAGCATCACCTGATGCCTTTCAATCGTGTTCTCTACTTTATCAGTACACCCATTAGTGCTCGATGTGGAAGATGACCCCAGAAATTTTCAATAATGAGAATAACCCTAGATCCTGAATTAGAAGAGCATATCTTTCTTCAAGTGCACTTAGATGGTGTTAGGTCTTATGTTTGGTTTTCCCAAATGGGTTCGAAGAAAATTTCATCTGGGCTGGTTTGGTTTACTTCCTTTCTACCTTTTACACCCGTTTCCATTCATCTCCCTTCTTTTCCCCCCTCAGAGACATGCGAGTTTTCCTCAACTTACATAATAACTCTACATTTACTTTCAATAGTATGTAGTATGAAAGAATGAAGTTCATCAAAATGGGTGTGCCAACGAAAGAGTTACAACAACAACACGATTCTTGTTCGCTCTTGAGCTTGATTACAGTCAGCTTTTGTCGCGCTCTACTGCAGGGAAATGATACCCAAACCTCAGTTTCAAGTGCAACGGACCTGTACCTGCGACGAATTTTGTTCTAGATGCCTGGGGTGAGGGCTATGCACCTGCCCTCCATTTGTCTTGGGCAGAGCCTCACTTGGTACTACAGTAGCTAGCTTGAAAAAGATCGTAGATTCAATCAAAAAGACATACAAAGAATATCAACTGCCCCTTGGAATTTATCGCTTACTGTGCTAAGAGCCGGCGTCTGTAAGTTTATCGATGATAACACCTGGAGTAAGATGTCAACATTTCAAGCTAGTAGTTGGGCTGACTTGATTACTTATTAATCTTTCTCCAAATTGAGCTAAGAATTTCAACACACCATTTTTATAACTTTCGAGAACGAAGATATACATGAGAAGGAGCCTGGGGAATTATTCTTCTCCAGCCCTTCTACCCATAGAAATGCATCCATTAATTGGAGCGGACACCGCAATTTCGGCCGACATCAACGTCCGCCCCATGATCGCTTCATGACCTCTTCAGCCGAAGTAACAACGATATCACTAAGTCTCTCATTGAGTGTATTCTCATTCGGTACGCGATAGTATCCCAACCCGATTTGGTAATGGATGAGTGCAAAGTACGCTTGATCCCCATCCCCACGACCGATGGGGGGAAATTCCTCGATAAATGAGATCTTTCCACTCTTGAGCCTATCCAAGCTGTCGTGGACAACTTTAAACTTGCAACCTGCCTCTCGTGTTACTTTGAGAAATTAAAGGCGCTTGACTGATAACATTACCTCTTGTCTTTTCTGCAAGTTCAACAAGCTTATTCATTGTCATCGTGTTGGATACGATTGAGCTAACTTTGTCCCAGTGCTCTAAGTCCATCAATCTTCCGATGAAAGTGCCGAGGTCTTGAGATGTGATGAAATCTGCTTGAGCAGATCCATCGCCGGGGATGACGGCCCATTTCTTCTCCATGTTGACAGCATTGAGCCAGGGGTGAAGCGGCGTCTTCCAGTGCGGCATGCCGTAGTAATCTAAAAACAACCCATTGACCACTCGTGTATATGATAAATCTGTCTTTTCCAGCTCCTCCAGAGCATCGAGTGTGTATTTTACGCGAGGTGTCAAAGACGCATGCCTGTGACTGTTAGCACGGCGGAACTCGGGATTTCGCACGCCTGGGTCGGTAGATGGTCATACTCTGGCACTTGAAGCTTGTCGTAAGCGCTGACAATGAATCTTCGAGTCGTTGACGAAATATGGGATGCCCGGATGAGATTGGTTTGGGCCTCGCTTGCCTTCTCATCCCGCACGCCAATTGCACAGATGAGAGTGTCAATTTTTGCTTGCTGCAAGGCCTGAGCAGTGGCTTCAATGTCGGCATACTGAGCGAGAAGGTAGTTGACGCCCGATGCTGGTAGATTTTCCTATGATCGTCAACTTTTATGCTTTCATGGCCAGATTTGAAGGGTTATAGTACCCTTCGGGAGAGAACGAAGACCTTGTAGCCGCCGTGCTGGACCAAGCCGTCAACGATACATTTGCCTACAGGTCCTGTCCCACCAGCAATTGCAATGATGGCCATGATCACGTTAGAGGAGGGAGTTTCAAGTAATTGTTTGCGAAGTAATTCGAAGAATTTTGTGAAAGGTAAGCAGGGTATACGCTAACTTCATACTCGACGGCTGATGGATGTTGTCGCCGTGGCTTGCTCTTCTCAGAAATGTTTCCCGGCAAAATGCCGTGACTTGCCTCAACATCTTCGGACTGGCAGCTTATTAGGTTAGAAGAGAAGATGTGGATCTTCCCGATTAGGTGCTAACAAGTGGCTGGTAGGATAAGGATGAATACTGACAACTGCTTTTGCTAAAAGGGACCAACTAAGCCTAGAGTTCAAAATGATAACATTGAAGGCAGATATTGAGGTCTAAGAAGTAGTTGGGGAAAGATCTACATATCTATTATTATTGTACTGATGTTTTACAATGCTTTACTTTCATGTTGGCAAAACTTGATTGCTTACATAGCCGCTAGATTGCAAAGTATTTTGGTACATTTTCACTCAAGAAAGAGAAAACTTTTTATAGTAGAATAGTCGATTGAAATATTTTACGCACTTATCCCTCTACCTAGGATTCAAGGCCTACAGTTAAATCTACCTATACTTGAATGTTTTTGTAAAGATTTGCATTCTTGAGGGCCTAAAAACTGAACCAAATCTTGATAGGTTCTAGCAGCGATGGATGGAAATTGTATCCTGTCGAGGCTGAACTTAAACATGAGCCGTTGCTCCACCAATCTCACAGATGGAGCATATCTCCCATTTAGGCCTTCTGTAGTCGTTGCGCAAGTGCTCAGATCTGGCGTCTAGATCGGACGATTGCATTCTCGATTTTATAGTCTCAATGCAATCATAGCTCAGTTTGTGGTGGTTCTTCAAGTGTCGATGGAGTCGAACTTGGGTGAAGTTCGATGGTGGCGAGGTCCGGCAGTGACCCAGAGCACACTCAAAAGGGCCGTGATCCTGCTCCATATGCGACTGTTGCTGAAAATCAGCGACAATTGCAGAGCAGTGCGTTTTTGTGCACTGCACCTGAGGGTGATGCTCCCTCAGGTGCTTCAGTAGTTTGTCCTTTCTCTCGAAGCCATGAACGTGAGCTGGGCAGGACTCATCGCCGCAAAGGAAGGTTTCGGTGGCCTCATGCTTGGTCTTCACATGTCGGTTGAGGTCCGTCTGTTTACCAAAGGGACGTTGATGTGTACAGCCCGGCACGGTACAAAGCAACGGCTGTTGATGGATATTTCGGATGTGCTGCGTAAACTGTGAGAGGGTTTTCCATTGCGCCTTGGATCGACAATTTGCCTCGGTGCATTTGTAGGGGGGTCCCGGAGGAGTCCCAGCAGAGGAAGTTGTCGTGTCGGTCGTGTTGCTGGAGCGGAGATACCAAGGGGCGGCAGACCCTGAGGAAGCAATTTCCATGTCGACTGTAGTGACTGACTTCTTAGGAGTCCCGCTACGGCGAGCGCCCTTTTAGCGTCGGTTTAAAAAAAAAACTCACTCCGATTGGTTGGATCCGAGCAACATGGCTGACGGCCCCTCATGCAAAGATGCCTGGTTGGGCTCCGAGACACCGACAGAGGCGTCTGGGTCGGAAAGCTCGTTGCCTGCGTCCGCCGCTGGATGATGAAGAGTCTGGGCTTCGGGAGCCGGTTCAAGTTCGTAATCGCCGTCGTGGCAAAACTCGTTAAAGTCCAAAGGATTCTGGTCATAGCCGTGGAAGACCTCGAAGAAGTGCATGTCGCGGTCGAACTCGGAGGACATCGTGGGCAACTTGGGCGAGTGAGATTGTTGATTTGAGCGGTGACGTGGGGAAGCTTGGCTTAGAACGGTTGGAGAATAGCTGTGAAGAATGGAACTTGGTAAAACTTGAAGATGGTTGAGTAAGGTAGCAGCTTTTAGAGAGTCGGGGTGTTTTGTTTTACAAGGAGGCGCGGCCATGCGCTTGAAAGAGTCTGACGCTGGCGAGCGCCCTTCTAGTGTATGTAGGTTTTGCATGTATGTGGTGACGGTCGCAATGCGTGTCATGTTTCCCGCATATGCAGGAGAAATCAGCCACTGCAGTGAAGCCAGAAGACAACCGCTCTCATTACGTGGCACAATAGATGCCCTGTCAGACAACAGATGCCCTGTCAGACAACAGATGCCCTGTCAGACAACAGATGCCCTGTCAGACAACAGAGTACCCGCCACCGCGCCATGGTATGACATCTAAAAGAAGACTCCGTACTTGAAGCTTGCCAAGAATTTGCTCTTGGGCAATCGCCTCATCGGACTCTAGTTGGAAATTGGCTTGGCTCCTTCTTTAAAGTTCTCACCATGGCTGTATCGATATATATGATGGACGATCTGTCGTATAGGGCGCACCCTGCCTCAGCGGAGGCGAGGGGTGAGGCTGAGGTGGGATGGTGGACGTCCCCTCGATTTATTTTCCTTGTGGAGGATTGGCTTACACTGGGCACGAAGCCGGCTCACTTTAGTGTAGGCTGTTCGTCTTTATGTCCCATATTCGCGAGCTCGTTTGGGTTACGTTGCAACCTCAGATTGCGGTTCCAATTGCGCAAGACGAAAGGGTTGTGCGTGGATTCACAGACGACGCTTAAAAGACAGGTATGTTACACCGGGCCGTCTTGGCGCATATTAGAACCCCAGCCCCTCAATCCGCCCTATGGTGTCTTGTCAGTGAGATTGGTCAAAGTGCTACAGCTAGCTGCCGAGCTATTATCTATCAACTTCACAGTTCTAAGTAACTTGTACTGGGTTGTTTCCAAGCAATTTTTTTTTCCTTTTCTTTTTTCTTTTAAACTTCAGAGTGGGGGAGGATTACGAACGTGGTGAGGGAGGTTCAAGCATATGATAACCTGGGAGTTGTGCCTGTATACCCTTTAATTTGATCATTTGAGCGATCCATGCCTGTGAAATTGTTGCTTTAATTGTTTTAAGTCATTGTCTGTAATATCTGGAAGAAGTTTGATGACGGGAAAAAAAATGTATAGGTTCTATCACATACTCTGACATACTCAGCTCTGATGACTACAACTATTTTGGAGGAAATCCAACACGAATTTGTATCTGCTATGATCTTCTTCAACCTTTCCCCAGCGTACTTCTCTTCACAGTGTCATATCACATGCCTAACTCATTGCCATATAGACAATAGGCCACCATTGCCTCTGTTCCTTGAGCCGACTGGGTGGGGTCAGGAGCCGAGTGGCGAGCCGTGCCAAGAAACGAGCCGTATGCGAGCCGGAGCCATGGTGTGTTGAAGCTCCTGGACGTTCCCTCGCGCCCAAGTCATGGCTTTGACAGTGTGACTAGGGATCTGATTGATCGATTTTGGCACATGTCACAACCAAAACAGACCTCGGTCAGACCTTCTAGCCTAAAATGAATGCGAAACCCCCTCCGAATCCCTACTTATCACCTGAGCCGCGGGAGCGTTGATAGCACCAAGACTCTCATATTGTAATGGTCAATGCAAAACTCCATTTCATTTCCTCCTAACCCTGTAAAACAATAACACCCAAACCTCCAGAAGCCATGGCCGATCATACTCCTGTCTCATCATCTTCCACCGCGGGTTTCTTTCAACAACTGCCGACAGTCTTGCCACAATACACATCTGGAGTCTCTGCTACCAATTCAAGCGAAGTCACCGACGATGCGGTCCTCAAGCGACTCACAAAGCAGTATTTGCCTCCCATAGGCCAGAGGGATGTTGGCAAAGCAATGCATGACATGTCGCGACTTGTTCTGACGTCCGAAATTCTGAACCACGCAGTGGAGGCCGAGACAGTAACCCCCTACTTACGGCCGCTCACAACTTTTGGCGAGATCAACGAGAATGACCCTCTTGTCACTTGCCAAGGCTGGAAGGCACTCAAGGCTGTCGGGATACAATCTGGAGTTGTTTCAAGTGCCTATGATGGATCTGTCGCCTCGTACAATCGCCGAATACATCAATTCTTGCTCAACCATACTTGGCACCATACGTCTACCTTGACGATGTGTCCGATGACCATGACGGACGGAGCTGCCAGCCTGATCTCAAAGCATTTGGAGGATGAAGATGGCGATCAGCCAGGGCGACTTGCTGTTCTCAAAGAGTACTATCGACGCCTGACTAGCGACAATCAAGCTGAGGCATGGACCAGTGGTCAGTGGATGACTGAGAGATCCGGAGGTAGCGATGTGAGAGGCACCGAGACTGTCGCCACCAGATTGAGTCTTGGCGCTAGTCAAGAAGGGCAAGATAGTCTTGGCCAGCCTCTGGGTCCGTGGGGCATTGATGGATTCAAATGGTTCAGCAGTGCCACCGACTCGGATATGACGATGCTTCTAGCCCAGACATCCAAAGGCCTAAGCGTTTTCGTCGTTCCTATGCGTCGCAAGGCTGGCAATGGAACTCGACTCAACGGAATTCGCATCTCGAGACTCAAGAACAAGATGGGGACTAAAGGTCTTCCCACCGCCGAGCTAGAACTGAAAGGTGCTCGTGGCTGGCTCCTTGGGCAAGAGGGAAAGGGTATTCGAGAAATCTCCACGATCCTCAATATCACACGCCTCCACACCGGTGCCGGAAGTGTATCTTACTGGTCCCGTGGCCTTGCTGTGAGCAGGGCATATACTAAGGCTCGTAAGGTCCGTGGTGCCTACTTGTATGAGAACCTGCAACACAACTACTGGATGGCGGGCGAGACAGTGAAGTACTGGGGTGCGATGTCTCTGACGTTCTTTGGAGTAGCTTTGTTGGGCTGCAATGAGCAGGGTGTCGGCGTTGTGAAGGGAACTCCCAGTGCGGCATTGATTCCCAATGATGAGGTTGCAAGAGACCTCCTCAGGCTTCTAACGCCGGTCATCAAGGCGCAAGTCAGCATGGCTGGGGTAGCCGGTATCCGCGCTAACATGGAATGCCTCGGAGGGGTTGGATACTGTGAAAATCAGGAGGATGGAGGCATACTGAACCTCGCCAAGATCTTCCGAGACTCTGTCGTGCAGACAATCTGGGAAGGAACTGTGAGCGTTATGGCCGATGATGTTGGACGTGTGCTGAGGGACAAGCGTATTGCTAACGGGCGGATTATCGAGGATGTGTTTGCTCCATGGGCGAAGAGAACTCTGAGTTTCTGTAGTCAGAAGTTCTCTCCGGAATGTGCCGCGGTTCAGAAGAGACTTGATGCACTTCTTCAATTGGTCTCTCGTGTCAAGTCTAACCCTCCACAGCTTGAGTACAGTGGAAGATGGCTTCTGGATCATATCGAGGTGATTGCTACGGCCGTCCTTCTACTTCATGATGCTAAGACAGATAATGACGAGGTTGCATGTCATATTGCACGCCGGTATGTCTCATCCAAGATATCTGAAGATACTTTGAAGCAAGGAGGTGATATAGATTGGGCAACTGAGGCAATCATGGATCGCAAGATTTTCTTGGGTGTGGACTTTGCGCTCAATCCTATTGAGTCAAAGCTTTGAGTTTGGCAACGAACGTTTGCCAAAAAGATTTTACTTTTGGCTTAACTACCTTTAGTATTTGGACAAACGTTATCATTCCTCTTGTGAAGCGTTCCCTACTTACTGTGCTTAATTCTGCAACCAATCAATCGAGGCTTGAGTGTCTGCTAAGATTAAACGGCCTTGGCCCCTTCGAAAAGAGCGATGGTGCTTCAAGCAGACCTGAGCAGCCGAACTTCGTGTAGAGGGGGTAAATTCCACCAAAGCAAGCAGTAACAACAAATATTGTCTAAGAAATTCAGCGCTTGCTACTGATAATGGAAGAATTTCTCGCTCTCATTTGTATAGCTAAGGACTCTTGCACTCGGTGAACACACATAGACGACCTAGGTACAGCATGATAACTTTATGTAATCTATAAGGGCTGTATATACTATTTAGGCAATCTTAGGACGACTAAGATTTCATCCATAGCTATACTATCAAACGGTCTTTTGGCGGTTGAGCCGATCACAGGCTAGATCGTATAGCGGAATCCCTCAAGCCCCTCAATAATCAATAGACCCTGATCAGCCTTCTTATTGCATCTTCTAAAGTGGACGGAGAGTAAAGCCACTATGATGATCACTAGGCTATTGCAGGTGATGGTAGCATATATGCCAGGTCGCTAAAGGGGAGAATCCTGGGTGCGGAAAACAAGTGAACCAGCAATACCGCCGATGCCTCCAAAGCCTACCAGCGTGGCTGAGCAAAAAGCACGTTTCCACTGTCCCCGGATGTTGTTGGCCTACCCATGGATTAGCACAACCTTTCCAATAGTTCTTATTAATCAAATCACTGACCTGATATGCCATGATCGTGGGAAGGTTAGTGTTTGCAGCCGCAGCGACCATGAAGACACCAAAGTAACGAGAGCCGATGCTGGTCGTGAATCCCTAGTACAATCTTAAGTAATAATTATATAAATGAACATGTTGGACTTACCATGATAATGAGTCCGACGATAGTAAGAGTACTGCAGATGATCAAGATAGGGGCCTTCGTCTTATACTTATCACCAAACCAAGACACAATCATCATCATGATACAGGCCATCACATAGGGAGGGGCGACCAGTAGTTGCGAAGCTGCAACAGAAAATCCCATGCCTCGAAGGATGATAGGCAGAAAATAAGCAACAGCGTAGGATGTCGTGGTGACGAAGCAGAAAATAAGAGCAAAACCCCAAACTTTAGGATCAAGGCCACTGGTTGCCCACTTCTTGAAGTCGAACTTGTCGATGTCGGCATCGTCTCGGTCAGCGGAGATCTTGCGGATTACCCATTGACATTCACGCTCAGACAGAAAGTTCCACGACTTCTCGACGCTGCGGTCAGGGAAGTCGACAATGGTGAAATATCCAACACAAGCGATTATCATCGTTCTTGACGGCGAGAATTCTGTTAGTTGCAAGTTGAAAGTATTTGATCTCGGGGACATATACGCACATGATACCTTCAATAATGAAGATCCAACGCCAGCCACGGTAGTTAGAAAGCCCATCCTGAATGTGGTCAAATCAGTGCGAGGCCTAAGCATTTAGGAGATAATGTGAAATATTGACAAACCATTTGCATAAGCCCATACGCAAGAACACCAGAAAACCCACTAGCCAGAACGCCGATCAGATAGAAGAAAGAATAACGACGATGAAGTTCATAACGAGAAAACCAGGTCGAGATGAGATACAGACAACATGGGAAAAAGCCTGCCTCAAAGGCACCAAGAAGGACACGGAGAGGCGTCATGGCCCACCATACATTCACAAAGCCATGGCCGAGCTGCAAGCTAGGGAGTCAACACCAGTGTCTTCAACGGGCATGCTACACCTACCATGACAACGCCCCATGAGAAGCAAATTCCGGCCAAAAAGGGCCTGGGGCCGACCCTTCGCAAAATTATGGTTGCCAGCGGTTGTAGTAAGGTGTATGTAATAAAGAAGAGAAGGACTAAGATAGACTGTTGAGCATAATGGTCAGCAAACAGCTTCCATGAGCCTCCGAACCTCGCTATATCTTACATATCTGTCGCCAAGCAACATGAGATCCTCATTCATGCCAGCAATGGCTGCACTGGATAAATTTGTGCGATCAATAAGACTGATACAATACATCACGCCGCATGGAGTACAAGACGCCGGTCGATACGGCGCTTGATGCGTTTTTCTTCTGCCGGCGTGAACTCATTGAATGCTTCTTGGTCCGAGTCTCTACCATCGCCGCCTTCCACATGCACAATCTCTCGTTTGGCTTCTGTGTCTGCCATAATGGCTGAGTTTGGATAAAAGTTCTGTAAGATAAAGGTTCTCCTGACTTGAGGGCCGAGTGCTTGCCCAGGATCTTTGAAAGTTTTGATGAGCTCGACGGGGGAAGTGGTCGACTAGCAACAACTTATGCACCCCCGTAGACACACCCGTTCGTAATCGCCCTTGAGACATTGTGGTGGGCTTGATTTCCCCACGGGGACCCCAATGACCGGGGAAACTTGGCATTCAAGATGCTTGCTGCTAGTGGATTCTAGACCAGTTGGCGTGGAATAGCCCCTGTTTCTGACAATGAGCGTGAGCCGGCGGCTCACTCACCAAGCGTAGAGATTGGCATGGTTAATGAGGGGGGTTGTACACACCCACACAATGCAAATGATTTCCTCCGCAGACAGCTACACTACAACGGGTTTCTCGTTTCCCATTACATCCAAATTTAGTGACCAGACTTTTTGTGTGAAAGATTTTGTGTGAACGAACCTTCCGAATTTTCTTACTACATTGTCACAGACCAAATACAGCCATATATCCCAAAGCGTGTGAATATTGGATTGTTGGTATGATCACAGGTAGAGCTGTAGGTTACTTAATGATTCCTACCTCCGTATGCGTATACCTCTTTCCACAAATAGTACAAAAGTTCCTTCCAGCCGTACGGAAGGACGCCAGTTCCCTCGTCCTGGCAGTGCAGCTAGTCTACCTAGTCGTATTGATGAGTTGCATTTATGAAACGGCTTCTAATCTTAAACAGGCCATCTATTGTTTAAAGTCGGGCTCCTCGAGACTCCTTCTTCACAAGCTCACGAAGCTCTCTTCTCAGAATTTTGCCAGTCGGGCTCTTCGGAATTGCGTTGAGATAGACCACACCACCACGCAATTGCTTATAAGAGGCAAGTTCTCGCTTGACGAAAGCCTGGACGTCCCCTCCTGACACCTTTGTAGGGTCTGCTACAATATAAGCCCTTGGGACTTCGTTACCATCCTCTCCCGGCACCGGTATACCAATGACAGCGGCATCCACAATGAGAGGGTGGGTTAGCAAAAGTGCTTCCAATTCCGCAGGGGCAACTTGGAGTCCCTTATATTTGATGAGTTCCTGTACATAACCATTTTAGCCAATGCAAAGTATGTGACTAAAATAATGTGGTAGCTTACCTTCTTGCGATCAACAATGTAGAACTTGTTGTTTCGACGGAGGCCTATATCTCCAGTCTTAAACCATTCACCGCACTTCGTGAAGGCTTCCTCCGTTGCTTTCGAATTTTCCCAATATCCTGGCGATACTGTCTGGCCTTGAACCACGAGCTCACCAGGATGGCCATCTTCCACGTCATTCTCTTCATCGTCAAGAATACGTAACTTAGTATTGGGCTGAATCTCCGATATGCACCCCGTATCATCCTTTTCGTCCCAAGGCTGTATAGTAACACTCCCTGTCGTCTCACTCATGCCCCAGACCTGCGATACAGTGCAGCCCAGCTTTTTCTCCACAGCCTTGGTAAGTTCAGGGCCCATGGGTGCTGCCCCGGATAACGCATGATAAAGGGTCCGGAAGTGATCTGTTACCTGGGGGCTTTGGGATATTAGGAGATAGATGGGAGGGACACTGAAAAATGTGGTAATCTCGAGGCTCCGGTTGTAGTTGATGAACTGAGTGAAATCGAACTTGGGCATCCAGAAGACCGTTCCACCATGCACGGCTGGATGGATGAAATAACCCTGCATACCGGCGATGTGTGCAGCTGGGACATGGGCAAGCGTTCGATACTGAAAGGAGAAAGTTGGATCTTGGGCTCGTTGGCGGCGAACAAAGTCGCGATGGCTGTAACCGATAGCAATGGCATAGGCTACCATATTTGCTTGCGTGATAATGACGCCTAAGAACGATCAGCACCACGCATCATGCTATGGATAGGCCACTTCATATATCTACCTTTCGGTGCTCCAGTCGTCCCACTGCTATAGACAAGACAAATGGTGCGCTTGGCTAGAACACTCGGGTTTGTGATCTTCTCCCATGAAAGCTCTTTTGAAGGTCCAGACATCAAATCTTTGCCCGTATGTGAGAGAAGACTCCTCTTTCCATTGACGCTATCGAGCGTTACAATTCTTTCCAAAGGCAAGCAGGCTTGCTGAGCGGCTTCTTTGGCGGTTTTAAGACAATCAGGAGATGTTATCAAGAGGGTCGCTTTCCCATCTTCAATCTGGCGCTTCACCTCCGAAGTCGTCAGGCTGCTGCTCGCAGCGCTGTAAATGCCCCCCGCTGCGATTGTACCGTAGAAGATAGTAGGGAGGAGAACTTGGCCAGAGGAGATGCAAACAACGACGTCTTTTCCAGGCCCGGAAGCCCCAATCTGGTATTGATGTCGCAGAATATGGGCTACACGTTTGGTGTATGAGGCAGTCTGCGCTTTGGTAATGAAGTTATCCGGATGGCTTGCCTCCACATGAAGTACTGTGGAATCATCAGACGGTACATGGGTAGATTCTGTGTTGGAGAAAGTCAGTTTTGGCTACTGTATAACTGCAACCGAGTCTACTTTACGTACCAAATAGAACACTCAAGAGATCGAGATCAGGAAGGTCATAGTCAACCTTTGCATTGTAAACGACTTTCCCTGTCATCTTGAGTTTGACGGGCATATAAAACGCCCTTTTAGGTATCAATTCCGCTTTGCAGACCGTGAAACGTGAAAGGGCTAGAATATATCATCAACGATATGACAGGATTAGGGCATACGCTACATGTTGGTCCTCAATCTTTCGCCGGAACAACTCAGGGACACAATGCAAGTTCTCTCAAGTCTGGACTAAACAGCGAGCTCACGTGCAGAGTTAGAGCAGAGCCGGGCATTCTGAACCGGAACACAGCCAAGTTCTCTAACAAAATTAGACAATGGGGAAGGTTGCTAGCACTAGCAAGGTTGACCCCCGGTTTCTGTTGGAGCCGAGCCTTGGCTTGCAAGGAAGTTGGAGCCGGCGGCTCTCGGCTCGTTTCATATCCCCGCTCCGGTTGCTTGTTGTACTTGAGCCACCGGCACCCCACGATCGTGGATGCTCCCTTGTGACATGCACCACATCTCCAGGCTCTGGTGCGATTTAGAATCATCCGACATTAGGCGACTTGATTCTTCTACGGAGCCGTATCATGAATATCGGCTCCCATACAGCCCCATACCGATCCGATGGAACCAAAGCGGATCCGTCATGCCTGTAGTCGATGCCGGCGACAGAAACTAAGGGTCCGTCTCCATTCCCACCTGATCGGAGCAGTGCATTCTCCGCGTTGAAAAGCCGGATACTGACCTGTAGTAATTCTAGTGTGATTACGAGCGTCCATGCCCGCTATGCGTGAGGGCTGGTGCGGACTGTACCGAGGCTACACAACGGACATGGTAAGTGAGACGCGTTCAATCCACGATCCAAAACCTGCTTGGCTGACCTAGTATGGTGGATTTTAGGCGGACCAATCGACCAAAAAGCGCAGCATATCAGGCTCGTCAGAGGCAGTTAGAAGAGCAGCGCAATTCTAATAACCAAGCACAAGCGATACGTAGCGTCCAGCCTACTCAAGATGCCAATGCGAATAATTCAGGCCTTCCAAGTCCTAGTTGCTCTTCAACTACCCACATTGCACCGGAAGACGTAATACCTTCTGGTCACCGGGCATCTGCTCTTCATCTCGTTGGTACAGTGCGTGGAAATATCAAACCCGTGACGAATGCTATGCTCTAATGTCTAACTATGGGAGACAGATATTTCAAAGGTTCCATGCCACCGGTTCCAATCATAACCACAAAGTTGATGCCATACCCGCCTCAGAGTCGCCTGAAAATGGTTCGGATCCTACCCAGTCTGAGATGGTGCCTGTAATTGATCTTATAGGCATCTCATTTCCCTCGGTTGATGTTGTCACTGCTCTACTCGATTCGTATAAAGACTCAGTTCATTGGTACATTCGCGTTCTTCATGAGCCGTCTCTACGAGAGCGGCTGTTACCAATTCTAGAGAGTGGTCTTGCACCGCGGTCGCAGCGTCCTCTGCTACTCATGGCTTTGATGATGATGATTCTTGGGGCGCGTTTCGTTTCCGATGAGGCGTGTGAAAACATCAACAGGGAAACGCCTCTAGCTAATCTCACATCAAACATGTTAATTGCATGTGAGAGATGGTTTCTGCCATCCATGGATTGTGTTACAGTCGACACTGTCATATACGCATACCTTTTGGCCGCTCACTATTTATGTAACCGCCAGACAAGAGCAGCCTTCCTCACGTTAGGGACGACCGTACGCGCCGCACAATCTATAGGCCTTAACAGGGAGGCACAATGGGGCGAGGTCAGTGACATCGAACGAGAAACTCGCAGATGTGCGTGGTGGTCGGTCTTCATAGGAGCAGGGTAAGCAGTAGAGAATTTTGCATTTGGAAAATTCTTTGGCTTATATCTACAGGTTCATCTCCATGTCGTGGGGCACTCCGCCGATGCTCAGTGAGGCAGACTGCCAGGTCCGCCATCCGACCGACGTTGAAGACGCAAGCAACTTGGAGCAGTGTCCAGGGTTCGGATCGCTAGAGAAGCGAGAAGACGGGGAAATTCGACCTGTGACCGTTGGTTCGTACAATCGATACAAGGCAGAGATGTATAAAATTGCCATTACGATCATGCGCCGCGTCTATTTTACCAAATACCGCAAACCTGAGGAGCTCACTCAACTGATCTCGAAATTGCATCAGCGGTTATTAGCACTGGAGAAGTCCATTCCGCCTGAGTTGCGAGTCGAGAACCATACTCATCATGCTATGCAAGGGGGCCCGAACATGGTGTCGCGGAAGATATTTGCTGTCCAGGCGCTTACTCTCCAAGTCTCATACGACAACATGCAAATATTCCTGTTCCGACCGCTGATTTCTATCGGTGGTATCCCAAGATCACTTGCGGGTACTCGTGAGAATTCGCCAGGGCTTACCAACCAGACAAATCTAGGGAACGCACCCAGCCTACTTCTAGACATTGCGCATGATCAGTGTTGGACATCAGCGATGCGAACCTCCATGGTGGGTCAAAGTTCGGACATAATGAAGCTATCCCAATTCACTTTCCCCGCCGTACATGTCGGAGTACACACATTTTCCGCGGGCGTGATGCTAGGCTTGTTGGCACTGACCAGCCCGCTGTCTGCTCGTGGGCAGGAAAGCAAACGCGCCATCGCCAAAATCATCCAGGTTCCAAAAATGGCGAGGTTGAAGACGCATGTATGGGGTCAAATGACACAGATTCTCACAGACTTGATGCACGTTATCGCAGCTGAGGAGACAAAGGCTCTGATAGCCGGTGTTGCGGGAGACGGCTCCAAAGAGACTCTCACAGAGCCAGAGGTGTTCGGCCAACCTTCGAATCCGTATGAGGGCTTGGAGGCAAACGCAAGGACAGCAGACTTGGCGGATGGAGTATCAATCACTGCCACTGACGGAACTCATTATGAGGAGCATGCTACGTTGCGGATGAACTTGCCAACGGCCGTCGACGGCAGCACGTGTGAAATGGTGCAGACACTGCATTCTTCAGGCCCTTTTATCACGGGTTCAGAAGATCAGCAGGCTCAGTTTGATGTATTTGAGGCACCAAACCTGTGGATTCCTCAACAGCCGGCTGATCCTCTACAGATGATGGATCAGCTGTGGATGTGGGACGGCTCTTTTTCGTACCATTAAGCTTAGTGAGATTATTCATCTAAGGTCGATGGTATTTTCATACATTATTTGGTGTATTGCTGGATTATTGTTGACTTCTACTTTACGTACCAAGGATTGTGAGGCGCATCATAACATGAAATCTCACAATAATTGTTCTGCACACCGTCCTCAAAGTACCAACTTAAATTTCGCAAACAAATGGAGAACATACCTAGAATTAGTCAAAGGGAAACCAATGAGATAATAGATCAATCCGACTTTGGAAAACAATGATCCCGTGATCTCGAGAAACGAGACACTAAGAGCAGCTTCACGATGTCGAGGGTGGTCAGTATAGGGTAGGTAAAACCGGACGAGGGGTAATTGGAATCGACCCATAATTAAGGCACTAACGCATCTTGTGGAGGGGGAAGAAACATGTATTGTGCATAGTTTTTTGGGTGGGAAGTTACATGACGTAAATGCCACAGCCCAAAACCATGCCCAGGCGTCAATGCTTAATTTCGGTTGCCAGAAATGTGTTGCATCTCCCCGCTTCCCGTGGCGATGTCGTCAGTCCCGGGTACCTTGGCTAAGCTGGAGTCCCCTGCGTAAGCCAAGTACCCGCGGCGATGGTTGCAACGGCTAGAGGCGGCCCCGTATTCGGAGGCTGAAAAAATGTGATGAGTCGTGCCATGAGGCATCGAGCGGAAATCGGCCTCCTCCACTACTGGCTGGGCCGTATTGGGTCGTGTCGTGAGTCAAAGTTTTCCACCTACAAGTGCAGCAGTCGACATTGATATCTTCTGCCCTTCTCCAGCCCGGCATTCCCCAGCTTTTTATTCATCCCGCATTGACCTCGCCTTGGGATTTTCGCCTTTGCCGCCCGCACCGTCCTGCCGCTCTGTTCGTCGTCGCCACGCCACACAACCCCGCAGTGAATTCAATTCTTCTCCCTTCCATCAATCGCGAACACCATCGCTTCCACTCGCGACGTCCACCACGTCCCCTCGTTCAAGATGCCCATGTATGTGCTCCCGATTTCCCTGATCGCAGGATCAAGAAATGCGCTAACCCATACCCACCAAACCCAGGCTCAAGGAACCGTGGACGAAGTACAAGGCCTTCCCCCCCCTCAACCTCCCCGATCGACAATGGCCCTCCAAGACCCTCGACAAAGCCCCGAGATGGCTTGAAACCAGTCTCCGCGATGGAAACCAGAGCAATCCAGACCCCATGGTGCGTATCCCCGCGCGTCGACCGTGTAGTTGAACGTACCTACCCGTCGACGGTATTTGAGTGGACTGACTCGGCTAATGATATTGGTACTGAATTGTAGAGCGGAGACGAGAAATGGCGTTTCTTCAAGATGCTCTGCGATATCGGCTACAAGGAAATCGAAGTATCCTTCCCCTCCGCCTCTGATACCGACTTCAACTTCACAAGACGCTTGGTAGAGACACCCGGTGCCATCCCCGACGACGTCGCAATTCAGGTCCTGTCGCCCTGCCGCCCTGATCTGATCAAGCGCACTGTCGAGGCCGTCACCGGTGCCAAGAACGCCATCATTCACATCTACCTTGCCACAAGCCCTTGCTTCCGCCAGGTCATCTTCAACTTCACCGAGGAGCAGACCCTCGAACTTGCCGTACATTGCACCAAGGTCGTTCGCTCTCTGACCAAAGACGACCCCGCGCAGTCGGCTACCAACTGGCAGTTTGAGTTTAGCCCAGAGACCTTCTCTGACACATCCCCAGAGTTCGCTGTCAGAGTCTGCGATGCCGTCAAGGAGGCATGGGGCCCAACCGTTGAGAACCCCATCATTTTCAACCTCCCCGCCACCGTCGAGATGGCAACCCCCAACGTATTCGCCGACCAGATTGAATACTTCTGCAAAAACATCACAGAGCGTGAGAAGGTCTCCGTCAGTGTCCACTGCCACAACGACAGGGGCTGCAGTGTTGCTGCAACCGAGTTGGCCCAGCTGGCTGGTGCTGACCGGGTAGAAGGATGTGTCTTTGGGAACGGCGAGCGCACTGGAAACGTCGATTTGGTTACCTTGGCCCTCAATTTATACACCCAGGGTGTCCCCCCCAACGTCGATTTTTCGGACCTCAACAGCGTAATCGAGGTCGCTGAGGACTGCAATCGAATTCCCATCCATTGCCGCGCTCCATACGCCGGTTCTTTAGTATTCTCGGCGTTCTCGGGCTCTCACCAGGACGCCATAGGCAAAGCGCGCCATTTGCATGGTCCGAAGATGTTCAAGGAGTTCTGGGAAGTGCCATATCTCCCGTTGGATCCTCAGGACGTGGGCCGGACATACGAGGCCGTGATCCGGGTAAATTCCCAAAGCGGAAAAGGTGGGGCCGCTTGGGTTATTCTTAGTAAGCTCCACTTGGACCTGCCTCGTGGCTTACAAGTTGCTTTCTCAAGAATTGTTCAACAACACACGGATGGCCTTGGCCGTGAGCTGAAGCCTGAGGAAATCACCGATCTGTTCGAGAAGTCATACTTCCTCCGTGAGAATCCGCGATTCTCTCTTATTGACTACTCCATCACTCCCGACCGGTCGCAGTCTCCCAGGCCGCCTTCCCCAGGCAAGACACAGGACACCAAGAACCTGTTGCGTGTCTTTGAGGGTGTCATCCTGGTAGACAACAAGGAGATCAGACTCCGTGGACGCGGCAACGGTCCCATCTCCAGTATGGCTAATGCTCTGAAGGAGATTGGCGTTGACCTGGATGTCCATGACTACAAGGAGCACGCTATTGGTGAGGGTCGTGGTGTAAAGGCTGCCTCGTATATCGAGTGCAAGATTGGAAATACCAAGCAGACGGTATGGGGAGTTGGCATCCACGAAGATGTTGTCCAAAGTTCCTTGATCGCTCTCTTGAGCGCTGCTAGTAGTGTAAGTTGCAACACACCAATACGAGTAACAAATTACTCCTAGCCTGCTTCCAGAGGCCTGACTAACTAATCGCCGCAGTTCATCACGAGCAACCCCCCAAGCCCGGTGTTGAGGCCAATTGCCACTCGTCCCAAGAACCTGGACCCCAACAGTGCCGCGAATGGCGCAGCCAAGCAGCCAGCCGCCGGACCTCAAGAGACCCAAAATGTGGTTTCTGTCTTGGAGGAAAAGGCGAACGGCATGTAGAGGAGTGTACTTGATGAAGATTGAGGATTGACGGATTGTCACTCATTTGGTTTCTTTTTAGCTCGTCATCTTTTGACGTTTGAAGTACGATTATGATGAATTAGCATGGAAGGAGGAGAAAAAAATCAAAAGGCGAAAGTTTCGAAAGGGAAAACTACCTAGGGAATCAAATTGGAATTAAAAGTTCTTGAAACAACAATTGCGTTGTCTATTGACTGGTTGATGAGTCGTGTCTTGGTTGAGAAGTATGTGCCGATGTTTCACTTAGATCCACGGAAACTGCATATCTTCCCTTTCAAATAAGTATTTCCATGAAACTATCGCTAATCTAAGATGGTCTAACAATGGTTAATCCCATTTCCACTGCAACAATTACAACAAGCTAGTCGCACCCCGTTTCATTGCCGGTACCGCAAGAGAAAGACACTCTTCAGTCTCTAAGCTGCCCAGGCCACGGGGTTGCGGCCCTCGCTCTCGTCACGCTCAAAAAGGGCGTCCTCATCTCGGGCCACGGCGCTCGCCATCTTGTGCTTTCCAAAGGTAGAGGGGAATTTGCAGTTGCCGCTGGCGCAGGAGATACGCTTGATGAGACGCTCAATGTCGCGCTCGTACAGGGAATCCTCCTTGCGCATCTTGATGGCCCCCGCCATCTTGTGTTTTCCGAAGGTAGATGGGATCTTGCAGTTGCCGCTGGCGCAAGAGATGCGCTTGGTGAGAGAGCTGCCAGCCTCATCTCGCACTCTCCACTTGGGAGCCGCGCCAGGACCTCCGAAGGTGGCCTTGACGTAACGGCTCTCCATGTTGGTCAAGTCACCCTCAGAAGGGGAGGCAGTGGCCAGGCCAGCGAGACCGAGGAGGGCGACAGAAAGGTATCCGATAGCGACCATTTTGGCGGTTATTGAAACAAATTACAGATATTGGAAAAGTACGAGGGAAAAAGTGGTTTGAAAATAAAAGCCGAGGCAACCCAGTTGCTCTTGGTGGAAGAAGTGAAGTAAAGCGAGACCAGCTCGGGAGGGCAGAGCGAACAGTTGAGGTGATTGTTGGAGATTCAATCTGTAAACTTGCTCGAGAACAGACTTTTTATACAGGCAAGCAAACAGTTTTACGTTCCAAGTCTGTGAAATCAGCCTGGCTAAGAAGGATTCTCCCTCTGTTCCATCTAGGCACTCTGTGACAGTTGCATGCAGCTTATTTTCCGCATCATGCATGTCATTTTTCACCCAGACTCCATCAATGCCCGTTTAACATCGCAACCAACTGGGATGTCTTTGCGTAAGGACAACCGGCTTATGGGGAGAGGTTGAAGCAGATCGCACAGGCATGGGACCATTTATCCCCCACGATTGGTCGACAACCGAGCCAGAGCTAAATTTAGCCATCCATGCATGACCTTCCTGAAGCTGATTGAAACGTTAAAATCATGTATAGAAGTATTTGCCTTTGCGATAAATTTCAATTAGCTTTGATTATTTTACTTGAGACAAAGATGCTAGATGTAGCCAATTGTCTTTTGTGCTTTCTAGCTAGTGTATAGAGTTGCTGACCATCGCGACAGTTGTGTTGTCGTTTGGATCCATTCACTGTTAACATCCATTTCCAACTTACTAATTCCAATCCATTCACGGTTTCAGCCAAGAAAGGGATCGTTTGCTTCTCGGAGTCCGGCTCCAGCTCCCGTACGGAGAACTACCTCACGCACCCCACCACTCGGTTCCTCGCCAATGCGCTGGCTCGTAACATCATGACTGAAACGCTCATGACAAATATCCCCTGTTGGCTCTGAATCATGACATGCGGAACGTCCTAAGCAATATGAATAATGTCCATCTACATAGAGGCAGCTGGATCCTTCGCCGCTCTATCTCGGTGTCTTTCGACTTTTTAAGGGGAGAATTGGGCAGAATGCTGTGAAAGGAACCGGACTCATGAACGTATCTTTAGAGCCTTGAGTTCTTGTACCAGCTGAAAGATTAATGGACAATAGGTAGAAGAACACTGTGGCGGCCGAATCTAGACACAAAAAAACAATGTGGTTACAACTTGTTCATTGTGATTTGGGAGATTTTTAACCTCGAAGCAACCTTGTCGTCTCTCACTATTTACCCTATCTACAATGGCGTAAGATCGAGAGTTGAATAAATAGAGTGTCAAGAGTTTTAAAGAACTGGACAAGCCATCAGGCACTCATTCACTAGTAGCACTTTGGCTCTGAAGCATCCCCAAGTATATGCTGTGAACTGCCCCATGAAACTACTCACAGTTACGGCAGCATCATAGAACTGACGCATTTTCGTTTCGGAATTTGTCCTTAAGATTCAGAAAAATCTGAAGAATAATCTAAGAATCTCAATGAGATCTGTCGTACATTAATTATAAAGAAGTCTCGAAAATCAAATCAACCTTTTAAGCGCCCAGATTCTGCGACTCGCAAAGTCCTCTGTAGATACACCCCAGAGTAATGAGCTGTTCGTGCGTCCCCCTCTCTACAATCCGACCATCCTGGAATACACATATCACATCCGCATGCCTGATGGTCGACAGGCGGTGCGCAACGGCCACAGTGATTCGATCGCCTGATGCTGCTGCCTCGTTGATGGCGTCCTGCACGACACGCTCCGACTGTGTGTCCAGCGCGCTCGTGGCCTCGTCGAGCAACAGCACGCGCGGCTTGCGGATGAGTGCCCGTGCAATGGCGATGCGCTGGCGCTGGCCGCCCGAAAGCTGCAGGCCGTTGGAGCCGCATGGGGTCTCGAGACCATCGGGCAGCGAGCAGATGAAATCCCAGGCGTTGGCGGCTCGGCAGGCCTCGATGATCTGCTCGTTAGACACGGGGAAGTCGTCATCGTCTGAAGGCAGGCCCATTGCGATGTTCCTTCGGATCGTGTCCGGGTAAAGGATTGGTTCTTGTTGTACCAGGGCGACTTCGTTGCGGTAGAGCCAGGGGTTCATCTCGTCGATGTTTCTGTTGTCAATCCTAATGTGACCCTTGACTGGATCGTAGAAGCGCTCTAGCATCGAGATCATCGTGCTCTTGCCACACCCAGAGGCGCCGACAAAGGCGACAAACTGGCCTTTTTGGATGTCGAGGTTGATACCGCGTAGTACGCGTGCCTCAGGGCGGAGTGGATAGGAAAAGTGAACATCCTTGAGCTCGAGCGGAGAGCACTCCTTGGGACCAACAGTTCGGTTGTCCTCCGTCTCTCTGATTGATGGCTGGAGCTCAGATAACCAGAACATGTAGTTGGCGGCATTAATGGCCTTGGTTATGCCTGGAGGGATCAGTCGTTAGCAAATCCTTTGTCTCTTCTTCAGCCAGAAACACATTTACTTACTGGTTGCAAACCCATACATGACTGAGGCCTGCTGTCCCGCAAAGAAAACTCCGAGATAAGCTGAGAAGAAGCTAACGATATCCATCTCGCCAAAAGACACAAGCCGGCATCCATACCTTTTACGTGTTAGCAAGCGTTTCTTCTATGGTATCGAGAATAGTACTTACCAAAATCCCAAAGCCATGAAGGAATATTCCACACTCTGAGTAAATGCAAATGGAATCATGGTTAGGAGCACGGGTTTAGTGGCATACCCATTACCGGCATCCAACTCAGCAGTATATCTTCCCAGCACGGTTGGCTCCAGAGACAAGGAGGATACAGTTCGGATCGCACCAATGGCCTCAGAAGCAATGGAGGCGCTGGTAGAGAATCGATGAGAGATCTTGATTTCCATTGCCGACTCGAGCTTCATACGGAGGTGACCAGCCAAGATCATGGGCGGAAGACCGGCAAAGACGATGACCACGCCAAGCTTCCAGCCTTGAACTAGAGCGAAGATAGAGCAGGCCACGACACCAAGGGCGGAGATGGAGATGAGGGCAATGTTGAACCCCATCAGCTCAAAGATGGAGTAGGGGTAAGAGGTCACACGCTCAGCAAGGGCGCCGGTGGTGTTCTCCGGGCGGTCGAAGAACTGCAAATCTTGCCGGATGATATCATCGACCATGTGTTTCCCGCACTTGTTACCGAATGTCTGTTCACTTTTGTCAGTTTTCATAAATCTCAAGTATACGCTGAGGGTGTGTCCAAGCTTACCGTGCTAATGGAATTGGCAGTATAGCCAATGATGAAGTATACAATCAAGCAACCAATAGCAATGACGAGATTCATGAGGGCGAAGAAGTTTCCTTTTTCCTCCATCTCGGATCCTGTATACTGGAAGACATTGACAAGCCGCGACATCAGCATGGCTTGACCAGGAAAAGTACCAGCTGGAGTGTTGTCAGTTTCAATTTGGGTCGCATCAGAGGATTGGAATATCCCACTTACCAGCCACGACGATGGCGAGGAGCAGCCTGAAATAGCGCCATTTCATCTCCGGTGTCATAGAGATTAAGCGGTGGAGGGTAGCGAAAAATCCCACCCTCTTCCATTTCTCGAAGTCTTCGTTGACCAAGCGCGCATCCATCTGCTTCTTCGTCGTTGTCGAGTATCTGGTCAGTGAATGATCCAAGATAGTCTTGTCACCGGCTTCGTTATCGGTGTCATCTGCCGAGTCGGAAGAGCTCGTTTCGTCAGGCTCGTCACTAGACTTCACTGACAAGTCCTGGGCCTGAACCAGGCGGGCATAGGCGCCGTCTTGACTCATCAGTGTTTCATGCGAGCCCTGTTCAATCATCTTTCCCTGTCGCATGACGACGATGTTGTCCGCCGTCCGGATAGTCGCCAGCTTATGTGCGATGGTGATGGTCGTGCGGCCTTGGGACACGTTTGAAAGTGCCTTCTGAACAACCTCTTCAGCATGGGGATCCAGCGCACTCGTTGCCTCGTCGAGTAGAAGAATGCGAGGCTCGGAGATAATGCTCCTTGCAATAGCTACTCGCTGCTTCTGGCCGCCTGATAGTAGACCACCTCTTTCACCAATGACAGTGTCGTAGCCTTCGGGAAGTGCACTGATGAAGTCATGAGCAAAGGCAACCTTGGCCGCGTTCTGCACTCGGGCCATCTTGTCCTCGCGAGAGTCTGTCTCCCAGGGAGTGCCAACTAGGCCATTTACGATATTGTCATACACTGACCCGGAGAACAGGACAGGCTCCTGTTGGACTAATCGAACATGCTGCCTGAGCCATTGGAGGTTGAGCTTGTCGATGGGCTTGCCGTCGAGCTTAATGGTGCCCGAGCTGGGGCTGTACCACCTCTCCAAGAGACCAACAATGGTGCTTTTGCCGGAACCGCTGGCGCCCACCAGAGCCGTCACTTTCCCTGCCGGAATGTTGAGCGAGAAGTCCTCGAGGACTGGGATGGTCGGGCGCATGGGGTAACTGAAGGTGACGTTCTCGATCTCGACATGTCCTGGCACCTTTTGCGGCTTCTCGCCCGTCTCGTCAAATGGGTCGATGGAAGAAGTCCGGTCCATGAGCTGGAATAGCTCCGTGGCGGCTACTGTGGCTTTTGTGAAGTCGACCATATACGGTGCTATTGAGGTCAGACTCGAGGAGGCGGTGATGACGGACATTAGGACGCTGGAATATTATTAGGTCCCACGGGGTTGACTTTGAAAAGTAGGGATTTTTGACTTACGTGAACACATCACCAGGATGCTCGACTTCCCCACGTGCAATCATACGAATAGCTTGCCAGAAGCACAAGCCCATACCTGCATAGATGACAAAGTACTCTGCAGAGAAGAAAGTTCCAATGATGGGATTCTTCTTGTGCCCCAACCTGGCTGACTCTGTAAGATGCTTGTCTAGAGCCCCGACTAGTCGTTTCCGAAGCCCAAAGGCTTGGATAGTGCGCGCACTCGATAGGATACTCTCCGCTAGTGATGCAGCCCGGGCATTGACAGCCAGGACCTTAGTATCGATGGCCGCGTTCCTGGCTGAGGCAGTGCCGGTGATAATAAGAATGGCGGGGGTGATGCAGCTCGTGATGAGAGTCAGCTTCCACTGGGTGGCAAAGGCTAGGGCGAAGGCAGAGATGAACGCCGACAAGCCCTGAACCAGCAACCCAAGCTTCTCTGATATCCCACTCTGAATCAACTTGCCGTTCGCGGCAGCCTGCATCGAGATGGAGCCTCCAACGCCAGAGTCGAAATATCCAATCTCCTGTCTCAATCCCGATTTTAGGTATTCGCGGCGGATGTTGCGTGTGATTCCGTATGCGGCGAGTGTAAAGAGCGAACTGTACAAGTATGTGACGAAGAATCGACCCAGGCCGAGGTAGAAGAAGTACAGTCTAGTGGATAATTGAGTCAGCTTCTGAGCTCCAGAAGTCTATACAAACTTTCAACGCAAACTTACGCAAGGCGGCTTGATTCTTTGCGAAGCTCTTCGGGTGAAGCCGCGCCCGTAGTGTAGCCCGTCACAACGGTGATAAACTGGCCAAAGATCAAGTTGACCATGGCCACGCCGACACCTGAGGCCATGGCGAAGACCACGCCGGCTACATGCATCATGTATTCTTTTCGGGATCCATATCGGAAGATTCTCTAATAAATAGCCCATCGTTAGTACCAGATCTAGAGTTGAAAAAGCCCAGGGGGCCACAGAACGTACAAAGTAGCCTCCTTCACCAAGGTTCTGTTGCTCGTTTTCGACATCTGATCCCGTATCATTTTGGATTTGTTGGACAGCCGTGGGCTTTTCTGATAGGGAGCCCATTGTCTCTTTCTGTTGCTCTGTCTGTGGTAGAGTCGAAATCTTGGCGGTGGTTTCGAGGAGATCTAAGTGGTTAAGGTGAAAGAACAAAGAACTCGTGGCAGAGACGCCGAGGAAAGACAAAAAAGAACCACCCGCTATTCTATCGATTAGTTTGATATTTAGTGATGTCAAACATTCGAACTAGAAGGGTAGCATGGAGTATTTATCAGACCTTTATTCTGTCTTTTTGTCGAAGAGATTGTGATGTGACCCGCAGTTCGGCGTCTCGCAGTTTCGGCACAGCGAGAGGCCGAACAATACATGTCGCTCTCGTGTAAGCAAGTAAGCGATCAATACGAGTTGTCAAAACGTCCCGTTTGGTCAAACTTCGTGCATGAAATTAATGAGTCACCTGGAGGCTTTGCCTCTGATTGCCCCGATACTACACACCCTGTCGGAGGAATGCACTGGATGAGTCAATCCACGTAACGTCGATGGCCCAATCATGACACTTTTGAGAATTGTTGAAAACCAACCTGAACAGGCTTAACAATGTATCGGTGCACAAATCAAGGCTTTAATTGCTGAGTTACACCTTGGGCAAGAGACAGGGGGTTTCCTCATTTCTCAACCTTATGCGAACTAGAAACTTGCGTATGCATGCATTATTCCGAGCACGTGACAGATTTCTTACTCTCTATTTCCATCTCTTTTCTCATTTCAAAGGTAAAATTGTAGCTGTTACGGCTACCATGAGATACATCTCAAGAGTGGGGAATATGTGAAAATCACATCTCTCTAGCATAAATGCGATAGAACTGGCTGGATCACGCACGCTATTTACGTAGAAGTGGCTGCCGCTTCCTCCCTAATATTGAACGTAGAGAAACAAATGCTAATTAGTCCCCTAAATAGACTTTCAAATATCGGGCTGATTACTGTCCATCAATCCCATCATCTGCTGGCTCCAAGAGAACCAATTCGCCAACTGCGGGTTCGGTTCAACCTCCGGATGGGCCCCTGAAGTGTCCATCGGCATATCCAAGAAGGACATGGTTGGCAAGGCGGTAAAGTCCTGCGTCATGTCCTGATGCATGGGCTGATATCCGAGCGAGCTGAGGTAGGCGTCCATCTCCGTGCGCAACTCGGCGTTGTTCACTTGCGAGGGCGTCAGTGAAGCCTTAAGCTCCGAGTAGCGGGTGGCAACGGTGTGGAGGACCTGGAATAGGCGATGGTGGTTGTCTTTAAAGTTAGAGAACGTGCTGGCCACTTCCATCGACTGGACGAAATTGCCCATGCGGTTCAGGTCCTCGTCATTTCCCGTTTCGATGACGTGGCAGAAGAGCACGACAAAGGATATGAAGGGCAGGAAGTTCAAAACCCTATGAAATCGTAAGTCGTGGCCGCGACATATGGCACCCAACAGCAATGAAACGAGACATACCAGTTCACTTGTGCAGATACGAAAGGAGTACCTCGCTCCTTGAGCAGCGGCACAAATCTGTGGTGTATCTCGATGACACTGCGAGCAGATGCGATGCACTCCTCAGTGAAGGTCTTTGAAGGGCCTGTAGTGGGAGGGGGCGCCGCACGCTGTATGAGAGTGAGGATGGACAAGCAGTGGATTTCATCTGAATGATAGATGAACTCAACTAATTGTTTCATCTTCAGAGCCATCGCGGGGTCCGATTGATTGATGGGAATGGCTTCCTAATGAGAGACGTAGAAACTGTTAGCAACAGTTCTTGCTAACAAAACAAGCAAGTGGCTGATCTGGCCTTACCCTGACTTGGCGATGTGTCTCACGTATATCTTGCAACTCCTTGGTCAGTTCGGCCACCTTTTGCTGCCGCACATTGGCGGGTAGATGAAGAGCCTCTGCCGAGTATAGGTCCTCGTAGACTCTACCCGATAAGCGGGCAGTCCTGACCATGTTCCGGTAGGCATTCATGCCCGAATTGAGTGGGAATTTAGGGCCGCCTGGCAGTGGCACGGTGATGTCGGAATTCGGGATAGTTGACGACCGCCCTAGCCCGAGAGTGAAGCTTCTCTCGAGGAAGTAGATGGCCCAGAATAGCAATCCTGCCTTGTTGGGCGAATCACTGCCTTTATCAGCGCCCTTTTGCCTGGTGTGATAACCCAGAGAGTATGCGGCTTGATATGCGGCAGTGATCAAGGTACAGGATACTAAAGGCTTGAATGACTCCATGGCAAAGACAGCCTTGCTACAATGTCAGAATAGCGTGACTAAGAAGGCAACGGGTGAGGGTGGGGAATACGTACACCCAGAATCAGTGCAAACGTCATGTCAAAGCTGGGTTTGATATATAAGGACAGCCGGGCCAAGGCGTTTGTGAGGTTCTCGGCGCATATTGCTTTATTCTCTTCCTGATTATCGTGTTGTCCAAACAGGACTGTGTCATGTCTAGTATTAGCCAAGAAGTAGTTCATTGGTATGGACGGGGGGACGAGTTCATTTTCAAAAGGGAGGAGGCACTTGCAATAGAGAATTGCGTTGAGAATGATTAACTCGGCATCGGAGTAATCTTGCGAGAAGTAGACTTTTAGACACATGTCTGAGATGCTTGGTACGTCAATCACAGAGGACAGATGATAAATAATTATCTTCGCTCGGTCTATAAGAAACGACTAGCGATCAGTCTCAAGATTCCAACGACGTAGATTGTTTTTGGATGCCGGATTTAGTAGGTATGTACCTTCTGTGCTCCTGATGACAGCCACGGAAGCTTCGATAGGTGGCATTTTGGGACGCACGCGAACAGGCGTTGGCGCATCTGTGGCGGAGAAGGCCATGTCTAGTGAGCCCTGCTGTTTGTGGAGGACATCGACAATATGGCCTAGGGCATCTTGGAGCTCCAGGGAGTCAAAGACGTGTCCCTGATCTCGATCAGAGCCGACTACCTTCTTCAGAAACGCGACGGCGAAGTCAGATTGGGCAGAGAATGAAGATGGCCCTTCGGTGACGGCAATTGAGTTTCCTTCCTGCTGCTCCCGCGCGTGGGCAGGTGATACAGTGCCTTGTGCTTCTGGTTGTTCAAGGTTCACCCTCGGAGCTACCGGAGGTGATGAGGTGCCGAAGCCACTGCCAATACTAACTCCAGGAGAGGGGTCCGATTCGTTGAGAGGGGAGGCAGATGACGTTGCTCTAGTTCCTGGTCTGTTTTCAGCAACGAGATTCTCGACTAGACGACCCATCCTTTCCAACCGCTGGTCGAGAGAATCAAGCTTGCCATCACTATTCGTTCCAGGCTGGTCAGTCGAGCACCAGTGAATGAGGATAGGTAGATAGAAAATTGATCGGGGTTTACACTCACTTCTGGCTAGAGGGCCCGACAGCTCGGGCACGCCTGGCCCTCGGAACTCGGGGTGACGTTGTGCATTTTACATTATGCTTCTTGCAATTTACACATGGACTTGTCTTGTCACAACGAACCTGAGACCTTACTGTTGGTTTTGCAACACCAAAGGGCCAATAGACGGTCAACTTACCTTGCGAGCTCGGCATTGATCACACTGGGATATCAATTAGCAGCCACTAAGAATCAAGGCACCTGGGAGTTCGCTGGTGCTGGCGTTGGCGCACACGGTCCTTACAGCTTTGATACTGACGGGCGCGGCCATTGGCGTAGGCTCGGGGCCTCCATCTGATATCGAGGTGTCTGCCATAATGCAGCTCGGGAGGAATGATTAGTAAAGACCGAAAGTGCGCACCGCACGGCAAGAAAAGAAGAATGCGAAAAATACGATAAGCACAGGGAGGGAATTGCGGTCGCTATTTCGTGGAAAAGAGGGAGAAATGTGCCTCCGCACTCTCGCACTTTCGGCATCTTCGGACTTATGATCCTCCCGAGCTCATCAGCCAATCGGACGGGCGAGACGAAGTGCTGTGGGTCCGGCGCACCCAGCTTTGTTGATGTTTGACACTGACACTGGAAAGATGAGATGAGATTGATCGCATCATTGTGATCGTAAATGATCGGTATGCCTAGTCAAAATGAGCCCCGGTATATGGCGGTATTTGTCACATCTGACGATTGATGGTAAAGGTGCTCGCTATGGAAATGCCCTGTGAAATACCAGCCACATGTAGCCACTGTCCGCTAATTTACAGGCGGCTACCCGCTGGCTACAGTCTCCTGGAAACACCCTACCACATTGCCCTCCTCGTTGATTTGATGAGATGGATGAGATGGCTGGCACGAGCAGGATATCTATGAAGTACCTTATTTACCATCGCTACGACGAGGCAAATCAACCCAGAATAAAACAGCAATGGAAGTCAACTCCATGGTGATGTTTCATGAAAGTGTACATCTGCTGACACATCCTTCAAGTATCGCCCGAGTAGAATCAGGCAGCAGTGCTCACCGGTACAAATTGAACCGTTTCTCACTGCTTTAGCATTTAGCGGCCGTATTTAAGGGCGTTCAACCATCTGCATTGTTTTGGTTCGTTAAAACATCAAAGCTCCTAGATACCAACACAACCGCTATCAGACACATATTTTCTCCCGCAGCCATGCCTACCTTTACGTTCTCTCCCACCGCAGAAGTCACACCGACTATCCTCTCGGCTTCCTCTACCCATGCCAAAGTGTGCATCAAGCCCATTGACGCATATGTCGAGGCCACTGTTCAGCCATCTTCACCTGAGTCTTCTTCCGGGAGTTGGATCGCAACCGTCGGCGACCTCCCGCAAAGCAACTCGGCCGATTCACAACAAGACCAGAGGGCAGTCCTTCACTTCACCAAGGGGGAGCTTGGGACCTACTTAGGGTCGGTGGATCTTGGCCCTGTTTGAATGTTTCCTCACCGGTTCTTTGATAGAATTTAGTCTCACAGAGAAAGAGTGTTTGGTCATCATTTCTCATAGAATACCGATATTGCAAATGGTCATTTAGCAATCCGAGTAGAATGATGGTCCTGATTCATACGATGCAGAACTATCCAAACCAATGACAATAATCTTATTCAAGTGAGGAACCCTCACACACAGCTGTCTCCTTCAGTATTTTGTTGCCAGGCTAGTCTTCGAGACTCTTTGGCAGAGTTTAGTGACAATTTTGATCTTCACGCGTTGAAGGTGCCGGCTGTCTGCGCACTTTCCGAGCTCAGGAGCGGTCTTCTCGCTGGATCCTCATGCTCCTCGTTGTCATCGCGGTTTGCCAAGTGGTAGGCCAAAACCTTAATAAGGACTAAGACAATGACAGCCTCGGCGCATTGTACCAAGATAATCTCTACGATACCCCAAACGGTGACAAACTTGAAGATGACGCGACTACTCAAGAGCCTGCCAGCGGCGAACATAGAGAATGGTGAGAGAAAAGCATAGATGTAACGGAGATGCAACATAATAGCCACGGCAAGGAGTGGTCCACGAGATGTCTGGCCATAGTGTCAGCTTATCTCTATTCCAGAGGCGAGGGAAAATTCGAAACCTACCCTTTTCCTTGTCCTGACCAGAACGACTATGGTTATGACCAGATATATCAAATGGATGATGATCGAAACAACCAAAACCACGGTGTCAGCGGCAGTCCAATCTCTTATTCCCCATGGTCCACCTTTTGGCAAGACGAATATAATTAAAACAGCATTGGTGATGGCGAGAGCCACAGCGAGCTTCAGGCCTTGGATCAATCGCTTGGAAATGTTTTGGGGGGAGTCTGAACTGGACGAGACATCGGCAGTTGGTCTGTGGACGAAATCTATAAGGCGTATGAGGAAGCTCATGACCAGAAACGCAACAACAGCGTCCAAAACACCAATGACAGCACCGATATACCTAATGGCTTGGAATCGTGGGTCCGGCTCGTTTGGGTCTTCGGCGTACTCGTTTGGTGCGATCAATACCCATGGAACAATTCCTAGGACCAGAAGACTGGAGCCACGTTGGTCATCTCAGCGACTTGAAAAATAGACGCAAGGGGAGAGTGGAGGAGAGGAATACTCACAGAGAAGTCGACAACGCGGTCGCCCTTGGACGAACCTTTATTTCTGCAGCGGTAGCAGCATGGCGAGGTAGGTCTGTAAAGGCAAAGTAGATGCCGGCGAGAGAGACGACAACGGCAGTACACAACAGGACGAGGTCGACTACCTGTAGGTACATGAATGGAGTGAGATCCGAATAATCGTCATCCATGGTGATGGTAGGTAGCAGATCTCTAACTGTGCTTGTAGCGCGGGTTGGACTTCGGCAGCGGCGATAGTCTATTTGGAAGAGCAGTGTGAGGAAGTCTTGCGCCTGGAGTAACTTATGAAGTGTGATTAGTCCAGGTATTTAAGGCCAACAAGGTTTAAGCGAGGGATATACAGGGATTCACTAATGATATGCTCACCCCCCATCAGCAGACCTTTGAATTTGCTGTGCCGCACGTCACCAATCCTTGCCGAGAAAGATCTTCAAGGGCTCGCACACATGGAGGGCTGAAAACCAACATGACACAGCTAGGCAGCCGTAGCTTCCAGGTTCCTCTACCCGTTGCGTGCTCTCCGCGAATACACCAGATGCAAATGAACAGTTTGACTGTTGGTTTGCCGTTTCAACATGGTACGTGGGATCACCTTGGATGACCAAGTGAGCTTGGTCGCCAAGCTTAAGGTGCCACTGGTTTCCGCTATACCTTTTGGCCACGGGGCCTCATACGTTGCAAGCATTACGAATGTGGAAGTCGCCGACGATAATTTTCTCAGATGAGTTCGATATCATTTTATCGGCTATGAGTTATTGGCATTTACCAATGCTGAATAGGTCTTATTAGAGGTAGCAGTACCTGGCGTTCATTCTTACAGCACGGGGAAGGATAATGAGATAGACCCTCTATATATATCTTGATGAATCATAACCCGTCTGAGATGCGACTCGCAAGCTTTCAGCCCTGAATTGGCCACGTTATTGGACAGAGTTTACTTTTTCATAATAGGCAATGGCCGTATATATAATTATCTTCATACATCGTTCTAAATGTTGGATTTCGTAGCATTAGAAACAGAATGATAGGCCTCTACAGCCAGAGCCAAGTCCAGAACCGCAGACCCAACGCTCTCATACAAAGTAATCTCATCTTGTGATTTCCGCCCAGAGACTGAGCCGGAAAGCAAGTCTCCGAGTGAGCCCTTGACTTTGCCCTTTTCTATCAGACCCTTGTTGAAGGGCTGTAGAATGTCGCCAGCCGCGGCCCATAAACCATCCACGTGCTCTGTGAAGATGCAGCTAGCTCTTGTAACCGTATCAAAGTCAATCTCTTGCATTTCCGGGGAATATGAGCCAATAGCGTTGACGTGAGTACCTGGCCTGAGCGCACTGCCCTTGAACACGGGCTTCCTAGACGTAGTGCAAGTGCACACAATGTCTGCCTCTGAGACGGCTGCCTCAGCGGATTGCGCGACCTTGGTTTCGGCAGAGAATCCATCCACTTCTTTGAGAAAGCCAATAAACTTCTCAGCCCTCGCGGGGTCCAAATCGTAAACGCTGACTTCGCGGATAACGCGAATTGCGCAGATGGCAAGGACCTGGTCGAAAGCTTGCACGCCCGAGCCAATGATCGCAAGGCGTGAGGAATCGTTTCTCGACAAGAGCTCAGTCGCAACGGCAGCACTGCCTGCTGTTTTGATGGCCGTGAGAGCATTGGCCTCGACCACGGCCTCAAGCTGGCCTGTCTGGTCTGAGTAGAGACTGATGGTCGAGATCGTGGCTGGCAGGCCCTTGTTGAGGTTTGCCGAAAAGTTGGAGGAGAACTTGGAGCCGAAAAAGCCTTTGGCTGGATACTTTCCTGTAAGCCACTGGCCTTGGTCGCCGGAATCAGTGACGGCCATCACGAGCCGTGGTCCTGTAGAGATGCCACCCTCATTGCATTCCAGGTACGCTTGGCGGATGATAGGAAGACAGGACTTCACAGTGATGGCGTCCTTGACCGCAGCCTCGCTAATGTGTAGCATCTTAGTCAAACCGAGACCAGATCACGTCTATGCTGTGTCAAGATCTGTATTGAGAAGATTGAGCATCTACTAGGAGGCCTACTATTTATTATCTTTAGAGAAAGGATCGGACCTTTTCCCGAGCTTGGATGAGCGTTCCATTATGGTTGGGGATGGCCCGGGCATTACTCAACCCGAGATCGGTGGACATCCGGATCCATTCCCGGTTGACTACATTATGCTTGAACATAGATAGCCTCTGCTCCGAAGTAAATATAGGATAAAAAGCATGTCGCTAGATACGCATTAGCTTTTGCGCTGAGGGGATTCCATAGCTAATTAAAGTCAGATTATGATCTCCATAGTAGCTAATTGTATATATCTCTCTTTGATATGTATAATAAATTGATATATGATAGAATAAACTTCGATGCCTTGGCCTTATGGCCACGCCCCTTATTCTCATCCTAGTTCATCTAAACTATTTCTTGCGCAGGTTGGGAAGCGGACAGTTGAAGAATCTGTCTAAGGTGATCCATATGAAGCGCTTGTATTCTTCTGATTGCCAGCATCTTTGCCAGTTTGACTGTATTCTTGATTTGCCTTCCGTTCAAGGCGTGTGATGCAAGTTCATCAAAATCAATATCTGTGCTAGTGCCCTCCACTGTTTGAAGAAAGTTCCTCCATATACTGGCTCTAGAGCTTTCTGACAAGTCTGGATAGTGAATTGTCAAGTCGATTCTAGATTGGAAAGCAGGATCCATAGTTTTGATCCTGTTGGTAGTCAAAAACATCATGCCATCATAGTATTCCAACAGGCGAAGAAAGACTATAAACGTGTTAGCAAGGATATGTGGTGCGTGGCAGTATCGACTTACTAGACACAAGTTCATTTCTCTGTAAATCTGTAGCACTTCGTTTTTGAAGGAAGACATCTGATTCATCCAAAAGCAGCACTGCATTCCACTCTTTGCAATAAACGAGAGCTTGCCGCAGGTGATTTTCGACCTTTGTAGCGTCGCTTCCAAGTTCGCCTGCGCTCAGTGGATAGAGCGGAACATGCATCATGTTTGCGACTTCTCGGTTAGCCGGGCATTCCTCTATCAGAGCTTAGACAGACTCTCAACTTACTTGATTCAACCGTCATTGTTTTTCCAACCCCAGGCGGGCCAGAAAGAAGGATGATGACGCCCTTGCCTTGTTATCATTAGAGCGATGATTTGAAAATAGAATGTGGAAGTGTAATGAAAACCTTTGCCTCGGACTAGATCGTCGAAGTCGGTGGTCATGGACAGCTTTGTGTGTGCAAACCCAAGGAGAAGATCCTTTTCAGTGTTGTTAAGTACCAGCCCAGAGAATGAGTTATCCCAGATGATATCTGATACATTGTCCACAAACAATTTATCTGCGTTACGGGTTTGATCAGCCAGAATCCTGCTCGTGACTCAGCACAACTTACACCACTTCTTTGAGGTCAAGGAGTAACCCTTGATCAACGGGCTACATATAAGAATTTCTCGTTCGGTCTTTGGCAGAGAGTCAGCATTTGGAGAATCACCGCGATTTTTCACCTTTCCACGCCATAGGGCAGCATCTAGAACAACGCGGCCTGAGACCTAGAAGACGAAACATCAGCAGGGCGGTCTACAGTGTTATTGCGATCTCTTCTCACCGCTTCCCATGCTTCCTGAGGGCCTAGCAAGTCATTCGGCTGTTTAAAAGATCCAAAACCCAAGTACTCCCGGTAATGGCAACCGAGAAGGCCGAGAAACCTTCTCCCGCGATCAAGCACAACCCTTTCAATATCTGCTGCATTGGGATTTCTCAAAAATGGAATTGCGTTTAATCCTGCGATAGCGCGTGTCCCAGTGAAGGCCGGGATGCTCACAGCGTCTGATTTGGCCTTCAATTTGAAACCATTCCAGACGGTTTGCTCGTATGATACAATGAAATCGCCCGAACATCGATCGAACCTTGTTTGTTCTATCTCACCGATTGAGTGGTGGTGCTTGAGGTCCGTCCAAACAAGTTGGTGAGGGGCGAAGATTGTCCACAGGTTTTGGTGCTCGATAATGCCATGCGCATCTGCATTCTTCAAAGCTTCAAAGTAGGGCGCAAGTTCCTCCTTGAGGAATATCACAAACCCTTCAACATGCTGCTTGGTAAAGTCATCGGACCGCTCGATAGCCTGGCAAAAATCATCCCAATGGTGAAGCATTGGCTTGAACGGCTTGTCTAATGTCAAGTGGTCGACCTCAGGTGAGACCCCGGGGTAGTCTGATAGGATTTCTCGAAGGAGTTTCATGATATGAGGGCTTCGAACAATGACGGAGTGCATCTCCCAAGGATAATCGACGCCCTGTGAGGTCCTACGCACGACATATCCAGAGTCCTTGTTGATCAAGTCGAACTTGGGAGGATAGTTTCGATGCGTGGGTATTGGTCTCCAGTTCACACGCCCGTGGCCCAAATCATCGCCGTACAGGTACTGAACCTTGGCGGCCACTTCTTGGGTGCTGCCCGCAGGAGCTGGATCTTTAGTCTCGGCATCATCTGTGCTTTCCGCATTATTTGCTGATAGATCAGGGCCATCTTCACCCAGATAGGCCTTTAATCTCGTGACCCGTTCTTCATCTAGCGGCAGCATTTCATCAGGGTTTACCAGCCAGTCTGGAATGACTGCTGGGGGCTTCCTTGGTCCCGGGGGCTTCCTTGGTCCCGGGGGCTTCCTTGGTCCCGGTAGTGGCTGTTGGAAGGTCGGCATCATGCTAAAAGGGGTGATGAGACGGCCACTTTCTTGGAATTAATATTGCGTCGGAATAGAACTAGGATATTTGAATGGACACAATGCATGTGATAATGAGATTCGCTACGGCTGGGGCCAAGTCATTGATTGAAAAGCAGCATGATCACTGCTCTCTGCCGGCAAACCTGACCTGTGACATATGCACACTACAATACGACATAGTCGTTCGCCTCGATGCCTTGCCACGTAGCCATAATGCGGAGTAGACGCCTTACGACATACCAAAGTGAACATTGGCCTCATAATGTATGTAGATTGCCCCGTTGGTGCCCAACTAGATGCCTTGCATATGACCCACATGCATTGGAATTGCATGAAACTTGCATGTAGTCATATCTATTATGTCACGAATCGAAATTAATCCGAAAGAGACGTGGCAGTTGCTCTTCTCTCTCTTCTCTATGCCGTGTTTTGATGGATTTTCCTCTGCCTATCTAACAAACTTCTCGAAAGAGTTCTCCTCGATTCTGGACCAGAACTATGGGGACTGCGTCAAGTTATACAAGCACCACCTCAGAGACCAGCCAGGGCAGCCAAAGTCCCCTGCCCTTGGCACTCCCACACACACTTGAATTTATGGCCCGGCTGTTCCTGGCAGACAAAGATGCGAAATCTCTTCTGAACGGAAAAGGCCGGGATGGCATGAACTCTCTTCATTTTGCTGTCAAGCATAGCGACGTTCAACTGGTGCAATTCACTCTCGAGCATGGCGCAGATCCAGACATGCGAGACTCGGAAGGTCAAACGCCACTGCATCTGGCAGCTCGGAGCACCTCTTCAACAAGCGGGATGGTAGCAGCGTGTTTATTGAAGCACGGAGCAGATCCCAACCTCCTCGCTAATGAGAAGGTTGACAACAACTTTAACGGCTTCACAGACGTTGCTCCTCTCCACCTCGCCGCAGATAGAGGCAACTTGCGCGTCGCAGAACAGCTTATCGAAGGAAAGACGCAGGTTGACATTATTGACCCTCAACATTTCTCGACGCCCCTTTTCACAGCAGTGGCTGCTGGGCAGGCAGGCTTGGTTAAATTCCTACTTACAAAGGGAGCAAAGGTGGACGGTGATCCACGCGCACCGGCCACTCCCCTTCATACTGCAGTCACACATGAACGAATCGATATACTACAGATTCTGCTCTGCTGCGGCGCCAATCTGGACGTCTTAAACGAAGATGGCAAATCTGCCATTCAAATCGCAGCCTGCAATGGCTCAATGGAAACTGTGAAGCTTCTTCTTGCCGTTTCAGGCGGAAAACTCAATATGGAGGACGGAACAAGTCGGCCGGCGTGGTGGTATGCTCAGAAATCCGGTCATCATGAAATTGAGGGACTACTCAAGGGCCTAGAAAGTGCTCCAAGCAGTTGTGAAGCATCTGTTCCCTCTCGGCAAGGAACGACTCGCCCAGCTAGTCATCACAATAGCTCTAAATAGAGGATGGGAATCGCCCGCACAATTCCAATCCACAATACGTCAGGTACGGAGTTGGGCTTTTGGGGGTGGTAGCTGGCCGGGTCTATCTTGGGGTGGACGCTGGTCAAAGAACAAACACCATGAGCTAGGAAACGTTTGCGAGTCTGCCCAAGATCTGAAAATCGAAGCGTCTTTCCGAATTCACCGCTTCAGTAAAGGAAACTCCACTAAATATCGAAAATGACGATGAAACTCCACGCGGTTGGGGATGTTGTTTACTACGATGGTTGTACTTGACCGTGATTCATGGAGCCCCATTTCCCATCGGCAACTGTATGACAATGGATGGAGAGGCTGAGCAGGAAGTCACCTCTTTAAGTTAGCTTGTGTGGTCCGAACATGGTGTTTGTGCCCATTTCGGAGCTTAATTATCAGTTCAGGGGCGATAGGTTTTTAAATGAATCTGCAATAGCGTTTTGGCATGTGGGCAGGGACAAGGCCTCCACGGTATCGGAAGCAGTGAAGCAAAGAGCGAAGAGCTATCTCGAGGCAATGAATATCCGGGGATTGGAGATATCAAATGAGCCATTGGTTATTAGTCACGCGGCTGACATGGAGGGCGTCTGGTCCCCTTTACTATCGGCTTCTGGCATACTTCGATGGATCGATGAGTCAAAATCCTATTCAATGACGCCATTTGACAACTGTTCGTTTTTTCCATTCTTTGCAGGATAACTTTCAACTAACTAATGTCACAGTGGCACCTTACTACCTCATCCAATAATTACAACTCCTTCTTTATATGCTAGCGATGATACTAACTTCAGTAAAACTCTTAGTAGTACTCCATTGAACCTATATCTAAGTTTTCAAGAAAGTTGATACTAAAACCCTTTCACTGATAATTTGTTTAAAATTCATATACCGTGTATTGTTAACTAGTTAAAGAAATATAGGAAGCAAACAATGTAAGTTGTAACTTTGTATTGTTTGATTTACTCGTCTGTTACACTTACCAAGTCGCTTAGCTAGCCATTAGGTTATGCTACTTACTCTTCCTTAATCTCTCCCAGGGGAAAATTTTCATATAACATATAATAATATGATATACGCGAAGTCCGGGCGAACTACCCAGGTATAATAAATCTAAGCACATACCTCGTAGCGTCACTTTTGGCAGATAAGTCTGGGGCTGCGCCGCAATTATGGCGAAGTACCTGCCAGTTTGGGCTTGTCTTGGCCGCCGTGACTCAGAGCGAAAGATCTGAGTCAGAGTCCGGATTGACGGTATAAGATGGGATATCTTCATGACTTCGATTCCAGTTCAACAGATGAAAGCAGCACCCGTTAATCAGCTGCTGCTGCGAATTCAAGATGCAAGCAAAGATTCTGAAGCGGCTCTTGAAGGAGATTGACGATGTCAATGCCGACTTCTTCAATCTGCGAACTGTCATCTCTCTTGATCCCGAGGACGACATGACCCGGTTTTCTTTCATTATGCTACCAAACGACGGCGCCATGGCGCATCTGACGCTGGTCGGAGCAATGTATATTCCTGATACTTATCCCGAGTCACCGCCGGTGATCCATCTCTATACCAGGACTGGGCGTTACAATGTAGACGTTTTCCGAGGTCAATTAGGGAACAAGAATGCCAGCAGCCTTTGCTTCAACATCTTGCGGGCCAAATCAAAGGATGGTACCTGGGATGAAGACTTCACCATCTCGGCGCTCTTTGCCTCTCTCATGTCAGCGATTGTGTCTTTCTACGTCCCCCAGGAAGGCGGGTACAGCCGCCCCGAATATGTCTCGATGGAGACGCTTCGCAATGTGAAGCTTTATGTGAGAGAAAGCTACAACGCCCATAAAGATCGCATGCCGGCCGTTCCTCAAATTCCGCTAGTTGAGGCGACGATGGTTAAGGCGAAACAAATGAACTTCCCACCAGAAATCATCGCTGGGGAAACGGAAAGGGTGACGGCGGGCCCAATCTTTCTACAGACCAGGAACTCAGCCGTCCATTCGTTTGCGGTAGACCTTTCTGGGTTACATGAAGGCATCATCTTCTCCGTGATCTTGTCCAACTCCGAGACCGATCTGCTTGGAAAGAAATCAGGTACGGTGCTGGTCCGAAACGGCGTGACGGCTTCAGCGGCCCGGAAGCGGGCGGGCGAACCACTCAGATGGTTTTACCACGGGAAGCCTATGAACGACGGTGATATGCGACTACACGTCACTATCGGGGCGGACCAGATGACGCTTGTCTACAATGCCAATGGGCGCCGCTACGTTCATGGCGATTGCCCCTTGTCGCGGTTGACGCCTCTCGAGATCGGTGACGTCCGAGGAGTTCCATTTTATGTGCACATATACACCAAAAAGAAGAGTGGAGAGTCAGCAAAGATCGTCTTACTAGACATCAAGGGAAAAGGTTACTTGCATCAGGATTCGGAGGAGGCTGAGAAAGATACTCTCGGCTTTGAAATCGTGGATCATCCAAAGGAATCCGAGGTAGCTTCGCTGCAAAGTCCGGATGGTAGTCATGTTGTGGAGGCTGAGCAGGAGTTGTGGGAGGAGTTGGATGCACTCAAAATCTAATTTGCCAATCCTTGAATGATAAATGTAATGGCTGAACTTGCTTTCGTAACTGCTACTGCGACTATTAAGATGGATAATACTAACGGAATTGGATGTGACACATCTCAAACTTGTGATTTAACACAACTCCCCTAGAATGTACGAACTACTTAACACCCTCTGTTAGAATACAAAACTGCTGTGCGCTGGGCTGCCGTGAAAGAAACCAGCCAATAGTATATGATTGTCTTACTAGAACTTTAGAGTCACCTACAGCTCGTCCAATCAATGCTTCACTAGATTGATTATAGCGATACCAGGATCTAAACGGTGTTCGCTACAAGCCAAACAATTACTCCAATTCTGCAAATACATGGCCGTCACTAACCAATGGAAATAGTTCAAAGAGATAGTTGAAAGAGACTCTTGCATACAATACGTAATTTCAGATCTATATCGGATATTTACTCGTGTATGCTTATCCATCTAACTTGACATAGGAAAAATAATGCTTGACGAAATCCACCAAAAGCTAATCGCAGCTTGATCGAGCTCCATATTAAGAGCAAGTTCTCTTCGCATTGGTCCAGCCGGTCAGCCGGTTGGCAACATCACAAGAATAACACTTCCTGGCCGTAAAGGGGTTGTTAAGGTTGTTGTAATCGACTGAACCGCTGTTATACTTGCGAGCAGCAGCAAAAGTGGCCCTGTATGGCGCGTTGGTGATGACCTTCTTAACCTTGGCTAGGCATTGCTTGAGTCCGTCGCCCGACTTGGTGCCGGAGGTGCCATCTCGGATCATTTGTAGGATCTGCTTATTCGGGCAAGGGTTCTTGCCAGCACACGTACCAGAGCCGTTATGAGACTGCATAAGGCCAGGGTTTCTGACGCCATTTGCTGTAGTTGGTGCTCTAACGCAACCGCCAGTTTCTTGCATAATAATGGCGAGAATGAAACGTGACTCAACACCAGATTCCTTGGCGACCTGCTTGATGGCGGTCTTCATGTAGTTGATCTCGTTGTTATTATTGTTGGCACCCCAACCATTCCAACCGCAAGATTGGCGCATCAGCGGGAGGTTAGCACTCCAAAGCTGGTCAAAGCTACCCCACGCTGCCATTTTCGGCCAGTTCTTTCCGTTTCCTTTCCAGAATTTGTACTGGTCGTGGATGGTGGCCATGATAGTAAAATCATCTGTCGATTCAGTCTCGTTGTCAGGCCCGGTGGGGAGAATATCTCCAACGTCTGGTCTAGTAGGCATTCCGTCCGTCCACAAGGGTCGAAGGGCAGCCTCGGGCTGAGAAGGGGTCTCTGTTTCCGTCCCCGTAGCCGCCAGCTGAGGAGCAGGGACGGCGGCGGCAAAGGCAGCCAAAAGAGCCACACTTGGAGCAAGTTTTAGAAGCATGTTGAATTTGAATCAGAGTTTATTGATGAGAGTTAAGGATTTAAGGATGTGGGTGAAGTGAGAGACTAAGATTGTTTGTTCAGATTGCTTGGTTTTTCAAGCTCTACGTAGTTACTCGATCACCTTCTTATAGATTTTTCCACTCATTTTATCTTGAGCACTCTGGGAAAGAACCGAAATAATTATCATCAAGCTCGGAGTGGCAATTTCTGTGAGATCGGGCCATTCTAGTTTCACTCTTGAACTTCAGGTCTGGAGGTCGACTTTGGTAGCAAACATTACCTGAAGTTCTTCCACAATCAAGCCTTAGAAGGCCTAGAACTTGAGTCCTGATCACCTGTCAGGTGGTGAATGAGTTCGCAAACTTCCTTTTTAGGGCATAACAACACTAGGTGAGATCTGACACCTTCCTAGTCATTATGAATTCGTCCTGATGCGGCTTAATAACCCATTGCAGGCACCGCCGAAAGGGTTTTTCCCATTCTAGAGACAGGGGAAATGGCCTTTGCGAGAAGGCAGTGCGCTTGAATTCGAGAAGTTGACGCCTTGGCTGTCAGAACGTTTTGCCTCCTCACGATATTATGCGGACCATTGATGGGAACTTTGGTAGTTAGGGATCGTTTTTGCCACGGGCGGTCCGGCACCCACGGAAAACCTATTATCTTTGGTTTGGCTTGGTGATTTACCATAAGGTGTTCTTCTATTTCCTTTATCCGGCATTCCTTGGGTCGAAAAGAATAGAGACATATGGCATATGGTCTTAAACGACAACTAGTTGATTACAAGATGGTATTCTGGGTTTCATCCGATGATGAATGTAGGTCTACAGCCTCACTTCGGCGGCGCAAAGCCGTGAGACTGCATGGATACTTCTAAAAATATGATCCCCGTCATTCGACCCGTACAAGTAGGTGACAACAAAAGGAACCAAGCCATTCTGTAACATGCCCTGTGAGGCACAAATAACACGTTACTCGTCTCAGTTACCACGTAAAATTTAATCAAACTGACGCTAATTTAATTTACATTTCGGGACCAGGGGTTTATTGTAGCACCACCATTATTCATATTAAATTCTCCCGGCGCTAGGACACACGTATAACATTAAAGACTGATTTAAATCCCCGATTAATACGGCAGATGAACGGCTGTGAAAATTCTGGATCAACAGATCAACACAGTCATCCTTGGATTGAACTTTATACAAGTGATCCATAGAAGAAGAAAAAAAAGAGAAAAATCCATCCTGGTAATAGGTATACTTTAATGTTGAATCCTCTTCAGAAAGATTCGCCTGAAAAGAGTTGCTTTGTTTAAGCATGCTTCGACGGGTTGTATTAAGCTATTTTCCTCATTATTAGTTTTGTTATTTCTCTACCAAGATATCGACATAATCTCATGTTCAAGCTTCGCCATTCCCTTCCACACCCTTCATATATTAATAGGTAGGTACACAATAGTCTTTCCAGGAGATATTCCGACGGCTGTCTTACTTTAAATGAGTTATGAGTCCCATCGTTAGCTGAATATAGTGCTATATACCTCTAAAGATTCACACTGTTCTTGGAGAGAAAAGAGCTGATCCGATCGCCCAGTCTTGCACGGGCTCACATGAATCTTCGAGTGGCATATCTAGACAGCTAGTGTAGTGTATGCAGCCATGTTCGCCAGCCATTGTTTTAATTGGAGCTTTACATTTTCCAACACAAGATACCGCTCTTAACATGGATCATAGGCTACTGTGACCCCGGCTGAATAGATCCTTATTCCCTCAACCATCACCGACGTCACTTGCGGGTAGGTAATCATCATCGGCTCGGGAAGTGGATCAAAGGGACCGGAACTCGCTTGGCCAAGAATTTTTGAGGATGCTCATTGTTGACAAGGAACCCCCACCAGGCTAGCCAACGTTCACCTACTTCCTTTAAGGGCTTAATATTCCCCTGGGTCTCCGAAAACAAGAATCTATTCTATCTACACCTGCGAGTCTTGCCTATCACTTCAATATTCTGTCATATCTAGGGTGCGTTAGTCCCGAAAATATGGCAGCTGACTCTCGAAACGTCGTGCAGCTCATTGCTGACGACTTGGGCTTGATGCTGGGCTGTTACGGCTTAACTGCCATCCGGACTCCCAATATCGACAGACTCGCTTCCCAAGGTACCAAGTTCACCAATGCATTTGCCAGTACCGCGTCTTGTAGTGGCAGCCGATCAACTATCTACACGGGGCTTCACACTCACCAAAACGGCCAGTATGGCTTGAACCACGGATGGAACCATTTTCAAACACATGACCACATTGAGACCGTCCCCCAGATATTCAACTCTCTGGGCTATCTGACGGGAATCATCGGCAAGGTCCATGTTGGGCCTCGTAGCGTCTATCCCTGGGAGTGGTACGCGCCGGGCGAAACTCGCGATGTTAGGGAAATCGCTCGCCAGACCGGGGAATTTTTTAACGCAGCCAAGAATTCCAATCGTCCATTCCATCTGACTATTGGGTTTCGAGACCCTCACAGAGACTCGACCAGAGGAGGGTTCGGGAACCAAGATGATGACATTCGCGACCTTCCACTCCCAGACTACAAGCCGAAGGATGTGGACATTCCGTCTTTTCTGAGCGATATCCCTGAGCTGAGGACCGAACTAGTGGAATACTACAAGGCAATCACCCGTATGGACATTGGCGTTGGCTTGATAATGGATGAATTGGAAAAGCGAGGCCTGCATCATAACACACTCGTCATATTTGTTAGCGACAACGGTTCGCCGTTTGTGAATTCTAAGACAACCCTCTACGATGCTGGGGTTCGTCTACCGCTCATTGTTCGTTGTCCAAGAGAGGGAAATGAGGCCGGCGCCGTCAATCCAAACATGGTTTCATTCCTGGATATTGTCCCTACCTGCATTGGCTGGGCAGGCAAAACTGACGCCGAAATTGCGACAAGCAATACAGGGAAATCTCCTCAAAGATTGGGCAGATCCTTCCTCCAAATTTTACACGCAACTGAAATGTTGCCGAGTGAGGAATGGACCCAGCATGTCTTCGGCTCGCACACCTTTCACGAGATCCAAAACTATTGGCCCACAAGATTTATGCGTACGAAGAGATTCAAGTATCATCGCAATATAGCATGGAAGCTGGACTTCCCGTTCGGCACTGACATTTATGGAAGCCTCAGTTGGGAGGGAATTCGAAACAGTGTCCCAGTACCTGACGATGAATCCGATACTCCAGAGGTGATGATCGGAAGGCGTCGACTGGTGAGCTACCTTTATCGCGGCCCCGAAGAGTTATTTGACCTAGAGGCGGACTCTGAGGAAATAAATAACCTTGCAAATAACCCAGAGTATAAAGACCAATTGCTACGTATGCGGAAGCAGACGGAGGAGTGGCAATACCTTACCGACGATGTGTGGCTCTTCAAGGATGGGGTCAGCGCCATAGTGAGCCAGGGATATCAAAGCCAAGGACTGAAGCTGCCTGATAGATTTGATTTTGATATCAGGAAGCCTGGAAATCGAGACGGTAACCACTGGGCACCAACCACAGTAAAGACGGCTTCAGAGGGAACTACCAAAATGGGCTAGTTTCCATAGATGCTGCAACATTTGTTATAGAGTCAGTACCTGGATCCTCAGTAATCTGATTTTCCCCGGTCGGGACAGGATACTTCAGGTCATTACGTGACAAAATATGTTTTCACGTTCATGTATTTGTGACCTTTCCTTAACTGATCGTGCTAGGTCTAAAAAGTCATTGTCATACACTCAGTAGCACATGAGCATGAGATGTTTTCCCTCCTGCTCTATCAAGTAATTATCGATGTGGCTAACCCATTTTGCAGAGGTCAAGAACTCGTTATGGGAGCGGAGAATAAGCCCCAGATATCTGGTCTGGAGCCACGGATCTCGGCCGAGTCATGCTCTAGCTTCGCCTCGAGCAACACGGAATGACCGACCGGAACTCGCTAATTAATGAAGATATTTTCACTCTCTCTAATAGAAGACCTGTGGGGAATGATTGCCAACAGCAATTACTCACCTGAATATACGCGCTTTAAGTTGTTGGAGTACGTGCCCCAACTCGCTCGAGTGCGAGATCCGGTTGTGGTCACTGACAAGAAGCTTCCCCTTCTCCAAAGTAGACTGAGCCCACGTGGAGCAGCCCCATGGGGATACTCTAGTTAACCCTCGTTCTTGAAATATTTTCCCATTAACCTTGCCTTGGGGGTCTTTCTATAAGAGACAAGAATCCCCTGGCTTGGAGAACTAACTTTTTTTGCAGCATCATTCGACATTTCGTGCTTCGGACACTTCCACTCACTCTAAGAGCTCCCACGTGTCTGACAAAATTCCAAGCCTTGCACTTCTTGCGTTCAGCATGGGGTTTATGAGCGGCAAAACACGATTCTTCAATCGTCGTTTAGCCATTGCTGTGTCCCTTATTGCCCTTTCTTCTTTCAACTATGGGTTCGATAACCAGGCCTTTGCTACTACCCAGGCAATGGATGCGTTCGACAAGCGATTCGGAGAATACGACCCCGTAAAGAAGATATACTACCTCCCCCCGACATGGCTGGCTCTGTTCAATTCGCTCAACTACATCGGTTTTGCCGCAGGCGTCATAATTGGGTCGTTTGTCTCGGCTCGATGGGGACGTCGGATGTGCATGTTCATAATGAGCATTTATGCCCTTGGAACCGCGACCATTGCCGTTACGAGCACCAACAAGCACCACGTCATGGCGGCCCGTGTCCTCAACTACATATACGTCGGGATGGAGCTGGCAGTGGTGCCTGCCTATCAATCAGAGATTGTTCCCGCCCCGGTCCGAGGTTTCGTCGTGGGCACATACCAGCTTGCTCTGATCTTGGGTGGCCTAGTAATCAACTGCGTTTGCCTTGGGACCAGCACGCTTTCTGGGGATGAGTCATGGAGGATTCCTCTTGGCCTCTTCTATGTCATCCCTGCCATCATTTCGACATGCATATGGTTCCTGCCCGAGTCTCCTCGCTGGCTGCTCTCAAAGGGTAGAGTCGATGAGGCACGTGCCAGCCTAGCCCAGTATCGAAGCGGCTCCTTCACTGAGGAGGAAATCGACAGGGAGTTTCAGGAGACACAATTTCAGCTCGAAGTGGCAAGCGAGAAGGGGCGATTCCTCGACATCTTTGCGTCTAAGAACCTGAAGCGTACATTCCTTGTTGTTGGTATCAACTTCTTCCAGCAGGCAACTGGCCAGCAATTTGCCAGTCAATACGGAGGGATTTATGTGAAGCAGCTAGGGACTATCAACCCTTTTGTCTTCACCCTCTTGGTTGCGGTCGTCAATGCCACCGCCATTGCGATTTCTCTTTTGACAAATGATAAGATCGGACGTCGCAAGCCTCTTTTGCTAAGTGCAACCATAATGTGTACTGCATTGATGATCATGGGCGGTCTGGGAACGCAGGACGTAATTTCCAAGTCTACCAAGATTGCAATTGTCAGCATGCTTTGTTTTATGACTTTTGGTTTCTCACTTGGTCTGGCTCCGCTCACATATGTCGTTGCGACCGAGATTCCTGCTCTTGGACTTCGGGATGCGACTCTCCGGCTCGGTTTTTGCGTTAATGTTCTTTTCAAGTGAGTATTTCTCAAACTTTGCAACCTTCCATGTGGATATCTCTTGCTAATGGCTCTCTGTGATTAAGCTTCGTGTCAAACTTCATCTTGCCATATCTTCTAGCTGCCCTGGGCTCTAAGACAGGATTCGTATTTGGCTCAGTTGCATTCCTGGGAGTTCTTTTTATCTACTTTTGTGTTCCCGAGTGCAAGGGCAAAACATTAGAACAGGTTGACCGGATGTTCCAAGAGGGAGTAGCACTACGGAAGTTTGGTGGTTTTGAGGCTGAGAACCTCGGCAACATTTCGCAGAAGAATGAAGATGATGTTGTGGTGGCGCAAATCGAAGTCGGGGGCGAAAAGAGGTAGCTTCCAATCTGAAAGCGTAGCAGAAAAACTAATCGTCACTATGTTCTGCGAGAAGCTGTCGGCAGTATCATTACATATCTAATCAGGGTCAAGCGACCATGTTGCAATATTTGATGTAAAGATTCATTTCATTAGGCTATATCTTCGTATCGGCCTGCCTGCAGAGATGCGAAATACATTGTATTAATCCATATTAAAATACTGACTGACAATACAAATACAGTAGGACTATACAAAGTGCCTATCTATGATTAGAAAATTACCACACGCAATACGTTACCGTAACTTGGGAATGTTACTTTTGTGCTCGCTGCCAACCACAGTCTAGGAAGACTCAACAACTGACCGGTAAGCATTTTACCATTGGCTTTAGCTCTCAGAACGTTTGTTTTATTGAGATGATAACAGTAAGTGAGGGAGCTATACATAGCTGCTGAAAAATAGAAGGGGACTTCCCAAATACCAAGACTTCAACAACTTGACACCATACCCAACATCACAACAGGTCAAACTTCAGCCTTTTCTCCCGGCTACGATGGATTCAGATAATAACACTGTGGGCTAATGATTGTCCCTACATCCGTGTATGCATCCCAAGTATGTCGAATTCCGGCCCATAGTTGTCTGCGAAGTGTCCCGCAAACGGATCCCAGGGCCCTAGGCCTGGATCTAATGGCTCAGACTCCAACTCAAATTCATTAAATGTAGATCTCATATTGGCTGTAGTATCATATATGGAATCTTCATTATGTTGCGATCCAGTGATTGGAGCGTCGTCTCTCAAGATCAACGTATGGCTTCCCCCTGTGATGTCGTTACTGCCCCATGATTGCATTGATAATTCTTGTTGATTATTGAAACCAGAATCCTGATGGGGAGGGTCACTCCCCTCATCTGATTCAGACTCACGCGGTATCACAGATCCCCTTGAGATCAAGTGGTACTTGTCCTTTTGAGTCTCCTTTCGCTGGTGAAGAGAAGGGTTCGTCGGTTGTGTTAGTCCCAATGTGCGGATGACTCTCCCAATTTCGCGAAGGCACTCTTTCATTCTAGGAAACTTTCCTCGCAGCTCTGGATATACCACGTCCGATGCCCCCTGGAGCTTCTCCCTAATATCGTTAATGTCCCCAAAAGAATTATTTGGCAGAAGCAGATGCTGAAGGTTGTCAATTATTTGAGAAGCCTGGTAGAGTGACACTGCAAAATATATGTCTTTTACTGGCTCATTCTCACACTTTTTGAAGAACTCGGACCAGAAATCGAAAAGTTGGACAATTCGAGTAAGGACACTGTGTTGGCAATATGACACATATTCGTCAGGCGTATCAGTTATCACGTCTCGCGAGACCGACTCGCGGATCCCTGGAACCAGGAATCTGTATAGATCGATGTAGCACTGTAGCCAGACTGTATGAAGACGGATGTAGCCTGAAGAATCTCGAGATTGGGCCATGAGCGATATCCTGCCCGAGTTGAGCTGAATGTCTGCGGGGAGTGACTCCCCAAATATCGTCAGCTCTTTCTCCAGCGCGGAGAGCTCACTCTTGCTCTGTATGGGACACGCTCCTTCTCGACAGATCCTCTTCGTATATCTTCTCGTGATTAGTTCCCTTTATTGCTAATTTGAACTGTGAGTTCCAGGCTCACCTCAATATTCGGTCACGAGATGCATAAATTCGAAGAATGTATGAATACAGATCCATGTCCAAGTGACCTGAGTTTTCTGACTCTTTGTGAAATAGATATTGCGCTCGAGACGGCATGCCACGCTCGAAACTACGATCCTCGGAAGGGAGGCGGAGATGAAGCATTCTACCGACCGGACAGACTTCCAAATCTTCCAGGCCGCCGGAGAAAATACGATCAAAAAGGTAAATGTGCCACATTAATCTTCTTCCAGACTCTTGGGCGATCGGATTGAGTGCGCTACGCTCGTGATTCAGCTTCAGTGTAAATCCCAGCCTAGCAGCTACAGCCAGAAGATTCCACGCCTCGATCGTGTCGCCATTCTCGTAGTGATAGTGAATGATGAGAACAAGTGCCTGGAGTCGTGAAAGTGACAGGGTTCCAAGACGCGACAAAACTACTGCCTGGGCATCGCGGAACCACGATGCAACTCGTTCACGATCTCCGGCTTTGCAGTTCCCTCCACCAAGGCCTGTGGCGCACATGGTCTTGACGAGTACATGGTCAAGTCCACCTCTTTTCCATTCAGCCATGATTGTTGGGGCATGCAGGAAAGTACATTTTGTCGCATCTTTTGAGTCGAAGAACGCTTGCAGGAGAGCCTTCTCCCCTTCATCTCTCGCTCGGAGTTGAATAGGAGGGTCTATTGAGGGGCCTGCATCGTGTATGGTCGGTACACTGGTAACAGGGGTGGGTATGCCGCTCTCTGTATTTATACTTGGCCGGTCATCAAAAACCTGGGCTGATGACTGGGTTCGGGAACTGTGTTCAGTTTGCATCCGAGGAACGCACTCAATGTTCCGAGAAGTGCACCGGGAACAAGGGGTCTCTCCAGAGCATTTCGCTTTAACAGCACGGCAAGGGACACACGCGCAGCGAATCCTACGCCTCTTGATCCCAGCTTCTGTAAGTTGTGTAGCATCGGCGGGCGGATCTTGATCTGCTTCATCCAAAGAGCCTCGGTAGGAACAGGGCAGGGAAAGACGCGAGCAAGGACCACAGCAGTTGCCGAAGCGATCGCATTTCACTTTCCTGGCCCGGCATTGTTGACAGGAATACCGGACATCCAATGGTGCATTTCGCAGCCGGATCTCGTCCGCAGCGGACATGATATGACTCTTAGCTGAAGCGATGGACCTCGAAAGAACGGAGACAGCGAGCGTGGCATGGGATGTCGCTCATATGTGCGCCGTTTTCCGGCTCGGCAGCGACATCCGAATAACATATTGCTTCCTGATTGGGTCCAATCAGTACGAGATCCGGGCCTCGTCTGCGAGCCGATGCCAGTGTCCCACATTTTCCCTCACGACTACGAGACTAGTGGCCAAACAATGGGGGCATATGAAAGTGCATAGGGATCCTAATCTACTATATATCAGTTCTTTTAGCCCGTAGAAACATAGTGAAAGATATGACGCCTACAATGGAAGAAAAAGGACCAAGGAGGTTGCGCAGACCATATGGACGAATAAAGGTGTTTGATTCGTAAAATATATCAAACGGCTCCGTATCAGGTGTCTGGAGAAAAGACTTACAGCTGGCCCGTTGCAGATGAAGTGCCAACTGCGAAAGTATTGGCTCTCTTGCCCACAGCCACACGCTACAACGTCTAAATTTGAAGAACAAGGCTTGCACATTAGGTAGCTAAATCTGTCAATAGACTGCTTAATAAAACACATCAGTTTCACATAGTAGTTTCATCGGAGAGGTCCCCCCCTGTATCATGAAGGTTTACAGAGCTTTTCTTCTGCATGGCTACAGCTCGTATTCACCCTTCGTATTCTCTGTATTGAGATGTCTCATCTGGCATCTTCTCCTGTTGTGTTTTCCTTTTTACTTAAACTCTCACCACGAAGAATTATATCGCACATCAGGTCTTTTTCGAAGAGGAGAAATGCTCGGGCTTTCCAAGATTGTGATTAGCTTTACATGTTGGCGAGAGATGGGAAGTTGGAAGTTGGAAGTGATCATCTCAGTAATTTTAATTTAGAGAGGCAATAAGGGTGGGTTCTTGTTAGACATGACGTGACAAGATGACATTTCTCAAATCCCCAAGATACTCCATAAGGCATTGGGACTACGATCCTTGCCGCTTTTACCCATGAAAATCACTTTTCAAAGATACCAACAAGTTGCTCTACTAATACAAGAAGGGAAGGTATTGGAAGTTGATAAAAATCTCAGAGTTGCTCAGAGATCATATGCCAAACTTCCTACATTCAGCCACTGCCTATCTACTAAGCATTTGAGTAATGAGAATCTCTCTTCAATAGTGGCCCCCAAATGTAACACCGCCACTTACATCAACTGTTACACCCGAGGTGTTGAATTATCATGCACATGCAAGCTGACAAGAAAGTTCGGGCTCTCCGTCGAACTTTTGCAAACAAAGCCCAACGCTCCAATCCATGTGTGCGTATTGGCTTGGACCCGGATGCTCCCTTCCTGTTTAGAGAGACCAAGCCCAGCTGAAAAGTGCTGTGTGATGTGTTGGTTTTGGATACCACCGTGGGTCATCGAAGAGTCCCGGCTAAGTTGTGACAACTGATTGGCTGCACAGCCCCCAGTTAGCTTTAGCTTATGCGATCTGCAGGATCAAGGCAAGCTGAATGTCCAAGATGGGCCGGCCGGGCCGTTGAAGTATTGAATAGATGCCTTACCCTAAGAAGCAGTCGGAGTCCACTCACAACCCTGTCAGCGGCGCAAGCTTGGTAATGACTACTGATTTGCCGATGTTCGAGGCGCTCTTCTGCCTTGTCCTTGGTTGCCAATAGTGGAAATATCTTCACTAGATCTCACAATCCCCACCAATAGTCTCTTTTGTATCCACGCTACTCTTATCGTGCAACGGAAGGAGGTACGAATCCAAGTATATAAGATGCGTTGATTTTCTTCTTCAATATTATGCTGTTCACTCAACTTCATTCTATCCAGCCTTTAACAATTCCTTCTTTATAACCCTGCTTTAACCCTGCTTTCTTATCCACAACAATGGATTATCAGCCAACTTGGAGCGGCTGTGCGCTGGACAAGGTGTGCTCGCCTATACACCCACTGAATAAATCGCTTCCAGATAAATTCAGACCCGATAGCCCAACCCAGTCTTGGAGTCAAGACTATCAAGAACCCAAGACTGGATATGTATCCCCTTCCTTCTCCAACAACTACAAAGAGGCACGACGGTTGGCAGGTGACGGTAGCCTGAAGACTTTGATTCAGTTAAGAGATGTCTCCTCAACATATATCAAGTCACTATCCACCTCCATGGGGGCTTCAGAACTATCATCAAACAAGAGCCTAGTCAAGCTCCGCTTATCAGATGACCTTAAACGCTGGAAGGGCGAGCAGCATCAATTGGGTAGGATCCTGCCTGCCAAGGGAACAGGTCTCAAGCGGGCTTCTGATGAGGTCCTTGAGATCCTCGGGGCTTCCAAGTGGCCTGAACCACTCATCACGAGGTGTGCTCTGTGGGGTAGCGTCTTCTTCAACATGTGCATTGGCGCGTATGACGCCCCGTCCATGTTCTCAAACGCTGTTACCGACATGGCATTCTTTCGTGAGCATGGCTACCACCACGTCTTCCCTGAGTTTGACAGCCTATTCAACAGCGCCATGTATGATCAGCATGCTCTCCAAACACCTGGAGGTACAGAACGCCGGGCAGCAGTCGCCATCGGCGTCCAGTACATCAACGACAAGATCGTTTTTGAGGAAGAAAATCAAGCCAATCTGGAGGGGCTCTCGGCGAAGATGAACCGGCAAACAATGCAGACCGTTTCACTATTCGAGAGTAGCCTCCTTGGCTTGGTTAGCGAGGCGATCTTTCGTGGCTCCGACCCTGCAGCAGTCATGAATGACATGGTCCTGTCCTGCCCAGCCACCGACGTTGTCGACGTGGGCTCTGATCTGGTCAACTCCGAGGTCATGAACTCTTTCCTGAATACCGCCGACATTTACGAGGCCGGCATCGTGACTGAAGAAGCGCTAAGGCGAGTGTACAATGCATACGCACACGCTGGCGCCCGGACCTTGGCTGAGAGATGGTGGGAGCCCACTGCCCAGATGTTAGCGCTTTTGTATCAGTGGCATATCGTAAACCACAGGCACAACTTCTTACGGCGCGCTGTATTAGGGTACTGCAAAGTACAGCCCGAGCTATCTAACCAACGCGAAGCAGACATGGACGAAGCGTTTAACGAGAACCTTCACACAACTGGCTTCAGCCGTCCCTTGAAGGACGCCTGCAACGGGGCAGACACGTGCGACACAGTCTCGCATTTCCTTGAACACAGCAAGAACCCATCTTTGATTCGCCACCTGTGGCAGTGCTTGGTGACTGATCCCCTGGAGTACGTGAGGAAGGGGGAGGTTGACGGGTCCCGTGAAGCCGAGCTAGAAGAGGCCCTGCAGCTTGCCCTGGCCAGGACCTACACAGAAGGCTTCACTCTGGAGCTCTGCTGGATCATGGCACATGCCGGACACCATGCTTGGCAGATTAACCGGATGTACGAGGCAGCCATGTTTGGCAGTCTCCTTGACAGCGAGGCCCTGGCGGGCAAATTAGATAGAGCCGAGGCCTAGACATTATTTATGATTTCCTTTCTTCAGTAGAATATTCTCCTTGCACAATTAGATTCAATAAAGAGATGTTGATCGTCGCGCTCTTGATAAGTTTAGTGTTATTAACGAGAATATGTATTTATAGGGGTAACTCGTTAAGCTGAAATCGCTCAGTTCCCTGTTCGCGTTGGTGCCCAACATGAGGACTCCTTATCTACCTACTCAAAGTCTTCCCGGCATCAAAGGCTTATTTGTGTTTCATCGAGCACATCATGGCCAGCAACGGCCCAACATCAAACCAGTTAGTATGCCAAGCGTGTCGTGGCACGGTATTCTCAACCAAGGCATGGCAATCCATAATGGTGGACAGCGAAGCTTCCGATAACCCAAAGGGGGGCGGTTACACATACACTGTGGCCTGGTCAGCGATCAAGAATGCCGCCGGAGTATGCAATTGGTGCAGACTACTACCGAAGCGACAAGTTGAGGGTGCGGCACAGGTAACCGTCAGATATTACAAAGACAATGGATACACACCAGTAGGAGACAAGCTTCTCACGGTCGTTGTGAAAGACTTGAAAGACGGCAGCACGTTCATGACTGATGAACTGCTTTTATATACAACGAGAGGTACGCGTTTCTGTTGAATCTCCTAGGGGATTTCTAATAAAATTGAACAGATGATGAGGCCGCAAGCATGATCAAGGCTCGGGACCGTGTCACGCATCTTTGGACAGAGGAAGCGTTTAGCATGGCAAAGGCATGTATCGACAATTGTGTCCGAGAACACCGAGCCAGCTGCCCTCCTCTCCAGAACATGTCCATCTTGCCCGATAGGGTCATTGACTGCGCCGATACCAGCAACCCCAAAATTGTTCTTACTGACGGGCAAACCTACGGACCATATATTACATTGAGCTACGTTTGGGGCGGGCCGCAGCCCATGTTGACGACAAATAATGTCGGCAAGTACACAACGGATGGCTTCAAAATAACGGAATTCCCTCAGTCAATCCAAGATGCTGTCACTGCTACCAACAAGATCGGTCAGCGCTACCTGTGGATTGATGCGCTATGTATCCTTCAAGACTCGCCCGACGACAAGACTGTCCAACTCGGAAAGATGCACGCCATCTACAAGAACTCGTACATCACCATCAACGCTGCTAGCGCAAGTAGTACGCATGAGGGATTCCTACATCAACCGCGGCCTCAAAGGGAACCTCGTACTGTACTCCCGTTCCCCTGCGCGAATGGCAAGACCGGCACCATGTATGTCGCATATGACATCCTCTCTAGGAAAAAGGATGGGCCGGAGCAGACATACTGGGACGAACTTGAACCCATCACCAATAGGGGCTGGTGTTACCAGGAAAAGATACTCCCCGCAAGAAGTCTAGTGTTTGCATCCGACACGCTCAAGTACTATTGCCAGACGGAAACGGTAAACATCGGCGGAGCGTTATGCGAGGAGAGCACGGGGATGCGTCTGCCGCGCGGAGCATATCTCTCTGACTCGGCAGATCATCAGCTTGATGCGGTTCAGCTCCGTCAGTCCTGGCTCGCGGCTCTGTTTCAGTACACTATGCGCAGTGTCACGGTCCCCTCTGACAGACTGCCGGCCTTTGCTGCCGTCGCAGAGCTTTTCAGCATCCTGAATCAGGATCAGTACCTTGCCGGCCTGTGGCGAAAGACGCTACTACTTGACTTGCTCTGGAAAGCCGATGACAAGTGTGACAGACCAAAGACTTACAGAGCGCCATCTTGGTCATGGGCGTCGGTGGATGGACTAGTCAGTGGTGAGTGGCGATTGGACGAATTAGCCAAGCCGGGCAATAAAAGTGATGCTGAGGCTCTGAGGCTTGCAACGGTCGTCGATTGTCAAGTTGCAGTTGCGAGTTCAGTAGTGCCTTTTGGCGAGGTCACGGGAGGACTATTAACTTTGAGGGGATTGCTATTTAGAGTCCATTTGGATGAATCATCTGGGGAGAAAAGGCTCACTTTTGAGTCTAGTGGCAATCCCAGAGATGCTGGAGCTATATGGATGAAAGCTGACACGACTGAGAGTTGTAGTGATGAGGTTTATGCCGTCCCTCTCATGTGGAATATTCGTGGGTCATCCATGTTTGGGTTGATCATAGTCCGAGACAGCGGCATGGACTTGTGGCGAAGAATCGGTAGATTTTCAGGGAAAGGTCGTTCAATGGATCTGGCTTGGATAGATGCTATCCCAGGGCAGGAGATTCAGATTGTGTGATGTAGCCTTCTCGACAGCGTCAGCAAGCACAAGTAAAAAGGACAATAAAGCAGTGTTTATAATTAAAGCATGTCTCAAATCTGCCGGACAATCTGTTTTTGCTTTCTGTGATCTATCATAAATTACGAGTGACAGCTCTCTTTCTGATTAATCTCCACAGGATATGCAAGTTACTATCAACGACCAAATTGGAAGCATTGTGCGTTTCCTTCGGTGCAACTACTGATATATCTTGCGAGTGATTCCGTAGTTAAGTTTGAATAAAGATGGTCTTTCTCATGTGAGATGGATGGTTGGTGATGTCTCGAAGAAACATGTGACTTTATCTCGCTATGAACCCCTGCTTTCTTGAGCTCGCTATCTAGATCATCTTCTATCACATTCGGTATCGCCTCGGGACTAAGTGTATATTTATTATCTAATTCCTCAAGTATAATACATCGGATACACAGACAGGTGATGTCCTCAAACAACATTTTACTTCTAGGGTGAGTTCTGAGGCTGGGTTGGGAGCTCAACAAAACGCCTTGGGGCCGATAATTCAAATCTTTCACCGTCGTTTATCAGCTCCGGGGGATATTTAGCCATTGTCGATGAATATGGTGACTGATCATATGCCGGTGAGTATTCCATTTGGGAGTGCTGAGACCGTGGTGAGTGTTTCTTCTTCCGAAGTAGGAAGAAGAGGAGTGCGGCGATAGCTGCAATCCCAGCTACTCCGCCAACAACAGCCCCAGCAATAGCCCCGGCTGAGAGCGGCATGGTCTTGTCTTGGTCAGGCTCAGACGAGGTGTTGTTGCTTCCTGTTTCTTTCTCGGAAAATAAATCTTTAACTCCCTCCGAAAATGCTACTTTGGCCAAGTTCCTATTGTTTGATTCCTGTCAGCAAATCGATATGATCCTCATTCCTGCACTAACTGCATCGGAGATTATAGAAACCTACCCTGCCCGATACCATTTGGTTACGACTTCAGGAGTCTCATACTGACCAGCGTCAGGCGTGTATTTAGTCTTCCATTCCAACGCAGTCATGTCAAAAATTCCCAGTCCTTGCGAATTCATATCAGTGGTAGAGTCGTTTCCCGAGAACTTGGCCCCGCCTACAACAATCATATTGCGGTTGCCAGCGGCTACGCATCCCATCTCGATGCGCGATTGCTCGCTGGTTGCCCCTGTGTTTACCCAATTGAAGCCAGGGAGGGATAGAATATAGACATCACTGTTTTTATTCCCTTCACTTGCACCACCGTAAACGAAACTTAGTTGCTGTTAGCACAATCTTGAGCATCACGACACCACTCATCCCATGAAGGGTCGACACTTACATTTCAGACGAGTTGCTTCCGGTGACTCCAACTGCACAGTGGCCGATACGCGGCGTGGGGACCTGTCCTGTTGTCTTCTGCTTGTACCACTTCAGGGTGACGGGGTCGAGGAAATGTACAGTCTCAAGCGAGATCTCCTCGCTTCCTTTTGGCACCGTCACCCCCTGGCCGCCCAAGAGCATTATGATACCATTGGGGCCTACTCCGGGGAGGTATGTCGCGGTGGCATATACAAGCGTTCCCCTGGGGGAAAAGGGGGCATCCGTGTGGTTGGTCCATATCTTTGTGGTGAAGTTGAAGGACACAAAGCCAGGAATATTGAGCTTGGAAAGGCCGTCGTGAGTCTCCGGTGTTCCCTGGCCCCCAAACCAGAAGCCTGCATCTTTGGAGCTGGTGAACGCACCAGCTTCTGAGCGTATGATTGCATTGAAAGAGGGGTCTGCCTCCTCGGTAGCCCAACTACCTCCACCATTCTTGTTGGCAGTAAACTTCCAAAACTTCAGGGGTGGAGGGTCGCTAATGAAGAAATACCGCCCTCCCCATATATAAAATGCTCCGGCTGCATTATCGACGAACATGGCGTGTTTCCATAGGGATGGGATGTTATTCGAGCTCTTGTCAGAGCTCCGGAAAGATGCCTCCTGGGGAAGCCAAGGGGTGGTGAGATCGAGCGAAAGCGTGTTTTTTACTTTAGATAGGCCCAGTTAACGACGAAAGCTACAAATTGATACATATGAGTAATAGTCACCTGGCCATGCGTTGCTGACGCCTTTCTCAGAGACGATTCCGCCATCCAGATACACCTGGCCATTTAGTACACCAACTGCAAACCCATTAGTGACTGAGAGGAGTTGACGACAAGATCTGGGGAAGGAAGGCTCCCCATAGTGGCTTACCTCTAGAATTCACTCGTCTTTCGAAGTTAGTGGGTAGAGGAACGTCGCTTGCGAGGCATCTCGACAGAAGCAGTGCTATCAGCAGTATCAAAAGGCGTTGGGATGCCATGATAGACGACGCACCAGCTGGTTGAGAATACAAATATTGACGCTTGTCAGCCCGTCCAACTCGGGTACGCAAGGTTCATCAGTATTTATGGTTTTTTTAGGGTTAAGTAAGTAAGGCAGACATCGAATGGGGGCCGGGCGTATGCTCAGGCACTCGCCTGAAACAACCATCCAAAGTACCATCACCACATCATGCCCCATCCCTCATGCAGCGCAGACACCACGGGAAACAAGTTAGCCAGACACTTCTTGCAAACGCTCTCTACCCGCATAACATAACATCTTTCTCCATCAGTCGACCCAGCCTTTAGTTCAGCTATGTTTGTTCAAAATCAGCCCACAAACTCATGGCTGACCTTGGATATAATTCTGAATAAAGCCATAGACCGCCCCAATGTCAGATCTTGGCTGCATATGCATATTGTATTCAGCTCAAGGCTGTGAGCACGAAAGATCCAAGAAGACAATTTAACCCCTGTTTAATAATGCGACTCTGACACGTTTAGCAAAGACTTCGTTTTCGGACCAACCACTGCCGTGAATGAAACCACGCCACAACAAGGGTGACAAATGGATTTTCAGCCCTACCCAACTCATTAACATGAATAATAATTACTAGTGAGACTAATTTCAATGAAGACTTCAACTCCGCCACTGCTGTAGGTTCAAGTACTTGGCAGCTTACAGTGGGACTGCTTGTGGCATTTGTTATTAAAAATAGCGAGTATGGCACCAAAACCAATATGTCAATCAATTTCAGGGAGTAAATGAAGTTACAGTCCAAAGGACTTGACTGAATAAGATCCCGACGATAATGCAAACACCAGTAAGCCTCGAGTGTTGATACACAGTTCTAAGTATAGGGTAGTTAGACGCAGCAATTGCGTAGCCCCACCAAATGAGGCACTGAAATGTTGCCCCGCGTCGCCCCTCAACAACATAGACGCGCTCCTCAAGGCTTCCCAAAAAAAGACTTCAATCTTTCTGCCAGGGTCGAGTCCTTCCAACAGTCAGCTTCGCACCGCCCGTGCACGTCCGCTGCAGCAATGGTCTTCACAATGCACTCCCACTCCGGGCAGTTCTGCCCGGGCCACGCCAAGGACCAGCTCGAGGACATCGTCAAGCATGCCATCTCCATCGGCTACACCACCATGGCCCTGACCGAGCACATGCCGCGCTACGAAGAGCAGGATCTCTACCCCGAAGAGGTCCGCCGCCCTGCCACGCTCCTCCTGCCCACCCGTCTGCCTGCCCAATCGATCCCCCGACTGACTCTAGGGCTGGTCCCCCTCCCGCAGAACAGGTCGACGATCCCAACGCCCTCGCCGTCCTCCCGCCTCGCCACGAAGCCTACCTCGTCGAGGCCCAGCGCCTCCAGGCCCTCTACGCCCCGCAAATCCACATCCTCATCGGTTTCGAGGGCGAGTTCATTCGCCCGGCCTTCACCGCGTACGTCCAGAACCTGACGACCCCCGCCGTCATCGACTTCTTCATCGGCTCCGTCCACCACGTCCACAGCACCCCTATCGACTTCGACCATAAGTACTACGCCGCTGCCGTCGCCGCTGCGTCCCCGCCTACCGAGGAGCAGCTGTACGAGGACTACTACGACCTGCAGCACGAGATGCTCAGGTCGCTGCGGCCGCGCGTCGTGGGCCACTTCGACCTCATCCGCCTGATGAGCGAGCAGCCGGGGAGGGACGTTAGGAGCTGGCCGGGCGTCTGGGCCAAGATCGTGAGGAACCTGAAGCTGGCCAAGGAGGTTGGCGCGTGGTTGGAGTGTAACAGCTCCGCGCTGAGGAAGGGCCTGGACGAGCCGTACCCTTGCCGGCCGATTGCTGAGGTATGGCCCATCTTGTTGGCGCCTTTTCCATTCTATTTCTTGTTGGGATTGATGGCTAATTGACGTTCGTGTAGGAATGGATCAAGATAGGTGGGAAGTTCACCATGTCTGACGACAGCCACGGCATCGCACAAGTAGCGACAAATTACTCCCGCGCGCTCACGTACCTAAACAGCCTCGACGTCAAGGAAGTCTGGACGCTCCGCCGAGCACCTCACCCCGGCACCAGCGGCGACGCAAAGAGCAAGTTGGAGGACGTCAGTGTTCCGCTGACTGCGTTCCAGCAAGCTTTCCCGTTCTCATAGAAGAGAGTTAAATGGTATAGAATCGTGAAAAAATAGAATGAAGAAAGAAAGGAAAGAAAGGAGAGGAACGAATGCGGCGTACTGGCTTAGCTCTACACTCTACACTTTTCGAAACAGGTTGGTCTTTTCTATCTCGCTGGTGATTCACTTCCCCGGGATCGTAGAATATCGGCCTCTTATCACCAATTGCCCAGAATTCTCCAGGGCTAGGCGCGCCTCATCGTTAGCAATGGGCTTGCGATAGCTAATCTGTAATTGTAAACTGTAGAGTGATGTCGTATTGGAAGCTGCATCATACAACTGTTCTGCTGCAAAGAACACTTCTTGCACATAAGTGATTGGATCCCAAAAATAAAAATCATCTATTTCACTGAAACACGAACGGAAAATTAATTATCTGACACCTGTAAAAAATAGACTTCAAAGGCAAAACGAAGACAAGATCGAACCAGAACAATTGCGCGGCTGTCCGACAAAAATAAACACGACATGCGCCCCTAGGTAAAACAGAAAGGGTATCACGCGAGCAGAGCGAGCCTGGCCGCACTCGAAGAACGAATGAGAAGCAAACCCATAAACTCCTTCCAACAAAACCTCAGCGCCCAAAAACGAGTGTAAAATGTGAAATAGCCCCAGCAAGTCAGATATGAGGGGGGGAATAAACAGTGACGACGAAAATGACAAACATGTAGATCAGAAAAACCCTTGTTTCTCAGGTATCGCTCCATAATCTATCATGGACAGTTGGCAGAAAGTACCTAAGAAGCCTCTTGGTTGATCGGGGTCAGGGAGAGATCGTCAAGAAGCGATTTACCCACTTCCATGCTTTCCCTCATCAGCCGGAGGAGCTCCGTTCTTAGGTCGGGGAGCGAAGGGAATGCTTCCGGTCTTGTATGTGAAGAGGTTGCTTCTTGCGGGTATGGGAGTCCCTGCCGGCGTGTTCGCCGATGACGTGGGTACGTTCGGTGGAAGCCATGTCAGCGGCTCGGATTGGACCGCAGCCTTGGGTGCTGGTCCTTCAGGTTGGTATGCGATGAACACATCGGCAGGGTCACTGCTAGCCTGGATCGCTACCTGGGGCAGATCAGGCGATGGAGTCTTGTGAGGTGGTAAGATACACGAGTCATCCGTTCCGTAGGTGGTTGATTTTGAATCATGGTCCAAGAGCCCTGGCTCAGAACTGAGATCAGGCTCTTGCTTGATGATGACTGGACCTTGGCGATCTAGCGCCCACTCATTGGTAATGGCAGGCTTTGGGGATTCTGTTGGGACAGTTGTTGGTGAGATGGGAGGCGATGAAGGCATATCAACCTCAGTGCTGAGCGCTTCCGCTAATGATGGTGCGGCTGGAGCTGGCCCAGCGGCGTTGGTGTTCGCTTTTTCAAGCCGGGCACGTTCCCGAGCCTCCTTTTGTGACTTTGTGATCAAATTAATCTTGATCTTCTTCATCCCTCGGGTAATATTGTCCAGATCATCCACGGTTGTCGGAGGCTTTCGAGGCTCGGTGGCTGGCACCTGCTTGTCGATAGGTGCAGTCGTCGCCGTCTTGCTTGCACCCCGTGCTGTACGTGTATTGCCAGCTGTCCTCCTAGGTGTAGCTGGTACTCGTGTCTTTTTGGAGGCTAAATCAGTCGAGCTCTGCGACCGGCCAGAGGCGGCGAGATCAGGTCTTGTGGTCATGCTCGACTGAGGCGCTGCCTCATCCGTAGCGGTGCCGATGGCAGAGATACCACTAAGCCGTCTGCTAGCTCTTCGGGCACCTGCTGCTTTTGACTCGGTTGCAACAGCAGTGGTTGCCTGTTCATTCTGTCAGTTTCTCTCTCTTATCACTATTGAAGGGATGGGGTCATTTACGGTTTCCGTCGCTGGGGTAGATGTCGCTAGAGTTTTCCGTCGATCTTTGGCGGATACTGCCTCACTCACTTGGGAGCTTACCACTCTGGGCTTCCTCCCGCGCAGATTCATTTGTGATCTAGGTCGTTCAGGCGTACCAACCGGTGTGGCTTTAGGCGCGGTGGATTGACGTGCCTGGCGTTGCCTGGTAGCTTCAGCATTGAGGTCTTCAGGCTTGCAGCTATCAGTCTGTCGATCAGATGGGATCAAAAGCTTCGACAGCTCATGGGCAGCAATGTGCCAAGGAACCTCAGGCGGGGGCGGCGAGACTGGCCTGGTGTGGCTTTTGCTCGATAGACCCGACAAGCTTCGGCGCATATTGGCAGGGTCAACGACCTTGGCCACGGAGGCCTGTGTAGGAGATGAGTAGGTTGAGAGCGAAGGTTGCCTTGGTTTCTGGGGGACCTGGGGCGGTGCTGCTATGAGGTTATCTATGATATCCAACGAGGAACTAGCCCACCAAGTTGGATCATAGGGAGGAGTGGTGGTGGACTCGTTCTCTGTATCGTCATTTTCAATGGATGTCAAGCGAGGAGCAAGTCCTAGTTCGGGAGCAGCAATGCCGAGGCCGTCTGAGGCGGTCTGCATTTTCGCATCACAGCTGGGTGCAAAGCCACACAGGTGACTAAAGACACCCGAAAAGAGTGCTCTATCGCTGTATCCCCCCTCCAACACGCTGATGACACGACCATCAACACCCAATCCTTCCTCCGAAGCGAGCTTTACGACATCCCGGGACAGTCTAGCATAGAATCCAGTGGGGACGTTCACCGTGTGTCGCTGCATCCCAGCGCTCTCCCACTCGCTGGCATCAAATCCTGCTGAAAAGAAGATGGCTGCCTTGGGGGTTTGCTCTAGCTTTCTAAGTCGCTGGGCTTGGTTTCTGAGGTAGTTGCGCGCCTTGACCAGCAGAACAGAGTACTTGGTCTCATACAGGTCCCAAAATTCCTGTTCGGAATCCCACTGCTCTAGGTGCACATTCCATATGGACTGGCCGTGGGCGTTGTCAATACACAGGCTTGCATTCTTGACTTTCTCTTCGTCGCCTCCTTCGCAGGGATAAGAATTGATATCATGAAGACTGAAATAACCAATCGATGACTTTTTCCAAGCCATGGCGTTCTTTGTAGCTAGATTGGCACGAGCATTATGCTGCCATGTGATTGACTGCGATCCATCGCCGTGATGTAAGTCAAAATCGATAATGGCGGCGTGGGTAAGTCCGTGGTTCATAGCAGCATGCATAATACCGACATGTACATTGTTTACCCAACAAAATCCAGACGGGTGCGAAGCAGAGCAGTGGTGCCCTGGGGGACGCACTCCGACAAAGGCTCTTCGAGGGCCATTCTCGTTGAAGACTGTGTCGATTCCCTCGCACACCGCGCCTAGAGCCCCTTCGAATGCATTGAGGGACTCTGAGCAAAGGTACAGATCGCCCTCGTGTAGCTTTTCGGGGGTTGGCTCGTCGGCCGTCCGTGTGCTCGTCCTGCTACGAGGACGACGCTGTAACTCCTTGCCACCTGCTGCCAGTCTGCTCTCTGCCATGTCGCACATGCCCTTGAGTTCGTCCATCCACTTAGTTCCATGCACATTTGTCACGGCTGGCGATAGGATAGATAGCTTCCGATCGGTCTTCTGAATGCGGAAGGGTATGCTTGATACCTGCTGAACCTCGCGCTTGGGGGTCAGGGCTTGGACTCCATCGGCATGACGTTCTCCTAGCCGCACATAAGCCAGTGATATGCCCAACATGGCCGCCTTTATACGTTCTGGCCGTTCGACAATCGTACCGAGGACGCCTTTAGATGTTCGTGGTCGGGAGAATCGATGGCCATAGACGGCGTCATTGACGATGACCACGGTTTCTGCGGAGAGAGTCGGGGCTGGCCCATGGATGGTATTCAGCTCAGCCTTCAAACAATCATTGGCAATGCTGGCAGGTGTTAGAGGAAGTTTCGGAGGCAAAGGGGCATCGCCCGAGGGTGACAGTGTTTGGTTGGAACTCGAGCGTCGCAAAGGGGGATATGAAGTAGCAGAAACACCATTTGCGGAATGTAATGAATTCATCGACGCCTTCCGATGCAAGTTTGGCGTTGAAGGATTCCGCATTCGATTATTCGGGCCGGCTGAGGGGCTTCGGGAGGGGACTCGCCCACGAGGAGCGGGGGATTGGGACGAGCGTCGAGAAGGGGGCCCTAGGGGGGTCCTCGGCTCCTTGAGGAGCGGCGACTTTGGAGCGGGATCATGGGATATAGAAAGCTTTTCGAGGGACCGAGCTAGATCATTGTCCTGTGCCGGGGCGGTCGTGGTGTTTGTGGTTGTTTTCTCGAGCCTCGAGGGCTGCGGCGCATCGCCTGTCGATGCCATGATGCGGACGTCGCAGCGAAGGTCATGAGAAAGGAGAGGGTTGCCCGGCAAAAAGAAAGAGTAACGAACTCTTCCAAGGCAGTGTCGCCTCTTTCAAAATATCTCTCTTCAATGTAGACACTTGGGAAATGGCGAGAGAGTAATCGCAGATTTGTTGTTGTGGTTGATTAAATAGAGAGGCACCGCAGATGACGGCGCTATGCACAATGACCGTGTCACTGGGGAGGTTTGTTTGGTTTTGGGCGAAAGAAAACATCCCCCACCATCGCTCTTTTTTAGTGGGTCAAGCTGGTTAACGGTCGCGTCACAGTGGGTGAGATGTGCTGTGGGCGTGACGCGAAACGGCACGTGCCTCCATTCTATTGCTTCATGCATACACTCTGAAAGGCAGCTATTTGTTTGAGAAATGTACATGAAATGATGCTAGTGGCTGATAGCCGGTATTCCAAAGACAAAATACCGCCAATGACGCAGCCTTGCCCATTCAATCCCTCGCTGTTTCATCACCAGGCACCTTAGCCATTAACCTTGTCTCCGTTTTTAGTGGGAGCGTCTTAGACGTCACTGCACGTTCGTGACCAAAACAGGACCATTCTGTATCGATAGCTGACTCAGCAAGATGGCCCCAGCAACCTGACCTATCCCAGTTCGGCTTGTTGTGGGGGTGTTATTTTTCAGACTCTGGAGAGCTTCAACAAACGAGCATCAGAGCCAACACACCCACATTGTACGGAAGCCAGACCTCTTGCGCATCGCCGCTCCGCCCGGCTCTACGATCAATCTGGTTTCTAGAAAATAGAAGTGGCGCGCGACTTCTCTCTAACGGCATAGGTTTCAGATTAGGGCCTCCAAGCCCCGTCGCGACGCCAATCAGCCTCACGCGGCTCTGCGCATCGCCAGAGGGACATAGTTGTCGTGGGCCTTGCAGGCACCAGCACTCCTGTCGCAATGTCCTACAATCAATACGGCCGCAGTGAGTAATCCCGTGATGGGTCTTTGTTATTTTGATTCTGTTGGTTACTGACACCTCACAGGCCACCAGTACGGCGCGCCACCCGGCTACGGTGGCTATCCAGGCGGCAATGCGCCTCCTGGTATGGGAGGACCTCCTGGTCCAGGTTCGCAGCCCCTTCATCCCCTTTCGAATTATCTTTTTCTTGCGAGAGTGCTAACTGTTGTGAAGGAGGACCACCTCCTGGCATGTCTTCCGCCCCAGGCATGTCCCACCCTCCCGGGATGGCTCCCCCTCCGGGACTCCATCAGTATAACGCACCCCAAACTAATCGACCAAGTGGCCTTCCCCCCAACTTCCAAGCGCCCCCGAACATGCCGAATATCAACTTCAACGCGCCCGTGATTCGCCTCGGGACGGCTGGGCAAGGCAAGATGAACACGCCGACGCAGGAACCCGATAGGCCATCGCATGGTGGTTCTGGGCGACCTGGACTGGGCATGGAGAGGGGCGGCCAAGACCAGGGCAGGCAGGCTAAAGAGGCACCTCAGGTTCTTATCCCCCCCACGAGCGAGGAAAAACTACGCACAATTTTTCTACATCAATTACCTGAGAGTCTTAGCGTTGCTGGCGGTGTCGAGAAGGTACTTGGTGCTGTCGGTAAGCTGAGGCGCTGGGATCCATTCCCAAGTGTATTAGACAGCTCGAAGCCTTCTACTTTCGGATTCGCCTTGTTCGAGGATGCCCAATCACTGTCGACAGCAATCAAGCTACTTCACGATGAAACCGTCTACGTACCTACCAAGCGGCAATCATCGACGTCTACCGAAAGTCCAGAGGACGACACCTACGAAGAATTTGAAAAAACCAAGGTGGAGGTTGCAGTCGACCCAAGCACGAGCAAATACATCGAGTCATGGGAAGAGGAGAACACGAATGGCGAAGAAAGGGAACAGCGCCTGGCAGCTGCTCGTAGCGCTCTGAAGACCGTTGTCAAGGAGCTCTTCTACCCTCCAGTTGGGACTAGCGTTGACGCTGAGGGTGATGTCGCTATGAAGAACCAGGAGAATGGGGAAAACGTCGAGATTGTCAACATTAACATCGCCCAGGATGACGAGTTGGCAGACATTCCCGCGGAGATGCGCGAGGTTGTCTCTCAAGAAATAGCGGCTTTCCGAGAGCGAAGCATACAGCGGGATATGGAGAGACTGAAGAAGGAGGAGGAGATGGAGGAAATGGAACGACAGCGAAGCGGTGCTGGCACACGACCATCCCGCCTGGCATCACCACCTGTCGGGGCAGGAGCCAACTCTATGCCCTTGGGTCCCAGAGGTGTCCCCAATGCCCCTCTCGGTCCAAAGGGCCAGAACAGCAATGGCCGGGTCGCATTTGTCAACGGGGGAATCAGCAACACCGAGTACAGCGTGAACCAGGACGACGACGATACAGATGCTGACGACGAAGAGCTTTACCGCCGATATCAATCCAAGCAGAAAGCCGAGGCCGACAAGTCCTATCTCGAAGCCGAACGAAAATGGGCCAATCGCGAACGATCGAGGCAGGCAGCACTAGAGCGTGAACAGGCCCGAGAGAAGCAGGAGGCTGAGTCGCTCGAGCGCCGGAAGGAAGAACAGCTTGAGCGCGAAAAGTCGTGGGATGATGAGCGGGAATCAAGCCGAAAGTCGCACCCTTACTACCGCGACCATGCAAACTGGATCAGAAAGCGTGCCATGGATCGTGGCGACGAAGAGTCTCGGGATGAGAGCGACCGTCGCGCAGAGCAGGACGAGAAGAGACGTGAACAGGCCAATGCAGATCGGGCCCGGGGTATGGCAGACTCCTTCCTCGAACAGCAAGCCCAGGAGCTCGAACAGCAACAGCAGACAGAGTCTGCGCCCCAGCCATTCAAGCTTTCTTTGGGAGCAGCTGCTCAGAAGGCCCAGGCTTCACGTGGAGGAGCACAGCGACGAACAATCGCCGAGGTTGAGGGTCTCCTGGATGACGAGGAGGCTGACACGTCCACCAAGCGGCAACTTATTCCAATCCAGTTTGAGCCCACGTCCGGCTCAGCGGGCATGACGGACGAGGAGATCTCGCAGGCTGTGCGTTCGCTCGCCCAGGAGATCCCGTCGGATAAGGAGGGCCTGTGGAGCTGGGAGGTCAAGTGGGACTTTATGGACGACAGCGTGATCCGGAGCAAGCTGCGGCCGTTTGTGGAGAAGAAGATTGTCGAGTATCTCGGTGTGCAGGAGGAGATGCTGGTGGAGACGGTCGAGGACCACCTCCGCAATCATGGAACCGCGTCGGCTCTTGCCGATGAGCTTGAAGGGGTAAGTTCATGTGCTGTCTACGATTATGCACTGTTTTACTGACTTGGTTACTAGGCTTTGGACGAAGAAGCCGAGGACTTGGTGAAGAAGCTCTGGCGCATGGTGATTTTCTTTACCGAGTCAGAGAAACGAGGTCTGCCTGCATAGGCAGATGGTTATAGACGAGAAGAGGTGCAGGACAGTGAGAAACAGATTGCAGTGTGTTAGCCATTCTATTTGGCTTGGAGAGGAGGAGCGCAAGGCCCGAGCTGGTCGGATTATGTGTAGTAATATTCTTGTCAGTATATACAGTCAAGGCGGCGTTGGAGGCTGAGGAAGTCCTGTTTGATGCGTTTGAGAAAAGTACAAGGGTTGAAGGGTCGATGGGATGTTGGCGGTGAGATCATCTTTATTCCGGTATTCGCCAATGTAAGCTCATGATTCTTCTCTTACCTGTTTCTCATCGATCTCTATAAGATCTCTGCCCTCCCACATTCCGAAGTCAGATCTGGTGTCTCCGCAGGGTAGCACTGTTGATGGTTTGAGGGGCTCGAGTCGGTGTGTTACATCCGTAATGCTACACTAAGCCAGCCCGTCAAACACTCCCTAACCTAATCAAGCGAACGGAGAAGAGATTTCGTGTTGCAATCACGACGGACATGGTAAAGAAATGGCTGGGCTCGGGAACAAGGTGCTGACAGACCTACACTAAGATCGCATCGAGTATGGCCGGCTTCATTCCAGATGCTGCAGCTCTCGCTAACACTTTATGTAAGCTTGGTAATTCAGCTGTCAGCCGCTAATTGATCCCTCTATCCCATTAGACAGGCACATCCACTGCACTAATGAAGGCCTCCGGGAGGGGACACGATGCTTTGGCTCTGGCCCGCCCTCCTCGCTCCTCCGCCATGATTCCCCTCTCCTTCCCTCGGGAGGGAATTTCTTTTAGATTGAATTTATGGTTTGTCAAGCTTAAAGTGAAGATTAATAAGAGAGGGGACCGTTGCGTCAAGGGCCCCATAGGCATATATATATCTATATATACAGACACACTTGGCTGTGCTGCTTCTCCCACCTTGGCACTCTATCCACTCCCACATCTAATCTTGAGGGCCAAGAGATCGGATCCCCAGATATTTCCTTGGCTTACACTCATCGCCTGTGCCAAGGGCCGCCAAGATGAACTGCAACGAGCTCCAGGAGGCCAACGCGGCGAGCTGCTATCTGATCAAGCAGCCGCGGGCCCTGCAGTGGTTCTACAAGGGGCGTCTGGTTAAAGGAGAGGGTGAGCGGCAGGCTGGTCGCTTCGAGCTGTTCCTCGATCTTCTCTGTACGTGCTTTTTGTTCACATCTCCATACTTACAACATCACACCCCTGCACGATGGACTAGATCTCAACCAGTGGGTGAGAGAACCAGATCCCCTCACAAAAGAGCTAGTAAACATGGTCAAAAGAGATAGCTGGCATGACGATTGATGACCAAGAGGGAGAACTAAACCACAGAATCTATACTGACCCTCCCAGACGTCGCCATCGTCGCGAGCTTCAGCGATGAGCTGGCAGAGCACCCCGACGGCCTCCATCTGGCCAAGTACCTCCTCATCTTCACGCCGGCATGGCACATCTGGGCGGACCTGCGCGAGATCATGAACTCGTACTATACCGACGACCTGCTGCAGCGCCTCGTCATCCTCTGGGTCATGGCCCTACTGGTGCTCTACGCCAACAACGCCTACCTGGCCGACCACGACATCGTCGCCATGCGCACGACGGCCGCCGCCTACATCCTCGCCCGCTTCACCACCCTCTCCGTCTTTCTCGTCACCTCATTCGCCGCGTACCAGCACCGCGTCCAGGCCCGCATCATGGCCGCCTGCATGTTCGTCGGCCTCCTCATCATGATCCCCCTCTTCTTCGAGTCCGTCAGCATCCAGGCCAAGGTCGCCGTCGTCGCCGTCGCCATCTTCTACCAGGAGCTCACGTGGGGGCTCACCCTCTCGCCCTGGATCAAGCGCAAGCTCAACCTCGCCTACAGCACCGCCGTCGACATCGCCCACGAGGTCGACCGCATGGCCGCCTTCTTCATCATCATCCTCGGCGAGTTCGTCTACAGCATCATCGTCGGCCACAAGACGGGCGTGGGGCTCACCGCTGGCTACGCCAAGGCCGTCTGCACCCTCGTCGTCGCCTTCAGCCTCAACTGGCTATACGCCAGCGGCGACGGCAGCGTCCAGGCCACCCACCCCATCCGCCGCTCCGCCTGGACCGCCTTCGGCTTCTTCCTGCTGCACCTGCCCCTGTCGGCGTCCTTCCTCATCGGGGGCCACATCGCCGCCGTCAGCGCGGGCGAGGAGCACCTCGAGGAGGGCCAGCGCTGGCTACTCGGCGGCGGGCTGGGCGTAGGCATGTTCTGCCTGTGGGTGTACGGGATGCTGTACCGCGTCGACGAGGAGGAGAGGCTCGTCCTGCCCAAGTGGCTGCGCATCGCCATGCGGCTCGTGGCGGCCGTCGTGCTCATCGTGCTGCCCCAGACGCACGACCACCTAGATGCCGAGGGGCTCATGTTCGTCGTCATGGGCATCTTTGCGTTCGTGCTGGTGTGGGAGACGATTGGCGGGCTGGCGCAGTCGTCTGCTGTGTTTGAGCCGTGGACGAGGCTTCACCCGCCTGTGGAGGAGGTGGATGAGGAGGACTTGGGGCCTGCTTCTGACGCTGCTTGCTGAGCGTGCTCACCGAGTTGGATAACTTAATTTGGGTATCTGAGAAAGAAATATATGGATGAAAGAAAATGTGGAAAGATGATAAAATACAACATCCTCTGGTTAGTAGGTTCGAATGTGTGCTGCGATGACACACCCGACTTCGTCTCCGAGGAGAGAATAATACGTTGAAAAAAATTGTATTTCTGGATTAACATTAAGGGAAAAGATAATAATGAGTGATCATAATAAGATGAGGACTGTCGCCATCGCCAACAGTGATATTTGAAGCGCCCAGTTCATCCCAACCGATGGAATGCCCAAGTCTACCGGCTGGGGCGCCTCAACCGATATGGGAATACACCTGCGGTTCGCCGGCAAGCTCCCATGGGGCATAGCATCGAAAATGTAGCAGCGCAGGCTGTTGGAGTTGTCCCTAATGTCGAAGGTGTCCGTGACCTGGACGTTGTCGGTGACGAACTTTTCAAAGAAGGCGGTGGTGATGTTGCCGTAGATGGTCAAGGCCTTCATCTTCTTTGGCCAGTACCACGTAATCTTGCTGTCGGCAGTATTGACCTGGTCGAGAATCAGGTTGGGAGAGTCTTTTATGGTGAAGCTTGCGCCCAGCCAGTTGGCGGCCTCGGCCGGCAGCTGGATGCTCTCGAGATGCTTGGATGCCTGGATGTCCAAGTTGGTGAGGGATGTGAATGGCAGGTTCAGGCTCTCGAAGTCGTTGCCGCCCTTGATCGTCACAGATTTGACGGTGAGATTGGTGTTCAGATCACGTCTGTGGAGGGATTTGACCCCGGTGCGAACCGTGAAGTTGGAGATTTCGACACTCGTCTTCTCCAGCGCACCGAGCGTGATGGCCATGTTTATACCGCCGACATCGAGAGTATCAATCTTGTTCCAGCCAATGTTCAACTGCCGTACAAATGGAATGTTCTTAATGTTCAGTGTGAGGTTGTATGCCGGGTCAGTCTTGGCCACGGCAGGTTCGAGAGGATATGCGAGAATGCCGTCTAGGTTCGACACCTTGCCCACATCTCCAACGTTGATCCACCCCCCATTTGCGTAGTTCTTGGTAAATCCCTTGAGCCGCGTGATGTCGAAGTCCTCTAGTATAGGTGTGGTGATGCTCAGCGCGCCGACGTACTCCAGCTTGGTGACATTGAGCGACGTCAAGCTCACTGTGTAGTTGAGCCGGAAGACCTGGCCCACACTCGTGAGCTCCGGCAGGTCCAGCGATTTGAGTCCGTTGGCGTAATTGACGAGAACCTGGCCGCCGATTGTCTGTAGTTTGGGCATCGAGATGTTGAAGCTAGGTGCCTTGGGGCACGCTGCGAGGTCCGTCTCGGACGTGCTGTACTTGCACGGATTGAATTCGACGCCGCCCTTGATTGCTGTGACGTTGTCGAGGCTGACAGTAGTGTTGAGAGTCTTCGAGAAGATCAGCGATCCTCCAATTGTTGAGCATGAGCTGGCGAGTTTGGCATCGTCTGCGCCAGACACGGTCACATTGGCGCTGCAGTCAATCGTCTTGTTCTTGCCTTGGGAGTCGTTCTTGGTCTTGGAATCGGCTTTCTAGATATCAGCCCAGTTCCCTGCTCAATAAAGGTGCTGATACTCACCGTAGGCAGAAGCTGCCAACAGCCCCCCTAGTACGAGTGACAAACGCATGCTATTCCTAACGAGTGACCAAAGGCAATGATTGACCAAGAAAAGTGTCAACGCCAAAGTACTCTGGAGTAGCTGGGCAGGACCGCGCGAGCGAGAGGAGATTGGCTATACATAGGGGAAGTCCACAGCATGCACTTAGTTCACACTGCCGACAACCGAACGTTGTCCCAGGATCTGCTTCCCAACAGCTCACTTCCCCTCGGGTTTATCGAAAAGGGCAACTTTGATCAATTTATCCAGGCTTGATTCAGAACAGGGCAACGGTGGTGGGGATAGAGCGGAGCCAAGCCTCATGGGCATCCTGCTTGGCCTCGCGTGAACGACCGACAAGCTTGCTTCACAAGGCCTAGTTTGGTCCTGAGGGTTGGATTGACATTGCCGGTATCTGGCGGGAAGGAGTCGAGCATTTCCCCCACCAATCCAAGAGCAACCTGCTCTCGGCAACACAGACTGGGATCAGATTCCCATCACGGCCTCGCGAAGCTGTGTGTGGTGCTCGGTACGACGCCATAATATCAAGGCTTCGCGATATAGACGCATGCAGGGATGCGGCAGACTTGTTGCGAGCTTGACTGAAGATGGGAATTGGCACGAAATTTCAGCGAGTGGTGTGACAAGCGCAATGGAGACTCGAGGCAGTTCCTTGGGACGCCACATGTTTCTTCTTTCTCACTCTCAACGCCGCCAGAGGGCCCAGTATGCAGTTCAAGGCAGCCTGCAGCTGATGGGCCCTGAGACGAGACGATGGGCTGAGCCAAGAAAGGGCGAGGGCGCTGAAAACAGCCTCGTTCACCAGGAACCACCTACTACCACCACCACCGCTGCCCGTCCATCCATATCACCAGGTGCGTAAACTGAGCAATGAGAAGAACAGCTTCAGAACTCACTCAGTCGATCCAATCCACTGGCACGGCTCCACTTGAGCCCAGAGTGCAACGGCCATTTACTTTCACGGCATCCTAGTGGCCAGCCGGGCTGGAAGAGGGGCACTCTGAGGCAATCCAAGCCTTGTTTGAAACGCCAAGCAGTGCCTTTCCTTTGGTGTGGTTTACGTCTAACACACATGGGCCAGATAGCGGCTCCCACGATGCAGGGGGTCCCAGGCCCAGATTCTGCGTTCCCCCTTGGCAAATCTCTCCTTCTCAAAAGGTCATGTTAGTTGCCAAATCGCCGAATGCTCCAGGTTCATGCGGAGAAGGAAGCCGTCATCTCCATGATGCGTGATAAGGTGGCTCAATCAGGATACGTTATATTACGTGTAGCTTGGCCGACGTACTAAACACGTTCACTTCACATTCGATGCTGCAACTCAGAACCCACACGGGTCAATCTTGCGAAGTCAGCACTATGATGAGGAGAGATCTCCCGAGAGCCAGGGACTTGGCCCCTGCTACGATCAAAATAGGTAATCAAGAAGCTCTCTCTCTTTGCGACATTGCAAAGTAGGATTTGGGCAATATCTTGACCTTGTAATATTAATTTTTGACGACTAATATTCCTGTCTCATCGTCGAGCTGTATGTTGCCCGTATCCCGCAAAAGCCACATCGAGACGCTTCACAATCGTTTCCACTGAGAGAATATGAGATAAGACGGCAGCAAAGTACAGTCATCTGATGGTAAAAAACTCCTAAAATCATGTTCAGTAATTCTGCCCGACACGACCTTTCCAATATGTTCACGCCCGTGGGTGACCATGATGCCGATAACCACCGCATCTTGCATTTGCAGTAGTGAGAAAACAACATGCACCGTGGATCATTCACTCGCGACACTGATGCGGCTGGATGACCAGCAACCGACTTGATGGTAAGCTGGCCGGCACTGGCTTGCCAAATCGTAGACTCAGCTGAGGCTTGCGCAGGGGCTGCAAGCTGCATAAATCCCCATTAGCCTTGGCCCTTGCATCGTGCCCTTGGGGTCATTTCCCGACCCTAGAACACGGCTACGGCAACGCGACGATCGTGTTGGCCTGTGCTCCTGGCACAGTCTCGGGCATGGCGTGTCCGTGGATTCAGTCTAGGCCTGGCGGGAGATAATTGGCTTTGTCGAGCGTCAATGCCGGGATGCAGCATCACTGTCAGGTCGTGCTGAATATTATTGCTGCGTATTGTTGGCTTGGTGTTTGTCAAGTGGGCCTGATGAAGCCATCGCGAATGACAGTCGCGGCAGTATGGCCAGCCTTTTCTCGCTTCCGTTGAAGTTTATGCTACAGATCAATTAAGTGTATAATACTGATGAAAATACAATTTGTGAACCAAGCTTAACATTGATGCATTATCATAAGTCCATCTTGTCCCTACTCCTGCTCCTACTCCGACACGCGTGATGTTTTGATCCCGTGCGCGTCGCATCGCCTTACCCTACAGTAGACATTGGCAACATTGAACATTACCATTCTACCGTTAGAATCACCGTCCCATTCAATCACTTGCTTACCTTTAATATGTTCTTAAGAGTTTAAGCTGGTTGTACTGCCACGCCGTGATGTTATCATACTTGGCCACCTCACCCTCCTTCAAGAACTCAGGCAGAGGCCCCACGCTCTGTGTCCTGTTCGGCTTCGCAAAGTATGCGACAGAGTACCGATCCGGAATCCAGTCACCCGCGCCCGGCGGGAGGAGCACACGGTGGCTCGTCGACCGTAGCCGCTCATTGGTCCAGCGCTGCAGGCAGTCCCCGATGTTGATGATGATCTCATCCGGGTCCTCGGCCAGCACGGGGAGGTACCGCCCCGTGTTGGCCTGGTCCTCGACCTCGAGGCCCCCGACCGAGTCCTGGAACAGCAGGGTGACGGTGCCGAAGTCGGTGTGCTCCGAGATGCGCATCGCGCCCTTGCGCAGGGCCGAGACGTCGGTGGCCGGGTAGTGGTTGATGCGCAGCTCCGACGTGTTGACGCGGCAGAGGTCCTGGAGGAAGGCCGGGCGGAGGTCCATGCCCGCCTCGATGGCGCGGAGGATGTTGAGGTGCACCTCGTGGCAGGAGTCATAGAAGGTCTCCATGAAGGACCGGAAGCCGGGGAGGTCATGCTCGTCGGGCCACCTGTTGGGGTACAGGTCGTCCTCCTTGGGGCCCTGATCGAACGATTCCTGTTGTTGGTCGGTGTCAGCGGTCGCTTCTTTCAGAGTGTGACTCGAGGGGATGATGAGCGGACCTTGATATCCATGACCTCCATCGCATCGCGGGTGCCCTTCTCGTAGTCCTTCACCATGGAGAGCTTTTCCTGCCCGACATAGCTGTAGCCACGATGCGGGTTGGCCTCGGCCGGGTGAGCAGCCTTGTTCTTCTGCTCGGAAGGGAGTGAGAAGAATTGTTGGTTCTGTATGCAATTTGCACGTCAGCTACAGAGTCTACATCTCAGGACGATGCCGGTCCGATGGAATGAAGGGTGGTCTCTACTTACCCAGTGGAACACGCCGCGGATCTGATCTGGAGGGATGCCGTGGTTGGTGAGCTTCACGAAGCCCACTTGGCTCAAGTCGTGTACAAATTCGCGGCAGAAATCACTCTTCTCGGTGGGATTGCCAGCGAGGAACCTGGAAAAGTCCAGCTGACGCACAAGACGCACTTGATCTGCCATTATGCTGTGGTGGGGAGTCCTGCTAGCTTCTTCTTGCTCTGATTTTCTATTCTAGGAGGGGAAGGCATGTGATGGTGCGCGTTGGGGAGGTTTCAAGAATAACAGATCAATCGAGGGATCCCTTTCGAGCGAGCTTCATACAAGGACAAAGGGGAGTAGGGCACAATTTATATCTATGTGGCACCTGCGAGGGACGGTAAGTGAGGTGACTACATATCATCCCAGTTTGCAAGGACGCAGGGGAGAGGAGATCACCACACGATTGCGAGCATCCACTGGCCGCCTACGCTTCCTAGAGAGCTCGCCGAGATAGCCATTAATACGAGTCCATTCGGCCCTCATCTCTTCTAGGATGTACGACATCTGAAGCTGCAGGAGACATGATGGATATACTTTGACCCGATGGCGTGTAAGCTTGCCGGGAGTCGGTGCAATTTTCGGTCATCTGTCTTATGCTTTCTTGCATGAGACTAAAAAGAAAAATGACCGGCCTGGTAGCAAGTGACAGCGTGTGAGGCGCGTTCTGCTCTCAGAGGGCGCATTCTATTCACTTTACCGGAAGCAGCACATGGAGATGGATAATATTGGATGCGCGACGTCATGCTGGCGCCTTAGTAATTGCGCCTTGAAAGGCCCTCGCCTCGGCCGAGGGATGGCTCGCATATTCTCCTGTGCATCAGTCTGGAAGTAGGCCATTTCACGGCATGCTGGCATCGCTGAGAGAGGTGAAATGCCCGGATGCCGAACATCGGATGCACAAGCTAGATGGGAATGAGCAGTCGTGCAGCATGCAGGGATATCTCAGCCAGCCTTCGAATCACCTCTCTTCCCCTCCTCAACCTCTTTGAGCGATGAGCAGATGCTGCGGAGGGCTTCTTTTGCACAACGTGCGTCGATATAACTTCACCTGAGGGGTTTTATCCTGTTTGGTGGGTGAGAAGTGACAGAAAGGACACCGCAATGGCCGTTGAGTGAGACACTCCTGGAAATAGTTAGCGTCGAGATTATTCTGCCTCGAAGCTTCTTTGGAATGGAAGATACCGGTCTCCTTCACGTGAAAAATCCTGCCAAACAAACGGAGCATGCATGTCTCATGCCCAAAACTTGTCAATGGCTGCATAAGAGAGCCATTAACTCCAGCCCCCCCCCTCTCACCGCACTTTTTCAGCGCTGATGCAACCCAACATGAGAGCCACGCCTCGATCATTAGCATCTCATCGTTGCATTCGTGATATTCCCCTCTTGCTCCCATCCTGGCCTAGGGAGCGGTTCGGTCCTGGGAAGAAGTCAGTCTGAGCATTTAATGTCGTCAAATCGGGCCAACGTAGCACCCGTATGATTGAGAGACGAGTGATTATCCGAGGCTAATGTCTTGAGATGACCTTCTACGCCTCGCCCGCTTGTATTGTGTCAGCATCTAGTATGTCTGCTTGGGTCGGACACTGGGTCGGTACGTAAGCTCTGCATTGGCTGCATGTGAATGACTGATCTACAACCGATCTGCCCCGGCTCCTCTTCAATCCACGCGCGCTGGTACCCAATGGCGGTGGTGCGTCGTCACCATTGGGGGCGCTCTGCATCCCTTTGCTCCGCACTCTCTCAGTACACGCCATTGTCAAAGTCGACCACAAGGGCCTTGTCCACTAAGCTGGAAATGCTCTCCTTGAAGGCCTGGTGAGCAGGGTCCGAGTTGACATAATAATCGCGATCCTTGGCCGAGTGGAATTGCACGACGAATCCATGCGTGAAGCCGTCCTGCATCGCCGGGCAGCGTCAGTACAATTGAATAATCAGATGAAGGAGCATAGACGGTAAGCTCGGGGTCGGAAGTGCATCGCGATGGATCACAGCGTGTGCATCCGTGGACTCACCTGCAGACCTTCGGGGGAATTGTCTTGGCCGCCGCGCATTGATACAATATACGGCCTCTTCTTGCCTGGGAGAATACAATCGTCCTTTAGTTTTAGGAAACGAGCGCAGGCCTGGAAATGGGCAGGAAATTCCCTGTGTTAGCTGGTCGGTCGGATGGATTGTCATGGGTGTGTGGCGTCGCGGTTTCAATTGACGGGTGGCTGCTCACCGCTTTTACATTCTCAGCGTTAGCTTTCGCGCTGAACTTGAACAACACGGTATGCGTAAGAACAGCAAGAGGAACATTGTCTGCGCGCGGGAGGCTGTTGGGCACAAGGGTGATGGTCATGAAGAGGGCCGTGATGACAATGAGGAGAAGGGCCACCACGGGCTGCACTCGGAATTTGAGCATCATGAGATGACTGGGCAGGCCCTTTAAAAGTATGCCTTTGTTTGGGCGTGCAATACGCAGAGAACCAGAAGCTACTGTTGAGATTGGAACAGTCTGATTGAGAGCTGGATTGATGTCTGCGGTCAGAAGTTTTCCTTCCGTGCTTGCCGTGATGGACCGGCTGAGTCGGAAGTGGAGGTGCAGGGTAGCCACTATGAGATGGCCTTGGTGATGTGTTTGTCTGTCTGGGGCCTGTAAGTTATATGTGCAGTTGCTTCAGCGGCATCTTGCATTTCTTGCCATTAGTTGTTCATACATACCTGATCTCTATTTCATTTCATACATCCGGTTCTTGTTTCTAACAGGGGAACATAGCGGGATCACACGCTAAGCTCTCAATTTTTAGCATATATTCGATATTTATCTGGTAAGCTAACTTCTGAGCAATTTTCGGCGAATTGAATCAGCTTTTCTTATAAACTCTTTCCTAAAATGCCTGCAGAGTCAAGAGGGATAGACTCTTCATGGATACATACACACTCCATCCAGGTCCAAATTTCGGTACAACGTCAAACCAGAATCAAGGAGCAGCTTGACGATTAATATGTGGCCTTGATCTACACCTGTAGCAAAGGTGTCTCATCTATTGTCGTCGCTGGCTGAGTTTAATGCGGCACAGCTGCATTAGTTCTTTGAATCCAGTGTGTTCCTTTCTCCATCAAGAAGTTGACAGAGTGCCTAGAGCTTGCAGTTAGTTAGAAGCGTTCAAGCTGACCCATCTGAAGTTGTGACTTCCAATTTGGTTCCATTATCTATTAACATTCTGTATACTTTAAGGTGACGCTGATGTGACCATGAAGACGAGTCCAATGATTCGGCGCGTGCCAAAAGCGAGTTAGCGAGTGATGAGGGCCGCCGATATGGATCACCAAGGAACATCCTGGCAAAATGACAAGGGCCCTTCCCACCAACCACGATCTTTCTGGGACGTCTGCCTAGCGAGCCTGGTTTTCATTAAATACGGGACTTTGGGAACTTTCCCCTTCTCCTTTCTGAATTTCATTGATGCAACTTGTCAAATAACGTCCTTTTTGACGATCGAGATTCCGTATCAGTTCGCTCTTCTCTTTCGTGCTTGTGGAACGAACGGCGTGTAGCCACTTCGCACGGCAACCGGCTTTGTTATTTTCTTAGTCTCCCTCACGACAATTTATCCCCAATTCGTTCAATTCGAGAGATGGCTCTTGGGAACAGACCCATGAGGCACTTTGAATTGAAAGCAAAGAAAAAGCCGTTAAGCCTCGCGGAGCTCAACCCTGAGCGAAGAGCACGGCTGCAGAACAAGGACGACGAGCCTGGGGAGACGGCTGAGGCTGGCAACGACAACGATGATTCGAGACTATACAGCGAGTGGCATCGTGCGTACGGGAATCAGGAAACAAAGTACATAGATGCGGCATATAAAATACTGCGTGACCGATGGCTTTTGGTTGTCCTGCTGGTTCTCATCTTGGCATGGCCATTTTTTCAGAATAGGGGAGAGCATCTTGCATTTTTCTGAGGTGGTTGTTGGGAGGAACGGAGTTTTGTTAGGTCATGATGTACGTAAGTTTAGAGGATCGATTGTGGATGGGCTGTAATGAATTGTCATCAAAGCAGTGGCTGGGTTCGTTCGTTGGGGTTGACTTATCGCAGCTGTTACCACTTCTACAGTAATGTGCCAGCTTCATCAAGACATGTTGCCAAGAAAATATCCACGACTTGGAGCGCCTCCTTTCCTACCTTAGTCAGAGCATGGAAGTCATGTCAAATCCTTTCTCAGCACGGTGAAATTACCCGCGCTTGTCGCAGAAGGAGCTCCATTAATTCTTTCAGCATAGTTGATTAGCCTCGGTGCCATCTTTGTTAGCACTTGTGAAATCAAAAGAGTCTACTTGAGGTTCATATATAGCTAAGGTAGCTATGGTCTCATCTTCGCTAGTAGTATATCTTACATTCTTAATTGATGGTGCAAAAATCCCATATCCTGGCCGCGAGTTAAGAATAAATAGGTATACCCGCCCAATCTAATCTGAGATACATCATAGACTGTGATGGGATGAAGAAGCATTCCCGTAACGAGAATCATGACGCTGAAAGAGGCAGTGTTTGGGCAAGGAGAGGGCAACTTGAAGCTTATCGGACATCGAACGCTAAATTGCACAATGGGTTAGTCTTGACATTTGAAGCGAGATTTGGTAAAGATCAATGTTGGTTAAACCGGATATGATAATGTCTCCCCCTCATTTTTGAACAACCAACAGGCGCCAAGATCGGTCAACGTGCAGTGACCAGTACCCCGGAAATTTTCGGTATACATATGCAGTGAGAACATTCCTCAACTTAAGAGGCTCCACAGCTGGTGTAGATGTCGAGATCAGTCCTGAGCTTCGAATGCCTTGCTTACTAGAGAGTATCTAGAACGGCCTCGTGCTGCTCAATGTGTGAGCTTACATCGCCGTACAAACGCCAACACATCAGCGTCTGTTTGCTTTCGAATGTAAACGCCTTATATCTCCCAGCTGAATCAATCGACACAAGAGACTCAGACAAGAACGTTGGTAGGCAAACAAGCGTCATAGCATTCCCTAATCTAGTATAGCTAGCGAGGAGGAAGCGAGTCTTCGGAATGTATTCTCATTCCAGCAACCCAATAGACTTCATGATGCCCACAACAACCCTCCCTCTGAATGATATAAAGCATTACTCACCCCTCTAATCTCCGATGAGGAGATCATGCGTGAAATGTTCAACAACGCGGGCGGCAAGTCTCTTGCGGAAGACACAACCACACTCTAAGTCACCCTTCGTGCCATTACTCGAGGCACGACTGCATTACCGGATGTCCTAGTTCTTACGCTCGATCCCAACTGGCCGCCGTGGGTTCTACTTGATTACCGATCAGTTCATTGTCGAATTCTCATTGGCGCCCTTCACACACTTCGAGCACATTGGTGCCCCCAACAAAATTCAGCATGACGAACTGGCGGCCACCGCCCGACTCACCGGGCTACATTCTCGAGAGACTGAATATCGCTCTTATCGTTATCTCCTCGGTCACTATGATCGCAAGAATGGGTACCCGGGTATTTATTCTTCGGTCGGTGGGATGGGATGATTGGATCGCATGCGTTGCATTTGTATGGCTCCCAATTCCGACTTGGCATATAGTACATGCTAACGAAACCGAACACTAGGTTTTACTCATGGCATATTCGGCGATGAAAATAATATGTGTGTTAGCCCTTATCTCGATATTCGTCCTCTTGACATGCATCTAATGCCACGTATAGCCGTCTCTATAGGGGCAGGAACTCACATCGATCAAGTCCCCCAGCAGCAGCTTGATGATTTCTTCGAAGTAAGACTAGCTTCCGACCTATAATTCATCAAATAAGCCTTTATTAACGCACATTGCGGACAGTTTCTTCCTACATTCTCGTTGTTGTTCTTTGTCGAAATCGCCATGATACGCTTCTCGGTTATCGCCTTCTACATGAAGTTGAGTACTGACAGTTCGTTTTACCGATGGGTTTGTTTCCAAAAAACAGTCACTGATTGAGCAATTAGGATGGTACCGTTGGGGTTTGTATGCTCTGGCCTTTATCAACCTCTCCGTGACGATGACCGTTTTCTTTGTTTACCTCACCGAATGCGATCCTATTCCGTACGTATGCATTCTTTACCATTGGAAATGATAACGTTTGATTGACAAACAAACTTCAAGCGATTTATGGGATGTCACAGCCCCAAACCGACAGTGTATGCCTAAGCCAGAGGAAAGGAAATTATTCTGGTCACACGGGATTGTTGGTGTCATTCTCGACCTTGGCCTCCTTGTTCTACCTGTCACGCTTATCTGCATCGTTATGAAATTTTCGAGGAAAAGGGCTCAAGTGCTTCTTGTCATTTGCGTCGGTATATTGGCTCTCATCGCAGGAATTATGCGTGTCACTTACCATATAATGATCGACTTCTCTACGGACCCGTGAGTATAACCTCACAAAAACTTCGCCCCTTGCTACTAGCGAGTTACATCTCAAATAAATTTGTTGACTAACATTTGTTTCAGGACATATAAGCTGTACCGCGTCGGCATGTGGGTGGACCTGGAAGGTCATCTTGGACTCTGGACAGCCTGTTTCCCAGCCCTGCAGCCTCTCTTCCACCTAATCAGCGAGAAATTTCCTTGCCTGCATAGGTCAGATAGACACGAGAAGAAACTGAGCAGCACACCTGGTCTAGATATCCCTTCGAATATAGGCCCTACTCTGAGTAGCTCGGCCAACACCTGGGGGAGTGGCGTATAGAGCGACCTCTACCCCTGAAATGCATTTAGATATAAAAAGTTATAGATAGATACTTAAATATATATTCACATTTTATGATTCTAACCCCCGGTCTGGACAAAGAGGCCTGCTTCGCCAAATAATCCCATCGCCATCCAAGCCTAGAGGGAAAGTTGGCTTCTTCGTCGACTGGTTCTTTGTCGATGACTAACTCACATCTCACTTGTGTGCGAGTTGCTACTCCACGCTATTCGAACAAGCCTAATCAACGTTCAAGGCTGCTTGACCTGTGATAGCCAAAGCGAGTTCGTACTCAGACCAAGCCTCATATGTGTCAATGAAGAATAAGTAGAATCAAGCTACAGATAGCATAATTTTCTGCCATTCTTCAAGTTGGTGCCACCTTCTACTTTGCATTGCCAACTATCACCTTCACTCAATCCTGGCTTACTTGATCTTTTGCAGAACCCTATACGAATCTTGATGTTCTTCGTCTAGCTGGATGGCTATCATCGAGTAGCTTTGTTACTGCGAAAAGCAGAGATTTCATGTCTTGAGTTTCGTGTTGCTACTCCAGAAATTCACCTTTGTAATGAAGCAGTAGACCAGAGTTCCTCCCCAAGCACTACGTTTATCTTATGCATCTCCAGTGACAGCATTCCCACACATGATTTTTAGGGGTGAGAAAAGGGCAATTATCTACCATGCCCCGTGTTTCACTTTGTCAAGAGTCTGTAGCCGGTCGCGAAAACAAAGTTCAGACACGTGGACGTGTCATGACTTAGGCCAACCTTCCGGAAGCGTAGTCGTATTCGTGCTTCGTGCTGGCGTCAATAAGCTTTGGCATGTTTTTGTTTTTGTTTTCCCCCCTCTTATTGAACACCTAACCTGCTAGAATTTAGATAAACTTGCCAATTGACGATTCAATCTCCGTCTCTCGGATCATATTATAACCCAGGTCCTCTTTTCTTCACTTCCATTACCTACAAAAAACGCCCTCTTACACAACAGAAATGTTCCAAATGCTTGGCAACTAAACTAAAGTAGGTAATCTTGAGTATTTCTGGAAGCAGAAAGCACCACTTTTTACTGGGGCTGTGGGAAGGCAAAACGAGTCGGACGAGGGAGAGAAAAAATCTAAATCTAGGCAATTTGGGATAAAATTAAAACCTGGCAAGAAATCCAGGAGTCAGTCAAGATGAGCGTCGAGATGGACAAGACGGTGCAGGATGGCCCGGATGCCGTGAAAATCGAGGAGGGCGAGGCCAAGTTCCATCGCCTCGGCTGGAAGCGGCTGGCTGTCATCCTCATCGTCGAGGCCGTCGCTCTTGGCAGTCTGAGCCTTCCCGCCGCCTACGCAACCCTGGGCATGGTCTGCGGCGTGATTCTCACCATTGGCCTGGGCTTCGCGGCCATCTACGCCAGTTATGTCATTGGCGAGGTCAAGCTCAAGTATCCCGAGGTCAGGCATTACACCGACATTGGCCGACTCCTGCTGGGCGAGTTTGGCTACTGGGTGTTCACTGTTGGGTTTGTTGTCTCACTCATCCTCGTCACTGGATCACACTGTTTGACTGGCAAGATTGCCTTTGCAAGTGTCACGGGGAGTGATGTCTGCACCCTGGTCTTCAGCATTGTCTCTGCACTCATTTTGCTCGCTCTTGCAATTCCCCCGTCGTTTGCGGAAATCGCTATTCTTGGTTATGTCGACTTCGCGTCCATTGCTGCCGCTATTCTAATCACCATGATTGCTACAGGGATCCAATCAAGTGGCCAGCCAGAGGAGCTTGCTTCGGCTGCGTGGTCGGCGTGGCCTAAGAAGGACATTACTTTCACGAAGGCCATGACAGCGGTCGCAAATATCGTCTTTGCATATGCATTTGCCGTTGCTCAGCCGTCGTTTATGGATGAACTACATACCCCTCAAGATTTCAAGAAGTCTGTTATGGCCGTCGGAGTCATTGAGATCGCCATCTACACTCTCACCGGCTCAATCATATACTACTTCGTGGGACAGGATGTCAAGTCCCCGGCATTGCTCTCTGCTGGTCCATTAATCTCGAGAGTTGCATTCGGTGTCGCTTTTCCAGTGATCTTCGTCTCAGGGTCTATCAACATCACCGTTCTGTGCCGATACATCCATGGCCAGATATATCGATCTACCGTCACCCAGTACGTCAACACATTCAAGGGATGGGCCACTTGGCTCACTCTCGTGTCAGTCGTCTCAATTCTGGCTTGGATCATTGCGGAGGCAATCCCATTCTTCAACGAACTGCTTTCCATAATCTCCTCCTTGTTTGTGTCGGGGTTCTCGTACTACTTCCCACCTTTGATGTGGTTCGCCCTCATTAAGGAAGGACCTTGGTATTCCCGACAAAACCTACCCACAGCCTTGGGGAACTTTATCGTCCTCGCCATCGGACTTATCGCGCTTGGGTGCGGAACTTATGCGAGTGTAATTGAAATTGTAAGTCAAAATGCCGAGCCCTCTCGCCTCTGAGATCACGCGTGAAACTGACTAGATACTAGATCAATAAATTCCAAGCTGGTCTTGGGAAGCCTTTCTCGTGTTCGACTTCTTAATGATCGGTACGAAAGATCTAGCGCAACTTAGTAATACTACACTACGGTCTACCTGGATGAGATTGTTTAGATAGTCGATGTGTAGTGACAACCTTCTTGTAACGATCCCGGTTCGGACCACGCGCGGTTTATTGATCTTCGCTATGAACTTTCATTATTGAACTCTCTATTGTAAAATCTTAGAATTGGTGCCTTCTTTCTCAACAGATGACTTACGCCGACAATCTCCACCAACGATGGCGGACTCCCTATATCAACAGCCTCCCTGCCATGATGCTTATTCTATGCATGTGTTTTATCAAGTCCAAGTCTGTATCTCTCTATTCATTAGTGAACAGAGTCGACTGTTGGGTTGGAAACAAGTCTTCTTTAGGTACAATATCAAGACACCCTCAAGAATAAAGATGCGCAAGAAAATTAAGAAACATACAAAAGTTCCATGCCATGGTGCCGGTCATGAGTCTCTAGCCAAAAGTGCAACAAATAAATGGTGCAGAGTATGATCCCTGTCGCAAGACATTATTGGCCCATTTGATCATGCAGCTTTCCTCTGTAATGCGTAAGACGCTTTTCGCCTTGCCCGAATCAATGGCATTAACTGTCCAAATTGGGGATCATGCCCCGATCTTTTGTGCTTTGCTTACTGATGACTGTTGGTCCATTGACTGGAATCGTTTGATTTCCTATTCCTTTGTTTTCCCCCTCACAACATTTGAATCAAATCACTCTCCAAGTTGTAGACTTCCACAGATGCGCACTGTCGATAAGAATGCCAGCTCCTCTGAAATCTTTAGCGTGTCAGAACTGCAAACTGAAGAGAACGAAAGTAAGTCAATGGTATACCACGCCGTCTCAGGACGCACTGCTGACCGTGATTTATCTCTAGTGTGATCAAAACTGGCCCTCTTGTTCGCAATGCATCCGGAAAGGTGTTCGCTGCCCTGGGCCATCGTCGTTGATCAAGATTATCAACATTGGCAATCATGTTTCTTCTACAACTGAGCCTTCCGAACAGACCGCTCTACAGCCTGGTGAAACTTCTAAAGCTGCAGTACTGGTCCAACGAGAGCCTTTGAAACAGTACGCAAACGGGCACGCAATGAGGGGCAGAATGCGCCTCCAGATCCCCCTTTTCACGTTGAGCTCACACGCAGATACCGTCGCAGCCCAGGCCGTAGCCTTGGTTCAAACGGAAAGTCTCACTGCTTTCGCAATGCACCAGTTAGTGGACTATTCTCCTCAGAGGATATACCACAGTTCCTGCCTACTTGATTGCGTGGCGTTGTCCTGTCAACTTTGGATTCGGTGTTTTAAGCGTCGCGAGCCGCTGTCAGCTGTACTTGGAAGCAAGGCGTATGGCAAGGCAATCCGGAGCCTGAAGCGTGCTGTAGCAGGCGACCAATTATACACTGTCGAGACTGTGGGTGCCATGATGCTCTTTTACGGATTCATGCGTTTCTCCGGGTTCTACTCGTCTATTGAGCTACTGCCACATCAACTTGGAATACGACGGGTAATCAAACAGATCGGGCCCCCAGACCTGGAGTCCGATGAGCTTTACTTTGAGATATGCCTCGCGCACCTCTCTATCATGGTGAGTTCAAACGGTATTGTGACAAATCCCTTGAGTATAATTGCTTAATGGAGAAATTAGTTTGAACAGATAATGTATTATCCTGAATTACGATATACGGAGCAAATCCAACCCCAAGATGTTTTCAGTGATTTAAATCATTGGTTTATATTAAAGGGTGAATCAGTTGGGGGTGACAGCCAACAGGAAGATACAGAGGATGGAGCCGCCGAAACAAACGATGACGACGCTGAAGAAGATGATGACGACTCCGGAATAGACGATGACGAGGACACTTTGTTCGAACTTATCGGCAGCTTTTACTGCTCCGCCCTGGTCCCCTACTACGTGAACTGGTTCCCAACTATAACTGAGATTCTACAGGACCCTTCTAGAATGAACAATAGAAGAACTGCGTTATGTCGATGGCTAGAAAGGGCTACGCGAAAACTGGAGGCAACTAGATTTTGGCAGAGGTGGATGAAGTTGGGTTGCATTACTGAATGCCTCGATCCAGATTTCTTCCTCGGTTATCGAGTTGAGTTTACATCATTTCATATAGCTCAACTAGCTATTACAATGATCATGATCGAGGTGGTACTTCGTCGAACCTACTATGATCTGGGATCGTCAGGTTCAGCTCCAGATGGGGATGCGTACAGAAGATATCTTGATGCATGCTTCCGCGGATGGCTGAGCTTACCATATTTGCAAAGTTTAGACGCACTATCCGCACCGGAACTCCTCAAACCGCTTATATTTACATTGGAGCCTGCGAGTACTGAGCAGCTTGGCCATATGCTCCGGCTAGATCTCCCTTGGAAGGCGTGTGGGTTCAAAAACCCGGAGGACATTGAAGGTTCCAAAGCATGGATTCATGAGCTGGCGAAAAGAATGACTGGGCGAATGCCTCGGCCGAAAGATGCAGAATCATCAAATGAGGTCTAGATATTGGAATCGTTAAAGGGATTGTGGCTAGTTACTAGGCATGGAGTGTGCCCTTATTCTAGAAGTTATCTGCGAATTGCGATATTGAAAGACTCTATATTCTTCTTCCTGTCATTATATTCTAGAACTCGAACAAAATTAACTATCCAATTACAACCGGTAAGCAGCCTTCTAATTCTTTGTAAAGAGGCGACCAAAACTGGCTTGAAACTAAGTGAGAGAGTCAAAATGAGTGACAGTGCCAGCGTTGTGTGGAGTAGGAGCCAACTTGAAGCTTTCATCGAGTTGCCACAAAAGAAGGAAAGAGGAAGGGCATGGAAAAAGAAAAGAACCAGGATAGCATCAACCTAAGCTTCTGAAACTATCTGAAAAACCAGAGCATAACAACGTGTCGATATTACCTAATGCTCAGTGCGAAAATTCTGGATCTTCATACGTTGGAAAATATAGCCGGACGGATATGTCGGCTATATTTTAAAGCAAGCTACCGTCGATACATCACAGAGCCACCAGTAACAAGCTTTTCCGCTCACCCATTCGGAAAACAAAAAGCGGCATGAAGGAACATTATGCCGATCTCAAGATTGAGGGAATGCGCGGGGAACACGGGGTACTCATCACCTATATAAATGACAACCTTGCCAACCACGCTAATTTGTATTCTTGATCTAGCCAGCCAACAATATACCGTGAACTCGTTGGAAGTGAACACTCCTATTGACTCCGGCCGCTTATATTAGACCAAGATCATAGCAATCCACCATGGCCACTATCACACAGACCATCAGCAGCCCTGCGCCCACGCTCTCTACTACAGCTGATCATGACCGAATCGTCGTTAACGGCATGGCGAAAGACTCGAACCCGCCCCAGCTGCAGATACAGGCCAAGACCAAAGATGGTAGGCCCCTGAAGATGAGGACGCAGCCCAAGTTTGATGACCCAGAGGACGAGAGACTGTATCGAAAACAACACCTGGCCGCGGCCTGTCGAGTGTTTGCTTCCCGTGGATTTGACGAGGGTGTTGCTGGCCATATTTCCGTCAGGGATCCCATCCTGACTGACCATTTCTGTGCGTTATACACTGCCACTTGGTAGAATCTTCCTAACATGTTGGATTCAGGGCTCAACCCTCTGTGTCGCCATTTCTCTCTAATGAAGGCCTCTGACCTCATCCTCGTTGATGAAGAGGGTAATGTCGTTGAGGGCGACGAGCCTATCAACTTAACGGCTTTCACCATCCACGCTGCAATCCACAAGGCCCGACCCGACGTCAACGCCGCTTGCCATGCACACAGCGTGGCAGGCAAGGCATTCTCCGCGTTTGCTCGTAATCTTGAGCCAATTACACAGGATGCACTGCGTTTCTATAAGGACCTCGCTATCTACAAACAGTTTAAAGGCGCCGTTGTCGACGACGAAGAGGGTGGACGCATCGCCGAGGCCCTCGGAGACTGCAAGGCCGCTATTCTGATGAACCACGGCCTTCTTACCGTCGGAGGGACGGTCGACGAGGCTGCGTTTTGGTTCCTCAGCCTGGACAAGTCCTGCCAGGCCCAGCTGATGGCCGATGCCGCTGCCGCTGCCGGATACAAGAAGATATATATCGATGAACAAGAGGCCGAGTATACAGCAAAGCAGGTCGGCGGGCCGGAAAAGGGCTGGCTTGCTTTTCAACCATGTAAGTTTTGCGCTTGACCAAGGGTATTTTTGCTTTGCTAACCATGGAAAACAGACTTTGATGAGCAGGTGGCCAAGTCAAATGGCGAACTTCTAAAGTAGATAGTGAATACGATGCGACGTGAGAGTGGGGGAAGTTTATGTGTCTAAATTGAATATTATAATCCAAACCCTCATCCTGTGCCGAAACACTGAGCATGGGACTCGAACCATCTAAGCTTCCAATAATAGATTCGGTACCGAAACAATCGCCGCAGCCGCTAAAACGGTTGGTTCATCCACTCTTTCGGGGCCGCTCGATCGTGTGAGTCGGGGAATTCAGATTGCCGAACACTTCTTTGTTACTCCCTTTCCAGGATTTCAAATTAATTTAAAAACATTGCCTCTCCTTCTAGATAGGGCTTTCTTGATTAGCTATTCCAAGGAGATTTTGCATTTCATCTCATCTCATCTTTCATCATGAGCATGAAAACGGTGCTCATCACAGGGTGCAGGGACGGCAGCGCAGGGTCAGCCCTGGCTCTTGAATTCCACTCCCGGGGACATCGCGTCTTTGCCACAACGACGGACGGTTCCAGAATGAGTTCCTTAGAAGCCTGTCAAAATATCTTTATTCTAGGGCTCGATGTCACGTCACAAGCTTCTATAGAAGCCTCTTTCTTAGAGGTCCATGACGCTATCGCTGCAGAGAGCAACGGCAAGGCACCCCATCTTGATATCCTGATCAACAATGCGGCTATTTTCAAGGCCATGCCACTGGCTGATGTCAAGTTGGAGGACGGTCGCAAAATCTTTGAGGCCAACTTCTTCGGCATCTTGGCTGTCACTCAGGCTTTTCTGCCTCTACTTCAATCACCATCCCCCGGAGACCGACCAAAGGGGCATGTTGTGAATGTGAGTAGCATAGCGGCAACTATGTGTCCACCCTGGCAAGGCATGTATGCCTCAAGCAAAGCAGCACTACTAGCGATGAGCCACGTTATGAGGGTGGAGTTTGCACCTTTGGGCATTTCCGTGACCGTTGTCATGTCTGGAGGCGTAGAAACGGCTGGGATCAGAGAGAGCCATCAACAGAACGAGAAATTACCGGAGGGTAGTCTCTACAGTGTTCTTGCGCAGTCAATTGAGACTAACGAGCGCGGGAGGAGCTTCAAAGGAACAGATGGCGCAGACTTTGCTAAACAGGTGGTAGGCGAAATTTTGTCGAAGAGAAAGAAGCCTATGATCTGGGGAGGCGCATTTTCATGGGTTGCGTGGGTGTTGAGTTGGTTTGGATGGGTGGGAATGATGGACAAGGGGCAAATCGATGGTCATGGCCTAAACAAGTTATATGGCTCAGCAGCACGGATATCAGGAAAAGAAGACTGAGATAGTTAAGTTCTAGGAAAAGAGAAATAACCCAACTTGGTTGAAAAGGAGTTCACCCACTTAAGCATAAGTTAGGGTGGTGTCTGCAACTAACAGCTAGAGGGGAAACTCCATGATAGTGCATCTTAAGGAGAAGTAAAAAAGACAACACTGAAATATGAAGCCGTGTAATAAAAAGATATGTTGAAGGTGTCAAGGTCAACAGGAGTAGTATAGCTATACGAAATTGCCTAGCAAGTCTGACAAACTGTGAGAAAATACAGATACGAAAGGGGTAACTCCATGACTTGGTAGAATCAATGTGCCCGCCTTGTCCCCCAGAGCCGTCTATTTCACAAATGGCCGCTCGGTGATAGACCCTAGCTCAGTCATCGAACCTTCCTCCTTTCTCGAGACGTACTTCGCGGGATGCCAGATCAAGAAGACAACCATGGTGAGAAACATGAGCGTTCCATCAAAAACCAGAGTAGGCCATTCGGTCTGAAGTAGATATCCTTCCCTGCCTTGAACAAACTCAACCAATCTGAATATAGAGCGAATCAGAATCAGAACTGACACGGCATAGAGCATTCCGAGTCCCTGGTGGTATTTGATATCACCAGCATCGAACTGGGTGGGAAACTTGCACATCCTTTGGTGCACGAGAGCGGCAGTCAGACCAAAGAACCCGAAGATAATGATTTGTATGGCCAATCCAGCCACAACAATGTCCTCGCCCAATTTCATCATTTTTTGGTTTCTCATTACCATCAAACCACAACCTATACCTTGCACAATGAAGGATGCAATATCTCCGGCCACAAATATCCTAGTGATCCATCTATCGGATATAATGAGAAGCGATTCGGCGTGGACGGAGCGGACAAGCCGGCCGAGAGTCATATAGATAGAGGCAGCAAAGAGAGCTGGCGCTAGGAGCGTGGCCATGGAGAAGAAAGCATAAGGCAAGATCTTGTCGGTGTTTTTGTAGGCCATGGCTCGCAAGGCATAACCAAGGAACTCAACTAGAACTTGCGTATCAGTACATGAATACCGTTATGGTCGCTCCCTTTCCCCCCGGATCGAACATACATATACCGCCAATGACGAAGGGGATGCAGAACCAAGTACGTGTTTTGACCATCTTCCAAATTTGTACTCCGGTGAGGATGATGAAAAGCGCCAGGAACAGTAAACTTGCCCACATCTGAGGCAAGTAGAACCATAGAAAATAGTTGGTGCCCTCGAGGGGCTTTAATTCGGCCATGGTGGACGAGTGAGGATGCCAAACAAAAGGAGAGATAGTGGAATTAACAGAGCGCCAAGGCACACACAAAGATCAAAACCCGTGGGATGTGTGTGCTTTGGAATGATACAAGCTCACTTTCTTGAATGTTGAGTTGGATGATAGGTTTTATTTAATACCTTTGAACATCTGGTGAACACGGTACTTGCTGGCAGATTATATCATGCCCCTGCCATGGTTGCAGCGATCGAATGCGCGTATAGAGATGGTCAGATACGGCCTGCTCTCGTCCAATCCTGTCAATGCAACCAGCTTTAATCTCATTAGATCTGCAAGTGACAAGCTTTGGCAGTTTTACAGTACCTAGAACAGAGCCCGAACATTCTGTGACAGCACTGCTTAGAGGTGGCTTGAAGTAAGAGAAAGCGGAAATGGCCGAATGCGCGTATACAAGTCTTGGCATGCAGATATGATCAGCTCAGCCCCTGATTCCTTCTCAGCACTGGGGCTTATTGTGGTGGGCCCTTGTTCTATGCTTGACTCGACTTGGGCTCGGCCCCCTTTGGAAACGCGCGCGTTCAACTCAGTCCACCAATCTCGCAGACCGTCCTTCTCTCCATCGAAATGCCATGTTGGTGCTGGCACTTGGCCATTGATCGTCAGCATGTTGAAAATAGCCCACAAGAAGACGAAGCGGGGGTCCAAATGCGACGAATGCAGACGGCGTCACATCCGAGTAGGCCTCCATGAGCTCCAACATCCATCTTACCCACACCGTGTACTTACTCTCGTGTCCCCCAGTGTGACTTGACGCGTCCGAGCTGTGTTAATTGCAGCCGGTCAGAGCGCTTCTGCACTTTTCAGAATGCCCCAGAGACTCCCTATGTGGCTCCCATCTTGGGAGGAGACTCGGAGTCACCCTTGTCTCACACCACGCCGCCGTTCCTCCCCAATGGTTCGCCCCCCACGACGACTGATCCCGACCTGGTGTCCAGCGGTGATGGGACCTCGGGGAGCTTGGTCAATATGGCCCACATTCAGCTATTCCACTACTTCACAACCATGCCCTCACCCTACCCAGGCATGGCCGGGGGTGTAACCGAAATGCAGCGAAGCCTAGTTATCAAGCACGCCTTCTCTACCCCATACTTGATGCATGAGCTTCTGGCTTTCTCGGCAAGACGCCAGAGCATTGAGTTCCCCCATGACAGCAACGCGGAGTACTGGAGGGACCAGGCCGCGGTGCTCCAGACACGTGCCCTCGGCCTGTTCAACGCTCGGCCGGAGCTCAACCAGCAAAACTGTATTCCCGTCTTTCTGTTCTCAGGGATGCTGGGTATCCATCTGCTCGCAGACACTCTTAGTCATCGAGGAGATGGCCTGGCGTCTTTTGTCGACTCGTTTGTGGGCTACATTTCCATGCACCGCAGTTTACGCACCCTCATCACCGGACTCTGGCCCATGCTGGTCAACACAGAGCTGAGACCCATCCTCGCCTGGAGCGGCCAGGCAGCGATGGCCGCATCACAGGACATGTTGGTCAGCCCTCCCTTGGCCAAGTTAATCTCCGAGGCTAGTGATCTCCCACCAGAGGCTAAGGCTTCCTGTCTTGAAGCAATCAAACACCTCGAATGGGCGCTTGATGAGACCTGCGAATCGGAACAGCGTCGCCAAAAGCGGGTGCAAATGCTGTTCACTTGGCCACTCACAGTCCCTGAGCCATATCTTGAGCTTCTTAACTTGAGGCGACCCGAGGCCTTGGTCATACTTAAGCGCTACGCAGCGCTGCTCTGCCACTGCCGGGATCTTTGGATGGTTGGTGACGCTGGCCGTTACCTCACCAAGCTTATTGCATCGAGCTTGGATGGCAAGTGGACGGAGTATAGATATGAAATGGATCTTGAGCCTACACCTCCTCAGACTTAATATAATGATATCAATTGCAAAGAGTAGAATATTTCGAGCCTAGCGCTCGTTCTGGCTGCTTGAGTATATATGCTGGGCTCATATGCACAACCATGCTGGTGCAGACGCATATTGACCTGGGCCCCTTTCCCCTGTGATGAAAGCTCGCCGGCAGAAAGCGGAATCGCGCAGCTTAGTCTGCTACCTTATCTTTCCTTGCCCCTCTTGACATCCCTAGCCTTCGGCTAAGCTCACAGGACGGGGAATAGTTTCATAGGTCTCGGGAAAGAGACATGGAGATATCTAACATTACTCTATCCCCGCACTAGAGAGCCCCAAGTCAAAGTCTACGTTCCAGGTGTCCAAAGCCTAGTAATTTCATATTAGCAAAGGCATATATTGCCCCACTGGCAGAAGACTCACCAATGAATCAAGCTGCTCCCAGTTTGGTAGATCCGTAAGAGGGAGGCTCTCTTCATTCCCATCTGCAAGCGCCAGCCAGTTGGTCGTAATATCCAGATTGGATGTTAATGGGGGGGAATTGCTGGGAATCATGCCCTGTGGCGAGTCCCACTGGACCTGCCTCACCACCTCGGCACGGTACTCTTCCATGATCAGATGCAATCTTCGAGCCAGAGAGTCGGTCTTGGGGACGGCTGCAATTAGCCCCTGGCAGCGCTCTGCTGCTTGATAGTAGCTCAGCCATGAGGACGAAGGCTTCAATTTGCTCTTGATCGTGTATGTGTAGAGCACTAGTACGGCGCAAAAGGCTTGATAGTGAGCGAACCAGGAGATGGCATAAAACTGGTCATTTTCCACCATCGCATCGATAGTGGCCACAATACTCATGGCGGCGTCTAGGCAACTCTGGATGTTGGCCTTGCTAGTCATCTGAAGTTCAATGGAGATATCAGTCTCATCCGGCTCGCTCAATAGGCACGGCCTGTAGATAAGGATTTCGAGGTGGCCCGATCCGAGGGACAGGAGGTTGCTCTGTCGTTGAAAGAAGGGTCTGAGGATTCTGGAATCGACCTTCTGGGGATCAAGGAAATAGGGCAGGCTGTCTCTCCATTCCCTGACCATGGCGCCCAATTCGCTCATCGCTTGATATTGCTTAGCACGGTCTAGTGGCACAATGCCATAGAGACGCTTCAACGCTTGACAGAGAATACGGCCAAGCTTGTGGTGGCATATGGGTGCTAGCATCTTGTTCATATTCTGATGGACTGCTGGTTTGATAATTAGTGACGTAAGGTCATGATCGTCAACAACCGCCGGAAAGTCTTGGTCTGTTTCATCGTCGCTTAGAGCACATGGGCGCCCAAATATTGCAGCCAAATACTTATCCAGGGTGTACGCGCTCCAGAACAACCTCTTTCCACATTCTACTTGAACCCAGTCCACGACCACATCTTTTTGTTGGATTTTGTTTCGCCGTCGGCGGTGCAATCCCAAAGCTAGAATCAGCCTGGCGGTCGTTCCGAAAAGACTCCAGCAATGGTTAAGACGCGAGCATGTGAGCGTGAAAAAGCAGGCTAGCAGGAGGGCCTGAACGGTAGTCAGATGTGTGGGCTGAGTTTGACGATTTAACTCTTTTTCAGAAGCTTGGAAATATCTTAGCCTGTTGCGAATTGAATATCAGTCAAGTATCTTCGTGGGGAAAGTAGCTTCGCAATTTCACACACCCGTCGACGGCAGGCGTGTTTTGTGAATAGCCACTCGCCTGAGCAAACAGTCCTAGTAGCACGGCCTTTTTGCCATGAGAGTAGGGCTCTGAGACGTCTCCATCATCATAAAATTGTCGTATCCAGCCTTCGACGGTCGGGCGGTGAAGATATCTATATGTGGCCGACGTAAGCTCGAAAAAGGTGTTTACCAACCTGTCAGCTTCTTCTCTCGGAGGCCACGAGAAGGCATTTTCATCGAATATGGGCAGTTCAGGGTCTCCAAGAGTAAACACGGAGCTCTCGTATGCCGAGCCCGTATCTTGAACGAGACGCCTCCTTAACCGAATGAGAAAACTCAGACCTGATGATTCGCCAACGAAATGACCAAGCCTGTCGGCCTGTCCGGGTTCCAAAGGCAAGGAATCCCCAATTGGGGTTGGATCTTGTACTGTCCCACCCGATGATTTATTTTCGGGTTGCTCCAGTAGATCCCGTAGTTGAGAAGTTTCATCTATGCTTGTTGAAGCAACTGTTGAGTGAGAAACTGGTGAACAGGCCTGCACGACAGAAACACCCTTGGTGCATATGGAGGAGAGCACTTTATTCGCTTCATTTTTTGGCGTCCTCTTCTTCTTATTTTTCCCACGAGCGTAGGGAGCATCAAACCGGCACTCCAAGTTGTCCCGGAAGCACAGCTGACATGGCCGGTCTCCGGTGCAGCGAATCTTTCGTCTACTTCTCAATCAGTCACAGTCCAAATGGTAGTCTCTTTGATTATGATGCGGACTTTTTACACAGATCGCAAGCACGGCTGACCCGCTGGCGATGAGCAGGCAGGGGTGGCATCACTCCCAGCAAACACAACCTCAGCCAAGAACTAAGCCAGGGCAAATGATTGCTCTTTAGTAGCTCTCCGTATGAGGATGGAATTGGCTCCAGGTGACAGTTTTATCTATGTATCATCCAGTCCTTCACGACACGCTGATCGCCAGCTCCAGACAGCAGCACTGGAGGATGACGAATCGGAATTTGAGGGGAAGCCGGTTAGAATCCGTGATGAGTCCCCACCATCGGATTTAAATGCACCGAGACGCATTTTGGACTACCTAGACGAATCACGGATATGCAGTTAGTCAGGATTTCATTCCATTGCGAGCAGTGTGAGGTTATTATCGGTCAAATATATCTGCCCTTTATCAAGTGCCCTCATTGCCTATAGGTAGCCCTATTGGAATTCCACTGAGCTTCTAATGGCAGAATTTATTCCCATGCTGTCATGTGACAACGCCCTGGTCTTGTTTGGGCAAGGTGAGCTATATCCTGAGTCACGTGCTACCACACTATGTTGGTTAGACTTAAAGGTCTGGTCGTCAGTTTTACAGTTTCCAACAAGTTCTCTTCGCCTCAAGATCTGATGCTTGTTTGATTACCCTGCGATAGATCACATCTACAAGATGCTCCAACCTAAGAAAACGCAAATATCTCGGACGCGGACAGGCTGTCACACCTGTCGTACAAGACGCCGCAAGGTAATGATACCAAATATCTTGGAGTTGATCTATGTTGTTTAGACGAGACCCTGACTTGAACTTAGTGCGACGAAGCGAAGCCAGAATGCCGCAATTGCATCCGAATGGGATTCCGCTGTGAAGGCTACGGGGTTCGACTCACCTGGCCGGAGACGAGACATCAGGCCCCGGAGCCAGCCGAGGCCTCTAAACCGAAAGGTCGATCACTACCGTCCCATCGCCCTTTGGCGCCAGCTCCGGTAGCTTTGATGACAGCCAAACTTGCATCAAACGTTTATGTGAACCATTTTAGAGGTCAAGACACAACTAGCAGCGATATGCATGTTTCAAGGTCTGATTCAAGCGGAGAGCTTGTTGAACGTGCCCATCAAACTAGCTTGCCATTGCTCGTCTCGCCGAGTGTTGTTCATAGTGGGCACGGTAGTTTTCTTTTACATCATTTTTACAACTATGTCTCCAAATCCCTGACACCGCTGTTTGAACACCGGCTGGGGGACTTTTGGCTTCATCCGCTCCTCCGGCCCGTTGTCTTGGCCCTTGCAACTTCTAATCTTCATCAGTTATACCTGTTCGAGAGGCAGTCTTTTCGGCAACGCATCTCAGATATTGAACAAGAGAAGAACTTCAGATGTACTCCCGTAGCTGCGGCTTGGTTAAGTTATTCGACAACACTGTATGGGCATGCCCTGAGAACATTACGCCATACAAGCCTTGACAATAGCGAATCCGCGACACTGGCCCTAGCTGGTAGCCTCCTTCTATCTCTCTTTGAGTGGGAGACTGGAAGTGCTGAGGCTTACTTTACTCATTTAAAAGGCGCAGATGCGATTGTTCGCTCCGCATCTGATCGAATCGCCCATTTACCTAGCGGACTAAAGCTTTTACAGAGTTGGGCCAAGATGCATAATGGGAAATTACTCCATCTATTGCCATTTCGTCCCCTGGAACAGGAAATGGCTAGCCCACAGCAACTGGAGGCTACAATGCTATCAAATTCCTTTTGCGTCGGGCTCAATAGTCTCTCCAATCTTCTGGGTCAAGCATTTTCAGTGCGAAATCGCTTGATATTACACGTATGCACTGAATCGGCAGATTTGGCAAGTAAACCACTATTACAATTCTGGAGAGAATGGTATTCTGTCCAATTCAGGTTTACATATAACAAAGATCACGATGTCAATGACGCAAACGAGCTCACAGAAGCTGAGTTGCTCGACCATCTTGCACAAACAGGACGGGCACTCCAGCTGTGGCATGAATCTTTGAATGTATCCGAATTACCAGTGTTTCTGAACGATGCTGAAACCTTGGAAAGTTTTGACGAGCAGCTTTCTACTTCATTTCGGGTCTCTTCTTGCACTTTTATGACGAATCAGGCGGCTTTCCAGTATCTCAAGTATCTTACTGGTCGGATCCTATCGTCTACTAGGCAGCTCATGGAAACTCGACAACTTGGCAGTTTTGGTGCACCGGTGTCGCCTTCTATGCATCGCCTTATCTCGAAGACACTTTCGGTTATCAAAGCATTGGATCCCCAAGAAACGATCTTTTACGATGTATATGACATCGGCCCACTTTGGATCTTCGAGACTCTAGCTGTTTGCGTTCCAGAGATCTCAAGCTACCTTTTGAATGTCACGTTACCACGCTATGATTGCCTCGTTCAACAGGGTTCTTTATTAGTCTCTCTAGAACAAGCAAGGCGAACGCTCACTTGTATTTGTTCTGAATTCCAGAAGGGCCGCTGGGCAATGCTGTGTGACCCGAACGTGGTCTTGACCGATGACCTGATGCTAGATGGTTCCCACACAGGTACTTGTGCAGCGGTAGTTGGACGTGATAAGTTTGGTGTTTTTCGAGAGTTAATAAAACTAGAGTAAATTAAGGCAATCATTACGTATAAAGAATCGCAGCCTCTTTGAGTTTATACGCGCATGGAATGAACCATCGTAGAGCCGGGCCCTAGTTTCTGTTACTACAAATCTATCCAAGACCACGCAGGCGCTTCTTAATGCATCCATCTGGGAACGCAAAGAAGCCGCGGATGGTGCATCATCCTGAAAAAACTATTCTCATCCTACCACCTTTCTTCCATCGTCTCAAACCATAAATATATAGAAAGGAGAAGTCAAGGCACAAGTTTGTGTCCTTGAAATGGTTGAATGGTCTACCCTTTCTTTTCAAGACCTTTCTTCCGTCATTGAGCTTTTAGGAGACTTCTAAGCTTTCAGTGAGTCGTGTAGTATCAATATCGAGTTCGTCGGCTTGATGCATGTCATATCAAAGTCTGATAGGGTTTTGGCTGTAGATAGCAAGCCACCAGGGTACCCTCTGATATGTGTTCCATGCTGCTCCCAGGAAACCATTATAGCCTCAAGAACCTCCGCCAACTCTATGCTGTCCCACAATCCTCCCCTTAGCCTGAGCTCCCTCAATACTTTGGTGGCCCTCCGCATAAGGGCGATGTCGGTGGCGAATGCCACAACATACCAAAGGGAGATGATGACCTGGGCATCAAAGGAGAACGTGGGGTGGTACCGAGGACCGGTTTTATTGGTGATCTTCTCTGCCTGCTCGATAATGGCTTCGAGTTCGCTTTGCGAGACAATGCCACCAATGTCCAGAGACGGGGAGTCGTCCTTAAGTAGCGCAGCCCACGTTTTCTGTCCAAGTTGAAGCTTCATGATCAAATGTTCCTCTTGTCTGAGATGTTGACGATCGCCAGTAGCAATATACAAGTCAAAACTTTTACTCCACCACTGAAACCATTGGTGTATCATGCGGTACATGCCTATGTCCCTCTGTCCGAACTCGAGAGGCAGTTCTTCATGTCTAGATTTGACATCAGAATCAGTACAGGCAATCTGACAGTCGTGCTCCCCGAAAACCCGCTCATAGAAGATATCATGAGCAATCTCTAGTTGATGAAGCATATCACGCGCTGCAGCTGCACTGACGAACGATCCGGGACAAGGTGGCGGTAAAGAAAACGCTGTCGTTTCTGGGTGTCCGAACATGCTGAAATGAGAGAGTACGTCGTCGTCAATGAAGACTGAAGCATCCAGGGCCAGTCGTGAGAATAAGTTGGTAAGCTCATCTAACTCGTCATCTTGAGGAACGGGATTCGATCCGTTCCTATAGTTGGTGCCTATCGACCTTAGCGATACGAGGAGGCGGCAGCCTGCTTGTAAGTGTCTCAAAGCCTCCACGTGATGACCACTCAAATTCTCAATAGAAATAAAGATAAGGCAGCACATTAGCGTAGTTTTCATAGTCTTCAGGGGCGTGCCAGGACCCAGTGACTGAACAAGTTGCATTGAGAGGGTGTAATGTCTCAAAGCTATAGTATGCCGTAGCCTAGTTATCACAGGCGGGATGAACACGTTATCTTGCAGTAGGAATGACCAATGCATAGCCCCCAGAGCGATGAGGGCATGATGCACTGCGGCTTCGTGTTGACCTGCGAGAGGGACTTTTTCGCGCCAGAAGTGATACCGAGAGGAATAATCGCCCAACTCCTGAATGGTACAGGACACAGCATGGTGGAATGCCATTTGTTCGTAACGAGAGCCCGTAGTATTGAACAGGATGGGATGGTACAGTGGCAATGGGGACAAGGACTCTCCCATTTCGGTAATACGAGCTGTTTGTAGACCTGACCACATTACTGTACGCACTGAGCCTCCGAAGCTATGGTCCGGACATGGTTGGCATAATGATGGGTCATTATGGTAATCCTGATTGTGCGTGCTAACGGATGTAATTTAGTAACTGCCCCGGCGAAACCAATCAAGAGAGCTCTTACTTGCTTGAAGTGTTGTTCATTAGTCTGGTCCATTCAGAACACAAAGGTACTCTATGTTCTCGAGTTTTTGGCTTAGGGGCGACTTACCATGCAAGGTGGTCCTTCATACGTCTTGGCTTCTTGCCTCTTGCCCACTTGAAGCGTCGCATTGGGATAGGCATCGTATGGATTGTTGCCGTATGCTTACGGTTTGTTGGTTATGTAGAGAGTAGTGCTAGTATCTATCCTTATTCTCACATATATGTAGTGCAACCCATGAAGATATTTTCCCCTCCACTTTCCAGGGGCTAAAATCCCCATGAGTCATCATATGTATCAATAACTCCATCCTACTTCATTGGAGAGGTTTGGGAAACGTGCAAAGATTTATCTTGAAAACTCCTCGGTACTTGGTGGACAGTCCGAGGTTTCGGACAAACGAAGCGAATTCTGGTCCCAGAATGACATGGATATGCTTCACATGAATTCCTTCCGTGATTGGACACGGCGTTTCCGCTTTCTAGTTTGGGCGTAGTGAATTTCAAGTCCTTGCCCGAGCCCCATCATGACTCCGTATTCAAGCATTACGTAGTTCAAGGGTTTGCTAGAAGCAAGAAAGAGACGATCTCCGATATTGGCATGGCTTGACTGATTCATTTGTTGCTAGCCCCGAAATGGCAACCGGGAACACCACGACGAATTGTGTGTGAGTGTGTGAGTGTGTGAGTGAGTCAGTCGCAGCATCTTGTTAGCCTGGCAAATTTTATGCCTTATTACTCGAAGTTGTGGGACTTGCCAATACATGTGTAGCTGCTTATAAACGTGGGCTCTACTACCAACTCAGTATGTGCATTCCGAAACAGCGTCTCCTCCATCACCATGTTGATTCGTAAGGCAACGCGAGCGGATATAGGCGACATGGCAAGGGTTGCCGTTGCGTCCTATGCGAATGATCCCCAAGATACATACATGTACCCTCGCCGTCTGGAGCACCCCAAACGATATCTCAAACTCAAATCAGATATTATTGAGCATGCCTTTGAAGACCCGACCACGGTCCCTATAGTCGCCGTTTTGGATGACCAAGAACCTGACTGGCAAGGCACACCTGTTATCACTGGCTTCTGTGTCTGGTATTGCGAAAGCAATGTCGGCCGAGATAGCGAGGGCGCAGAAAATTCTACCAGAGAAACCAAGAGCTCAATATTAAAAGGTTAATTCCCCCCCTGTGTAGACTTATCACCCCGCATGCTAAGTTTTTTTTAGTGCTTTTCAATCGCATTTCAGATTCAGACATTGTAGATTTTCTTTCCGATTCGTTGAACCCTATTGTCAGCTCCTCGAACACTAGAAGCGTAGCCCAACACTGCAGCAATCCCACGTCCCGCCGGTTCCTGGCAGGCTATGAGCAGCCCTCCTCGTACTATGGCGTATATGACATTGGCGTTAGTCCTAAGTTCCAGCGACGGGGTGTAGCTCGCCAACTCATGAACTGGGGGATTGCAAAGGCCGACCAGGAGGCATTACCGGTGTATCTGTCGGCCACGCCAGCCGGGAAGCCGTTATATGAGAGACTAGGATTTCGAACAGTGGGTTACTGGACTTGGCGGCCTCAACAAGGTTCGGAATGGGACATCATGCAAAGAGATCATAATGCACCTGTTGAAAGGGGAGAAAAACAAAATAGTCAGGATTGCTAGGGAATAATTAGGTTTAGTAAAAGCCTCCGTTAGGTCCTCACTGGATCTATCTCAAATGCTGTCTAATGCTTGGATATTGGGGGGCATGATAAATATAATGGTTTGACGCAGGTTGGATTCACAGAAACATTCTATGTAGGTGACACATTCGGTTTCTTGTATTGTCTTTCCAAAATTGCAGCTGGTTGCCGTGGCTCGCTCGATAATGGACTACAACGAGCCTTGGGGGGGGATTAGCTAGAAAGGACAACTGATATAGCCATCTCATTTGCACCTCAACATATCCTTATTCCTGTTTCCGCAGAGGGAAAGGCGCTTCTAACTCGGACATTAATGGTATAAATAGAGACAAAAGGTCACAGCAATGAAAATGCCTTGCTACACCCATGGATTATCTATTTCGCTGTACTGTCTCCGCGGGGAAGCATGGGGAAGGGGATCTCTAGGATGTGCCATTCTAAATTCTTTGTTCGGGGAACTACGGCTTTCCATATCAGTTAATTTAGGCTGGGTGGGACAGTAGAATGGCCGCATTTTAGTAAGGTCATCCCGCAAGTGAACGTCACATGTTCTGGCCCATGTCTTGACTCATGAAATCGGGTCTATTTCAGATGTTCGGATATTTCTGTAGCCAATTGGATAATTGTGCCATTGCGAGGTTGGATCGTGACGGCATTTCGCTGTCTACGTACGTTGTCAATCTCCACCGCAGGGTGTAGGACGGATGTAAATCCTTCTGGTTTGGCGTGCTAACTGAACTGGATGCGTGGATGCCCAGTAGAAGCAAAAACAACAGTAGTGCAGGGATGGATACTGTATGGAGAAGGTCCCTCGCTTTGTATTGAGACATTTAGCCTTCGAAATTGCACTCGTTCTGATTAAATTATTTTGCGGAAGCATTCCCTCTCACCATCTTTTTACTGCCTCCTGTATTCCTTCTACTGGTCCCGCGTTTCATCACACATCAGATAAGCAGTCTAAGTTCACACCCTTTGCTTAGAGTCATGTCAACTTCAATTCGGCGAATTCTTCCCGCAGTCTTGGCTGCTCTGGCGGTCTTCATCGAGCCCGCTTTGCAGACTTGCTCTTCCCACACAGATTGTAGTTTGAATGGCATTTGTCAAGATAATAAATGCATATGCGACCCGGGGTGGCGAGCTGATGACTGCGGCGAGCTGGATGTACAGCCCACAGTCAAGTACTCTGGCTTGAACCTCTCAGATACAGGGACATCAACCTGGGGCTCCAGAATCATCCATGGTCCCATGGACAAACAAATGTTTCATATGTTCGTTTCGGAGTTCCCGGGTGGTTGCGGACTGGACTATTGGGCACCGTTCAGCCGCATCGCCCGCGCCGAATCGAGGACTGGTCCGTTAGGTCCTTACAATTTGGTAGAGGAGGTTGTTGGTGCCTTCGCTCATAATCCAACAGTCGTGTTTAGCGCCAAAGATGGTCTATACGCACTCTATTATATTGGGTGCCCCATGGTCCTACCCTCAAGTTGCTCTCATATGCAATTTACTTGTGGCAAGGGCAATGACGCCAACGGCGAAAGCGGGATTTCGCTCGCTACCTCTCCAGATCTCAGAACCTGGACCTTCCACGGCGAGGTTTTTTCAACTGGAGGCGGTGGTGCTTGGGACGAGACAGTGATCAACCCATCAGCGTTTGTGCTTGAAGGCGGCCCAGGATCAGATGATTCCATTCTTCTCGCATACCGTGGCTGTCCGTACAACTGCCATCCTTACCCGCCTTACGGTCCTGAGCTTATCAGCATCGCATCCGCCTCTTCGTATGCCGGACTTTACAAGCGTGTTGAGGGGGGGCCCTTGTTCAAGGATGAGAACGAGGATCCGTTCCTCTGGCGCGACAAGCGTGGAAACTATCACATGCTCTTGCACTCTCTTGAGCCCGAAGGCGGGTTTGGACTCGGGCCCAAAGTGGGACGACACGCTTATGCTGCCTCCTGGGATGGACCTTGGACCTTTGGCAGCAAGACTCTGGCGTTTAACACTACGGCGTTCTTCACGGATGGGACTTCCATTGACTTTCATCGACGGGAGCGCCCCCAGATATTTTTTTCTGAGGACGGTGAAATGACACCTCTGTACATGACGAATGGTGTGCAGGAGAAGGGGAAAGCCGGGAGCTACACTTTGATTGTGCCGATTGGCCAGGAATTCAAGAAATTCGAGCAAAGCTTAGGAATTAGTGAGGCAAAGCACGATGAACTCTAACACAGCACGTTGTGTTAAGCACTGCTGTCTACTCAATGCTGCAATTTGCCTCATGATAGGGCACCTAGGTACTCCAAGACGGAAAGAATGGGGAAAGCTGATTTGTGCTCGAATGGACACGGGGCAACAGGTTCGTTTGGAAGGTTCTCCGGTGCTGGGCCATTGAAGAGTAGAAGTCCATCTAGGCTGGCACATAATGCGACTTAACAGTGCAAAGCATAGGGTTGTCTCCATGGATCTACTAGAGTTCCAAATTTGTTCATAGCAAGGGTCAAAATCTTTGTTTAAGTGCAACTTTCTACCTCGCTTTGCATCTCCGTGTTTCAATACAGGAGAATCTAAACTACCTACTTGCCAATGAAAAATCTGGTCGAATGAGCACACCAAGAATAGCAACACGTATCAACTCGAATGTGGATTGTAAGAGAGTAATCCTGATCTTAGTATAAATTACTGCCGTGGCTTGACCCGTATTTATCTAATACTTTTTTAATTCACGTTCTTTCATGGCCTTTTTGCACAATCATCTTGAAAATCTCGAGATCCTCTTTCGCATCGGAGATGGTCGTCTTGATGGGACGCCCCTCCGTAATGTGGGCGTACAGCTCCTTCAACTCAACAGTGTAAGGGTCCTCGTACGTCTTGCGAATCGTCGTCTCCTTGAGAGAGCCGCCATCGCACACTTCGCTGATGTGCATCGTAATGGGGAGGCCCTTGACGAAAGGGGTGTCGTACTGGACTCGGACGCTCTTATTCTGCCCGTACACTTCGATGTGGGCGTCGAATTTTGGCACATTGTAGAAGCCGGTCTCGTAGCTCACCGCAAACTTGGGATACTGGAAGAGAACACTTTATAACCCTCGGACGTCAGCACTCTTCCAAGATCAAAAAAAAAGCTCTCACATAGGGGCTCACCTCCAGAAGGGTAGCGCCAGCGACGATCCCAGGACCTCGTCAGGTAAACCAATACACTCGCGCATGGCAGAAAGATCGTGCGAGCCAAGACCACCCATGATTCTCCAAGTCATGGTAGATTCGGGCGTCATCTTGACGCCGCACTCCTTGAGGCCTTGGGAGACGGTGTCCTCTGCCTTGGCGTCCTTCTCCTTGGTGCTCTCAGGAGGGAAGTCGGTGAAAGCTTTGGCAAAGGTACCCGACTGCTCGATAAAGGTGGAGTTGGGGCCGATGATATCTTTGGAGAAAAGTCCTCGTTAGAAGTAGAACGATGGGATTTGAGCTGGGGCGAGTATATTACCTCGTACTCTTGCGAACATGATGTTCTCAACGCCACCAATTTCCTTGACGGCATCGAGAAACACAGGCGCATACCTCCTCATGTACCCAACCATGACGTCGCCGGAGGATGCCTTCTCTGCCGAGGCAATCGCTTCACAGTCGCGAAGATTGAGCGCGAGCGGCTTCTCGACGAAGACAAACTTGTTGTGCTGGAGAGCGAGCACGGCGTGGTCGGTGTGGTACTCGTCGGAGTTGATGACGAAGACAACGTCCACCTCTGGAGACGCGCAGAGCTCCGCGGCATCGGTAGTAATCTCTGGGGGGACTCCTCCGACGACTCTGGCCTGACAGTGGCGAAGGGCGTTTTCAGATACATCGCAGAGGTAGGTGATGCGGAAGAGGTGGCAGAGAAGGCTGAGTGTGGGCAGATGGACAACCTGGGCGACAGTGCCGCAGCCGATGATGCCAACCCGCACGATACGAGGGGAGTCTGACGACATGCTCAAAGTATGTGGAATGGTTTGTGTGAGTTAATTGCGTGCATGAATGCTGGCATGAGTTGGACAGGCTCGCACGATGCAAAGCAGCACGAGACCTTTAAGGCTGTAGCTATGTCCCGTCTGCCATCGCCATCTGCGGTTCATGGCGAGGGTCCTTCAGATCCGCTCGTACATTGTGAACCGGTCGAAAAAAGGAAGCACATCACTCCAAAGTGGTTCTACGCGACCTTGTTCCCCATAGGTGTGGTAGAGATCGAGGTACTTTGTGTGGGGGAAATCAGGAGTGGACACTGACTGAATCGCGTAGATGGATCATTATGTGGGCTTGGGAGGATTTCCGAATTGGTTCGTCCGCGTTGCCCCGAGGAAGTGTCTTAGCAAACTCACCAGGTAAAGACCCTCTCATCTTCTGGAATTCCCTGGACTCTTGGAGCAATGGTATCAACTGGTCTCACTGCCGAGTCCCCCCGTCCCCGCGCTCCCTGTTCCTGCAACCTCTTCTACAATGCAACCTTCATCAGGACGAGGCAAGACGTTCCGCTGGCCGCGGCCCTGGATGCCCTCGATGGCCACGGATGGAGATCAGGCTGGTGACGGCGGTGCTGGAAGCCCGGGGGATGACGGAGCCCAGGACGACACCTCGTCAAGAACACGCCCGCAGAAGCGTCAGGCCGCAGACACAGACCGTGCAGCTCGATGCTTCCCCCGCAAGAGAGCACTCACGGCCTGTCAACTGTGCCGCGTGCGCAAGATCAAGTGCAACAACGCACGGCCCGCCTGTCTGGCATGTACCAGCGCAGGAGCCGAGTGCGTCTATGGAGATTCCAGAGATCATACCAGGTTTGTCCATACCACACCAATATCACATCCTCACTGGCGAATACTCATCACTGACACGTTTCTGGCAATAGTTTTGATCCTGCTAGCGTCTTAATACTGGAGCGCTTAGACAAACTTGATGCAGCTCTCGGTGCTCTGTCGTACTCTCAGCAGGCGTTTCTCTCGACTACGTCAAGTTTACGCCCAAGTCTTGGAGACGGTGTGAGTCTGACCCCTCAACCGACAGCAGACACATTGCATGGCTTGCCTAGCACGGCCCAAGACGACTGGCCCGTGGATGGTGACCAAAGCGAGAATGATGATGTTGAGTGGCTCATGAACGCTCAATCTGCCATTGCCTTGGATGCTGTTCTTCGCTGGCCCATCTTCCAAGGACGCCATCCACAAGATGGCCTGAGATCTGCCCTGGGCTCAATAGTTCATGACACTGCCTCCGGTTCCGACAGCGAAGAAGATGTCTACGGCAACGACAACAGGGATCAGAGGCATAGACCAACCCGCGTTTCCATTCGAGAGGACGCCATCCCAGGGTTGGTTGAGAAATTTCTGCTATACGTCCATATCAAAAACCCCGTACTAGATCACGACAAGCTACGAAAGTATGCCAAAACCGTCCGGGAAGAAGGACCTGGATGGGACGGCAAGTCCTGTCTTGTTGTGAGTACCACTAGCACCCGGCCCTTGCGAAATACTCCTCTGGCTTCACTCCCTCAAACTGTTCGAAGTACGCCCATTGACTTAGACTGTTGCTAGCTGATGGCGTGTGCTCTCGGATGCATAGCAAAGCCATTCGATAACCAAGACGACTTAGTGGCTCTTGCTGCTGGGGCGAACAGCACGTCGAGATATCCTGGCCAGCGGGAGCTGGCAGAGGTCTATTACAAGAGCGCCTGCAGACGCCTTGGCATGCTGGGCATATCGACATTGACGTCGCAATGCTACTTTCTTGCGGGCGTCTACTTGATGTACACCTTCCGCCAGCTGGACGCGTGGCGGGCATTTGTGCACGCCTCGAGCAATCTGCATGTCTACCTGCAGTTCAGGAGCAGCTCGGGACACGATAGCCAGGCCGCGAGGCGAGTCAAGTCTCTGGAACAGCGGCTATATTGGTCTTGCTTCAAGAGTGAATGGTGAGCCCCCCTTCTTACTCCTTTGTCCCCTTTAACCTCGACCAAGTGTAGAGCTCATTAGACAAAATCACAAAGCGAAGTTAGACTTGCTATTGCGCTTCCGGGCTCGAGTCTTTCCAGTCTTCAATATCCCGATCTCTTTCCCTCGCCGCCTCAGAGTATGGACAGTCACCCAAGTATGTCATGGCGACCACTGCCTGACATGACGCCCAGTAGTGAAGGTAGCCCATGGGACGCCAACTCTTCAGCCTCACAGCGATTTGATGCGTCGCTGGAAGAACGAAGCTGGTACTATTATCTCACCGAAATAGGGCTACGTCGCATGATCAACGGACTGCTGAAGGACTTGTATAGCCACGAAAACTCTGCTTGGCTAGACATGTCCATCCTTGTCGTTGTACAGCGCGTCAAAGACTTTGACGCCGAGCTTTCTCAATGGTAAGTATGCGGTCCAGGGGCGTTGACAAACGTTCTGAGTTTGCGTCGCTGACATGACCCCGAATCTCAGGTTTGAAGGACTACCGGACTGTATTCGGTATGACCGGGAGAACATTGAAATGATCCCGGCCGACGAGCTGCAATATTTTGTTCGCGCCCGCTACTTGGAAGTGCAAGCCTGGCTGTTTCGACCCATTGTCTATCTCGCAGCACACGGCTCCTCCGCGGATGCTCACTCTTCCACCTTGAATCCTCTCGTAGACCAGGCTGTATTTTATCACACTGTCATCATTGACCAGCATTGCGTCCTTCATCGGCACCACGGGACTTGGTTTAGCATGCGTTCTACAGTCACCGCGGCCTTTGTTATTATTGCCGCGTTTAGGAGCGGTCATTGCGGTATGAGTTTCACAGAGATGGAGGAGGTTATAGCTCGAGCCATTCGATCCGTAAAATTCTGGGAGAATGAATCCCAAGATCTCGTTTCGGCGCGGACGCTGCTAGAGGCGGAGTTGTCACTGCTGCGGACGGAACAATAGACGCAATTTACCCCATCATCACAGCATTTTAGCCAAATTCAGTCAGACAATTTGTCCTGTCCCTCCATTACGCGTGTCAAGACCCGTCAGTTCATACACTCAGATGGCCTGTACATGTCCTCTACCGTGAGCCGCTCGTGACTCTAGCATCCAACCTATTGAGCACAGCATTAACTACACTCAGATGTGCCTAGCAGAGGTGCATACCTTAGCTCGATCGTCCTTCTCGTACCATGCGCGTACCCCGTTTTGAGTTGGCCCGTTTTCTGTAACCAGAGCAAGGAGGCTTGACTCATGGAAGCAGTAAGCCCGAGTTGCCCCGGACGTTATCCAGAGCGGATAGACAACACTGGCACTTACCAGCTCTTCCAGCGCCCAGAGTAAGGTCCACCCCCGAGCCACCCCGCGTTTCTAGCCACCTCTTCCTGTACCTGGATCGCCTCACCTTACCGTGGCATGAGATACGTTCTCATTGAGGTATAGTCGCCAGGCGACGTCAGAGTTTGAGATGTTTGGTGGGGTTAGCGACAGAGTTGCGCTGTGTCGGGGAAACGTGGTTGAACAACTCCGACCTTGAAGAACCTACGTAGCTATCGTCAAGCGCATGTACATTGACCGCGTGCCTTGGAGAACATTAAACTTGGACAATGTATATCATAGGTAGGAGGCTATATGACTACTCATCTTGATCAAGGCACTCAACTCCACCACCTCAAGTAACGTTATCTCCCTAAGCTAAAATGCGTGTACACAAGGCCGCCACCATGACGACAGAATCTTCCAAGACTGTCACTGAACTAAAGCATGGCTGGAAGTTCAGGCAAACCGATCAGTCGGCGGACGAGCTACTGCCCGTATCTCGGTTCCCGACAAACATCCACCTAGACTTGATGCACCACAACATCATCCCCGATCCCTTCGTCGGCACCAACGAAGAGAAGGTGCAATGGGTGGGCGAGAAGTCCTGGACCTACGAAACGAGGTTCGCCAGCACTGAGAAGGTAGGAAGCAACCAGATCGACCTTGTCTTTGCTGGGCTGGACACCCACGCTGCCGTGTTGCTCAACGGGGTGGAGATCCTCAAGACGGAGAACATGTTCATCGCGGAAAGGGTCGACGTCACCAGTGTCGTGAAGGGACCTGGGCAGGAGAACCATCTCGAGATTCGCTTCGATAGCACCTGGACCATCGGCAAGCAGCTTAAGGCGGCCAACCCTGATCATCGCTGGATCGGATGGAACGGCGATGTAAGTCGGCTGGCGGTTCGCAAGGCGCAGTACCAGTATGTGAGTTTGGCAGCCCTTCTCCCCTCCTCTTTTCGTCGTGATATACATGAGAAGTCGTACTGATGCTTCGTGTCAGGGTTGGGATTGGGGTCCTAAGCTCATGACATGCGGCCCGTGGCGAGCAATTACGCTCGAGACCTACTCAGCTCGCATCTCCGATCTCCATAACACGACCGACGTCGACCATTCCCTCGAGTCGGCCAGCGTCACTGCAGAGGCTAGCATCGAGGGTAGTGACAAAGCATCCGAGGTTGTCTTTAGAATTAGTCTCAACTCTGCTACACTGGATGAGAACAAGGTACAGGTTCGCCATGGCAAAGCGTCTGTCATTTTCAACATTCAAAAGCCAGTGCTATGGTACCCGCACACATACGGAGACCAGCCTCTCTACTTGGTCTCAGCGCAGCTATTCTCTTCGAAGGGTCATCTCCTGGACGAGTCAAGCAAGAGAATTGGCTTGAGGGCAGCCAAACTCGTTCAGCGGGATCTCGATGGCCAGTCTGGAAAGTCCTTCTTCTTCGAGATCAACAACGTGCCCGTCTTCTGTGGAGGCAGCGACTGGATTCCGGCAGACAACTTCGTGCCGAGGATCACGGCTCAGCACTACAGAGACTCGGTTCGGCTCGCGGCCGAGGGCAATCAGATCATGATCCGCGTCTGGGGCGGCGGCATCTACGAGGAGCCGGCTTTTTACGAGGCGTGCGACGAATACGGGATCCTGGTGTGGCAGGACTTCATGTTTGCATGTGGCAACTACCCAGCGAACAAGGAGATGCTCCATCTCATCCGGCGTGAGGCCGAATACAACGTGAAGCGGCTTCGTCACCACCCTTGCCTTGTGCTATGGGCAGGTAACAACGAGGACTACTGGATCAGGGAGCTGAACGACCTTGACTACGTGATCGAAGACAAGGACCCGGAGAACTGGCTAAAGACGAACTTCCCGGCACGATACATTTACGAGAAGCTCCTACCAGAGGTGGTCAACGAGCTGTCCCCTTATGTCAACTATCACCCGGGATCGCCATACAGCGGAGCTCTCTCTACAGATGACAAGGAGGGCGACATCCACCAGTGGAATGGTATGTCAGAGTATAAAAGCACCACGTCAATGACAACAATGACTAACACATGTCTTTTCAACCATAGTATGGCACGGCAAGCTGGACAGGTGGCAGAACTACGACCAGCTCGGCGGACGCTTCGTCTCTGAGTTCGGCATGGAAGGTTTCCCTCACATCAAGACCATCGAAGCCTTTCTGCCCCTGGGCGCTGCCGACCCCGACCGCTTCCCCCAGTCGCGCACCATCGACTTCCACAACCGCTCCGACGACTTCGAGCGGCGGATCGCCACGTACCTGGGCGAGAACCTCCGATACCAGCCCTCCCCGCTGGAGAGGTACGTCTACGCCACGCAGCTGATGCAGGCCGAGAGCGTGGCCAGCGCGTACCGGCTGTGGAAGCGGGAGTGGAAGGGCCCCGGCAGGGAGTTTTGCGCCGGAGCCCTGGTCTGGCAGACTAACGACTGCTGGCCGGTCACGTCGTGGGCCATCGTGGACTACTACCTGCGCCCGAAGCCGGCGTACTACGCGGTGAAGCGCGAGCTCGAGGCCCTGACGGTGGGCGTCAAGCGCACGGGGGACAGCGCCGTGGTGCCGAGCCCGGACGGCTGTGATGGCGACATGCTGGAGATCTGGGCGACCAACTTGAGCGTGGAGTTGAGCAGCGTCACGGTTGAGCTCAGGGCCTGGGACGCGTACACGGGCCGGCAGACACACGCGGGCACCGTCACCCCTCAGCTGCTGCGCCTCGAGCCGAACCGCAGTACAGAGATTGCCAAAATCGAGGTGCCTGTGCAGACCAAGAAGGCGGGTCTGGAGAGACAGACGGTGGTGGCTGTGTACTTGCTGGACGAAGATGGGAGACAAGTCGCACGCCATGTCAACTGGCCCGAGCCGCTCAAGTACCTGCACCTGAAGCGGCCCGAGAGACTGGAAATTGGGATAACGGAAGGCAGAGACGCTGTGTACATCCGGTCGGACGTTCCGATCAAGGGTCTAGTGCTCGAGTCCGATGATGAGGATGTCTGGTTCTGTGATAATTTGGTCGACGTTGTCCCCGGGGAGACGCTGACTCTCAAGGCTACAGGGCTCAAAGGTGGTGATGAGTTTAGAACGGAGTATTACGAGTAGGCCGTTGTAGGTAATCTTGTCTAGACACATTCTATCAGTCTATAATCGAAGTTGACGGTGATTCGACTGCCCACTCACAAGAGCTAGTTGCTGCAAGTCTACCTGATTACAGAGTATACTGTGCCATGATGAATTTTTTGGGTGATGCAATGTAAACTTGTGTATATAGTAGTAAAAGGTTTCAGTACGAGGTAATGAAAAGGAAGAAGTCCGCGGTTAAGTGAGACTACAGGGAGCGAGGCTAAGTCTCGCTGCCTTGGGCTCTCAGCAAAGTAAGATCAGTCAAAACTGTTTCTTAGAGGATGAGGCCAAGTTTGGGACAGTGTTCGAGTATAAAAATAAAAATAAAAATAAAAATAGCAATAAAAGATTCCGGACTCGAGATCTCGACACAATGTATATTGAAACCAAGTTCATAGAAACGAACTTCTATTTGTGACGAAGGCACTGATGACCAATCCCTTCTATCTAAACATGTGAAAGATGACATCGGCGGCCTAAACCTAAGCTAAACTTACCACAACGGTGTATCCCTCGTGCTTGTTATAGCTGACGAATCACCCCTTATTCTTTAAGCGACCTCTGCTCAGCCGCTATGTTCATCTGGGCGTCGGTCTGGTAGGACTTGAACTGCCAGGCAGGAACGCGCTTCATGAACATCTCATCTAGCTCCTCGTACGTGCGTCCCATCGTCTCGGGCAGGTAGAGCCACAAGAGGACGGTGCAGAGGACACCCAGACCGCTGAAGATGAAGGCGATGCGCCCGCCAAGGTTGGCTTGATCCGGGTTGAAGAGATAGGGGATGACAAAAGCCCACATCGTCTGAGCCGAGCAAAGTCAGTAAAAAGAAGACACATTTCTTCCCATAGCAAAGGGTGGGGGCTTGCGCAACTTACAAAGATGGCTTGCTGAGTAGCGAGTCCGATGGCGGCCGTCTTGGCCCTGAGACGAGCCGTGGCAATCTCAGCCATGAGCGTGTAGGCCGTAGCGCCAATGGTGAAGTTGTAGAAGAAACACCACATCCACATCATGGCCACTGTGCCCTTGACGAAGCTCGGCTGCTGAACAAGACCCAGGCCTCCCGCGATGACGAGCAGGAGGGTGGTGAAGGCGGACCCCCAGACCGTCAGAGGCCGCCGCCCGAACCTGTCGATGATGAACCAGGACAGTATGTTGCCGCTCATGGAGAGGACCTGCTGGCCGATGTTGATCTGGAAGGACTCGGAGACGGTGTAGCCGCCCAGCTGGAGGTAGTAGGTAGAGTAGGCGGCGATGAAATACGCGCCTCCCAGGGCCTGGACGATGAGGGGGTCAATGCCCACGCACATGCGGCGGAAGTTAGAGGCGCGGAAGCACTCGAGGAAGCTGGCGCCGGCCGTCTCCTGGAGAGACTTGTCGAGGACGGTCTGGATGCCCGCTATCTTCGAGGTGACCTCGTCTGCGCTGTAGCCGAGACGGCGGAGGGACTTGAGGGCTTTGTCTTGTTTGCCCTTGGACAGAAGCCACCAGGGAGATCTGCCGGAACTCATGTTAGTCAAAGGCAAGACTCAAGAGGAGCTTGGGGGGAAGAACTGACTCGGGCAAAAAGGGAAGGCCGATGGCAGCGACCCCAGCAACGCCGTACTGGGACACGAAGATGATGCGATAAGCCCAGCGGCTGTCTTGATTACTGGTGCCGTTGACGATCAGGGCCGCCACGAGGGAGCCAATTGTGAAAGAGACGGCACAGGCGGCCGTGATGCTGCCGCGTAAGGCCAGCGGGACAATCTGTCATGGTTGGCATCAGCTGATTGGGAAAGAGTAGTGAGTCATGTGTTTCAAGCATACCTCGCCGACATATGCCATGGAGACCGTGACAAAGGCGCCAACCGAGAAGCCATTGATGAGCTTTCCGGCAAAGAAGACCGGGTTGGTGGTCGAGATTGTCTCGAGCGTGATGCCGACAAGAACGTTGAGAACATCGAGGGCCAGCGTGTACTTTCGGCCAATCTTGTCCGCAACCCAGCTAGAGCCAAGCGCTCCGATGACAGTGCTGTTCACAGAGGGAGAGAAGAAGTCAGCAAGACGAATTGCACATTGGAACGTCCAAGTTGGAAGAGAGGGGATAAAACTCACGACGCAGTCGGGCCGCCACTGTGAGCCGACTGCCACCCAGCGGGGAGGACATAGCCGCCGTCGAAGGCGTGGCCAAAGTCCTTGCGAAACTGGGGGATGCCTAAGACCACGCCACCAGCCTGGTTGTCGAAGCTGCTCAGGAAGAGGATCCAGATGGCGAAGCAGCACCAGAAGACGACCCGGGGGTACTTCCTCAGGGCCTGCGTGGGGGTCAGTTCCTGTTCCTCGGCGTTCTGTGCGCTGCTGAGGTCTTCGGCCGTCTCAGCGTGAGCGGTCTTGGTGTCGTCCTTTTCCATGGCCAGCACGGCCATTCTTGTTGTCTGCTGGTCTTGTTGTCTCTAGTGGGTAGGTAAAGGAAAACAGGTAAATAGAGAAGATTGTGGGTTGTGGCAGAGACCGCGGTAAGTTGGGATTAGAGCTTGGTTTCTTAGTCTCTGGCCGATTTTTCTTGAGCAAGCAGCTCTTCTCCTTATATATGTCTTCCCTTTTTATTATAGGGAAATCGAGAGTCGGACTTGAGTCTAGATCATAATCCGCTAAGTCTAGGACAGAGGAGTTACTGTCCAGCTACTCCAGGCGACCCTTCACGGGGGTTGGCATGCAACACCCCCACTCTGCCAAGAACTGGAGAAAGAGAATCCGGGGTGTCACTTCCAGCGTCGTGGTTATACTATTTCGCAGCAGAGAGCCTCGAAAGTGAGTCAAGGTTGAAAAGACTTCCTCGCCCGTGGGGACCCCCAGCTGGATGAAAACACTAGTTTGGCTAGGTAGTCTCAGAGGTAGTGGGAAACGTGGACTAATGATCTATAACTGTTGTTCTAAGCCTGACTTGTGGGCATTTCCATTCTAGGCACATTCAAATCCGAGCTGCCCCGAAACTTTAGCGTCACTTCTTGCACCCGCAGTTTGTCCCGAATCAGGGAGAGAGGGGTTGTCTCACAATGATCCATAGATGAAGAGTCATGCAGGCTTTGACATGGATACAGCACTGACATCTGATTTGCTAATTGGTGAATCCCGAAGGAGTCCACGTGGCTCTAAACCCTGTCCGCATCATTTGCGTCCAGATATTTTGCAAGACAATTTGAATCCGAACTACACGGGCTTGCTCGGGAGCTTGTTCAGCTTACCTGGACCTTGTTCTGCGGTGGATATGAAGCCCGGAAGTCAAGGACCTTGTGGCTCTAAGCCTCATAACTCTCGGCTCGAGTTGCCCCGGGGCATCACGGAGCAGAGATGCATTCCATTCCAGTCACATGGAAAGACTAGTTGCCCCGACCACCCTACCCCGAAACCCCGCTGAGGGCCTAGCCTGCCTATCTACAGTGGGGGTCCAAAAGTTTGTCAAAACTCACTTTTCCTCACCAAAATACCTCAAAATACTATCCTGTAACTCCTTAATAAAACCTTCCCTTAGTATATTTATAAAAAATAAAATATATATTATATAAATTAAATACCTATATTTTATATATATACTTTTATATTTATTTATATCTTAATAATTAATAGAGTAAATAGCTATTAAAATAAGAGTAAGGTAGAAGGGAAATTTATAGAAGGTTATAGTGGGTTTATAGTGGATAAGAATTTTAAAAAAGAGAACTCTCTACTTTAGAACTATTTTATTCTATAATACTAATAGGAAATAATTTCTAAAAATTATATTTAGATAATTTAAGTATTAATTAATATAATTTATATTTTTATTATATTTTATATCCTATTATCTAGGTTTTTTAGGGGTTTAAAATAGTAGTATTTTGGTGTAGAAAAGTGAGCTTTGACAAACTTTTGGACCCCCAGTGTAGGTGGTTGTTGTCCTGTTCATCGTTTAGGCACGGACAAAAGGGCGATGCATTTAGGTGGTTTCCGGCTCGGTGGGGAGCAAGCTGCACTAATCCAAAAGTCATGGTGTAGATCCAATTGTCCTCTCATTTGTCCCAGTCCTCAATTTGATTTTCTCAAAAAGGGCATTCATCATGGCATGACTGTCTAATTTCCTCCTCATCTATCTTCTTCCCCCCTGCAGTGTTTATCGATTCATTCCATTCACTCTTCTAAGACATACCCTCACTGAGCCAAAATGAGCATCGGCGTTGCACTTCTCGGTGGCGGAATCTTCGCCCGAGAGGAGCACTTTGTAAGTTTCGCACAATTGATGTGCAAAGGCTCGAACACTGTCTAATTGAAACGCGCGATTAAGCCTGCGATCCAAGCGACCAAGAAACTAACACTGAAGGCAGTCTACTCACGCTCTTTAAAATCTGCCAAGACCGTTTGCGAGGACTCCAACGAGGTTCAGCTCTACTCTGACGACTCTGCGCCTGGGAGACAACTTTCGGATGTCCTCACCAGGGACGATGTTCACGCCGTCATTGTAGCGTACGATGCCCCGGAAGAAGAGGCACAGATCGAGTATACTGACATAACCACGTAGGCTGCCCATCCTCGTCCAGCCCGCCGTAATTAAGAAGGCTCTTCTGGCTGGCAAGCACGTCCTGTCTGAGAAGCCAATTGCCAAAGATCTCACCGAGGCTCAAGAACTCATTTCGTGGTATGAAAAGAACATTGACAGCAGCAAGGTAACATGGGGCATAGCCGAGAACTTCAGGTACCTGTCGCCGTTCTTGAAGACCAGGGAGGTCATCCAGGGTCTAGGGCGACCTCTTGGGTTTCGAGTGCGCATGCAGACATTCAATGAAGTGGGCGGCAAGTTCTACGGTGAGCACAGTCGTTATTTCTCGTCTCGCTGGGGCAAGACTGACCGACGAATGGCGTGCAGAGACGGAGTGGCGTAAGAAGCCAGAGTATCAAGGCGGCTTCCTCCTCGACGGCGGCGTACACTTCACTGCCGGCCTCCGCCTACTCCTGGGACAAGACAAGATCACAAGTGTGTCCGCCTACACGAATCAGCTGCAAGCCCACCTCCCACCCGTCGATACCGCAGATGCGATCCTCCGCACAGAATCGGGCGTCACTGGCACGTTCTCGGTCTCGTTCGGAACCTCGTTCGGTGGCAACGAGTGGACCGTGGCCTGCGAGAAGGGCGTGGCCAGCTTTGGCGACGGCGTCATCAAGGTGACCAAGCCAGATGGGCAGGCAGACACGGTCGAGTACGAGAACTCGGGCAACGGCGTGACGAACGAAGTCCGCGCCTGGGCAGCGTCCATCGTCAACAAGAACCAAGACTGGCAGCAGCGGCCGAAAGAGGCGCTGGCTGACCTTGAGATTGTAAGCTACGGGCAGCTTGGCTGTGTTTTTGCCATTCTTCTTCGTTTTCTCTGCTAACAAATAAACAGCTGGAGAGTATCCTGGTGAGTGGCGATAAGGAGGGTGCACCTGTGTTGTGCAAGTTCCAATGAGGACACCGTGATGGTACGAGGGATAGAGACTCAAAGACTGTGGTGTTTGTTCATATATTTCTATAGAAAGTGATTACACGGCATCAGATCTATCCTACCTCGAGCATCAGAGCGGGAATATTACATGAAAATCGACTTTTATCCTAACAAGGCATAGGTCAGCTTATTTTTCAATTGTTTACTGTTATTAATCATTGTTTAATTAGCTTGATGCAATGAGCCATTTAAATGCGTGAACATTGGCCAGGAATGCTGAGGTAAAGCAGACTAGAAAACGATAATGACCCTGCAGCCTAATGCCACACCGCATTCACGCGAAATTCACAGCCCCATATACAAGTATCGACGCTTTTTGTGAAAATCCTCTACAATTTAGCATCTTCAGAGAAATCCAAGCTCGAGTCCCATCGGCTGCCTAGAACGAGCATCCACAACATCCAGGTATAAATTTACATGATGGGACAGTCACTGCGAACCCAAAGAAAGAGCCATCATTCGCATCTGAAAAAACTGTATCCCTCCACTTCACTAACTATCCCACGAAGGTTCCATCAAGACACCATGCCAACATATCCAGGACTCGGCCGCTATCTGCACTGGTGCCCAGAAAGGGGCTCACGGATGCACACTGGGATCAACTCCTATCCTATAGGGATTGACAGTGACTCCATCGGCGCCAACTCTGAAATGCTGCTAGTTCGTGAGGTCGCCATGATGGTTGTCATGGAGCTGCTCACGGACAAACCCGACTTCCATGTCAAGATCTTTGATGACGAGATTGTCAAAAAATGGAAGGCCGAGGCTTTGGCAATTCCAGATGAACAGCTGTATCAGCAGATCGCCAACCACTTGGGGAGGCTTCCTCCATTGCCCAAGGGTATTCTGGACGAAGACTGTCTCGACTATGTGAGCATATTGTCTTTATAATTCCTTTCTATAATCTTGACTTGGTCGCTGACCAGGTATATGATCAAGTGCATCCATGAGCTCCGCGCCAAAGCCGAGTTCTTCAAGAAGACAGGCCTCATCCCAACCATGGACGCATGCGCTTCAGCCTGCAAGTCGGACACCATCGTTGACGACTCACTGAAAGAGGAGCTTAGAGCAGCCTTCGTCAAACTCAAGGAGGAGCAGGGCGAGAATCCTGATTGGCATCCTCGCTCTCATGATCAAGTACAGGATCTGGTACACCCTTCCCTCTACCCACTCGTCTATGGTAAGACGCGGGTTTTCACTGATGAAGTCGTCGGCGTCGAGGACGCCATCGATAAGTGGGCTGGTAAGGGTGAAGTGATTCCCAAGCCCACCATTGAGAGGCCTCAGTCTCAGCCGGAGTGGGAATGGCGACAGGTTGAACCCTCATTCTGGTCAACTAGGTACCAGTGGCTGCCGGCGAACCTCCAGCGCCAGGCGGACGGCAGATTCAAATTCACAAGCTACATCAATAATCTGCACCCAACCAAGCACGCCGATATCTACGCAACGATTGAGAAACTGGTGGAGAAGGCCCTTCCAGCCTGGGATTTGTGCGTGACTCCATATGAACGTGCAACCAGCAACGGCGGCCGGAATAGCCAACGTATCCCTGAGCCTGCAGACCCTAGGTGAGTAAAGCTTCTTAATAACCTTTCATTGTTTCGAGATCGTATTTATCTACAACTCGCCATGCTGACAACCTCCGCGTAGCGACGAGAGTGAAGAAAATTGGGATCCGCCGTCAGCTGATCATATTGACCTACCCCAAAAAGTCGACAGCGAGGGCGAAGATGAGAGCGAAGATGAAGATGACTATGGCCGAACACCCAAAGAAGCTGAATGGCACAGAATCAGGCGCCCAATCCACCCGAAGCCTCCCCCATTCCAAGCTTGGAACTATGAGGTTGATGTGGGCAACCGTCTAAGAGACACCTATGACCGGCTTCAAGTCATCGTGAAGATGGCATCCATCGAGATCGCGACAAATCAAGTCGAATTCCCTCCTGGAAACTGGCACGTAGAAGGCCAAATGAACGAGCACATTGTTGGAACGGCCCTATATTATCTCGACTCGGAAAATGTCACCCCCAGCTACCTAGATTTCCGCATGCCGACTAGCTACGACCAAGACGACCTGCAGATGAAAGTCGGCCAAGATCAATTTGATTATGTGGAGCGGGTCTACGGGACAGATCTCAAGCAAACCACTGCTATGCAGTATTACGGCAGGATCGAGACAAAAGAAGGCCGTTTACTCGCTTTCCCCAATGTCTTCCACCATCGGGTCTCGGACTTCGAGAGAGTTGACGAGACCAAACCGGGCCATCGACGGTTCATCGCCCTCTGGCTGGTCGATCCTGAAACCCGCATCATCAGCACTGCCAATGTTCCTCCCCAGCAACAAAGCTGGTGGCTTGAGAACACCTTTCAACACGCGACCGAAGAGAATGCAGGCAACATCCCTCAGGTGATTGCAGAGCATATGAAGGAGAGGATACCTGGTAACCAAATTATCGACTCAGCGGCCTCAGCTGGCAAGTCTCTTCCGGCGGAACTCACAGATATGATTAAGCAGGAGCTTGAAGGCGAGTCTCTTGGGATGACTCTAGAGGAAGCAAAGGAGCACCGCCTCAAATTGATGGACATTCGCAGCAGGGCTCATGACACTGCAGAGCAAAGGTGGAACCGCAACGAGTACTTTTTCTGTGAGCACTAGGGGAGACAGCATTTTATTTTGAAGAGGCATGTCAAGAATGCTGGAGGTTAATGTCTCTGGCTGCCTTGACGTTATCACAAATCTCACGATACATTCGATGGCTTATTCAAGACAAGGAAGCACAGGGACTAAGGTTGATATTTGTTTGCAATGCGCATTTGTTGGGGTTAGTCACTCTCTACTACGACTCTATAACAAAATATGACTTCGCTGCGTTTTTTTGTCACTCTTCGATCAGGCTGGAGACCATCGCGGGCCGCAGTCTAGATCCAGTAAAGATGGCACAGATCAAGCGTCCCATTTGGGGTACGATATTCTTCTTATAGTCTCAATCGTCACCTTGATATTTTCCTATTGCAATGAGATCAAGTGCCCTTTGAGATAATGCCCTATGTGCAATGGTTGCTGCAGCTGATTGGCCACAGAAATGTTCTGACTGCTGCCTGCTGCTGCCTGCTGCAACCCATCCACACACTCCACTCCTTTCTTCAACTATAAATCCAGACAACTCTCCTCCTTTCCCTCCTTCTTTCTCTTTCTTTCTCCATACTTACCAGCTCGGTGTTCTCAAGCTCAAGAAAATGAGAACACAGTTTCGGAGACCTGCACTGCACCTCGCGGCGTCTTTCTGCTTCACCGCCTCTCGTAGGCCTGGAGAGCTCAATTTTTGATTTATTACATTGCTTTCATTGTGGTTTCTTGCTTGGATTCAAGGCCATGAAGAAGGTGGGTGAAATTGTATTCATAATACAAGTTTCATTGACGTCGGTGGAGGGTTGTTTGTCATTTCGACAAGGAACGGCGAGGTTTTCTAATGATAGAGGGTTTGTCATTAATAATAAATTTTATTTCGTGTACGGTATTATAATATTCGCGGAAATGAAGAGCATTAGATGTTGATAAACAATTGAAACGCAATTCTCTGGCCAGACGATAAACCGAGCCGCCCAGCTGCTATTTTGGTGGACGAGCAGCCATCTGATAGCGAAGGGGTCGGTCTCATGCATGGATAAATTGAAATATGGATAAACAGTCATGAGATGCCCTTTGGTCATATTATGCTTGTAAAATTATCGACTCAATCTAGGAGCATCATTCCAGAGTGTTGAGTTAAATATCCGCTGGACGAAAGCTTACGAAAAGCATGGGTGGAAAGCGATTCAAAAGACAGCCACCTTTTGTCTTTTCAGTCTTCAAGAATGCTATCTCAACATTTAGAAACCATCGCGAGAGAAGGGTACAATATTTTCAAATAAGGATTTTATTCAATTAGTCGCAGTATGACAGCAATTCTAATTGCTTGTCTCTACCCGACAACCAGAACGTGCCGAGGCCTGAGATGATTGATTACCCTGGACTTTACCTACGTCATCAACGTTACATGTAATTGTACCTACTTCATTCGAAGCATAGAAAGTATATAAGTTCAAAATGAGTGCCATTCCTCGCCCTCTTGTGCCAACAATCCCGTGGGCTAAACAATTGACTGCTATTGTGTTGAGTCTACTTGTTCTAACAAACAAGTTTCACGGGGTGGGCGATAGTGATCTTATCAAGCTTCCGACAATGAAATAAACCCCCAGCCTCGAAGAGAATATCTTTATCAATATCCTTGTAGACCTATTTTACCGTAGTAAAGGACCACGATTATATTATTGAATACACTTCACGTTCTGGCCTTACGTAAAATGGAGAACTTCTTGCAGGCATTGAATGAAGGGAGAATAAATAGCTGAGGTAAAAGGCTGGATCACTGAGCATCTACGATTCAAAATATTAAGCTATACGTGGGAAATGCGATTGGTTATTAACTTGTATTCATTTCTGTTGCTACATCGAGACAGGTTTTATGCAATTACAGTAGGGCAAACCTATCATCAGACACAGGACTTTAAGTTGTCCAGTCCAACTTACAGTCTGGGCGTCGCCCGAATCAGCAGTGGCTTCTTGATCCATAAAGCAAAGGCTTTCTGGGCAGACCAGTCACGGCTCTCGTCGGACAGCTCCAGGTCGTATCTGAAGAGAATCGTAGCTAAGAGGAGTCTCATCTCATGCATCGCCATGTTCTGCCCAAGACAGTTGCGGGACCCGAAGCCAAATGGCTGATGCGCCTCCAGGGCATCCCCTTGGTATACGGGATCCGTTCTAAGCCATCTTTCGGGCGCATAGGTGTTGGCATTCTTGAAGTTCGCTTCGGAGTGATATGTTGACCAATGGTGAACGGATACACGCGTCTCTGCGGGAATCCATTTGCCCATAACTTGCTGGCCCCCTTTGGGGACAACCCTGGGGCTTCCAATGGGTACCGGAGGATAGATGCGTAAAGCTTCCTTCAGACAGGCGTTCAAGTATTTCATTTCGGCGGTACGTTCGAATGTGATATCGTCTGCTGTCTTGATACGATCGTCAAGTTCCTTGCGCAGGGTTTTCATCTTGTCAGGGTTCATGAGTAAATTGTAAAGGCAGCCACCCAGAAGTGTAGCTACGAAGATGGTATTAGCTTTTATTTCCTTCGAATCTGCTTGTTCGGGTCTGAAAGGGTGGACAGGGAGCGGGGACTGACCGGTGGTTTCTGATCCAGCAAGCATGAACAGCTCGGAGTTAGAATGCATTTCCTCAAGCGTAAGACCCTTGCCCTCATCGGCTGACAAGACCAAGTTCCAAATATCTGGATTCTCAGAGCCGGCTTTGAGGCGGCGGTTTACTCTCTCCTCCGAGTGCTTGCAGTGCGTTACCCGCTGTTGGGTAACAGACTTGGGCTCAAAGCGAGTGAACAAAGCATTCAGGATGGGATAGTAGTTGATCATGGAAGCAATAGGCAACATCTTCAAAGACTCAAAGATGGATCTGACCCAGGGACTATACTCATTCTTAGCTAGAAGGTTCAGATTTTCTCCAAAGCAGAGTTCAGCCATAACATCAAAAGTGGTGAAGTTCAGCAGCTGCGTAAACTCGACAGGCTTCTTTCCCTCCTCGCCAACCTCGGCGATCTTATGTATGAGAAGGCTGGCATATTTCCTGAAAAGGGGCTCTTGTTGCTTCAAGGCACGCTCTGAGAAAGCAGGAGAAAATAGGCGACGGACACGAGTATGGTTTTCGGTATTGGCTGTAAGCATACTTGGAACGCCTATCAATTGTTAAATTACGTACTCGAGATGGTATTCAAAAGCGGAAAGACGTGTATTACCATTGATGGGCTGAACAGAAAATTCCTGCGCCTTCTCTGTGACCTTTGGACCATGGATATCACTCCATGCTTGGGTAGTGGTATAGCTCACATCCGTAGGACCAAAACGGACAACAGGCCCATATCGGTCATGTAGCTCTTTCATCCATGGCACGTCCTCGCCCCGAACCAAAACACGCCAGTAGGGAATACGGCTGACTGCACAAGTCCAAGGACCAGGAATGCCGGACAATGGGGAAAATTTGAGGGAGATGATGGCGCCTCCGACCAGGTAAATGGCCAGCAGAGCCCCCGCGAGGACGAGAAGATTGGCCATGGCGAAGCTGAAGCTGTCAACTAGCCTGGTAAAGAATGACTGCAGACCCGGATGGGAACAGTGTGCTTATTGGGGGTGAGCATGCCTAATTTAACGGATGGAATAACCAACTGCAGAAATGTCCAGGTTGTAGCATGTGGTAGGTGAAGTGGATACAGCGAGGCCAACGCATACAACACAAGGATCATCATGTCATATCTTGTCCCTCTCAACTCTAGTGCCATCCCAAAGACGTTTTCATGCTAGAAAGCTTGTGAAAGGATGTGGGAGCGCTTTCATATCTTTGACAGGGGCTTGTTTCGGCTACCCTGACATCCACTTACGCGTCTCCACGTCCCTAGAAGATTTGTATGATTGAATTGGGAAAGATTCACAACATAGCTTTGCATAAGAACCGGCAGCTCATTCGTCAATGCGCTTCAGCTCCCCCAGTGGTGACATGAGCAGAGTAACATACATAGTAGTCGGCCAACTAGGGTTGCTTCTGGTCCCCTACTAGAGCTGACATGCAATCCACTGTTTTGAACCAACCGTTGGTCCAAGTTGGTCATCTAGGTAACATTCGAGTTATGTTTCTGCTTTACCTGACGGAGTGCTGACTTCCTGAAATTAGAAGGGTTCGTGAAATCCAATCTCGTGGAGGAATACAGAATTTTTCTCACATCACCTCCACCCCATGAAGGCTCATGTAGCTAACTGTGGCTGACAGGGAGAATCTTTCAGACAAAAGTAGCTACTGGGGCGCATTTCGAGGCACATCTACAAGCATCTCTGACCGCCTAAAATCTGTTGGCACTCGTCCTATTGATCAGAGCCCGCCCCCACGGGTCTTGACCAATGACACATCGGAGGGATCGCGTGAAGATCAACGAGAGGTCCGACGGCAGGATTGGATTAATTTTCCTGACCGCGGATTCGGCTATGGCTTCATCACTTCGGAGCCGGCCCTCTGATATACTGGTAGCTAGTATTGTTCATACGCTGTGTCCAGGAAATTGCCGATTCCTCACTCTCTCCCTCATGTACTCCTTCTCTAGAGTTGCACATGCCCTCTGTCTCTCCCTGGCATTTGCACATCTTGTAAGATGAATAAGGGGGTTGCGTAGCCTACGCCCCCTCCCTCCAGAGTCGGTAGTTGGGGGGGGGGGGGCAATAACCCCTGGTTCGTCTCATCTGGGCAGTGCTTTGTTGCGATCCCTGATTTGAAGAATAAATACATACTAAACAATATAAAAACTGATTGGGCTCTCCGCAGATAATCGACAACTCATGGTCTAGTTGTAGTCATACATAATCTACTAGATTGCCCGTAGTAAAACTGAGGAGAAAGAGTACGAGCCTTGTATGATCCCATGGTTGGGTGGGAAACACCCAAGTCTGTGGGGGACCAACAGCCGAAGTCTTGAAAATATTAATTCGCTCAAGAACGCCCTTCGTAAATATTTGTAATACCTGTCACTCTTTGGCCAGTCCAGATTCTCCCAAGTTCACCGGGGGCTGGCGGAAGTCAGGGGGGGTCCACTGTCACCCCCTGTGTTCCAACGACCAACGGCCAACAAACATTGGACTGGAGGTTTTCCGTGATACGCGACCGTTGAATAGCCCCACTGTGATGAGACTGATCCTAGGAGACACTACTGGATCTACCCAGTAGACTAGCTAAGATAGGCGAAATGGACTCAAGGGGACTTATCTGTCAAGAGTTGTCAGTGCTAGGTTTATGTTCCCTCCAGGTACCGGTTTGCCGAAGTTGTTCTCCATCAGGCGAACAGCATCTAGATCTTTCATCTCTCCAAGCAGATAACAGGCCTTGACAAGGTCATCGTTCGCTCATCACGCCAATTGGCCTGCCTCCAATCTGCACTCTCAGCCTTAAAGATATGCAATATGATACTCGAGTGCTTATAAGTCTCTCGAAGATTGTTGCCCCCTACAGAATTAGCAATTCGTGCATTAACCGTCAAACACAAATCAAGTTAGAGTGTGATACTAATTCCAAACCGTTTCCAGGGCCACAATATCCTGGGCTGAATGTAACGGTTGTCTGTGCCCCAGGAACGTGGCATCGGGTCCCTGGGGAAGACGAGCTCCTCTGCCACTCGCTTGGATTTGGAGACAATTTTGCTGATCTCGAGCACATCTCCACCATGTTGTTTCCTCTTATGCCCTGCCAATTCATTCCTCTTATGACAGCCAGTGCCACCCAAGCCAACGGTAAGAAAAGGAGAAAATAGAGACACAACGCCAATCAACAAAACCGCGCTCGTCTGCATCTTTTCTTTCTATGTTACTTACGACACATCGGGTGCCATTGGCAAAGAACTGGCAATTACAATGGATTCCATGACAGGGGAACAAATTCAGGCTCTCGCCAATGCCCTGCCGCCACTGACGCCCAAAGGCTTGGGATCCGCTGTTGAAGTTGTTGCCTGCTTGTTCGGTGCCATCAGTCTTCTCGCCGTATCACTTCGAATATATGTTCGCTCAGGCTGCTCGGTCGCATCTTCTAAGCACTGGGGCATCGAGGACTACCTGGTGTTAGCTGGTATTGTAAGTTGAAATCGCATCAGTGATTCCAGTAAGCGCTCGCTACCTCTGCGGGCTTCAGCTAATTGAATATTTCTGTTGGTAGCTACCTTTCATTCCCGCCGTCGCCTTTGCCGTCCTAGCTGCTCGCTATGGTGTTGGGAGCCATGACGTCGACATCCCCTCGCCGTTGTATCTGATCCGCGCGTCCGAATACCAAACCTACTGGGAAGTTTTGTACTTCATCGCTTCAACGATTATCAAATGCGCCATTGGATTTACCTGTGTTCGCGTGGATACGAGGAAGCGAGTCACCATCCCATTATACGTCAACATGGCCACCATGGTCATTGTGGCCATCCTTGCTCTGACCTTTGTCTTTGCGAACTGTGTTCCTGTTGCAGCAACATGGAACCCAGCATTGTACGTGCCTCCGACTTCAAGGCGATTCATCCGTAACTAACAAGGATCAACCCAGGGGAACCTGCCAGGACAAGATCAGCTTGCAGACTGTCAGTTATATCGTGTCTGTTATTCAGATGGTGACGGATTGGGCATGCGCTATTATCCCCTTTTTCATTGTCGCCGGGCTACAAATGTCGAGAAGAAGAAAGGTGTCTGTCATTGCGATTCTTGGAATTGGTGTTACCGCAAGTATCGCCACTTGCATCCGTATGCCCTTCTTGAAGTACTACGACACGAAGAAATATCCCACTGAGATAGGCTGTTCGTCTTGTGTCCCAATCAACATTCTCGCCCCTTGCTAACAGAGCATCGCAGATCATCTTGGTGTCATCAGCATCACGTCAAACCTCGAGTGCAGCTTGGGTATCATCGCGTGCTCTTTGCCTCCTCTCAGGAAGCTGTTCAAATTCTACTACGGCAATTCGTCTCGCGACGCTCAGTACAAGTATACCCGAGAGGTGAGTTCTCATGAGTCCACACTTAATGTGGATAGAGTTGCCATCCATCATCAGTGCCCTCAAGCACAAACTGACATTGAACAGAGCGAAAATGCGCTGGGATCTTCCGGTCCAGGAATCAGACTCGATTCAATCAACAAGCACGATCGTCCTTTCCATTCGGCCAAAGTCACCGCGTCAGGCTTTAGAGAGCTTGACACGGATGATGATGGCTCTAGCCGCAAGGGGATCGTGCGCAAGACGGATATCTACGTCTCATAGAACGCATTTTTCTACCTCCCATCCTACATTACACTAAATTAGAAAAGGTTCTTGTTGCTAGGCATTCTTCGAAGGCCAGAGTCATGGCAATGCTCTACAGTTTGTCTGTTATCATGGCAGTATGGCGGGACCAACAGGGTCTTCAATGTACCAAGACCACTACTGGATTGCCACAATGACGATATGACCTTAGCCGACGCGGAAAAGCTCGCAATTTACCTAGATATCATAGTCATACAAACTCAATTTAAGATACCCCCGTCCCCCCACAGATTCATATGACAAAAGGAGGACCGGCGGTGACTAAAAACAACTGACGAATATTTTCCTTTCAGGACTAGCTGTCTGCTGCCTTTTCAATCCAGATTCATCTTTTTCACAACACCATTCATAGTACTCATGTTGAAATAAGTCGTACAATGCTACTCTAAAGACAGCTGCAATGCATTGGTCTTCTGGAAGCTTCATCATTATACTATGCACTCTTCTTTTTATCTTTCCTCGTCAACTCCAAGCAGCAAGTAACTATTTAGTGTGCGCCTAACTTGTTGGAAGGGGTAGCGTCGATGTTATCACCCATGTAGTAGGATTGGCCTACCCTGTAGCTCTACCCCAACGTCAAAGGCACGGATCACCGTAGCTAGCAAAACCTCTATATAACAACAATTAATATGGATTAATATACAACTCATTATATGTATGTTAGGCCGGCTGCCGTTAAGTGTGTAACTGATTGCTGTATCTGACCTTGTTTTGAAGTGGAATGGTCATTATGTTTTGAAACATCTCAGAGTTTTCAACTGGTATCTTCAAACGATAACTTTGTGCGCTAAAGGTCGAGTTTCTCGACACCGGCCAAGAGTCTCTCAGCAGGCTAAAAGATTCTCTTGGCATAACCACTCGATGATACATTATTCCTACCTACCTACATAGTACCTGTTTGAACTTTCTTGGTTTCTGGACTGGTCTGGTATGAGGGCACTAATTGGGTCCCACTAAGAGTTTTGCGGACCAAAAGCAGATTAATTCTGATAAGGGCCCTCTCTGTCTACGGCCTGCGATTGGTTGCATGCTTCTCTCGGGTGTCTGTTCAGGGATTCTTGTTCCTCTTCCCCGCACGTCTTTCTCCACGTGTAGGCCGCCCAACCTTCCCCAGGCTTCTTCTCTCTCTCCGTTCCCTGCCTCCATAGAGCGTTCTGATCCTGCAAAGCGATGGTATGCTTCATTCCTTTTTGATGTCAGCCGCAGACCTGGCACAGCGCCACGCTCCCAAAACCCGGGGTGAGTGAGCCATCCGCTCATAGTCACTGGAATATACAACCAGGTATTGATTAGCAGCTAGATTGCTTTGAATGTACGAAACGGCGCGTCCGATGCGACCGTACACAGCCGTGCTGCTGCAAATGTCGGAAAAAGGGCATCGAGTGTAGCGGCTTCGGGGTCCGGCATCGCTTCGCTCGCGGCGTAGCTTCCAGGGGTAAATGGGCCGGCAAGACAATGCAAGCTATTTTTGACGATGACGATGATGAGAGACATGAGTGAGTTCCCATAAGAGTCAAGGCTTTCAGGGAGGTACTGAACACTTACCCACCAGAGATGCGCATACCGCCACTGTTACTACAACCTCTACCAATAGTGCTGATGTTGCCACTTCCACCACCGCAGCATACACACCACACCAAGATGGGGTCATCCAAGACTTGTGGACGCCTTGCGTAGCGGAGACGATGCCTTCTTCTTTTGACTTTCCGCCACAGCTACAGTCTGATTCAGTCATACAAGCGGCTGCTCCCTTTGCAGAGCCCCCGGCGTTTCTACATTGGCCCCTGATAAACGACGACTTACCGGAGCTTATGCCCACCACGGACACTGGAACCACCGCACCGGACTCAGCATCAGAATTGATGCCACAACTATTACCCCAGTGGCCTGAGCAAAGAAACGACCCGTGGGACAGTGAAGTTCCATCGGGGAGTAGACATATGAAAGCTGTAGAAACTCCACTCAGCCCTCCCTGTTTCCCATCTTCTCCAGAAGGCCTTGATTCAGCCGACGAGTTTATGCTTCTTTACTGTGAGTCTTTCATTGGAAGGGGGTTGAGAGCTTGTGTTTGAAGATTTATATAACTGACTGCTTCTTGAAAAACAGTCTCCCGACACATAGCCCAAGAAATGATGATTCTAGACGGCCCTCACAATGGCTGGAGATATCTCATTCTCCCCATGGCACGAACCGACTCTTTGGTGCGAGACGCGGTTCTGGCCGTTTCATGCTTCCATCTGTGCCTCTCCTCCATAAAAACCCGCTCTCCGTCCATCGAAGACGCCATGTCCCAGTGGCAACTCCCGGGCCCCGGTCTGAACCCTCGTCACCTCTACACACGCGCTGTCAAGGGACTTCACTCTCGTCAGCTCACGTCATGGGATCGCGCCAGCCAGTTCCCGGTTCTCGTGACCATCATGGTTTTGTTGACGAGTTCTATGGTGACCGGTGACCAAGATTTTCCGATTCTGTTCCGCATGCTGCAGTCCGCCTTTGATGCGGTGGGAGGAGAACAAGGGCTGGGACAAGGCGACCTGGCTGCGTTCTTAGTTCGTCAGATTCACAAGTACGTCCTCTGCCCCCTTCTGCTATTGATGTGGTGACTGACCTCCCGCTAGGCTCTCTGTCTACGCAGCTCCGCTGATAAGCGAGGAGAATGGGCTTCAAACGATGCAGTCACCTGTCCGCATGATGCAAGTTTTCGAATGCCTCAACTACTGCGCACAGCAACAGCCGAAGCATCAGCATGTCATTACCACGGCGATCAGTATAATTCACCAGGCACGCGAGATCTACCTAAGTCAGACACCCCATCATCCGCAGAGGTTGAGTGAAGACCCATTCGCCCCAGCGCGATCGGTTGCGCGCGTCCAGGCATTCATCGACACGCTGGAAAGCTTTCCACAAGATCACACGGGCGAGCAAGTCTTATTATGGGCTTCTTTTGTAGCTGCGTCTGATTGTACTATTGATGCGCACAAGGATTACTTTGAGTCTTTTTTCCGACGGCACCATGCTCGAAACGGCTTCATGAACCTGTTGAAAGCGGTTGACTTTCTACGTCGTATTTGGGGTCGAGAGTTGGCTGGGAAGTGGGCATCTTTGCTGCCAGAGGAGAAATTGTTTGTCATGTAAAGATGCTTGCTTCTAAATACATGTACTATTAAATATTTCTTTGTAAACAGCATAAACAGTATATCATCATTACATTCTGGAAGAATAAAACACTGGCATCTTCCCACTGTCCAGGGATTGTCTCAGAGCATGCATTCTCTTCTTCGTGATCAGGAAGGATTGGGGATACTCGTAATCAATTTGACCACCCATCACCATGCGAGCACAGAGCTGCGAGGCGCGAAAGGCCTTGATCATGCCTGTTGCATGGTAGCCACCGCACACCCACTGATTCTTCCGTCCAGGAAACGGGAGTCGTCCAACAAATGGCACGGCATCTTGGGAGAACGCGAGGATCCCGGCCCATGCATGCGTAATATACGCAGACGAGCCGCGCCGTGGTGAAGCAAGTGCTTCGTCCGCAAAGCCGCGAAGATGCGCCATGGCAGAAATATCTGTCGTGCTATCGTCTGCCGTCGCTTTACGACCAGTGTTGGCTCGGCCCACGACAACGTCTCCCGCTTTGCGCTGAATGAGATAGTCATAGTCCTTGTCTCCGTAACGAAGCCAGAGAGAGTAGTTAGGATCCAGGCCCAGTACTGAAGCCTCTGCTTTCTCATTTAAAGGTGCAAATCGGACAATGTTGCCCCTCACAGGAGAGATGTAAGGGCGCAGCTCGGGGAGCAGATGGCCCAACCAGGCATTGGTTGCGTGGACGACATGTCTTGTTGCGATATCACCCCTCGATGTTTTAACGATGGCGTAGTCCTTGTTATCATCGTCCATTATATCATGTACCGGGGTATTCGTCTGAAGGTTGATCTTGCCTGCCTCGACTAAACTGGCCATAACAGAGCTGATCCATTTGTAAGGCCATACAGATGCTGCGGGGATAGCCACGGCGCCGACACACTTATCAGATAACTTCAGAGTCTTACGCAGAAAGGTCTTATCTGTGTGAACAGTGTGTTTTCCCGCAATCTGGGGTAGATGAGCCCGCATGTCTTCCAGTGCTTTCATAGCACGCTGGAAACTGGCCTCATCATAGTATGCCTCGATGCCATCCGTCAGGACGAGGTCGCAGTCGATGTTATCCTGAAGAATAGCCGCGGACATGGCACCCAAGTGACTATCCTCCCACTCTGTGATACGAATCGCTTCATCAATGCCAAACGAAGCCTTGCGCTCCTCCCACATGGCGAAAGTCATCGTTTTACAGTGACCACCATTCCGCCCCGTAGCGCCAGAGCACAGCGCGCGGGCTTCCACGAGGACGGCTCGGAGTTGAGGAGCCTCAGCGGCGAGTGTACGGGCAATGCTCATTCCTGAAATCCCAGACCCAATGATAACCACATCGACAGGCTCAGATGGCCAGGAGGACTGGTGGTCTGACAATGGATGGCCCTTAGAGTGCCAGAACGATGAGGTGCCATTGGCGACAGGAAGCCCGGGGTCGACGACTCCGGGCTCGTAGATGCCTTCGAGTGCTCCGGACATGGTTTGCGAATAAGAGGATTTAGGTTCGTAAGATCACAATATCATCAAATACTGGCTGACGATAGAAGATAAGCCGCAAATAATGCTATATATTTACTGTAGGAGGGGAGGTGGTGCGGTCGTAACTGATGGTATCGTGACACCAACAGTACATACCTACCTTACATACATCATTCACAACTCTAATTTGGGAGTGGGAAACTCCGAATCAACCCTAGAGCAAGCGCACCATGACCAACACCCGGACCCCATAATGAGATGTTAACTACCCGATTAGATTCTGAGGGGAAAAGATACGTCCCTTCTTTTCTCACTATAGCTTCCCAATTAAGACAATACTGAGGAACCCCACTCTACTCCCTGTGGTTATCCACTACCTAGACCAGCCACCAAACCAGAGGCTTGCATCTTTTGTCGTTTGTCTACTTGTCTAATATGTGTTACTGTCTTGAGCATACTTGTACCATATCTGACTTAACCTGGCTCACTTTAAGTGCCTAATTCGGGTAGTAGCTTAAACCAGAGAGTACCCCACCATGAGAACCGCAATGTATCTTCTGAAACTATCTAGATCATTGTCTTAGATCGCAAGAACAAGAGGCTTTCAATCATAAAACGCGTTTGGGTTTGCCTAGATTTGTAGAATTTATAATAGATAGTATAGGTTGCCTCTAGATGAGATTATCGAAGCAAAAGCTGAAAACAGTTCATCTTTTCCTAGTTTCCGGTTGTACTAAGCTTCCGCCATGCCATTTAATCTCGCCGTTGAGCTGACTGCGCCAAATGGCGTCAAGTATTCTCAGCCAACAGGACTGTTCATTAACAATCAATGGGTAGCTTCTTCAGATGGCGAGAAAATAACTACCGTCAACCCAGCGTAAGCGATATCAAGTCTCAACACAGGGCGAGAAAGTGCGAAGATTTGAACCGAGCACTGACCCATCCTCAGAAACGACCAAGAAATCTCATCAGTGTCTGCTGCCACAGAGCATGATGTCGACACCGCCGTGAAATCTGCTCGACAAGCGTTCCAAGATCCCAGCTGGCGCGACCTCTGCGTGTCAGAGAGAGGAAGGTTGATCAACCGCCTGGCCGATCTAGTTGGCGAGCACCGTGAAATCCTTGCCACTATCGAGACCTGGGACAACGGCAAGCCGTATACGACTGCACTCAACGAAGACATTGCCGAAGTCGTTCAGACACTCCGATATTACAGTGGCTTTTCCGACAAAATTTTCGGCCAGGTCATCGAGACCACGCCCGGAAAGCTCGCATATACAATTCGTGAACCAGTAGGGGTCTGTGGACAAATCATTCCGCAAGTCCGCCAACAGGGAAAAAAATCCATTCTTTGGTCTCTGTTGCTCCCCTCGTCTCGTTGCTCACAACTGTCTCAGCTGGAACTATCCCCTGGCCATGGCCGCCTGGAAGTTGGCACCCGCCCTCGCATGCGGAAACACGGTAGTTCTGAAACCCGCAGAGCAGACGCCGCTGTCGATTCTTTACTTTTCCAATCTCATCGCCCAGGCCGGCTTCCCCCCTGGCGTCATCAACGTGGTGAACGGCTTGGGCCGAGTTGCTGGCGCCGCATTAGCCGGACATCAAGACATAGATAAGATTGCCTTTACCGGTTGCACTGCCACCGGAAAAGTGATCATGAAACTGGCAAGTAGCAATCTGAAAAGCATCACACTAGAAACGGGCGGCAAGAGCCCTCTGATCGTCTTTGATGATGCTGACTTGGGCCTGGCGTCGTACTGGGCTCATGCCGGTATCATGTCTAATCAGGGGCAGATTTGTACGGCCACCTCACGTATACTGGTCCAGGACGCCGTATATGATGAATTCCTGGCCAAGTTTCTCGAGCAGGTCCGCACAATCTCAAGAGTCGGTGACCCTTTCGACGAGTCTACATACCAAGGGCCGCAAATCACAAAAGCGCAGCAGGAAAGAATTATCGAGTACGTCAAGATTGGGCGGGACGAAGGTGCCAAACTCGAGTTTGGGGGACAAACCCTGCCAGACCTGGGCAACGGGTACTTTGTGCAGCCGACGGTCTTCACTGGCGTCACGGAGAGCATGAGGGTGTTTCAGGAAGAAGTCTTTGGGCCCTTTGTCGTCATCACACGCTTCAGCACGGAAAAGGAGGCGATTCAGCTGGCGAACGGGACCATATACGGTCTGGGCAGTGCCATTTTCACGTCCAACTTAGCCAGAGCGCATCGCACAGCAAGGAAGATTGCTGCTGGTATGGTTTGGATCAATTCCAGCCAAGACTCGGATTGGCGAATCCCTTTTGGTGGGGTGAAACAAAGTGGAATTGGAAGAGAGCTTGGGGAGGCTGGGTTGGCTGCATATTCCAACGTAAAAGCTGTTCATGTCAACTTGAATCCATGATCGACCGGTCCGAATCTACCTTACTTTACGCAAGATCCAATAAGAGTGTGAGTATATAGTGAAAAGTAGCAATAAAAGATTCCAGACCCGACAATTCTTTGATACGACAAATAGAGCTAAGGAATCGTGTGGCAAACAGAAGAAGGAGCAGCCTGGTTTAAGCGGCACAAACCATCACGAGGGAATGAACTTCATGAGACATTCTTCTTAAGAATTGATGAAACATTAGGTCAAAGGCTTCCTCTAGACGCTTGAAAGCATAGTCTTATGCGTTTCAAATGGAATTTAACAACTTGTGCTACCCAAAACCGTCATGGCCATGCATAATTTGTTATTTCTCACACTGTAAGCTGAACAAGGCTCTGCTATATCTTCCTTTGGGGGCATACACCGAAAATGACATGCCTTCTATGGTCTTGAGCAAGGGTTCTCAGCTAGAAATCTCATCTTGGTAGTGAAAGCGAGCCCGTAAAATCCAATCTACGAGAACGAGCAGGACGGCTGCAGCAAAAACAGCAATAGACCAGTTCATATCCACTGTATTTGGTATTAGTCTTGAATTAATAAGATGCAAGTAGAGAAAGGACGGAGAGTGGACTTCTTACAGAGATTGGAAGAGGTAATGGGAAAGACGAGTGGGAAACTAGAGATAGTGTGAGCAACAACAATCCAAACTGTATCCTTTGCGGGACCTTGTCGAAGCTTACCACAGCATGATGATGATAAGCGCGGCCCAGCACACTGCTCCAATATTTATGGCATAGCCAAACCTGCCAAGGTTGTAAGCTCGGTCGGCAGGAAGGACGCTCCGACCCTTGAGAAGAAGCTGAGGAGCAAAGTGGTTAGCTACTTTGTCCCTTTCGGTTTTGTTTTATTGTACAGCATAATACATGGGTTGCTTCCGCTTACCAGCGCAACGGGAACAAAGTATCCAATTTGAATGGCCACTCCTCCCAAGCTCACGATGGTCTCGAAAGCATTCCGGCTCCCGAAAACTACGAGCCCTATGTTGTTTTCTAGGGTCAGTTTGATACGAGAAAGGGGATATTGGGAGCGAGCAATAGGAAGGACGTACCAATCATAATTTGAAAGCCGATAGTGGTGAAAATTGCGTTAAGGGGAGTTTGAAGTCTCTTGTTAATCTTGATCAAACGGTCGGAAAACGGAAAGGCGCGGTCCTTGGCCATGCTCCACGTAACTCTAGAGGCTGCAGTGTTGATGCTGACAACGATCAAGAAACTAGTGTCGCTCTGCGTCAGACGGTGGTAAAATAAAATTGATTTTTGGGGGGGCAGCAAGCATACTTGAGGAGGATAATGAGGAGAACCACGAGAGCGCTGCCACCGGCAACACTCTCCAGAACGTCAACCCACCAGGCAATAAGCGGAGAGCTTGTGAGCAAAATGTCAGCATCAAAGATTTGCGAAACTTCAAGCGAGTGCGGTGAGCTTACTCGGCGTCCATGTACTGCTCCCAGTGTCCAGAGGTAAACCCAAGAACGATAGCCCCGGCCAAAGAAGATGCACCACTGGCGAGCATAGCCCAGATCATAGCTTTCTAAGTTTCAACGCAGTGTCAGATGGTGGGCCAGCGACCTTGGCTTCTTTGGCGTTGAACAGGTGGAATTACATACGGGAGCATTCGTGGAGGGGTCCTTCATCTCTTCTGCCAAATGCAGAATGCCATCCGTGCCATAGAGGGCGTACACGGGAGTGTAAAAGCTCATGATGCCAACCCATCCGACGCTGTTATATCCGGACGAATTGATCAATTCAGTGAAGACGAATCTTGCGCTCATCTTGGGTGCCATGACGAGGAACGCAACGGCCCATGCGATGAACCCCGCGAGCGTGATGACGCCTCCAATCACTGAAATTGCGGGCAAATGCTTCTGGGACATGGAAAACGGTATCGACAACAGCAGGAAGGTGGTATACATGATCCAAGTCAACCAGTTCTAAAGGAGAAGGGGGATTATCCGGCTGGTCAGCCTTTGTAATTGCTACACGACTTATCAAGAATGGGAGCGCACCGTTATTGCGTAATCGGGATGGGTCAAGTTTACAAGCCCACCGATGAGCTGAGCATTGTTCATGGCACATCCAGCTGAAGTGGCAACCTCGGCCAGGAACACGATCCATCCTATAATATAGGATAGAACACGACGGGCGCTGGACGACTGGTGTTAGTTGTCCAAACTGTGTAACGCAAAGACTGGAATCTCACTTGGTTGGTGCCATATATTTAGTGAAAGCCCTATAGGTAGTCTTGCGGTTAGCACATTTGACCCAAGGCCGGTTGACGTGCAAATGCCGCAACTTACTGTTGCCCGCCAGCGTAAGGCCAAACGGAGCAGAGTTCGCCAAGTGAAGCCATCATCAGGCATTGACCAAGTGTCACAATGATTCTATTCATGCATCTCAGCTTCGCCCATGATTTGAGATCGACATATTATAATCGCGATTCGACAGTGGTTGTTGATCTTACGTCGAGTAGATGAGCATCATCGGCCCGCCGATAGTAAAAACCGTGTCGTAGAGGACAACGTTACAGGTCCAACTTGCCATCATGAGGACTTGGTAAAGGGTCGCTAACCAAGCATCAGTCAACCGTTGTTTCCTATCAAAAAGATGGAATGGGTCTTATACTCACCTGTCCATATGTTGTAAACCCGGTGAAGGGTACCACCATGAGTGTGATCAATTGTTTGGCTTTCGGCGCTTGCTTCATCATGTGCGTTATTCAGGGGCTCTTCTTTCTTCTCTATGTCGTTCATTCTCAAAGCTATAGATTGGCAGACAAAATAGAAAGATGGAAGAGTAAGGAAACGGGGGATTAGAGTAGGTAGATGAATCAGGACCGGGCCAATAAGGGCAAAAGAAGATGGTCTTGGTTATATGAGATAACCAAGTTGGTTGAGATGCTGACGACTATTATAATCCTCTGGAACAAGAAGACAACTTTAACGTGCTAGGGGTATTCATTAACCCGGGTGGCCGTTGGCCTCAATGCAAGATCCAATCGCGGGGGTTCACAAGGGCAGGTTCTTGAGGAGGGCAAAATCCGGGGTCTATTCCCTATCGCGTAAGACGACTCAGTGCGTTCGTATTATTACCCACTATGTAATAGCTCGATCTACCAAGTCAAGAAATTCTCACTTTATCTTCCAATCTAGGCAAAGCGGCTGTATTTAGCTACTGTTTCGATATCGGCCCCGCATTGGTTGTGCCGTGTTGCGAGTCGTGTTCAACTATTTGAGCCATGTTTGGTTTGGCGTATCAACTCATATATGAAGTCATGCAACCTACAATCTTCAGGCAGACTTTGATGAGGCTGGGTAAGCATCATTACGACACCTCAAACACAATACCTAGCTCGTCTCTTACAGCAGTTTCAGTTGGAAAACCATGGCCACTCGAGAAGGATACTACGTTCGTCGTGATAATCCCGTCCAGGAGGGCCACCTCAAATGCGCTGGTGTCATCTCTCCAAGTAGCAACATCCCATCCGTTACCTACGACGTATTCGATGTCATCATCATTGGCGCTGGTTATGCCGGCTTATCCTCTGCGCGTGACTTGTGCTTGTCAGGTACATGCTCTAGCCTTCAAACAAAAACGAGTTATCACTATGTTGCTGATGCGAGCCTAATTAGGTTTCAAAGTCCTCCTTCTCGAAGCACGAGACCGTTTAGGTGGCCGAACATGGACCGCTGAAGTAGAGGGTCATCTATACGAAATGGGCGGCACCTGGATATACTGGGGCCAACCTCATGTCTATCGTGAAATGTCCCGCTACGGGTATACCAAGCTGTTGGACAGTAACGCTGACAAGGTCGGATGCAACTATTTCACATCTTGGATCAATGGTAAGCCGAGGAATATCAGCTACGAGGAAGAGGTTAGTGATAGAAAACTGGTCCCCTTCTTTGTGTTGATTCGTCTGACGCGATATCGGTTTTCAGGGCCCTGCTGTCGAGAGAGCATTCGAGATATTCTGCGACGTAGATGGCAATGGGGGAAGAAGGATTATCCCATACCCCCACGATCCCCATTTCAAACCCGAGGCTAAGCAGTGGGAGAACATATCGGCGGCTCAGAGAATCGATCAAGTGCGTGCTAAGCTCAGCGAGCTAGAACTTTACACTCTGCAGGGCTTCGTTGCTGCCATATCCGGAAACGACATGAATAACACAGGGTTTTTCGATATTCTGAGGTGGTGGGCTTTGTCAGGCTATTCCACCCAAGGCCTCTACGACTACACTGAAACCTACAAGATCCCCGAGGGCCAGTCCAGGTTCGCACGTACCATGTTCGACGAAGCTCTGGCTACTGGCAATTTGAAATATGCCTTTGACACCCTCATCACCTCCATAAAGGACACTTCCGTGACAGTGGAGGCAACAAGTACCTCAGGAAAAAGCTGGTCTGCCAGGCGGCTTATCTCCACCATCCCTCTCAACATCCTGAATCGAATCCAATTTCAACCACCATTATCGCCAGCCAAGTCTGCTGCCCATTCAATTCCGCACATTGGCATTGGTGCTAAAGTACATATGGAAGTTCAAGGAACAAACCTCCGAACCTGGTCTGCGGCTGCTTGGCCCGACTCGAGAATCTTCAGCGGTCGCGGTGATGGCATCACCCCCGCAGGAAACACTCACCTGGTCTTCTTTGCTGGAAATCAAAAGGGGCTTAACGCACAGGAAGATGCGCGACATATGGCGGCCGAAGCCAAGAAGCTCCACGAGATGGAAATCCAGAAAGTTGTATGTCCTCCATCTCCATCATAGGCCGTCATCGTCAACTATTTCAGTTACTTATTTTCATGCGATGCAGATATGGCACAACTGGCTCGAAGACCCCCTCTCTGAGGGTATCTGGTGTATGTTCCCTCCCGGATACAGCTTCGACCATCTCGATACACTTCGTGCACGCCACGGCAATGTGCTATTTGCCAGTGCTGACTGGGCCCTGGGCTGGAGGGGTTTCATCGATGGTGCTATTGAGGAGGGTACGAGGGCTGCCATGGCCGTTGTGAAGGATCTCGGCTTCCCTCGCCGTGTCGCTCCCGCATTGTAATGTTTTTTTTGTGGCAGAAACACATATAACTTCTTTTGGGCGTCATAACGGAAGTTTCCTCATTTTTTGAGCCCCCTAAAACCATCCTCAAATAAGACGCATACCTAATTTTATAACCCAATAATAAGACGGCCCGCTGGTCATCTAATCTGGTGAGTTTAGCCGCTAGATTAGCCTGGGCGGTAGATGGGAATACCGTAGAACATCTCGATGATGTCAGGACGTCAGCTTAGTGACAACCCAGGCAGAGGATTAACCCTTCCTCTGGTCTGAATGAATCTAGGTGCCGAACGGAGGGATGAATAATACGAATAAAAATGGCTGTCGATGGGTCGGTACGTTCGGCACTGACCTTACATTGTGGGTTAGGCTCGTGTGTATCACTTCCCGAAATACCGACTCTGTTGTGGATTGTTGCCGTGTCGGGCTGGTCGATTTGCTGATTAAATTAAATAAATCATGCCCATGCTGCGCTAACATTTCTATTTAAGGAGAATCATCTTCGTAGCTCCAGGGGTAACACGGACCCAGATTCCGGTTGCTGCAGACAATTTTCCATCTAGGACTGCCAACAATGATCATCACTTTACAGGAGAGAGTTGATGTTCTGACTCAAATCGTATCAAAATTAGGTACCTATAGTAGAATATTTGAACTTATGCCATCGGAGAATGAAACCAAATATACACTGGAACCTCGGCAGCTTGGTGTTGTTAGTCTGACAACGGCAAAGCACGATGGATCTAGAGGCGGGTCGTACCAACTCCCGGCTGATGAAACGCTGGGTTCGCGATCCTTCACTCACCCTAATGCTATCGAATCTGACAAGGTGGGGGAGGTGCAGGGCACGCGATCTTGGCAACCAACTTATAAATAATTGCGACTGACTTCACCCCAAGATGAGGACAGAGACTCTTCTATCTCGCACAGGAGTTCTCAACGGCCAGTAAACTCTCAGTCGCCCATCATGCTCGCCAACGCCGCGGTTTCGTTCTTCGTCCTGGCCTCTGCCATGTTGCAGGGTGCCGACGGTCTTACCATTCAGAAGCGTGGCTCAGCGGGTTGCGGAAAGTCCCACAACTTCATCGGCGAGACAAGGGACTTCAGCTTTGAGAGCAGCGGTGGCAATCGAACTTATCGAATCTTCTTGCCCTCTGGATACGATGTGAACAATCCCCAGCCACTGGTGATTGCTTACCACGGTTCCGGAGGAACGCCTTCCGCTATCGAATCGCTTACGAAGTTCTCGGACGAGTCGATCAATTCCAAGATGGTTGCTGTCTACCCGGCCGGTGTAAATGTAAGGACCTCCAAATATCGATTTGACTTCAATGTACCTGGCTAACAAGGATTGTCTCTACCACAGGGAAACTGGCAAGGCCCAACATACGCCACCCCCGGCGTCAGCGACAAAGTCTTCACTACCGATCTAGTGAACCGCATCAAGAACAACTACTGTATCGACGAATCCCGCGTCTACGCAGCCGGCCAATCAAATGGTGGAGGGTTCGTGAACACTCTGGCTTGCTCTCCCGAGCACGGCGGGCAATTTGCCGCCTTTGCGGCCAGCTCGGCTGCGTTGTATACCGACGTGACGGGAGATGAGACCTGCCACCCTTCACGCTCGCCTCTCCCCTTCTTGGAATCGCACGGCACTGGAGATACTACAATCCCTTACGAGGGTGGTACTGGCCGCGGCGGTCCTATTCCTGCAATCCCAGAGTGGTTGTCCCGCTGGTCCACGCGTAACAAGTGCACTGGTTCCTCGACTTCAGACCTGGGCAATGGGGTGTCTCTGCAGGAGTGGACTTGCGATGGAGAGAAGGGGTTGCTGAGCCATTACAAGCTCGAGGGTCATCCCCACGCGTACCCATCAGAGACAGACTCGCAGCTTTTCCTTTCTCCTAAGATTATTGACTTCTTCAATCGCCACAAGAAGCCTTGAAGGGTTTTTCATTGATACAGCAAATTCTTAAGTATACAATTCAATATACATATGATTCAAATAGCATTCTTGATCCATGAACTTGTGCTTTGTAAAATGATGCAATATTAGTGCCCTGATAAGTACTCGAGACTTGGTAGAAAAAACATGTAACGCATTGTAGGCGAAGCAATATGTAGCCTCGGAAGCGTTGTCAGTGTATAATAAGACGGGGACATTATTATTGAGCTACAACAAAGCTAACGACAAGAAATGGTTACAAAAGTTTGAGGTAAGCTTATCCCATTCACCTAGAAAGTTCCACCACCAAAGCTATTACAAGGGTTTGGATCCATGACAGTCATTGTGCCATAGTCTTCTTACATCATGTTCACAGCAACGAGGACCGCGGCTCCCGCAACCATGAATGAGCCAAAGTTCTTGGCGGCCCCAGCGGTGGGAACTGAGGTGGAAGAGGTGGTCTAAACAAGTTAGCACATAAAGTCATTCTGCTGGCAAGAATAAAGGTCCTTACCGAGTTGTTACCCAGAGTAAGGCTGGGGGTGGTGCTGACCAGAGTCGTGGTGGAAGCCGCAGGTGTGGTAGACTTTGAGACAGAGACAGAGCCAGAAGAGCTGGCAGCGGCAGATGAGGCAGAGGCAGTCAGAGAGCTGGATTGAGCAGCAGAAGATCGGACAGCAGACTGGGTGGCACTCGTATGAGCAGCACTTGTCTGAACTGCACTGGTCTGAGCTGCACTGGTCTGGGCGGCACTGGTCTGGGCGGCACTTGTCTGAGCAGCGGAGCTCTGAGCAGAGGCCGTAGAGGAAGCTTGGGAGGAGCCGCTAGATGGGCTGGGCGAAACAGTCAAGCCACAAGCCTTAGCAGCAGAGGTAACGCCATCACCGTAGTCGGGCCAGAGGTTGTAAGTGTAGGCGCACTCCATACATCCCTGGTAGTAAGTCTTCCACTCAGAGTTGTCACAGTAGCCGCTTTGCTGGGCATTGAGGATGGTGTAACCTAAAACCGGTCAGCCATTTCTTCCCAAAACTCACACCAAACCATCCGTCTATATCTGTTAGAAGAAGGGAGATCATACCGCAGTTGGCGTGGCACTGGTACTCAGCGCCACTCACGGCACGCTTAGCAAGGGGGATGTGGGCAGGCCAGAAGTCACGCTCCTCAACAGAAGCAGAGGCAACGGCGACAGACGCCAGGGAGGCAAGGGTGATGATTGACAACTGCATTTTGATTAAATTGACAAGCGAGTGACAAGATAGATTATTAAATAGCTCGAGACAAGTGAGGAACTAGAGGTAAGGAACCAAGCTCTTGGGCTAGAGGCGGCGAATGAAGCTTACTTATAGTCTTACAACTAGAGTGGTCCCTTTCGGATGTCACCAGGACAATCCACCGCATCTTTAGCTTCGGGTCCGGAGACACAGTTAGCATCCATGCCGTTTGTGGAAATATCACGGTCCTAGAGGATGGGAAGATTACGACGAATGACCTGATTGCGGAGAGTGAGGTTGGTTGGCCGCTTTGCCCTGCACCTCGATGGATCCCCAATCCCATCTAGGCATAGAAGGGCAGATTTTTCCAAGAAAACAAGGAAACGAGGGAGGTTACGGCCGAACCACCTGGATCCGCTCCACCGCATCACAAAAAGGATCACACGGCACGACATGTTCAGCTGGGGCACCCTAGCTCAAGGCGAGAGTGATGGCCCACTGTATATTGCACCATGAGCCAATTATACATCGTTCAAGCATCTGATAAGATCAAGGCTTCGATTTTTAGTTATCAGATTATCTGATTAGTGGCCAACCATCCGGATACAACGGCACTCATAGACCAGAGTAAAACCCACCCCATCCCATGTGATGGCGGTGCCAGACCAATATTTGCCTGCATCTAGCGGCTTGTAAAGAGGTTCTCGGACATACGCACTCCTGCGAGACGGATGTTACCGAATTCGGTGAATGCGGCCTCCAACGCCATCACATTAGATCCTCGGTTTTTTATCTCACTTTCCACAAGAGGCAGTGGAGAAACGATGTAGTTTTGGCATATATCCCCGAAGAAACCATCTCATGAGACTTCTCGGAACTTGTTGGCCGATTAGATCCAAAAAGAGGGCCAATCAAGCTTGGCGTTGACTATATGAGGAGTTGAGAGGAACGCCTCCTTTATTGCAAAGGCGCACACGCCCCAACTTTATCTCTTACTTCCCCCCAATATCTCATCTCTGAGAAATTACTTCGTCTGTATGCTGACGTCTGTTCAAATCTGACCTCTCCACACAAAATGTCTCCCAAATCCTTCTGGGCCACCCTGGCCATTTCGGTGGCTCTGGCGGGTGCTGCCGAGTGGAAGGACTTTGGTCCTGCTGAGTTCCTGTGGCCAACCGACCGTGTTTGGTCGGCAGAGCAGGACAACACCGCCCCTTGCGGTTCGATAGCATCGCCCAATAACACCAACCGAACTGAGTTTCCAATGAGTTAGCATATCTCTCGTACTCGACTTTATTGTTGATCATCTCTTTCTAACAGAAGTGCTAGCTAATGGGCGAGTTGCTCTCGTGGCCCAAGATGAGTCGTACAACATCACGCTCAGCATCTCTTATTCAGATGGTGAGAAACTGATGCCAGATTTGACCTATTGATTCGTAACAACATCCTAACATTGAATATCAGATCCCAAGAGCAACAGTGACTTCACGACTTTGATCTCGCCGTCTAAATTCAAGGAGATGGAGCTTGGCCACACTTGTGTCGACGTCACCGACCCTCCAAAATCGGTCACTTCTGGAGACTATGCAACTCTGCAAATCATTTACGTCTCGCAGTTTGACCACAACGAGAACGAAACCTTCTATGCGTGTGCCGACATCAAATTCGTCGAAGCGAGTGCCTTCAAGACAACGATCCCCTGTTTCAACGCTACAGAGGAAGACGACGGTAATACCACGAACGAGTGGACATACCATCACACGAGCACCGCCGCGTCTTCAGCAGCCTCATCCACCTCTACCTCAAGCTCCTCTCAGAATTCAGCAGATGGTAGCAACAACGGCAGCTCTAGTGGTGGTAGCGGTGGTCTCTCCAAGGGTGGAATTGCTGGCGCAGTAGTCGGCTCTGTCGTTGGCGCTTGTTTGATTCTCGCTGCCGCTTTGTTCTTATATCGCCGCAATGCGCAGAAGAACAGGGTAATTAGACAGCAGAAGTTCGAGCAGGGTCTTGGCAAAGACTCAGCCTCGACACCGAGCGTTGGCATGAATAACCTGTCTAAGTAAAGAACCAAGGAGGAGAGGCTGAGTTGGATTAATGCACTGTATGAATGCAACGAAAAATCTATAGTAGTTAGTTACGAAGATATGTATAAATCATCCCCTGAAACAGCCATTAACTCTGCAAGAGGCAGCCGAGCGCTCAACTTAAGAAGTGGATATGACTATGACTATATGTAGGTAGTATAGATAGATTACATATAATTACTCTAGGAAATGACATTGAAGTAGTTAAACTCTTTGGTACTAGATATTGTATCGCCTTCCTTAACGCTGTACATTGCATTGTTGCCGGATGCATCAAGGTATGGGGACCGACGCTTACACGGCCATTCCACCTTCCAAGAGATTAAGCTAAGCTGCGGCAAAAGGGGGTAATAATCGGAAAGATTTGAATTTGTCTAGCTAGAATAGTCTTATAGAAAATATTAAACAATCTGGATAATATTGAAGAGCTATAGACCGTCCCTTTCACTCATTGAGCGAAAATAAATGAGATTTCAATTTGATAAATCTCAATATCAGTGTTTAGGGTAGGTGACCCAATGAGTCATGCCCTCTCTGTCATTACCTAAGCAAAGGCAAGAGCCGCGTTTGAATCTCGGCACCTGTCTCTCATCGACAACGGTCACGTGCTCTGGATACGGAAAAAGATCCTCCCGCAATATCGGGGGCCGGAGCTTGCTACCTCCGTTCAATGTTAAGCCTCTGTGGCGCAGTAGCGAGAGACGGCCTCGCAAGCCCCGATCGCACCGACCGACTTGCAAGGATTGTGTCTCTCCCCTGATGCTTGGTCCAATCAATAGATCACCAATGTCAGCGTATGGACGTTTGTTGCATTTAGTGCATCTCAGCTGCCGAGGCTGGTTGCATGGCCACTGTCGATCTTCGTCAGAGCTCTGCGTCCTACAAGCAAAGCCTCTCTGGAGTCCCAACTATAAGAGAACATTAGGACGGTGTAATTGAAATTAGAAATAGCCTCGACACATATCTTTTCATTTTCAACTTTCGGATCAAACATTGTCTCTTGCGGTAGCAATTTTTCTGATTCCCGTTTAGCCAATTCTGCACGCGTATTTTCACACGTTTAACCTAATCGATGATGACCACCACTCCCATTCCCGGACCCAAGGGCTTGCCCATCATCGGTAACCTCTTAGAGCTCCAAGACGAAGTACCTATCCATGCACTTGAACGACTTGGAGATGTGTACAAGGATATCTTCAAATTGAAGATTGCAGGGCACGATAACTATTTCGTCTGCAGCCACGAACTCTTCAACGAGCTATGTGACGAGACACGATTCTTCAAGTTTGCCCCTCCAGCACTGGTGGCAGACGAGCCCGAGGGCCGTGCTAGAGGCCTGTTCTCCTCTAACACAGAGAAGGAACAGGACTGGGCTCAAGCACACAGAATTCTCATCCCGGCCTTTGGACCTATGGCCATTCTGGATATGTATGATGGTAGGCACTTCTCTTGACCTCTGAGCTGGATTATTATTTCACATTTTCTGATTGTTGGTTTCCGCCCACAGAGATGTACGATATTGCCACACAACTCATCATGAAATGGGCCCGACAAGGTCCCGAGACCCCCATATTGGCAACCGACGACTTCACCAGGCTCACACTAGACACCATTGCCCTCTGTGCCATGGACTATCGATTCAATTCTTTCTACAGTGATGTGGCACATCCGTATGTAAAAGCCATGGGCCAAAATCTCACTTCGCGCAGTGAGAGGGGCCAAATAGGCAATATATTCAAAAGGATGCTTCCAGGGTATCAAGCTGAGATTCAGAAGAACTTCGACTACATGCAAAGCATCGCCGACGACATAATACAGCATCGTCGCCAGAACCCCACGGACAAAAAAGATTTGCTCAATGCCATGATCAATGGCAAAGATCCTAAGACCGGTGAGGGGATGCGTGATGAGCTAATTGCAGCTAACATGCAGACCTTCTTGATTGCTGGTGAGCTTGCCCAGAATCACAAATGTCGAAAACACTGACTCTAACATTCTCTAGGACACGAGACAACATCTGGTCTTTTATCATTCGCGTTCATGAATATGCTTTTGAAACCTGAGACGTATTTTGCTGCGAGGGAAGAGGTTGATCGTGTGATTGGTAAAGAGAATGTCCAAGCCAAGCACCTCAAGGAACTTCATTACATTGAGGCCGTTTTGCGCGAGACACTTCGATTGAGCCCAACTGCTCCGGCCTTTGCGCGCGGTGTTAGGCCTGAAAATACGGAGGAGACTGTGGCTATTGGGAAAGCAAGATACGAAATCCCTCGCGGCCAGCCGGTACTATGCCTGTTGAGCAAAATTCAACGAGATCCTGCCGTTTTTGGAGATGACGCGGATGAGTTCAAGCCTGAAAGAATGCTGGATGGAAAATTTGAAGACCTGCCAAAGAATGTGTGGAAGGTGAGTGCACCTCTCCATTGCTAAATACACGTACGAGGTACTGACAATACACACTCATAGCCTTTTGGAACCGGACTCAGGGGCTGTATTGGACGCGCTTTTGCTTGGCAGGAAGCATTGATGGTGACCGCCATGGTACTCCAGAACTTTGACATCTCTCTTGATAATCCCAATTACAAGATCCGAATCCAGCAGAGCTTGACAATTAAGCCTGCAGATTGTTACATTAGGGCGAGATTACGCAGCGGCATCTCTGCCGTGACTCTTCAGAGCCGGCTTTCTGGCTCACAGAAACAACAATCCGAGGAACCAGCATCAGCGACCTCAAACGAGGATCAAGAGAAAGGACAGCCTTTGTTGATCTTGTTTGGCTCCAACACCGGGTCCTGCCAGGCCCTGGCACAGAAATTGGCATCACAGGCTGCAGAGCAGGGTTACAATGCCACAGTTACTGACATGGATAATGGAGTTCAACAACTCCCCGCTGATGGCACCCCCACAATTGTCATCACAGCATCTTATGAGGGCCAGCCAACCGACAATGCCACTCGCTTTATCGCTTGGCTTCAAAGCCTCCAGGGCGGTGACAAGTTGAAGGGAAGTCGGTTTGCCGTGTTCGGTTGCGGCCACAAGGACTGGTCAGCCACTTACCAGCGTATCCCCAAATTGGTGGATACTCTGATTGAAGCGAATGGAGGCCTAAGACTAGCAGATCGAGGAGTCTCGGATGCATCTCAAGGAGATATTTCTGGGGATTTTGAGAAGTGGACTACTGAAAAGTTATGGCCAATGCTTCTATCTGACCACCATGCTGGTCATTCTTTGGAGAAGATGAAACCCAAGATGCCAAAGGTGGAATTCAGCATATCCCGTGAACAACGAGCCCAAAACCTCCAAGCGAAAGCAGAGTGGGCTGAGGTTACTTATGTCAAGTCACTGACACAGCCCGGGGAGTCAGAGAAGCGACATATTGAATTCAAGCTGCCAGAAAGCTTTGATTACCAGGCTGGAGACTATCTTGCGGTTTTGCCTCTAAACCCAGATGTAACCATTAAGAGAGTCATGCGAAGATTCAACTTGCCTGCAGATGGTGTGGTCAAAATCACGAAACAGGGTTCAACGATGCTTCCCACTGACCAACCAATCTCCATCTCCGACTTGTTGGCTGGATATGTTGAACTTTCGCAGCCTGCAACTAAAAGAGTGAGTTCATTGATGCCATTTAATTTGATGTAATACATGCTAACATGTGAAGGATCTCGAACTCTTGGTTGATACTGTCCCTGAAGGAGACGAGAAATCGGCTATCATGTCCCTTGCCGAAGAGCCCAACTTCACGACTTATGTCAAGAAGCAACGTATAAGCCTCCTGGATGTACTCGAGTCCAACGTGCCGTCATCCGCCATCAGTTTTGCCTCTTTCCTCGCTTTATTGCCCCCTCTTAAGGCTCGCTACTATTCTATCTCATCTTCTCCTCTCGCCGACCCCTCCATTTGCTCGCTCACATACAGCGTTCTGGATGCACCTGCCTGGGCCGACGGGAAAAAGCACTTCATCGGTGTGGCGGGGAACTACCTCAAGTCTCTGGCTCCTGGCGACAAGGCGCTAGTTTCCATCCGCGCATCTAGTCCTAAGTTCAAGATGCCCAAGGCCCCTGAGGCAACCCCCATCATCATGCTCTGTGCCGGAACAGGTCTCGCTCCTTTCCGAGCTTTCATGCAGGAGCGAGCTATCCTCATTCGCGAAGGGAGACGTACGCTCGCGTCTGCACTTCTGATTGTTGGATGTCGCACCGCCGAAAGTGATCGACTCTATGCTGAAGAGATGGACGAGTGGAACAGGTTAGGGGTTGCGGATGTGCGATATGCTTTTAGCCGCGAGCCCAATCACCAATTGGCCAATGGGTGTTCTCGGGTGCAGGACCGTTTGGTGCAGTCTGGCGAGGACGTCGTACGGCTATTTCAAGCTGGAGCCAAGGTGTACACTTGCGGAAGTAGTGCTCTTCTCCAAGGGATGAAGGAAGCAGCAACAGCTGTTATTGTGCAGTCAAGACAGAAGAAGGGTCTCAGTGCGAGTGACGAGGATGTGGAGAACTGGTTCCGACAACATCATGATGATAGACTTGTGAGCGATGTATTTTCTTGAGGAAATCGGGTTGCTTTCCATCCCTAACAGGCGGTTACTGTATTCCCTAGTTTGTGATAACAGTTATAAATAACCGATCCAATTGTTTTGAAATCCTCCACAACTGCGCGGAAATGTTGGAACAGGTAATGAGACTTGGAGGTGTTAGAAAGAAAAGGGGATATCAGTGTCCTCCTCATGATTAGGTTTTCTTATACATTGAATATCTTTGAAGCCAGACAAAAAACTATTTACAAAATTACAGTATCCGCGAATTCGCTAAAATCATACACATCGTCTGCATTCGAAGTATAGGGAGCAGTCCATTCACCCGTGAAAGAATTCACAAACCATGATGGATCTCTTTTCGACAGCAGAGCAGACTTGAGGTCATGTCTGTCTGGCAAAGATGGAAAATCCGTCATTTCCTCGGGGTCATCTTTGCTACTCATCGTATGGATATGAACCCCATATTGAGCACCGGCTTCTACTGCTTTTTGGAAGTGACCCTTTGGGTTTTTCTTTACCAGAAATCGTTCAATCCCGTCAACAAACACCGTTTTAAGTTTTGGGTAGTTCCCGGACTCGAGCATGCCAACGATGCCATCGTCAACAATGTCTGTCACGTGAGTTTTCTCCTCGCCCAAGCCAATGAGGTATTCAAGGCCGCAGAAAGCTACGGCCTCAATCGATCGCGGCAGGCCGGTCTTGAACTCTCGCACCACATCATCATGGGTGGCTTGGATGTGAGTTTCCGGGAATCCGAGGTTTCCCGACGCTTGATTAACAATGTCCTGCACACAAATGCTAACGACTCTCAAGTTCGCCATTTGTTTTAGCTTCATTGGTTTACAGATGACCAAATGAGATGCAAGGACCAGCTCTGGGTTGTAGTAGAGAAAGTTTTTGATTGATGCGCTTGACGCTGATTCGGTGAGATACCCGGCAATCTGATCACTCTCAGTTTGAGTATCGGCTTCTCCGCGGATTATCATTGACTCAAGAGCAGCTGGCGCTGCGCATAATACCTCTCGGAAAACAAGCGAGTCGCCCCTGATTCTGTCGAGGATAATAGTTTTGACTGAGGAACTCCCCGGGGGAAGGTCGTAAAATGCCGATGAGGTATCCAGGTACTCGAGTTCTGGATGGTATTCCATTTCCAAGTTCCGATAATACACCTCGACAATATTGGGAAGTCGCAATAGCTTAGCTAGACCGTCAACCCGAGCTGAGATCCCATCGGACCCAGCTTGAGCAGCTACAGTTGGAACACCAACAGCCACAGTTTGAAGCGACAGGAACCCAGGTGGCCATGGGGTTCGGTTGCGGAGGCTCCAACCAATCGCGGTTTTCAGCCAAGTGAAACTTGTATGCCCATCGTGCGGTCTTTCGACGAATTTCAAGGCCTTGAGTCGTGGAAGAAGTGAGATTAACACCATTTTGAAGAAACCGTCCTCGCCATCTCTCACCCGCTGGCAGGCGATATCATGTTGGACACCCGACATGACTGACTCTAACCTTTCAAGATGGTACTCCAGCTCCCCAATTGCAAACGGAAGGCTCAGTGCCACTTGATCCTGTGTCAGCGAGACTGTGCCGCTCGGTGATAGTTCCCAAGATCGCCACTCATCCCACGATCTCCTGCTGCCCCAGATCTCTAGCTCACGCACGTGCCATGCCTCTATTGCATCAGGGCCAAGCGTGCAAGAAGCGCTGTGGAACAGGCGCAGGAGCGTTTGCGGGTAACGGTCTGAGGCTATTCTGCTATCCTTGTACGCGGCGCGATGCTTGCCGAGGACTCTGTCTGACCTGTAGTAGATGGACTTGCATGTTCGAGCAAGCGCGAAGTGCCAGGATGGCTCTAGGAATTCGTAGACGTGATCCAGGAGCTCCGTGACTTCAAATAACCGCGTGACGTCCATATTGGATGATGGTGACACGAATCAGTAGAGAACGATGTATATCACAAGACCGAGTGTTCTTCTCATTCATCCACCAAGTTTTTGATCACTTTTTGCGAATAGTTTTTGCTATCTTGTCGCTGTCGCTGGGCCGTTGGGATAAATTTGCCATTCATAAGAGGCAGGTGAGGGAAAAACTCGGATAAGTCGGAAAGTTGGAATAGTCTCGCGACGATATGTCATGATTCAATTGATTCGGTGTGTAGATATCGCAAATATACAGAATTATCCGCTCGTCGGTACAGCGGAATGAATGGTGTCTTGGCGAACGAGAAACCACACGTTCACGGAGTTTGAAATCCACGCGCAGAAATCGCTGCATGGATGCTTCGATTTCTTCATGCCCCCGCCCCTTTCCATCGGGAGATGCCTCCGATTTTCTCCACTGGTAGGGAACAGGTAATCAATTCAGCAGTTCTCATAGGCCAGGTCCTTGGACTTAGATTAGTCTGCGTTGATGGCCAGATCTGCATACGAACTGCTTGGCGGACCAGCGGGGTTTTCTCCCTGCTTACCTGCTCAGCTCAGAAACTGCCATTAGTAATCGTACTTCATTGGCTGTCTCCGATGCCGTTTTACCTCTAGGGACGCGTCGGCGTAGAGCAATGTCATCATAAACACTATCTCCTTGCCTTGTTATTAGAGCGTGTCATTGGCAGGCATGAGTTACTTGATCAATTCCCATCTCTAGCGGCTTACTGGATATTAGAGTTATCTGGAATAAATGAAACATGAGTTATGGTTATAGTTACTGCAACTTCAACTTCCAACTGAGTGGGTGGAGAATCTCCTATCTTCAGACTGAACGATTAAGAAGTCCTGTTGAGTTCTTGTTTGAGTAGAGTAGAAACTCTTGAATTTCTATAACTGAAGAACGATTAATCTTGAGACACATAACGCAGTGATCGGAATTTAGAATTCTATAGATGATGTCACAGTTGTCCTCCCCTCCGGTTAACTCAACCTAGGACTGATGCAAGAAAATGTTATGTGTATAGGGTAGCACTATTCATCATGAGTGCGTACAACAGTTGAGGTTTGGCCAATAGTTCTGTGAATCCCAGCAATCTGTAGGGATAGGTTCCGATTTCCATTGTAGGATAGCGGGCTGCTAGTCTGGAATGGAGGTAACGATCCAATTCGCATTGCGTGAATTAAGAGGCAGCGTTGCTTCCATTGTCAATGCCAGAACACGACTGGGCCACCGTTGCCAAGAAGTCTGGCTGGTTAGTGGGCAGAGATCCGAAACAGTGATCTAGATGACAATTGAGTAGGGAGGTTTCACAACATTGAAAGGTAGGGAGGACGTGCCAACGTGGAGACAACAAGGAGGACTCGAATGGATGTTTCAAGTGAAGGAATTTGATTCTGAAGCCACACTATACAAGAATTGCAAGTAACTTGAATTTTTTAGGTGCGTATGATACCGTTATAAGCCACGCATTAAGATGACATGGCAAACTTCTAGACTCATTTCCAGTCACAACGAGGACGATTTACGGGAATTTATTCACGCAAGGGCTCATAGAGGAGAGCGGGTGCTACATTGGATCGATCATATAATAGGCCCAAGGGCGCCGCCAGTCAATATTCGGTGAAATTGCGCTCGACACAGTCTCACATACTCCAGAAATGTCTCAAACAAGGGACTTCGAGCAGCGGGCTTAAGCCTACTTTCGTGGCTCCGTTTATCTAGCTCGCGAAGAAACTCAAACGTTGATGGAATCTCGGCATGAATCCATGTTTTAACAAATCCATGGGTTCAATTGCATGACAGAGTGAACCAGTAAACGGTCGTGGTGGGTATTGGGGGCCGCGGTCACTGTTGTCTCACATACATCTACGCTGCTCAGGCACAACCATCTCAAGGAATGCTCGAGGAATCATTAAATTATGGGACATCTGGTGCAGATTGTATTAATTTTCCAATCTTTAAGATACATGCCACGTATGCCACCCCCTTACATGTACAAACTGCACCATTATGCAGACAAAAATTCTCATGCCCACGCATCCTTGCCCTACTGCTCATCCGGAAGGAAATGCACACCGGAAGTATGATAATTTAAGACTTAGCCGCGCCTGTGATATTCCCATTAGCAAATCCATATTCCATAGAAGACTCTCTCTTGTTGAGTTTCACTTACTGTCGGTAAAGCCGTGCGCCTTGGACGCGTCATACTTGTAGCATTGCCCATCAGCTCCGCAGAAGTCTGTGTCAATGCTGCAGCACTGCTTGGCGCAGCATAGGTTGAACGGGCAGCAGCGGCCATTGCACACGAATGGGTAGCCAACAGGGCACAGATCATCGTCCGGGCCCATGACGCTCTTGCCGATTCTGGCAGCGGACCTTTGATAACTGACTTCGTCAAGGGTGCCCAAGTCAACGGTGGGAAGATGCTTAGCCATGGGCTGGGTTCTGGCAGCTGCCAGAAGAGGGAGAAGAGAAACGAGAGCGAAAGTGACCTTCATTTTGACGAACGTATTGTGACTTTGGAGTTAAAGACGAAGTCGAGGAGAAGTCAACGAGTAACCGGTAAATTTGGAGGAGGATGGCTGTCTCTATAGAGACTCACCATTCTCTTTATACCTTTAGTCGAAATCATGTGGATTGCTAATTTCCAATCGTGTGCCTGGGTTTCCCGTATGAACGTAGCTTGGAAACGCCACGCGTAATCTTGGTGAGACACGGAAGTATGTCCAACACGTCCTCTGGCTGGAATTTGACCTTGAAGGAATGCGACGATCTCAACCGTCTGGATGGCATGTGTCTTAAACCCACTTTAGGCCCCTTGCTTCGGGGCCCTCGAAATAATGGACTTAGTGCCGTTAGAGAAAACACACCAAAAAAATCATATCCGGGGGAGGGGAGGTGAGAGTCTCGGTTTGAGCCATAGCCTGCTACGTTCGATGATCATTCACGTATTCGTTTTGGAGCTAAGAGAATCTTTATTATACAGCAGTTTTTCAATCTTGTTGTCTCGAGTTAAAATGCATTTGTCTAGAGATTCGCCTAGAGTATGAGTTCAATTGCCTGGTGTGTTTTTGTCACAGATTAGGCCAACCAGGCAAAATGAAATCCTTGCTGGTTTCCACGAGTTATCCATTATATAGCGCGTCACAGTTTTAGGGTCGAGTTGTATTAAAGATAATGACTCCAGGGCATATCGTGATTTGGAAAACAGTCATAGTGGGTATGTTTAGGAAAGGGCTTCTTCCCGTTTACTTTGCTGCATTCTTCTCACCGACAATCACTGCTTTCATCCTGGTGGAGATCCTCAGGCTACAGAGGTGTATTAGGGCATGCTCTTACTTCACGGATATGAGGATGACGAGACGTAACTAATGCGCGCCGTCTATGTGTTGCAGTGACAGCCGGAGGAATTACCTACGTCAACCATATTTCTTCCAGCTAATTTGATGGGATGGCGTCCATATCAATGTGATTAAACAAATCAAAGATTCACTATCCGGAGATCTTCTTCCGCCTTTCCTTTAACACGTCATTATTGCATCCTTCTAGTCTAGATTCCGCGGTACCCCTCAATCCCATCGTGTGGACTTTGTATCCGTTTGAGATCCTGCGGGGTTGCCGAGGCTCAGCTGGGGGTTGACTGAAGAGGATGAAAGGATCTTAGAAGGGTGGAATGTGGGAGCAGGGTTCATTCTCTTTGCCAAGCCATTACAAGGTCTGCTCTACACTCACGGCATCCAAGAAAGATAGGTACATGCCATTTGAAATCCTTGAGCGCTTAGCCTGATCTGTATCGTCGGTTACACTGATCTCCTGTGATGTGTCCATGTTTCCGTTGTAGGGGCCTCTCCACCAGATATGCACCCCGCCTTCTCTTTCAAGGCTGTATATGCGATTCCGCTCTGGTTCATCCGATGGCTTTGCGTAGGATTCAAGGTCACCCCCTGCCTTTTAATTATACTTTTGTTGCTTACATATGATAATGCACGATTTCATCTAGAGAGAAGAATACTACTTAAGGAAGCGCCCTCCCCTGTAGCGGCGCATTAAGCCAACTGTCATCCTGCATTTCTCTTTTAGTTACGATATCTTGTCTAAATATTTCCTGATATTGATTATATAATTTATCGCAGTCAAGGTGAGGAAATACTCACCTTGTCTCTGATCCAACTGCCACCCACATCAACACTTTTGCAAGTTGGAGGCTAATAAAAACTAACAGTCTGCCAAAATGGCTGAAGATTCTCTGCCCGCGGTACCCAAGCAGCACAAGGCTATTATCTATGATAATCCGGGCACAGTATCCACCAAAGTAGTTGACATTGACACACCGACTCCCGGTCCAGGAGAAGTCCTAATCAACTTGTATGTGGTGTTCAAAATGTCCGTAATTGACACCAGCTAAGATAATCCTTGGATAGAACCCACTCGGGAGTATGCCACTCAGACTATGGCGTGATGACCAACAGCGTACGTAAACGAGTTGATGCATGGAAACCACAGGCTGACCAGTGAAAAAGTGGCAAATACTACCTGCACCAACTCCCCAAGGACAGATTGGGGGGCATGAGGGCGTTGGCAGAGTTGTACAGCTAGGTCCCGGAGCAGAGGTCACTGGCATCAAGATAGGAGACCGAGTAGGCATCAAGTGGATCGCGAGTGCTTGTGGAAGATGCGGTAAGTGCTTGCGGGTATTGATGATTCCTCTATTCTGGCATCCATATTCTTACAGTTCATTCAAGCGCCCTGCCTCGTCCGTCAGGATGGTGTATGCATGAATCAAAAAGTTTCGGGTTACTACCACCCCGGAACCTTTCAACAATACGTTCTTGGGCCAGCTGCCTACGTAACCCCGATCCCCGATGGCATAGAGTCCGCTGACGCAGCGCCTCTCCTTTGTGCTGGAGTGACCGTGTACTCGGCATTACTGAAAAGCGATGCCAAACCTGGACAGTGGGTTGTCATTCCCGGTGCTGGTGGCGGCTTGGGTCATCTGGCATGCCAGCTAGGAGCAAGGGCCCTTGGGATGCGGATCATTGGTATTGATCACGGATCCAAGGAGAAGATCGTCAAGGACTCCGGAGCTGAACATTTTGTCGACTTGTCCAAATTCTCTAAAGATGAGGAAATGGCAACTCATATAAACTCTCTTACCGACGACGGACTCGGTGCCCACGCAGTTGTTGTCTGCACAGCGTCTAATCGAGCATACGCGCAATCAGTAACCTTTTTGCGCTTCAGTGGCACTGTGGTATGCGTTGGTATGCCCGAAGGTGACATGGTGCCAATTGCTACTGCGAAGCCGAGTTTGATCGTCACCAAACAGTATCGCATCGTTGGGTCCGCTGTTGGTAATCAACATGAAGCGATTGAGGTAATGAAATTCGGTGCCAGAGGAATAGTGAAAGCCCACTCTGAGGTAAGGAAGATGGAGGACTTGACGCAAACCTTTAAGGATATGCACGAGGGGAAATTGCACGGCAGGGTTGTTTTGGACCTGTCCACATAGGGTTCTGTTAAACCTACCAATGACCCTATCTTAATGTACATAGGGATGTATTTATGGCCAACTCGGAGATCTTACAGTTTTGAGGAATTGTATTCATGTAAACCGAATAAATGCGGATGATAAACTTCACGATTTTCATACCATCATATCTCGACGACTAACCTATCTTCTCCTCTGCTCTCCCTCCACCGATTTGTCGACTCAATCAGATCTCCACAATTAGCGAGGAGAAATTGATATTTCTTTGAAAATGCGTCGGTGATTTCCCACTGGTCAAGTCTCCAAGGGTCTCCCCAGACTATAACGCCGCGCAGTTCCAGATCACTAAACCCTCCGAACAGTCCGCCATAGCCGTCGCTTGCTAGCTCGGCCATATCATACTTGTCGGCTTCGAGAATAAGATTATTGCGCATTTCAGGAAACGGGACAGAATCAATCAAAGGATTGTGAGGAGTGCTCAGTTGGAGCTCTGTTGGTAAGAGTGTTGATGGGATCGCAGGCGGAGGAGGAATTGCGAATGGTAAGAGTGACAAGACGCTCTCGCATTCTCTCGGCAGGTGCTTGAGATTTCCAAGTAGATTCATGTTGGTCAAAAGAGCTCGTTTCAGATTATATTGAACCAGTGTGATAAGTTTATGGTCGGGTGAAAGCGGAAACAACACTTTGGGAAGTTTAGTATGGCTTGAATACTGAAGAACGAGAGGTGGGATCAGCATTTCCTGTCTCGGTTTGTTTGCATGATCATCTGCTCGAGTAGCTACCGATAATTTCCGGGGGGTTCTGCAATTGGGGGCCGAATATTGGTCTGTGTGGGAGTTGGCATCCTGAGTTTGCTTTTGGTCAGATGACAAGGAGTTGTTGACCCTTGACCACGTTGGGATCAGAACTCCGTGTCCACCCCATGAGTGATCCGATGGGCTCGAGCGTGACGTAGACCCATTCAGCATCTTCATTCTATTTCCTGCAGTATAGGTCAATATTTCAAGCCAAATGAGAGTAGTAAGTAGGGTGACGTGCGCTTTGCTCGCTGGTTGAGCCGATTTTGGATTTTCCGTCTCTCCGAAGGATCCGAGATCCCCGACCAATCATCGTTACTGGCTTGTCCCCAGTTCATCTTGTTCAGTTTCTTACATCCAACCGATTGTCTATCTTAGGAGAAGATGTGAGAGTGAAAAGCGATGGAACTTTGCTGCTGTTTGAGGTTAGGGGTGTCATCATGAGGGAGAAGTGGAGATGGAGAGAGACATGCAAGTTGCTGACCCTCTAACCTCATTTGTTGATGCTTACTTTTGGAGCACAAGGATCACTCTCTCTGCACTCTGCTGACAGGCTAACCCGTTTGGCTCGCCCAATTCATGGTATCAGGCTTCTACTCGCTCATAAATATTATAAAAGCATTGGATAGAACTATGAAATCAGCACTCTCCCATATTTTTTCTCTAGGCATAGGTATCCCAGATAACATTCTCTTCTTTTATTGATCCATGCAAAATGCCCGGACTCGGAGGGTTTACGGAGTTTGACCCAGACAAAGACATCCCCTCCTTAGCGGGAAAGGTCATCTTCGTTACTGGCGGTATGATATATGCTTCATTCTATACTTCATGTTGACTGACCTATCCTGGCTAGGTACCAACGGAATCGGAAAAGCCACAGTCAAGGCCTTCGCCAAACATGGCCCTGAACACATCTATTTCACAGGTCGTAACAGTGATGCCGCCGCTTCTCTCATCAGGGAGCTTGAGGCTACACACTCTGGAATAAAGCTTACCTTTATTCAAATGGATCTTTCATCTCTCGCATCCGTTAAGGCTTCGTGCACAAGATTTACTCACGATCGTCTTGACATATTAGTATGCAATGCAGGTGTGCTTGACGTGCCTCTGGGAGTTAGCACCGACGGCTTCGAGATCCATCTGGCCACAAATCACCTCGGCCATGCCATGCTTATCAAGGAAATGCTTCCCATCCTGCAGCATACAGCAGAGGCCCCAGGAAGCGATGTAAGAGTAGTGAGCCTGAGCTCCTCTGGTCACTTCGCCCACTCAAAGGACGGTTTGTTCTGGGACTATATTAGGACTCCGATGAGAGATCTACGTGTTACGTGGGCAAGATATGGGTCAGTCTTCTCCCCTTTTGATAGGCTCCATCAACCTTCAGTTTTCCACTTTTGTGTTTGTTCGGAGACATCAAAGTCTGTGATGCTAACGGTCTCTTGATAGTCAATCCAAACTTGCAAACCTTGTTTACGCGGCGGAACTTGCGCGTCGGTACCCCAAGATTCTCAGCGTTTCTGTCCACCCGGGATTTGTTGATACACCCATGATTCATAATTCAAGCCTTTTGGCAAGGGTTGCGATGTACGTGGGCCACTGGCTGAAGAATATTCCTCAATTCTCAATGGACCAGGGCGCCTTTAATCAGCTATGGGCCGCTGCCGGTGCTGAGAGGGATGTGCTAATCAACGGAGCATACTACACCCCGATCGGGGTTGTCGGCGAGCTGGATGAGGTTGCAAGAAGTGAAAATTTTGCAAAGAGATTGTGGGATTGGACCAATGAAGTCTTGCTTTAGAGAGAACTCGCTCGCTGGGAGACGACTGGTATGAATCCCATCTAAGACTTAGGAGGGGACCAAGGCTTATGCCAATGATCGGATTATCTGGAGCGATGAAAGAGATTTCAACGTACCATGAGGACTTGACTTCACCTTGGGATTTTTGTATTCGGTTTCTCTCCAATTAGAAGGCATTGATAGGAACATAACTGATTATAATTGCCCTTTATCCATGTATTTAATTAGTAAAAGCCCTTAAATAGCAACAACTACACGCTAACTGGAATGGTGGCATTGGATGTGGATCAGACGTGATGCCGAGCCAAAAACCAACTGGGGCTTGGAACGCTGTTCCCTTTCTCATCCGCGGACGCAGACCATCTTATAGGCCCACGAGAACCACGACTGCGGTCACAATACCATGGATCGTGCGCCTCGTCGCCGTAATGGCCGCCTTCAGGCTTGCGACCCATGCCGACGCCGGAAGATGGCGTGTGACCACACCCAGCCAACATGCAGCAGATGTGAGAAACGAGGCCAGGCTGCTGCGTGCATCTACACAGTAGCGGCCGAACCGCCCTCCAAAAACAGCGGCTTACGTCCCGGCCGTTCCAGTTCAGAGCGGACTCTTGCTGTACCTGTCACGTCTCCGTCTTCAGTCCTAGATCCTTCTCCCACAGTACCACAACTAGCCTCAGCCAGAGCCCAGAGTCAGAGTTCAACCTCACTCACTCGCTCGTTTGGTAACGGATATTTGGGATTCACCAGTCATTCAGCAGTGTTTGATGAGGCTCGTCAGAGACTCAGTTACCTTCATGGCAGCCCATCAACCATACCCTCCAGTGATGCACAAGACTCACCACAGGGAGGAGGGCTAACTTGGACGTTATCGTCATCGACCATGGAAGTATGCCAGTCTATTATACGAGCCCTTCCAGATCTCTCCAAGGTCAAAATTTCACCGGCCAGCTTTTCTGCCAGTTTTACCAAGGGATGGGTGCGCGTCGCTGCGATCAGGATTCTGAAAACTTTACAGACCCAAATATCGGCCTCTCCGTCAGACGAAGAGATATTCCAGGTATCCAAGATGATACACGAAAACACTATGAAACCAATTTCAGACGACCTCCTTGACCCCAATGAGTGGATCCAGCAATTTGATGGGCCAAACCTGCGGTGGGAGTCGATCGCGGTGCTTTTCACCTTCCCTGAACTCTTTGCCGCCAACGGCCACACTGTCGAAAATGACCCTGAGAAAATGTGGTCTCAACTATCATTTAAGCAAGTCGTTTTGAAATGTATCGACCAATGTGTGAATCTCGCCATGTATCAAACGGGAGGAAACCTCCTGCTATTATGGGTATGCTATCGACGGACCTTTTTAGAATCTATCACCCTCGGCGATGCTGGTAAGGTCTACATCGAACCATTGTCAATTGTTTCCAAAGCTAACATGGAATCATCGCAGGCCTACACTGTCTCCGCTCTCACGCTGATTGCGTGTCCATCTCACTGTTCCTCGGACTCCACGTTGAACAACCTACACCGCACTACAAGCCGACATTCTGCTCAGAGTTGAGACGGCTGCTGCTTCATCGTGTGTTTGTAATTGACAAAGTAATCTCATCTTTCCAAGGCCGCCCTCCCCTACTGAGCGGTCGATATATCATGACACCTCTGCCACTTGACATATCCGATAGGCATTTCTTTTCTGGAAAGGACGACTTGGATGCTGCTGTCCAATCATTAGATGAAAACGGCTGGAACACTAATGGAGAGATTGGGTCTGTTACAATCACTCGCGCACGAGCAGAATTGGGGTACAACAGGGAGAAGATCCTAGAGATCGCGCTGGGAAATGGGCGAGATGTGAACATCGATACCTTGCTGTGAGTGGAAAGACATCCGGTCTCTTTATTTATATGCCACTAAAGAGAATTGCCAGGAATATCAAGGCGCACGACATGGCCGTGCTATCGAGCTTCCCGTCGGCTCTTCTATATAACCCAAAGGACATTGACAGTGCCAACTTCGATGTGGATGTTGTCTATGGCAAGATTCTGGTACGAGTGGAACACTTGCAAAATATGTTCTTCATCGAACGTCTCTTGCTCCGTTACAGTTATCCCGACGAAGGTGACCTATTAGCAGTTAGCTTTGATATGGTGACCACCACTCTTGGTATTTGGATTCACAAGGATAAATTCGCAGGCATCCGGAGAGACTTTGAGTGGCTGGTAAGTATCTCTTCATTGCGTTCAAGGGTCCTACTGACTGTCATCAGGTCATGGCCTATGCTGCGCCAGGCGGAGGAATCCTCTGCATGGAGCTTCTCAAACCGACATTCTCCGGGTCTCACCCGAAAAATCCAAAAGATCACACGATCAAGCATCATCCAGCAGCTGAGCCTACTTGTTGGTTTTCTCGACTGGGTAGGCCCTGACGCACCCAATAGGGACCTTTGTTCCAACTGCAGTAATGTGATTCAACACGTGTTGGATCTAACGCTCAATAATTTTGGGACGCCAATAAATAACGAATCCCTTGATTCCCTGGGGCAGTTTGACTCGACTCAGATGAACTTCAATTTTAATCTGCTAGACACGTTTGACTGGCTCCGGACAGATGAATGTACAGGCGACCAATAGCCCATCTCTACCCACCTTCAAAAATTCTGATTTCGACTTGGAGCAACTAGAAAACAGTAGCCGGCGATTTCTTGAGCTTCGTTAATGAGTGCATACATTTCAAGGGGTCAACTGAAAATAACAACTCGCCCCCACGAGTGGCGACTGAATTATAATTCCGTAAAGATAATCACTTGAAGATGCACAATGCGGCATAAGGGAAATGAAAATTAGCTACAAAATTCACTTCATTCTGTTGAATGTTCATATCAGCATCATTAAATATCTGTTGTAAGATCTTTCTGAAAGCCCTCCAGATTCTCCAATAGGAGCCTCTTGCCCGAATGTATCAGAATACGTTGAGTAGACGATAGGCAACCGCTTTGTAAGTCCCTCCATGTGATCATCAAAATCTGACCCCAATCAATGGCTCCTCTTCGTCATCTTCATCATCAGGATCCGCGTCACGAATGCGCACTTCCTTCGCATGTTGATTCCCGTTACTACTGTCGTACTCTTGACCCAAGATGTGCCTCTCAAAGATCCTCTCCAGATATGGGAAGACTCCCAGAGTCACATGAAAGTCCAACAAGCTAGTAATGTGGTTTTTCATCTCATCAATGAAGAAAGCATAGCCCTCATGTACCGTGTTCATGATCGTTTGTTGATGATTGCGCTCACGACACGATTGACCGTCGACAGTTGTATCGAATACAACGAAGAGACGAGGTGTATCAAAGTTCTGTCCGATGAAGGAGATAAGATCGGTCCAGTTCTGCTTAGTACTCCTCCATTTGAAAATCTGACCAGGCTCGAAACGAAACCTGATTCGCCTGAAGAGTTTCAAAGAGGCAGGATTGAGGGCACGGAGCATATTGAGCGTATCATCGAAGGGGCCTTCAAATGTAAACATGTTTGTCGTAAAGAGAACTTGTGTTGCTTCTTCGTTCATTTGCTTGTTAACACGCAAGAGATCAAGGGGCAGGTCTCTGCATGTGCAATTGGGAGAGACAGCCGAATAGTTCAAGGGACAAATGCAATCCAGTTTGGTGAATGAACAGTCGAGGCAACAAGCCCTGCGGTAGCTGAGAGACCTTTCGTCCTTGGGATAGCGTTGGCTGAATTTCCCACGTTTGATGGTGATATCGCTCCATTCTGGCTTGAAGGAACCGTGCTGCCCGAGGTTCGTGTAGCTTAGAATGTGGAGACGAACCTCGTGTGGCAACAAGAAGAATGGGAATGAAGAGTCTTCGCCTTCATGCTGAACAGCAGTCAAGCTAGCTGCAGTAGAACGGGCGAGCGAGCGGAGATCAGTGTCTCGACGTCTGCCAAGTCTAATAGCGCAGCTCTTGAGCTGTGGAAGGGCCTGAAGCGGCTGCATGAATTTCTCGGCTGTTGCAAACTCTCCGACGTCGCAAATAAATTCCAAGTTCAAACGTCCAGGTACGAGACAGGACGCAAGTCGCTGGCAAAAGTTCGTCCACTTCTCGACCGGTTTAGATCCGTCCTTGACGACAATCTGACCATCAGTCTTATTAGACACCGGTGCCTCACATGTCGGACATCTAGTATTCGAGCTCAATACGTGGAGAAGATCAGAGCTGTGCCCGCGATAGCATGGCCAGCTGTTCAATCGGATCAACAGATGGTTCAACGCACGTAATGCACCATCCGAAAGCTGATATAGCGTTTCGAGATCGTCTGGCCCGCGTGGGCGTACCACGAATTTATTTTCGCCATAGAGAATATCTTGGACTTCCCCATGGAGAGCTTTGTTGACGCGAAGAAGGTCCTTTGGGACTTCTGGGCATTCGCACTCGCGCGTTTCATGTGGCATGTGTAACCCTATACCCCGCCCTCTGTTGCGAGATGCAAAATTGCAGACCAGTCCGTCATCCAGGCGCACGTCGGCTGGGTCACGGTGGAGGGTAGGGCGAGGTACGGCTTTAGAGGGAGGAATGATAACGATTGGACACTCTCTGGTCACGCCTGCGAAGAAGTAAATCCTCTTGCGGACGTGGAGAGGGAGGGAAAGCAGCGAATGAGGAGAAATTGAACCCATGCTTGGCTCGCTTGGCTCGCCAGGGAGGGCGAGAGACGATTGAACGGCCATGTCGCTGAAGCGAACACGACTAAGAGATCAAGCGCGGGCGTGACAAGAGCTGTTCATTCGCAGACGCGATGATGAAGCAGATGGATAAATGGTGGCATGATTGCATTGAGAAATGCACAAATATAGCCGAGGCAACATTACAAAGGTACGTAAACATCTGCGTAACATCAACGTACCTATCATAACAACGCGTTGAGGTGAGATCTAGGGTAACGGAGCATTTCAGTCGAGGTCATGTGACGTTGCAGGCTCGTGATTCGGCTGGGCTGCGTGCATTAGCTAAGCTAATAGGTATATAGATCGTTCTTTTTCGCATGTTCCCCATCGAACCAGTCTTCCATCCACGAGGCGCTTAGCGTCCCAAGGTTCCGTGGTCTAACGGTCATGACTACAGGTTCTGATCCTGTCAGCGAGGGTTCGACTCCCTCCGGGACCTAACTTTTTGATTTTTTTTTTGCCATCCCTAACGCCTCCGTTTCTATTGTCTGGAATGCGGCACACTCTGTTTTTGTGACACTCGTATTAAAATTGATTTGTTAATGGTACTCCGATCTTGATGTCCATTAAATTGCTCCCAACTACAGTACTTCTCACAGCCAAACTCGACCACCGCGAATAACGTGCCACAATGGTTTGTGATGAGTTTCACATACCGATGCACGAAGCAGATGTTCTTTGAATGGCTGCTAGATGATATAGACAATGCATTCACAAAATTTTCTCTGTCCATTCTTTTCCGCCTTCTGGGAGACGAAATTGCAAAGGAAATTGGTCAATAGGGAATCGCGATGTGGTACATTTACTAATTCACAAAGATTTATTGATATCAGAACCACGTACAAGCCAACTTGGTACTAATTGTTAACAGCGGGATAAGGTTTATAACAGCTACATAGGATCTTAGGTTCGCTAAGCTCTACCTAGTATGACTTGATAGCTGTCACCTATTCCTGTCCAAGCTCGAGACAAACTATGCGAGAGTTGGTGCGCTCCAGTTAATGTACTTACTGACATCAGCCGACACAGCAGATTTGTCAAGGTCCTGAGGCGCGGAGCTGCCCTTCAAGAGGAAGTAATTGATGAACTCCGTAAGCTCGGAATTCTGGCTGCTGGGGAACTGGCAGTGGTTATGAGCTGCAGCCACGGAGATGCCCATGTTCTGCTGCTTGCCCAGAGCTTTGTAGATTAATTTGCCTGCCCTCATGCAAGCGGTAGTCGACACCGGGCCGAGCCAGTCAATGACATTCTCGGGCACATAGAGCCCCCGAGGTGCGACGAGGCCTGCAAGAAGGTGGTGGTCATAGGGGAGCGTGTTTGTCTTCGATGTCCACTGGTTAAACCGTGTGGAAAACCATACATTCTCGCCAACAATTTGAGAGGCCGTCTGTATGTTTTTGCCGAGCGCCTTCTCTGCGTCTGAAATGCGCCAGCAAGCAGCACCACCCGCTCCAGACTCCTGCGGAATTGTCAGAGCAATACGCTTGTCCAAGGCACCGACCACGAATGCTCCCTTTCCATTGCGCGAGCATCCCGTTACGCCCAGACGCGTGGTATCAATGCCTGTGGCCGAAGAACCGAGCTTCTCCAAAGCATCAATAATGCGAGAGACGCCCCATGCCCATGCTGTGAGAGCGCCAGCCGAGTGCCCATTGCCGTGGAGATCATAAAAAGTTCCTATCCCCCGACTTCCGCCACCATTCTGTTGCGCGAAGCCATCATTGTTGAATGTGATAGTGGCTACACCGGATGGGATAGGAATAGAATAACCGCCTATGGCGATGATGGCGGGTTGGGCTGAAGATCCAGACCGCCCAGAGATGGAGGCAGTGAAGGTCGAAGACTTTCCAGATACCGAAACAGTGATAGAGAGAGTATTGCCATTCAGGCTAGCCGTCAGTGAGGACGGGGCTGGAGGCAAGTCTCCAAATTCATACTGCTGATATGCATTGAGAATTTCTTGTTGGCGGCAGCTCCATTGATCAACACTTGTTACCCGAGTCCCGTCCGCGAAAACAAAGGGATCGGGAAGGTATGTAGTTGACACCGCAGGAATGTTGGAGGAAGGGGAACAAGCTTGCCTCTCAAGAAGAGGACTAACAGGAGTAGCTGGTAAGGCCGTAATGGCAACCCCGAACAGTAGGGCCACGATAAGCGCGTAAATCATGATGTTTTTGATATTATTTTGGTAATATGGTTTAAGTATTTTGACTGTCTTGTGTTCTTATGGTCACTTAGATATCCTTTGATAAAGCCGCCAGTCATGTTTATATAGGTGAGCATCAAAGGGCACACATCTGAAATGTTCCATATCGAGGAGGTCAAGCTTTAGAGTAGAGACGGACCGTCTTGCTCCGACCTGAAAGGAAAAGGGAGATCCTATTCCGACTAAAGCACCTCTATTTCATGCGAGAAACTCGAGTTTAAGCCTGATTCTGATTTGTTATTGGGATGTTTACGAAGGGATTCAATCTTGCAAGAGGGGATCGTGTGTCTAGCCGGTTTCCTTACAAGGATCTGGTTTCAAAAAATGTGACTTCAGAGTCATTTGGTCGCTGAAAAGGAGGCTGATCTACCTTGTTCTCACCTCAGGCTATATCACAATGAATGTAGAAAAAGCCGGCCACGTATGATTTGCTCAAACACTTTAGCCTGATGGATTAAGGTTACTTACCCCACAGAACCTTCAACCGCTTCTTTTACCAGAGCATAAAGTGATACCCCTAATGGGAACTTCTGATACGGATTAGGTTGCCCCATTGTCCAAATCTGGAAGATTTTGAATCGTGTTCCTTCAACTGCCGATGAGAGCCGAGAACACGAGATTCCATGTTTGCTCTGCAATTTCATCTAGGCTAAGATGGGTTGTGACATGCAATCACCCAGCAAATCATGTAACACGCTGAGTAAAATCAAACAGGCTATGAGGATCTCAGACAATGCGGCCTAGTGGTAAACTACACCTCTGCACTGCTCTTCAGAATCATTTCATTATCCGAGAAACATGATTCAAGGGAGGTCTGACTGCCTACCAAATTCTTCAATTGCCGCTTTGTCATCGTCGCCTTCTCCTGCCTATATCGTCAAGTGCTTACATCCTCATGAACCATAAATAGATTCGCGCGAACCATGTCTTATATTGCAATTTAGATAAGCCTCCAAGTGCAAAATGCACAAAGCTTTGACTTCATTTAACAATTTATCTAAAAATGACTGGTTGCGCATGGCGTATTAATGACCTAGTGGTCGTCCACCACATAAGGTTGATCGTCCCAGGGTCACTCCATATCGATCACAAGCAGGAGCGTTGAATCGATTCAGAGTAGATTTATTCTACCTCAATTGAATTATTTGCTGAATATAGGACTCTCGGAGAAGTCTCTATCAGACTCTTATTAGATCTACCTCCTTTCATCGTGTTGGTCCAGTGATACAACTAGCATGGGGTCAAGTGGGTTTTAGTCAGCTTGCCCAACCATGCTTCCCGGACTAAGGGGGGGCCATTGTCTTTATTTTGTTTTTTCCTCCTCTGCATTACTCTCTCCATCAACTGTAGCTCATCAATAACCATCCCGCGAGCCACACAAACTATACGCAAAAGATGTCTTCATATGTCTGGCAACTCCTTGGCTACCCTCCTCCGCGGGCCCCGCCAACTCTGGTCCCAACAGATGAGGTGGTTCCCCTGCACCCATTTGATGATACCAAAACCTTGAGTGAATATACCCTGGTCTGGACCTTCCGTTTCGATGAAGTCCTCGATGCAGACAAGCTTGGCCAGTCTTTATCGCAGCTCTTCCAGATGGAAGGCTGGCGTAAGCTAGGTGGAAGACTTCGTAAGGCAGTACGAAACTCACCATGCCTGAAACACAAGCCTGGGAATAACGCTGACAGAGCTCCTAGCCGAATGGGAAGACAGAGGTCCATATCCCTACTCCTTTCACCGAGGCCCGCCCTTCTATCCTCTTCTCCAAAGAGAGCCACCAAATGCGCATGTGTGATCACCCTGAAGCTTCAAAGCTTCCCGAGGCGTCCAATGAGCCCAAGACGTTCCCCAGCCCGCGCAATTACATATCATTAGCGTTAGGGCCAGACGCCCCAAGGACCTTTGAGGATTTCATTCATTCTGACCACCCTCAATTTTCTCTCCATGTGGTAACTTTCGAGGATGGCACGCTGGTCTCAGTGAACTTCAACCATATGACTACTGACTTGGGTGGCTTCGCAGCCGTCATTGATGCCTGGAAGCTCGTCCTTGCGGGAAGGCCCGAAGCTGTGCCAAAATTCGAAGGGTTCCGAGATGACCCAATGGCCCCCTTGTATACCGGAGAACCCACTGAGAAGATCCGTCACGGCCTGCCGCACCTGAACGGCTTTGGATTGATAAGTTGGGCCATGAGGCAGATGCTCGAGTTCAGGTTCTATCCTGCAGAGTCTCGCACGCTTTGCATCCCTGCCAAGATAGCAGATGCACTCCTGAAAGAAGCCAAGGACCAGGCTGCGTCCGAAGGAACTGATAGCCAGGGGAAGCCAATGTTTGCCTCGGAGCACGATGTGATCATTGCATTGATCAATCGCTTCATTGCTGAGGGCTTTCCCTCTGGATCTCAGCGCAATATTGTCACATTGATGGCGGTAGATCCTCGACCGAGGGCCAAATCCGTGTTCCGCGATGATGCCGCGTATGTCCAGAATGCTGCTTTAGGCGCCTTTGTTCAATGTTCAGCTCCGGAAGCTCTGACGTTGCCTACCGGAAAACTGGCTCTCAGGTCTCGTGAAGCGCTCTCCACACAATCATCAGAAGGGCAGTTCAATGCACTGCTGTGGATGGCACATGATCATATCAAAAAGACTGGTAATACCCCGCTGTTTGGAGATTCGTCCATGGCTTTTGTTGTGGTTTCCAACTGGAGCAAGGCGGCCTTGATGGACAGGATGGACTTTTCTCCTGCTGTTGTCAAACAAGCCAAAAACGAGAGATCAGCAAGAAAGCCTGGTCACCCGGTGTACTTCCAATCGCAGAGTATTGATGAGGGTTCATTTTCAACATCAATTGTTGTGATTATGGGTAGAGATCGGGATAGGAATTTGTGGCTATTTGGAGACTTTCAATCACATGTTTGGAGCAAGTTCACGGATTATCTGCGCACGTATCTTTAGATTCTCCGATGTTTACTTGGAAAGTGGTCAGTATAGTAGATGACTAGAGCACATTTATGGATTTTTTTTTGCTACCTCTAATCTTTTTAGTGTGGTCTCATGATTACAATAAATCTATATTAAGAAGAAACAACGGGTTTCTAGAGTAGTCAAGACTAAGTATCAATGAAAGTGTTTAATTCGGGTATCGCAGTTGTTTGATGAGGTTTTTTAGTTCAAGGGCTATCAATGATGGCATAATTATGGCAGCTCTGAGGAGGAGATATACTAGTTTCCTCTTCAGCTTATTATGTATTATGCTAGCTCAGATGTCAAGCATACTTTTGATCTTTTGATCTCACGCGAAGAAAGGTTAAACGATGACTTCCTGAGAAGAAAAACATGTGTGCTTTTAATCATAGAATACCTAATTATCGGTACCTGTCCAGGTCACTATTTACTATCAATACTATGACGAAAGAAACATGCATAACTGGGACCTATAGGCCCGCTTGAAGAGTTTGATATCGAATGAATGATGGTGTGACCCTGCCTTAGCCTCATGGTTACAACTGATTCCCTCTCACAACAACACGATAAATAGGAGCAAAACTAGACAGTAAATTATTAAAACCCAGCGGCAGCACCTGTAATAAGCGCACGCCTGCCTTTTACTGATGAGCGCCCGGCAATTCAGATCGAGTATGGGTTTGATAAACCGGTGGAACCTGCGCACCAGAGGGAGCGGGAGCTACTCCTGGTCCGTATGGAGAACCTGGTCCGTATGGGGAATGACCTTGAAAAACGGGCGTCGTAGAAGACGCAGGTGAGATAGGGGACATTTGGGAGTTGCAGTGGTAGGCATCCACTGGAATTTTGTCACTTTGATGCTGAAAGTAGGATGTCCTCTCGTGGACAGGATGAGCCATTTCGGGAGGAGGATTACCAACTGGAAGGACCGTGGTTGGCTGGTCGCGGTTCTTCTTGCGCCTAAGCCTGAGAATCCAGACAAGCAGGCCGATGATGACAATCCCTGCTACACCTCCAATGATAGGTCCAGCTATCCATGCGAGGCTTTGAGGTTCTGGTGGTGTTGGATGAGGAGGAGGAGGCGAACTGGTTTCAGCTGGTTTAACGTCGCTTGTTGTAATTCCAGCTGATGTCGAAATGGGAAGACTCGACGTGGAGCTAACGCCAGCTGTTGTCTTCATGTAGATCAACCGAGTGTTAGTATCATTCGCGCATCCGTAGTTTCTATATGGGGACGGGTCGCCCAAGCTTCGATAAACGTTGTCATACGCGCAAACGGTATTAAGAGATGACGTGCTAGAGATGATGAGTTAATTCCAATGTCCTGCACAGAAATTGCTTCCCTGATTAAGTAATAGTATACCATGTTAAGGTCGTCGAAGGACCAAGTAAAAGGCTCGAGCTTTTGCACCCAGTCATCATTGGAAGCGGAGCTTCCGGTGATGTGACTTGGCATCGAGCATAGGACTCAGAAAAGCTGACGGTTAAGCCGTATCGGCAGCTGACAGTAATGTCTCGGAGGCGAGTTAGCTTGAGGAAGAATTCAAGAATGAAACAACGGGCAGGCCTACAACTCCCTTCACTCAACAGATACCCATAAATTTCTCCTCCGTTGGTTTGTTGTCGTGGTACGATGTTCATTTGAGTGATTGTTGGCTGCTGAGCTTTTGTTGTGACGAGAAGAGTAGCGAGAAAGACCAGCCAAACGACTCCTGAGTCCGTGGCACATGCTGAAAACAGACCCATTCTGATAATGCGAGGGGCAATTTCTCGGGGAGAAGAGACTGAGAAGTACAAGCCAGGCTTACAGAACAAGCGTGGGTTTCCTTGGTGTGTTTGGATGGTCAGTCAGAGCCCATGAGTTTCGTATTTATATGGCTGCAGTCAGCCTCTCTTGAGTCTGACCGCAAGGCCTCGATCTGCAAATCGGTTTCAGCTTTGGACGTGCTGAAAGGGAAAACGCCTAATCTAGAAGAACCGCGAAAACCTTCAAGCCACCCCGCGTTAGGCGTTTCCTAAGTTCGCCCGCCTCTACATATTCCTTATCCGCCCGTTGCAGGATCGTTACTCTTTGAGGCTACCATTGTTTCTTGCTTGCGGTGTTCGATTCAGGACTGAGTAAGTGACAGAGCTACGCAGTCATGCGGGTTGAAAGCCTCACGAAACCTCAGAAATGGTCTAGATGAGCTTTCTCAATCTTGCGGAAATATCTGTTCTTTATCGATTGAGCATGCCGGCGCATCCAACCTAAAAATAAACGTTAAAGGAGGGTAGAAGGGTTCATAGAGCTAGCAGAACTCTGTGTCCACTGGCGCGCCATGCGTCGTCCCGCTAGGCCAGTCGTGAATGGCTTCTTTCCTTGGCTAACGCATTCAACTACAGTGAATACCGATTGATATTTAGTTAGGCGGAAATGGTGTGCCTCGGTGGTCCCGAATTCGATCTAGAACCTGTGTTGGTAAGATAAGGGTTGGTAAGATAAGATCACATGCGGAGGATTTAGTGAGTACTTAGACTTCAAGTGCACTATTCGAGTTGCTGCGTTCTGCATGGGCGTTTTCGTTTTGACCTGCATAGAACTGTTCATGAGTTGTGTGCTGCTTCAGAATGCGCAAGGTGACCCAGGGTTGTCTTACTTCCCTAAGGTGTTCTTCGGAGCCACATCTAACGTTGAGAGGATCTAAATAATAAGTCTGGTGTACTCTGCATCGGTTTGAGTATGATGTCGAGACAGGTAGGCTGCAAAACTTGGCCTAAAAGTTTGACGGAAGCTCCCACCCCCACAGCTAGGGCACGTTACCTGCAATCCTACGTCTATGCGCATTTAAAAGCCTCCTCATTAGCATATTCACGCACTTCAGACATCTATTGTTGTCAGCTTGCCAAGAGTTGTGGGGGTAACATCATCATCACCATTCTAATAAAGACATACATGCCACCGGTAGCAGAGTGTCAAGGCAAAAACAAATTCACTAATAAGAATAAATTGATAAGTAGGTCTAGTGTATAAATTTATTATCAAATGAAAAGATCATATTAGGACTCCGATGGGAAGAACTCAGAAGTACACCGGACTTGTTTGTTTGTGTCATCTATTCACGTGATGGGCTGTTGCGCCGGAGGCCAAGTGTCCATTTGCGAACAGTCTGACGCGTCTCCTAGAGTCTAAGCCGGCTTGATTTGAAGACTATGGAATAAGGGCATAATTACGTAGACTGTTGGCAGTGTGAGCGGCATCTCCCGGACGAACTCAGTTGTCTATTGTCTCTCTTGTCCCAAGCTGAGGCTCAGGCCACCCACATCATCTCGAGGCTTGAAGTACAGCATAATCTCATCCCCAAACAGGGTCGTTCTGTTTAGTAATGAAGGTCTGGCTTTTTCATTTTGGATCTCGTCAAGCAAAGTGGGACGGAGTTCTTTGACGCTGGAGGTTAAGTTTCCATTAGACATTGTCATCAGCGTCGTCTCTACAATAAGCAGTCAGATACATTATCAGACAGCGAATCTGCTCTTCTTCCGCAAGCGCTCTCCAAAGGCATATAATACAAAGATCCCAGATACACAAACTGCGCATAAGGCGCCAAGAAGTGACATCCCTTTTTGCAGACCCAAACTTTCATAGAGAGGGTGAGCCCACAACACTCCGCCAAACGCGACCACAGCTTTAGCAAAGCTTTTACCTGCAAATAAGGACGCGGCATAGCGAGGGTAGGAGAGGCCGATGTAGACAAAGATGCACTGTAGAATAACCGCGAAGCTGCCGGTAGAGAAAACGATGCCGATAGTCGGCACAATCCAATGTATATCAGGGCGCGATGTCCAGCCGAATAGAAAGATGCCGGCGGGGATAAATACTGAGGCGACAAGAGCAGGGAGGAGGCGATCCTCGGGTGACAGTTTCTTTCCAGCTCTCGACGGCGCATTCACCCCCAGCGAGACGTATGTGAAGTAAGGTACGGCTGCAAGAACAATGGCGATTATGTTGCACAGTAATACTAGACCGGTCTGACCCCCACTCATGCCGTACACCGGCCCGTACACAATGGGGAAGAATTTGAACATGGAGTTGAAGATGGCGTAAAGCAGCCCAGTATAGATGCTCGTGAAAAGTATGGAGGGATTCAGAGCATTGATGCGCCACGGCATGATCAAAAATTGGTAAAGTCGATCGCCGGACGTAATGTTGATTGTTTGAATCTCGGATCGAGTTCGGTAACGACTGTCGGCACTGAGATGACGGATCCTAATCGGTCGTCTATAAAGAATGGTTTCGGCGGGAGTTTCTGGGAGAAATAGCTATTGGTAGTTGTCAGCTTTGTTCAGCAGGACAATAGCTTGGGGAGATGGACTGACATGGAGCACTGCTGCTGGGCCTACAAAAATCATGATCTCCCAAAGACTCCATCTCCATCCTAGATGAGGAATGGTGTAGCCTGCCAGAATCGAGCCAATAGATGGTCTAGCGAAAGAAAAGACTGCCCAAGTATAAAGAGCAAAAGGGCGATGATACACATCCGATATGTCGCTCAAGGAAGCACCTCCTGCGGAGAGAATGGGCGAGCCAAAGAAGCCTTGGAAGAACCGTAGAATCATCATAGTTTCGAAGGTAGAGCTTAACGCAGTTGGGACGGAAATAATTAAAAAGATGAACAGCGTAACGACATATGGCGCATTTCGTCCTATGCTGGGTACCTCTGAGATGGGCGCAAACACAAGAGACCCTGTGCCGTATCCCAAGAGATAGAGACCCAGACCTAGGCTCGAAATCGTAGCCGTGACGCCGAACACTCGTTGGATATCGGCTTAGGCCGGAGCGTAGATGGAAGACGCCATATATACTACGAAGGAGGTATAGTTGATGATGAAGAAGACAATCAACTTCTTCCATTTGGACCAGTTGATCGGATTTGCAGGATCTTCATTAGTGTACCAGTTGACGACGATGACTTCACCACTACAGCCATTGCGGGTACCTGTAGATCCATGGCAGGCCTCGGTTCGGTCGCTTAACTTCCATGGTGTATCATCGGGAGCCGAGGTCAGCACAGTTGACTCTGAGGTACCGTCTCGTTTGTTTCGTGCATGCTGGAGGTCGCCTGGAGTTTCGAGTATGGAGGGAGTTTGACTCGACGTAGCATGCTGTTCTTCGAAAGAATCTTGCCATGATGATGTCGCTGACGATAGTTGAAAAGTGTCTTGGTCTTCAGGATGTTTGATGAAGTCGACGTTGAACAGTGTTGAAATCAATGTACCAAAGATAGTGTCAAGTAAGAAATGGGTCATATTAGCGAGAATTGGGTGTCTATACGCACGCTCCTAGCTCTGGCAATGACACCTATCTGCAATTCTCTCTGCAATATCATCAGACGAAAGGATTTGAGCATCATGGGCCAGCCAGCCTCGATAAATACCCGCATTTCTTAACCCTAGCTTCTGTATGAGCTCTATCCTCGTTACTCCTATCTGGCCTAAAGCTTGCTTCTAACACGATAATCTCCACTACGCCGTATCTCTGCAAGTGCACTCATTTGTCAGCCACCGGAATGTAAATTCCGAAATGCCCCAGGACTAACAACAAAGTTCGTGACGTGACGCAGACGGAGACCCCAGGTCACTTTCATTGACTGAAAGCACCGATCTAGATGATGAATTCCGAGACAGCAAAGAGTGGTAGAGGAAGTAATCGGAAAGGTAAAGGGCCGCAGAGGGGCAAGTATGCAACGCGTGCTTGCGAGGAGTGTCGGCGGAGCCGGGTTAAGGTAAGACCTCTTTGTGATCCTAACACAAGGTTCTCGAGAACCCAAGCATGGAGTTTGGACTCATAATTTATGGACATAGTGCAATGGCATGAGACCCTTTTGTTCTCGTTGTATCGATCGCAATGTTACCTGCGTGTATGCTACAACCGATGACCATCGAGGGACCGTCCCCAAGTCGTATGCGCGGCAACTCGAAGCGCGTGTCGCTTTTCTAGAGGACGTACTGCGACTACACGACATAGATGTCGAAAAAGCGCAGGCTTACCACTTGGAGCGGCATCCTAAGTCTGTAACCGACATAATCGCAACTCCTTCCACATCATCGGCAGAAGGCGACAAGAGCTGCACTCAAGGCACTCTACGCTTTGACGAACCTTGCAATCATCCTGATTACCCCGAGGGGCGCTTTTTTGGTGTCACAAGTGGCCGAGCGGATCTTCACTGGCCAGATGACCGTGCCGAGCAGATAAACGACGATTTGTGCTATGATCAGCAGCCCGAGTTGGATGAAACGGCTTTGGCAACGACAGAGAGTTTACCATCTACATCACTAAAAGAGCATCTCATAGATTGTTATTTTGAATGGGAGCAACCGTGGTGTCAAGTTGTGGATGAGCAGCTTTTTCGCGATAGTGAGAGAAATGGAGGCCGGTATAGTAGCCCGTTCCTGGTCAACAGTATTCTCGCTATGGGTTCTCGGTATTCTGACCGCATGGATATCCGACAATCCCCAGCGCATTCCAATTGTGCCGGTCAGGTTTTTCTTGCTAGGGCAGAAAAGATGTTGAACGCCGAACTGAAGAGGCCGACGGTAACTACAGTCCAAGCATTGGCAATATTGGGGATTTTTTATGTAGTAAGTTATTCGCTTGAAACACTCGGTTTGATAGAAGCTAACTTTCCAAGGCTGTAGGACAAGATACGGTAGGCTGGCTACATCACGGAATGTCTGTACAGCTAGCTCTTGATATCGGGATTAACATGGACAGCACTGTTCTCCACGGGTCTGATCGGCTGACTCCTCAGGAGCTGAGATTACGACATCAGGTTTACTGGGCGCTGTACTGCGACGATAAACTATGGGCGAGCTATACAGGCAGAGTCTGCCTCATGCTGGTGAGTGCCGGTTCGAGAGGTTATCTGAGAGACGGAGGGTGATTCTGACCCTGCTTCTACAGGATGTACATGCTGCTGTGAACCTTCCAGCCCCGCCACTCCAGCATGGTAGCACTTCTAAGTCGGTAAATGAAGCGTTGAATTGTGCTATCTGTGGACAATCTCAAATCCTGGAGAGGATTCTCATGAATTTGTTAGTGCTAATCCAATTGAAGCTTCCTCTCAACACTGACACGCCTTAGATATGCTCCCAAACAATTAAGCGAGGATGCCACGAGAAGGTCCTTCTTTAACTCATGCCTCCAAGATCTTGACGCCTGGTTTCGGACCCTGCCAGCTGAGTTGAAACTCAAAGACGATGGCGGGCTACAGAATAGATGTCCGCAAGCTTACACAATGCTCATGGTTCACCATACATCCTACATTCTAGTAGCAAAGCCCTTTCTGTCCACTTCAAATCAACAGGCTACCGGGGCTAGCCGAGGGTTGAAACTACTCAAGAAAGAAGATTTCATCAATCTGGCCTTTTCCACATATTTTGAGGCAGCGAAGCAAATCGTAGAGATTGGGGAAAGATATCGCCGAGAATTTGGAAGTTTTCGAAGAAGTCCGATCACAGCTACCCATTGCATATTATCGGCAGCACTTGTTCTGCTCTCCGCTTCTCATATGCGTCAAGGATTATGCGACAGGGATATTACCGATCAACTCAGATCTTGCATCACAATACTGCAAGAACTTTCCCAGTCCTGGTCCCCAGCTCATCGATATTGGCGTACCATACAGAGGATCCTTGACGGCCAATGTCTGGCAGCAACAAAGGTAGCGCATGGCACGGCTATGAGCGACAGTAATCCCTCGGCAGCAAGCCGAGGTGCTGCTAGCATGAGCTCACAGTCTCTACAAATCATGTCAGATAGTTCCGTTGATCACGTTGAGCGAGAGGTCCACGCTGCTCACACTTTTTCACCACGTGACTCAGCGCGAGAACCTCCGGAGCACACTGCGAGTGTCTTTGAATTTGCTTTAACCGGTCCTGGTACAATGTCTGAGGACGGATGCTTTCCATGGGAGAATATGTCCCTCGATCTAGAGTCGTGGTACCAGAGCTGGGAAACCTTCTCAGCTGACTGGACCTCTGCTGAGCTGCCCTGCGGCGAGGAAAAGCCCTGGCCGTAAGCTAAGTAGAGCCAATGATATTACGATGATGGCCAAGGTTAAGGCAAAATACTTTTAGTAGTGAAAGCCAGTGTTGGAAAAGCGCCATGTCTGAATAAGCTCAACAAGCAAGAACAATACTTAAAGTATTAGTAAGGCTGCTTAGAGATCTCTCAGAATTTACGCAAAAAGGCGCCGGACTAGGTCCGTGAATCATTTAAGAAGTTTTTAGGGTTTGACATTGATGTAACGAAGCGCCTTAAGAGGCTTGAGAATGTCGCCCCTCCAAGAAGTGAGTCGCAGAAGTCTAGGAATGTGAATTCCGACAAAGACCCCACGACCCAGACATATGTCATGTTATCGGGTTGAACAATTTGTCAACAATAATTGCAGACTCCATAAGCCTCGGTCCTCTCTGGGTATATAAACCGAGACATCCCTGACCCTCCTAAATCTTGTTTCATTCTATGCCGACCACATTCCTAATTTACCGTTCACCGGAATCAATTCGCAAACAATGTCTCACCTCCAGTACTACGCCTACGAGGGCGTTGGTGTTCGGAACAAAGAGACTTTCAAATACAGCCAAGCAGTTCGCGTTGGAGACAAAATCGAATGCGCAGGACAAGGTGAGTTTACGATAAATTGTACTCCATACTGAATCACGTTAAGCAAGCCGATTCTGATACTCGTCTAGGCGGATGGGATCCAAAGACTGGAGAGTTTTTCAAAGAGATTAACGAGCAAATCGACCAAGCTTTTCGAAACGTCGAGCTCAATTTGATCGACGCTGGAGGGAAGGGCTGGAGCCAAGTCTACCGGGTTGTCTCTTACCACGTTCCAATTAATAACGAGGCGCTGGCAGCAATGGTCAGGAACTTCAAGAAGTATATGCCGGATCACGAGCCGATCTGGACTTGCGTTGGCGTAACTCGCCTCGGGGAGGACGACATGCGTGTAGAAATCGAAGTTGTAGCACATGATCCGAAATAGTCAACACCCTAAGACGACCGTTTTGCTGCAAGTAAAGTGTGCTTAAATTGACCAATGCATAGATGGCTTTGGCAACAAGCATTTATAATACTCTCATTGTGATCAATCTCATTGTGTTCTGAGGGGTTCAGAAGCATTGCCATTGAATTTTTCTTATGTCAAGCCCTGATTCCTTCCTCCTTTCCTCTCTTCTTATCATGCAGGTGCCACTAGTTCCGTACTTGTTCTTCTAGATGCGAATAGATACCTGTAATACCCTCTTCTACTATATTTTGAAAGCTTGAAATTTATATTTAGATTAATATATTAATATATTTAGATTAATAGAAAATAAAAAGCTAAATAAAAGAGATAATATTAATAGTTATTTAATAAGTTATTATTATAATAGTAAGTAAGTTATTTATATAAAGATTAGAATTTTCTAGCTATATAATTCCTTAGATATACTAGAAAAGATTATATTTTTAAGCTTTTTATATTTATTATATTAAGTTATTCCCGGCCCTAGTAGCTTTGTTATTATTAAAGTTTATTATTCGTATTCTCCTATGCCTGTAATACCCTAGCCTTAGGCACGAGGAACGTCTACCACTCGAATCCCTCGTTCTTCAATGTCGAGTCAGCATTAGATACGGTTGTCTAGCATGATAATAATAGAGAAGGCTATGCACGTGTCCGTATAAGTGCTCTGGCCATGGGGGTAGCACTTACTGAGTTGTTAAAAAGCATTGAGCTTAATACAAAGTGTAGAGCTAGGCAAAAGAAGATAAATAAAATAGTTATTAGTGCGGAAACCGTTTATATGTTATATTAACTTCATCAAATTACGGAACGGTATTATACAGTTGGAGATTACTTGTTTTCTAAATACTTGTGCTATTGGAATAATTATGTTGAAGCCACAGGAACGGTATTTAGATAAGGAATTGAATAAGAAAGGGGTTGTTTCCATTTCTCAAATTGTTCCTAGATGTGGTTCACTCGTGTCTTCCGCTTATAAAGCCAACGGCTACGAAGTAGCCATCATTTGCCCCAAGACGTGACCTCGCGATCTCAAAACATCCTCGCCGATGTCTTCCTCTCAAAAAGCTCGTCTAGCTCCTGAAAGCTCTTTCCTTTCGTCTCCGGCATCACGAAGAAGACCAGAGTAGCAAACAGAAGGCTTGGCCAAAAAAACAGTAGGGCTGCCTTCGGACCTAGATTAGCATGCTCGCTATTCACTAGATATGGGATAGCGATTGACCAGCCCATATTGACCAGCGAATTGATCGTCGCCGCGATGGATGTTGTTTTCGGCCGTAGAGAAGAAGATGAGATCTCGCCCACAAACGTCCACCCAACAGCTCCCACAGATAGATACCAGAGGAATGACCATATGATGCAAAGTGATGCAACACCTTTGAGCACGGGTCCTGAGTTCTGTAGGAACCCAAGGATGCCAATGCAAAGCAAGCATGGAAGGACAGCAAAGGTTCCGAACAGATACTGGGGTCGTCTTCCCACTCGCTCAATAAGACCGAAAGCGCAGATGATAGCCAACATCGCTGAGATCAATGAAATCATAGTGATCAGAAATGAGTTTTGTACGCCAGATCGTGTCAAGAAGTATGCCAAGTAGTTGCCGCAAAGTGGGTAGCCGAGAAAATGCTGCATGACCATTGGCAAACAAGCCAACAGAGTCCGCCGAAAGTTTGTACCTTTGAAGCAGTCGAGGTACGACACTGATCCGTTTGTTCCTTGTCTTTCATTTTGTAGGGTTGCAACGATCGTAGCAAGATCATCATCGACATTGTGGCCTAATTCTGGACCTCTCAGTGTTAACAGAGCCTGCCGTGCCTTGTCTAGCTTTGACTTAGAGGCAAGGTAGTAAGGTGACTCAGGGACGAGGAGGAAGAACAGGGCAGTACATATCGAGCCCAGGACGATTTGGGAGATGACCGGACCCTTCCAGGACCAAGACCCTTCTACGTGAGAAGCTCCTTCCATGACGCATGCCGCTAAGAACGAGCCAAACATGATCCAGAATTGGAAAAGGGACAGCAGAAATCCGCGAACGTGGCTGGGAGAGAGCTCGGCAACGTAAGCAGGGACTATGCCCTGCATCAGACCCATGGCGAAGCCGAATAGAATCTTTGCAGCAGTCCAAACTTTCCAGTCGGTCGAAAACATCTCCACTATCGTACCAATAATGGTACATCTGGATCAATAGTGATCTAGTAAGCAAGCTGTGAGACAACGTTTCCTAGTAGTTGCTTACCCGACAAGAAGGTAGAAGATGAGCCTGCGGCCTGCCATGTCACTAATCTGGCCTGAGCTCATGGCACCAACCATAGCACACACATATTGCACTAGGCTCCAGATGAGTTGCTCGTCCGCAGGTAGAAACCATTCGTCGTCCGCCTCATTAAAACGACCAAATTGCTTGACAAACTCAGTGTTAGCAATGATAGATCCGATCAAAGTCATATCATAGCCAATGAGTACTGCTGCCGAAGAGCATGCTAAAGCTGTAAGGGATAGGTTAAAAAACGTTACTCATAAACAGGAACTTGGCGTGGCTTACCGGCAAACGCAGCTCTTCGACATATGCAGAGAGAAGCGAATTGGGAAGACCATGTGGTGGTAGAAGTCATGCCTAGACCCTCGTCAAAGCTAGGATCAACGGGCTTCTGTTCATATTTGGGAATTTCTTTCTCTTCCGACATGGTCATTGTACTTTGTGTTGATAGTATGTTGTGTTGGCTTGGTGGTAAGTCACTAATGATGGGCGACTGCAGAAAGACGAGGTCGGAATGTGATTGCCTCTTATAGTTGAGCAATACTACACTACTCCTGCGTTACTCCTTGGAAGATGAAGACGAAGGGCGAGCTCAATGGTACTAGGAAAGGCCCAGACTCACCGATAAGCCCTGGAGCTAAGCTTGCCACTAATCATCCATCTAGTACATCCCCTCACTTGGATATCAGAACCTGGGGGGGAATGATTCGATTCGCCTGTGTGCTCCAACCCCGATAGTCTGTGGGGAGTCAGCCCAAGACTACATGAAGCAGACGAGTGGCCTGAGACCAGCTTCGGAATTCACATACCGATGCAGACAGCTTGCCACCCCCGCAGCAATAGTGCCCCGGACAGGGTGAAAACGAGCTTTTCTAATTTGCAAAGCTTTCAGCAAGATAAGATAGGAATTCATCTTGTCTATGCTAACGAGCGAGCCAATTTGCAGCGTGGGATTGAAGGTACACTGTACGAGATAAGTCATAGAAATGGGAGATCACGAGGACTGAATTAAGGAAAGGCTTTATTTACTTCCCCACAGGCACTGGCGAGGACGCTTATTAGCATCTAAGTGATGTGACCCTACTAAGAGCTTCACCTAATGAACGGCCTCACCGAATGAAGAAGGCAGTAAATTGCATTTCCGATGGGGTAAATGACTACAAGTGATGTATAGGGAGTTGGAGGTCTGATAATTGCTCGTAGTATGATTTACCGAGACAGTGAAATTGCGTCACGCAACTTCATTCTATTCTAACCCTTTTAATGAATTATTGAACTCTACGACAATCTTTCCAGTCACCTTACATTCAAGGAGCCTTTGCATCTGCTCAGGCACCTTTGATAAAGGCACAGTCTCGGTGAGGGGAGAAATCAGCCCTGACTGAATGTACGAGATAACCTCCAGTGCTTCTTGATGCCCGCCCATCAGAGTACCAGATATTCGTAAATTGCGTTCAACCAGACTATTCACTGGCGTAGAAATCGAAATCCGGCCTTTGGGTACTCTATCACAGTGGTTTAATACAAGCGACTGAAAGGTAGAAACGAACAGGGAAATGAAAAGGTTAGACTTACCCTAAGCAGACGATTCTGCCACCATCACAGACATAGTTCTCAAGACTTTCAAAGGCTTCTGCACAGCTACTTGCAACGATGACCACGTCGGCATTTCGTTGAAAGCTTGTATGTTTACGCAGTAGAGTGCAAGTTGTCGATAGCTGATGCTGAAACTCGCAGGACGATGTTAGGCTGCTAGCTTCGGGTGCAGGTAAAAACACGTCTCCAAAATGATTAGCATTTGCCGGCAGCTGGTCAATCTTCCATTTGAGATCTACGCCGATCACCTTCGCGCCCATGACATGCTTGGCGATGGAGCCCGTAAGATGACCAATGGCCCCTAGAATGCCCATGACGAGTATTACATCTCCGTGGCCAACTTCGGCCATTTTCAAGCCCGCAAGAGCCGTAGAGCCTGAACAGAGAGCCGCTGTGTACACTTGTAGAGGAATTCCGCCATCGATCAGATCGTTAGGAAGGTCAAGTAGACACGAGACTGGCAACGTAACAAATTGTTGAAAGGTGCCCATGACCTGTCTTGGTATGTTTACCTGCGTTGGACACGAGGTGGGTAGCCCTCGAAGGCAGTAGACGCATCTTTGACACGAGCTACCCAGATATCGGATGCCGACCAGCTTTCCAAGGATTGATGGGTCGTGAGCTTTAACAACGTGGCCAAGGCCTTCATGACCGGCAATGTAATCCCTCGAGGGAAAGCCAGGGTAAGGCCCAATCGAGAAGGATACATCCTATTTCATTCTTAAGCTTCCAACAGGCCAAGCTCCTAGTATGTCGTGAAGGGAATGACCTACACTGCGGCAAATACCTGTATATAGAAGTCGGACCATGGCTTCGCCTGGCTTGGGGTCCCCTACTGGGATAATCCGATGCACTGCATTGAGCTTGTCGCTAACCGTCGGTGAGACAATGGCTCGTTGTGTAGATGGAATGTGCACCGCGGGATGCTCATGCATCGGATGCCTGTACGTAGACTCTGAGTGGGGAGTCCTATTTCGACAGTTCGAGTCGTGTCTTAGGTGTGAAGCTGACGCGGAAACCTGTTGCCAGGTCTGTTGGCTCGTGATGACTTTGTCCGAATATATTTCCTCATCAGCAACTTCAGAGTCCAATCGTGTTGTCACGAACGATGGAGCAGAGTATTCAGTGCAGCGGTGAGCCGCCGCTGTTTCACACATTCTGATCTTCTGAAATATTCGTGAAGTTGTTTAGGGTCGAGAACAGCCTAGAGTAGAAATGTATAGCCAAGAGCTCACCTTTGTAAGGTCGTGATAGCTCATTAGCCCCACTCAACTCTGGAGACTCACGTTTAGGAATTCACGTTCCGGAGCACTTCACGCCGCATGATGGATTGTGGAGAAGCTTGTGCACACCATTTTCTTAATGAATGATAACACTTACTCGACCACTTCACACGATTGCAAGAATCTTGTGTCCTACCCACTCACTAGATCTTGGTGTTACCTATATAATAGAGATATAGGCCTCTCAAAACTATGGATATGAGTTCATGGATGCGCCCCAGTCCAGGGCCGAGGCGGAGATTGTACTGCCATTTATTCTGAAATATGATCTACGAGAATGCTATTATCTCATCGTTGATAGCTATAGACAAACGGTGCCAGTTTATCATTTGTAGGCTGAAGCTCCATCGGCACGCCTCCAGTACCATCGCTCCACCCATGGAACACTGGCTCTGGCTTATACTCGGCAATATGGTCATGAGCCATGTACGTGATGGGCCGCTCGTCCGTTTGCATAGAAAGACTATAGTTGCCGCCTTGAGAATCTTCATTAGACTGGTAGTGTTTCTTTGAGCGCGTAAATGATCCGAGAGAGGACAGCAAGGAGAACTTCGGGAGCTTAAGGGCCTTGCTAATTTTGGTCAAAATTGGCTTGACGAAGGGCAGGCAAGCTAATGGTGAAATTATTATTAGTTTAACATAAATATACCAAGGTATGCATTGATAGACACATACCACAAAGGATTGAGATATTGACTTCAACGATTGTCCACAGGGCTGCGTCCACGGCATTCCATGTCACGTCAGGATCTTCCAAGTTGACGCGGACAAGAGACCAAAGTCTCACGACGGAGACAATGGTCACGCTGAGTATGTCAGTAAGCTTCAAGTTGCAGATACCACTAAGAATGTAGCTAGACATACAAAAGTCCTATCATAAGAATACCCGCCAGAGCAATTTTCTGGGGCTTTGGCATTTTCAGCCTCCAGACGTATGGGATCGGGAGCAACACCATGGCGAGATCGGTGACTATGGTGGGAATCGCATTTCCGTAGTAAAACTTAATCTGATTCACATCACATTTATATTGATTTTTCGTCGTCATGTTCCAGGAGTTGTATTGACTCCAGTATTGATATTGGTCCCAATTCCAATGCAAGGGGCGACATTTGAGGAGAGTAGTAAAGAACTGTTTCAACACGTATCAATAAGATATACCGCTCTTGTCACCTAGCTTCATAGCTTTCCGGTAATAATGGGTCGGTATTTGAGTGATGTACTTACCACACCCATCGCCCAGAGGGTGATCACAGTCGCCAATATGTAGATTGGTATTCTAATGGAACGCTCGACGCGAAAAGATCGCCAGTAGAAGGCTAGAATAGACATCTTGACAGGAAATAATGTCCAGACATAGGAGAGCTCTCCAATGAAGAGTGCAATAGCACACGATCTAATGGTATCCGGTTTGCCAAGCCAGATATGCCTGCCAAATCCTTTGCTCACAGCTACGCGTGAGTTAGCCCAACGATTTCTGAAGGCTTGTATGTAGAATGGGTGAAATGAAATGGCGATCGTGATATTTAACAGATTTGTAAATAAAAGCTCACTTACCAAAGCCACCCATAGCACCTACAAGACTGATTGAACCGGGCTAGTTGTAGGGTTTTGGTCAGCATTGTTAAGGAGGATAATACCAGTTAGTTGATATCTTTGCAAACGTACAACAGCTCCTAAGATTAACCAGTCGTCCAGGCCGAGCTTCACGCCTCTCGCCTTGCGGCTACCCATGCGCAGAAGGAGCACCAGTATGGCGACCGCCCATGTCCCAAACCCGACGCCAATGATCATTGGCCGCTTGTCGGCATAAATGTCATACATCTTCAATGGTGAGGCGCTTGTGGTCGATTGACCGAGCCTGCAGAGATGCAGCAGTGCTCTTCTTGGGAGAGGCTGGGCTTTTTACGAGGGGCACACTCCAAAACACGTGGCCAAGCCTGGCTACTTTTCAGCTCACCGGAGAATCATACATCATTCCATAAATACCCAGGTCATTAACAGGCCAGGCCAGGAATTTGTTGGACAGTTCACGTGGAGCGAAATGGTGGCTGGGCAGCATAAGATTCCAAGCGAAGGATTTCATTTGGGCAAGATGGGTCCTTTGGTAGGGGTTTTTACCTGTTTGGAAGCAAGCTGAACAGATGCCCCAGCAGACATGCAGTTGCCATGCTTTCTAGCCCCTGGAGGGTGACATGGTAGGATTGGATTGCCTGCTGATAGCTAGGATCATGACCGTACTTGTGCCCTACGAAGTGAGATAGCGGTCACACTGACGATATATGACCCAGGCACCAGACCGGCATTCTGGAGGGATTGGAGAAATGAGAAGCTGGAATGGAAAGTCCCATAATAAAATCAAGTGTTCAATGTGGTCAATTTGAGCGCAAACAAATGGGATGATTAAATATGGAAAGCTAGGTCTAATCTTCTAATGTCTATATCATTCTGTCCTCCTGAAATGAGGTGTCAATTCCGCTGTCCTCTCTCCGCCCAGTAAACTGGGTGTAATAACAAGCCTGTTACGGGTGCATGTGCAGAATGGTTCAGTCTGCAAGGCACATGCTTCCTGCATATAGGGTCTGCTTCGGATGTTTAAGCTGCGCCGCCCGAAGCCTTCTGTAGGTCCTCAGCGTGAAGCTTCTTCCAGCTTCCAAGGAAGCCAACCAAAGTGGATATTCCGAAGCCGCCGACTGTGATCGCAAACACGGCCTTCAATCCAACCATGTACGAGTCAACAACAATGGGTACCTGCGCTTCTGTAAAAGCAGTTCGGATTTGAGTTGCGCCTGTGCTAAGAACTGTCTCTGCGTTGAAATCAGGAAGCTTGGTTGCGAGCTCCCCGAGCAACCGATTATTGAACGCCGACTGTGCTGCCGAGAGAAAGAAGGCTCCGCCGATGGTCACAAAGACTGCCGCCGAGACGTCAACACGGAGAATCACATTTAGGAGGTGTTTGAGACTTACAGTTCACAATAGCTGTAGTCTGCGACATGTCCTTAGGGGGGGCATGCACTTGAGCGTTGGAAAGGGCCACCTGGAAAATCAAGCCACACACAAAGCCAGCGATGATTTGGTAACCTACCCATTTGCCGGTGGAAGTGTGGCTATCCATAGTATAGAATAGGCCGCATGCGATCGTCCCCAACGCGCCACCGAAGATCCAAATCAACGGCACGATACGGACTTTGGACATAACCACACCTTGTATGATGGCTCCGAATGTCAGTGGAAGGATCATGGCGAGCATCTTGACTCCAGAGCCAATGGCACTGTTGTTATAGACACTTTGAAAATATATCGGGAGGTAGTAAAGCAGTGTAAAGTATGCGCCGCCAAAGAAGAACATGAAGGCAGAGCCGGTCCAGACATATTTCTTAGCAAACTTTGCACGTAACCAGAGTCAGCCTACAGTAATATTGAATACGTTCTTTAGGGAGTTGACTCACCAGGCGTGGAACTATCATGCCATATTCCTTCTGATAAAGCTCCCATCCAATAAAGGCCAAGAGGATGGCGACAAAACCAACAAGTAGTCCAATAACAAGGCTACTGTTCCAAGCATGAGTTTGACCACCATACTGCAAGGCCAAAATATATGAGATGATCAAACCCATCATCATGGCTGCACCCAGAAGATCCATTTGGAGGAACTTTTCCTTCAGTGAAGCTTGGACAGGTGTCGCGCTAGCTGGTGGTTTCAAAAAGAACAGGATAATTGCACCGGCAAGTCCTCCGATGGGCAGGTTAATGTAGAAGCACTACATCGTGGTTAGAAATTTGGACATCAAAGAAGACAGAAAGTTACTCCTACCCATCGCCAAGATACTCTGTCAGTAAAAGCGCCCCCGATCAGGGGACCTAATACCGCGGCTATGCCGTACGTGGCTCCTGTATATCCTAAGAGTTGAGGCCGCTTCTCAGGAGGTGCGGCAAATCCCAGGATGGTGAATATTCCGACAGCTACACCGGCGCCCCCAAATCCTGCAATGGCTCGGCCAACAATCAAAGTTGTAGGATTTTTGGCGACGGCACAAACGAGGCTTCCTACCTCGAAGGTGAAAAGGGCAGCGAGAAACCAAATTTTGATCGAGAAGTATTTGTAAACCTTTCCCCAAGTCGATTGAACTCCTAGAAACACAAGTTATTTTCGCGTACGGAATCAGTTGAAGAGGCAAGTGTCGATAAATTGTTGGAACGTTGGCACAATAGGGGTACTCTGTTCGATGGATAATCAGCTAACACTCGGCGTACAATGGAGGCATGTGAGAACCAACCACCACCAAACGTCATGAGGTATGCAGATCCATACCACGACACTTTGTTCAAATCGTGAAACTCGTCCGTGATCTTAGGTATAGCCGTGCCGAGAATGGTCTAGGAGTAGTTTGGTCAGTTCAAGGACGCGAGACAAGCGAGGCGTCGACATACGTTGTCAAGTGCGACCAGAAACATGGCAAGCATCAGCGATACCACGATCGTAGCTAGACGGGAGCCGGTAGGATATTCATCCACGGGATTAGCTGCTGCTTCGGCATTTCCAACATCTGAGATCTCTTCTTTTGTTAGCGACGGCGTCGTCTTGGTGCTCGCCGAGGAATCTTGATTTTGTGGTTCCATGTTCGAGTCTTATTGATAGAGCTTTGACTGTCTGACGAGTTGTGGAAGCTTGAAAGACAAGATTCTTGATGCGGACAAATTCAATGACAGAGGATCTCGGCATAGACGCAGGCGGTGGAACTGTTATATACATTAGGCGACCTGGGATTCGGCTTCGGACGAAAGGTTTACTCCCAAAAGACCAAATCTCCGAAGCAAACCATGTGAGAGAGTGGCATAATGGAGTAAATCTATACCCAAGCACATCATAGGCCGAGGCAGTCCCTTGTTTCTAGCTATCAAATTTTCGTCCGAGACAAATAAGCAGATGGTTAAGTCCCATCCGAGATTCAACGCCTCTTATTCTTTACCCTGCTTAAGGGGGAAAGTAATGAATCTAGCCATCGTAAGCCTTACGAAACCCCATACTTGGCCAATACAAGTCGATAGCATGCAATTTTTCCATCAATTTCACACGCTCTTCCTGTGAGTTTGGATTTTGCGAAATGGGCGAGGAGTAGGGTAACTGGAAATTCGGCCGAATTTAGTCTCACTTGGCTGATTTGTCAGCCTAAGTCTTACAATCCACTCAAATTCGGCCGAAGAACAGCTCAAGTTGAGGATCACTCCACTAATAATTGATAATAACATCATCGTCCGGACTCCGAACTCTGAAGCACTAAATTCCAAAGGCAATTCCATCCTGTCCATCAAACAATCACTGGACAAACTTCTACTCGGGACTCTGTGTTCGGGCTAAGTCAACCTTCTTCGTCCGATTTGGCTCACCTCCTCGGACATGTATTCTCCCTCGGACGAAAACTCCTCCAAGCGGAGAAAAGTCCGAAAGGGTACGCACAGTTGCTGGGAATGTCGACGGAGAAAGGTCAAATGCACCTTCGAGTCGCCCCAAGATGAGATTTGCATTACTTGTCATCGTCGCGGCGCGAAATGTGCTAGTCAAAGGGATTTTGATGACACAAACTTATCAAAGCGCCCAGCTGAAGGCAAGGAGCCAACAGATAGCCTTGCTAATACGCCTACTAAGAGCCCAGGCGCGAGTAGGCCAGCGATTCGGGGTGCCAGTGGCATCTGCACACCCTCTATTTCCCTTTCAAAGTCATCAACGCCGGCATTTTCTCAGCATGCGGGCTCTGTGGTAAGTTCTATTACTTATTCCAGGTGAGTTTTCCTATACTAATTTCGCTTAACCCAGCATTCCAACGGCAATGGCAGACAGGGAGAGTGGCCAAACCAACGCCGCAAAGCGTCCGAATTACAATCAACTACAAGTCCCAATACACATGAAAGTATAACTCGGGAGCTACTCCGCGCTCTGCCCTCGGAAAACGACATCAAGATCCTCACGGGGAGGATCACCAAGGCCCCTTTACTCTGCCATCAATCCTTCTACAAGGAAGGCTCACAAGAGCTTCTCGACGAGCAATGCCCGCTACCCAATCTCCTCTACCCGGAGGAGCACCCGGTCTTGCTTGCAAGCCAGATGCTGCTTTTCTCCCTCGCAATACAGAGTTGGTCGCCGAATGATGTGCCAGCCGGCCTCAGCAAGCATCCGCATGTAATCATGGAAGAACTTGCGGAGTCAGCAATCAAGTTGGTAACCACCAACGATGCACTACTAGGCACATTGGAGAGTCTTGAGAACATCATGTTTGAAGGAATGTACCATGTCGACCGAGGCAACATAAGAAGATCTTGGGTAACGCTGCGCCGTGCTGTGACAGTGGCACAGCTGTTGGGCATCCACCTTCCTGGTCATCATCGGTTCAAGCTGATCAAAACCAAAAGCAGCCTTGATCCTCAGGCAATATGGGACTGTACAGTGTGGATGGAGCGTCTTCTATCCCTTTTGCTCGGTCTACCTTCATGTACCCTTGGTATGGAATCCGCTTACCAGGATACAACAAGCGCTTCAACAAAAAGCCTCGAACTTCCTCCAACGTTGACGGACCTGATAGCAAAGGTTCTTGAAAGAAATCAGGTCAATACCTTGGAGAAATCCGTTGAACTCACTAGAGAAATAAACAAAGAGCTGATCAGGATAGCCGATTTCATGCCGCTTAGATTCTGGCGACCGCCAGCCTATGACGGCATGAAGGCCAATTCCCAAGAGGCGTTCGCTGAAACCAAACGAATCCTGGAGCATATGCGATATTACACTTTGTTGAATCAGCTTCATCTACCGCATATGCTGTGCCCGAATACTTCCTTTGAAAGTACTTGTTCCAAAATCGCCTGTGTCAACGCCAGTCGCGAGATTCTGATCCGACAAATCGCCATTCGCAACTTTAATCCCATCAGCGCTTGCTTGAGAATGGGAGACTTTATGGCGCTCATCGCAGGCTTGACACTGGTACTGGCACACATCTTCAGCCATTGTCACGAAGAATTGGCTAATGTTCTAATTCATCAACGGCAAAGCGACCGAGCCATCGTGGAGCAAGCACTTGAGTGTATGGAATCGATGTCTGAGCTTCGCAACGATGTGCTCTCTGCTAAATGCAGTACTCTACTCAAAGACTTGCTGGCAGTTGAAGCAGACGCTGCACAGGGAGGCAGCTATCATGCGCAAACCCTTCAAGCAGGCAGTGGTGGCGGCGGGAATCAGAATGACTGCCAAGTGCTGGTAATATGCGTCCCTTATATCGGCTCTATCAAAATTGCGCGTAGGGGGAATATATCAGTCGCTCCCTTCGAAAGAGTATCGCGTGACAATATCGCCCGCGAACCCGTCACACTTGGCGGGATTGGATCTGTTCATCTGAGCAATTCGGCACTGCCCAGCCAAAACGGCATTGATAGCAGCCTGAATCAGGCGTCCCGTCTGCCAGCATCCAATTCTGCAGACTTATCCGCTCAGCCATCTACCACGTTTGATGCGGAGATTATTCCAGGACATATTCTTACACAGGATGAACAGATGTTCCCGGATGCGGCTGCGCCTTTGGATGATTGGGTGTTTCAAGGTTTCGATACTGCGTTCTTTGATGTTCTTATGCGAGGAATATCAGACCCGAATCAGCCTAGTTTATGAGCGTTTTTGAATTACAAAAGAAATATGTAGACACAAAATCAAGTTCATGAAACAAAAAATTTCTATAGCACCGAAAAGTTTGTGTTTCTTTGCTAAAGTGAGATACAGTTCTTCTGAGCATTCAACCGATCTCGCGTAGATCAAATTAGGAACTTTCAAAGCGACAGTCTACTCCTCCTTGTGAACCTAGGGAAGTCCACGTAATGAGGCAGCTCCAGTGCTTTATTTGTTTGAGTATAAATGACACTCTTTGGTCGCTTGACGACATTGACAATCATGCACCCTCGAGGAGGTAGAGAAATGAAAACATGACGAGTTTCCGTTCGCCAAATAATCTCTCTGAAATATATACCCTCTGGAACTCAAAACCCCTTTAAAAAGAGTACTAAATTGTTGTTAACAACGTTTCAGGGATAAACTTGCTAGGACTATTTACTCACCCGGAACTCATGGTTCTCGCGGTCTGTCAAGTCGAAAAACTCGCTGTTTTCCCGATGCTCCTCGCCAGCGTACACCCTATCACGTCGTCGGTTCTCGAATGAATAATACGCCATAAGCCCTCCTGTCACCAAGGCTGCTACTGCGGTTGTAATAGCCATGGCGATTTTGGCCGGAATATATTCTGGCTTGTCTTGGTCGCGGAAGGTGAGTGGCCCAATAATATTTCCGATGCCTGAAGTTAATTCAATATCAATATGTTGAGCAGCTTTAATGATGGTCTTGCGCAATAAACTTACAAAACATTATCAAGACAATAGCATTTATCGTGACCTTCTTGGTATGGCCAGCAAAGTTGGCGCCTGCGTAAGAATACATGAGCGGCAAGGATGAACCGATCGCGTTGCACATGTAATTTCCAACCATCTTCCCGGCTGTGAGATTGTCGGGAAGGAATGCCATCAGCGAGCTCCCTAGAAAGCCGAGACTCAAAAGGAATATTGAGACTGGTCCTCGAAGATTGTATCGCCCCGCGAACCAAGTTCCGCCCAACGTGCAGAGACTTGATACAGCGCCGGATGGCATAGACAGCAAGGCTGTCTGTTTAGAAGTAAATCCAAAACTTTGAATGACTGTCGCCTGGTAGCTGGATACGAATCCGTTTGGGATGTTCTGTGAAAGAACACTGATGCTCAACATCCAAGTCTGGGGATCTTTCAGACATTCAAGAGCTTGGTGCACTTTGAAATGTTTGTTCTCAACACCTGTGAGATTGCTTCGTAGTCTCTCAATGGCCCAAGTTTTCTCTTCCTCAGACAACTTAGATTTCATCGGGTTATCCGGAATGAAAAAGAGAACCAAGATACCAACAGTTACGGTAGCAAGACCCCATAGTAAGAACATGAGTTGCCACGATTTGAAGTCTTGTTTGGTATAATGTTGGAACGCGAACGAGCTGAGACCTCCGATCATCTTACCGAGCCCAGTACCAACGTACCAGAGTCCCACTCGGGGAGGTTGCTCTGACTTCTTGTACCACATTGTGGTGATGAGCATGAGCGCAGGGGCGACGGTAGCTTCAAAGCAACCCAGAAGGAGGCGCAACACCACGAGGCCAGGCCAGTTGTGTGCCCCGGCGTTGGAAGCGACTACGACACCCCAAAGAACCACATTGACTCCAAGATACTTGGCGGTTGGAAATCGCTGCATGAGGTAGCCTGTTGGGAACTCGAAAGCGAGGTACGTGATGTAAAACATCATGGCAAGTTCGGAGAACTGGTCTCCAGTAATTTTTGTGTCTTTCTGGAACCCCATCACATTTGCATAATTGACTATATTTGATATTAATAAGGACCACAGTCCGCGGAACCTTGAGATGCTTACGCAAGATTTTGTCTAGGTATTGCAAAAAGTAGCACGCAACTGTGTGGCTCCAGTTAGCACGCGTGTGACAATTTGGGGTGAGGCAGGACAAACACATGAGCGGGATCAGCATCAAGTCAATCTTCCGTACAAGTTTCTTCTCTTGTTCCGGCGTCATGGAGATCACCTCTCCATTCCGGATAAATTGCAGAGCAGCATCAACACTGTTGGCATTGCCGGGGCCTTCGCCCTTAATGTCCTCTTTATCATTCATTGCTCCTACCAGTAGAGGGAGGGATGGAGAGGCTCGCCGTGTTTATTATCTCAACGAAAGAAGAGTTCCGAGAAATATGTTAGGGCGGAAGGATATAGGTGGACGGGCTTGCTTTTCCCTCTCCCACAGGAGCGGAGTTCGTAGAATATATACAGCATGAGGCGACATACATATATTACGATAGGGACCTATTTGTGAGATACGGGGGAGGGGCAATTCTACCCTTGTGTTCATGAAACTTAACCAATCAAGGACCTTTTTCTCCCCTCAGTCGATCTTTACCCAGACACAACTTGACACGAGGACAAATGTCTCCAGAGGCAGAAAACTGGGACTAGGTTGCATTGGCGGTGATAAGCCTCCCACCTTGCCCGGGTCTAATGGAAGATTGCGGTGTTCCCGCGGGGTAGAATCTCTACACTGACTGTTGCCATTTGGAGGAGGAGAAAGATACGAGTTGAGTAACATGGCCTTACTGGTTGGAGGCCTAGAACTATAAGGCCCGTCTGTCTCCGTTCTTAAGCCTCGGTCGAAACATTCGCTGGGCATAGTCCCTTACAGGAATATTTATGGATTGATAAGCTCTAACCGATGGCTTTAGATAGTGATCATCCTGTTAGGTATCTAAGGTTGGATAATCTCTGGATAACACGTACCGACTCGGGGAACCCCCGACGACTGCAACTTCACTAACGGGGGTAAACGGGCCAAGCGTAGGCTAGCTATCTATTCCACACATGGTACGACTACAACAACTCGACATCTTATAGGCCAGTGAGCAAGACCTCTAGGCGGGGTAAACAAGTCAAGATAACGCAGCCCCGCTGATACATGTATATCTGTCAATATGAGATATCTTTTGCATACCTAGTTTGGTGTTGATACCTACGGTATCATTCTCGACGGCGTACGCCGGCAAAAAGTCCGACGTCGGACTCTTCTCCGACAGAATACCAATAGGAACCAACTCTTAGCTTCTGAAGAACTGGGTGGTTTGATATTCATGGTTATGAAAAGGAGATTCGACATAAGTTATGAAAAAGTTTTATGAGTTGCTCGCTGCTATAGGTAATACACATTCTACTTCGTCTTCATTCAAAGCTTTGCCCGGTTCACTTCTTGGATAAGGGAGACGACTTTCTCTGCGGCGCCAAATGCGAACACATAGCCAAGAGCTCCCAATCCATAGGCGTGAATGATTCGGTCCTCCCTTTCAACGCGGATGCCTCCAGTTCTCGCAGGGCGGAAACCAACGATATCCTTGACAATAGCTCCTTTTGGATCTACCCAAGAGAATTGGCCCCTGGTTAACTCATTGACGCGGCGAATAATATCGTCTCGCGTCGTTGGGTCAATATCCCGACTATGGTTATCAGGCTGAGCCACACCTCCGAGGATAACACCCCCACTAGCAATGCGTGGGATCGCATAAGTGTAATGTGAGCCTTGGTGGATGGTCACTCTGTCCATGTTTCGGCTATCACACGGGACAAACATGGTCTGCCCTCGGACGGCATGAACCTTCTCATCATTTGCGAGCTCTCGCGCGCCCAGACCAGACGCGTTGACAAGAATGCTGGCACCGGTGATGCTCTTCAACTCATCCAGGCTTGAAATCCGTCTCTGGATAAATTTGACACCCTTCTCTTTCAGAAGTCTCATTAACCAGGGCAAGAAGGCATTAGGATCAACAATCAGGCCGCGGTACTTGAACCCAATTTGCGCTCCAAAAACAAGATCTTCTGTGGGAATAGCAGTGAGATCCGGGTAAATTCGCTTATACCAGATGGAAGATAGATCCTTCCGGTTGTCGTAATACTCATGAATCTCGCGTTCCTATAGAATCTCAACAAGACACGTCCATGGAAATTGATCTTCCTAGCTGAAGATTGGTAAGGAGCCTTACCTCAACGCCCGCATCTCTACATTCACGTCGAAGCTTATGCCATCTCTTTAATGAAGTTTCCTGAATATCTGGAAACCCGGCGTCTGGGTGAGGTGCTAGCAAAGCCCCGGCCCTACAGATGCTACGATTAGCAGAGGCGTTTCCGAGCGTTGTTCTTGAATACTTACCAAGGACTTGTCCAATTGGGTGTTAAGTCCCCTGCAAGGTGTTGGGCAACAACAGTCACTCTGTATCCGGCCTCGACAAGAAGTAACGAGGCAGCCAAGCCCATTACTCCCGCGCCAACAACACCAACATCAGCTTCTATTTGAGCCATGTCGCAATCGAGCGGAAGTCTTGTTTATAGTGGGTTAACAATTATATTCACCTCGAATTCTATGCTCATCAGGAGAGATATGAATGGACAGATGACTTGTATGAAATTCGACCAAGGGCGGGGCATGATAGGCTACGAAGTTAGCATGCGCTCATGCCGCTCCGGCTTCGGCGACTAGATTGTCATTAGGCTAGGCTGAGACGAGACGGATATCGAAAATCACGGCTACACTTTCCCAATTTGCTATTTGGTAAACACGACTTATTCCAATTTAGATAACGTCTCGGGTGTCTCAAAGATAATCCCTTCTCGGCGCCAAATGCTAGGGCGTCAATTGCCTACAAGATACCGAGCTCACCAGTTAAGGAATGTCCCCTCTTGTTCTGCCTTGCACCTTTGAATAGTGGCTCAAGAAATCCCGAATATCCTCTCCACGCATGTCCTCTGGCGTATTGTTGCAATGTCGAAGAAGAACCTGAGTAAGCTGGTACGACCAACGTGCTCGTCCGTAGAGTTGTCGGCTGGGCCCTGGGAGAAACCAGTCCAAGGCGTCTCCGCGAGTGTATTTGCCAATGGGAGCCCCGTGGTCAAGCAAAAGACAAATGATGGCAAGCTGGGCGATCCCAACCTCATCGCCCCACCTGTAAATGCTTGTGTGGCCAAGGAGATCGTCGACCCAAAACTTGGCTGGCGGCTTTCGGGCGCGTCGCCGCTTAATGAGAGCGGGCTTGACATCCATCTCAGCCTCAAGGAACAGGGGGAGGAGCTTAAGCAAGGTGAGATAGCTGACGCCACCCGACGGACGCCAGAGAAGCCGGCCCAAGTCAGGATCGGCGCCGAGGTTGAGGAGGCGTTCAAGCATGCGCGCGACCATTTCGACGTTGTTTTCGAGCTCTTGAGCTCTCAAAGACAAGACAGTCTGGAGCACACTACTTGGCCCCTCCGGCGTCAGCTGGTCGGACGACGTGAGCAGCTCACAGGCCGACTGCCATCTCGACTCGCGCAGACTCGACACGAGCAGAAACGCAGAGATCAGGTCTTCTGATACTTCTGCGCCACGTCTAATAAGCTCCGCCACGAGCCTGGGGGCATCAGATGAGCCATTGAAACAGTAAGTGACCAACAGCTCCGTGGGTTGAGCCTCCACGTACCGCCTGGTTAAAAGCTCGTCTGCCAATTCGGCCAGCCCGAGCACGCATGCCAGATGGAGGACGGTGGGCAGATGACCGTCACTCTCCTGTAGTTTTGGGTCGGCACCGTTGGCAAGCAGTAAAAGTGCCATGTTCGTGTGATTCCCGAAGATAGCCAGGCTGAGCGCCGTAAGTGTCGAACCAGGTATAGGTGCGTCGACATTGGCCCCCTGCCTAAGCAGCCATGCAGCAATATCGTCCAGACCTTTCAGCGCGGCAATATGGAGGGGTGACAAAGAAGGCGGTGACCCAATCCGTACCCATATCCTACTGGAGAAGGATGTTTCACCCAACCGATCTATGGTGCTGCAGTCGAGCCAGCATCGGGGGGGATCACTTGGGTGGCAGCGGTCGAGGACGGCTGGTTCCAGTTGGCAAAATCGTGCAACCTTGTCTAGAGTGGTGAGGGACATCGCCTGCCTCTCTGGCTTCGTCGAAACCGCTGCAAGTTCTATAGCCTCATTGACGGTAGACCAGCTAGTCTCGTGCAAGGCATGCAGGCGATATAACAGCGGTTCCAGCCGCTCCCAATGTGTGCGACTTGCGCGGCTGAAGCTACAGAGGTCATGGCTTGTAAGATTTTCCCCAATCATCCAGGACAGCTCAACGGGGAGTTTATCCATACTCGTGGTTGTCGAGAAAGGTCCGTCGTAAAACGTGGAAAGGATAGAAGATTTAAATGGGCACTGTGACAACTGAAGTAAGGAAGTAGGTTCATTGGCACCATTTATATAGATGCCTCAGAACAGGAACGAGACTTACCGCTCCTTCCGACGCGTTCAGGTCGCGGTGCCACATCTAGGCATCATCGCTGCTAGCAGATTGAATTAAAGCAGAGAGCATTAAGAATGCGGCTAGTTGCCTACAATAGGGCCGGTGGGAGAGTTTGAGGACAAAGTAAAAGACAACAATGAAGATGCTGGGCGGTCATGACCCTACATGATGATACCAATGTGAAATAAGCTCTACTAGCCCAAGGCTGCAGCCATGCAAAGAAAAGTCTGTAAACCTCCATACCGCGGAACGCCTAGAGTAGTGTGATGTTGAGAATCTAGCAGTGAGCAGAAAAGCTAGAAAATCTCTCTTAGGCTACCATGCCCTTACTTAGTACCTGTGTTCATGTATGCATGTATCCTGCCACTTGATGTGTTCACCAATTTATGTATATACAACAAGAGCGTATTAGATAATCCCTTCAAGGGATTATATAGGCGATCATGACACTCAACTCTTACGGAGCGCTGACTGGTGGAATCGAATTTCCCCGCCCTCTTCCTATGTAGGTCTAGTAGCCAACTGAGTACCTTGGTTATTCAGCTATGACTACTCTTCACGTATGTACGTCTTTCAACCACAATTTTAAACTAAGAACATCAGTCTTTTCTTGCCAGCTGCATTCAAAGCACGAACCATGGAGGTTAAATCAATCGAAGAGTTACAAAGTTTGTGCTTCGAGACAGCACCATCAGCAGATCCAGCCTGGCTCCGATTTTCGGAAGAGTTGACCCGTCGAGGGCCGGCACCTCAGTTTTCTTCTCCCCTCGAGCGACAACCAGTCTACGCACAAGAATGCCGCCAACTGCTTGACAAAATGACTGCGCCAGAGGCTCGCGATCACTCGTTGCTTCAAGGAATCGAGAAATCTTGGCTGTCAGTTCCATCTTCTGTGGATGGTTTCCAGATTCCTGTTTTGCAGCTCGATTTGTCTGAGTTCCAAAAGCAGGAGCCGGAGACTGTGATAATTTATTATCACGGAGGTGGCTTGGCCGTCGGGGAGGCTGATAGCGAGGAGCTCACCTGTCGACGCATGCTCAAATCATTCACTCGGCCTGCGAGACTCTACTCGGTCGGCTACCGCTTAAAGCCGAAGTATGAAGCAAAGGTCTGCATATCTGATTCTCTAGACGCATTCTTGGCCCTTTCCTCCAAGTCTGCAAAGAATATCATTGTGGGCTCCTCCAGCGGTGGTCAACTCGCAGCTACAGTTTGCCAACAGGTACCAAACGACTCCGTGTACGGCCTACTCCTTCGGTGTCCGGTGACAAGTGATCCCACGGACGATAAGCGCTACATACCGGAAAGGTTTCGCCGTTTTCATACGAGTCGCGCCCCATCATTCGTCTCAACAATATTTCAGTATCTAAATCGCACGGTTCCCCGAGATGGGCTCGAGACATTACCGCTAGAAGCATCGAGACAGGAACTAATTGGGCATCCACGCACGTGGATACAACTGTGCACACTAGACACCTTGTACTCGGATGGCCTGTGCTATGGTATGGCTTTGGTCGATGCTGGTGTAAATTTGAGACTGGATGTCCAAAAAGGGTGGCCTCACACGTTCTGGCTAAAGGCACCAGAACTTCCGAATGCACTCGAGGCAGAAAATTCAATGTTAGATGGACTTCACTGGCTAAACGAATAGATCAAAGTTTTGTTTTGAATTAGTCCTCCCGATCATACTATCTATACGGGAAGTAGAGTCAGTGTCTAGAACGAATTACTGAGACAATGCCGGTTGCCCCTTTCCTAAGAACGTCAACGCTCCAAGAGCATATCCATCCGAGCCAGTTTGCAGAGTGGGCATAATCACTGGCGAAAACTTGGATGAGTGATTCGCAGCAATAGTCTGAGAGATGGTGCCCTCCTTCTCAGCTCTGTCCCAAATCTCATGGTCAATGCATCCGTAGGTAAAGAAACAATAGGGCTTCCCGATAGCTGTAGCTAGAATTGGGAAGTCTTCGCTGAAGCTGAGCCTAGGAGATTCTTTGTCGTATTTATCAGGGCCCTCGCCAAAGTGGGCTGAAAAGGTCTCCTCAACCCTCTTAGTCACTGCATCATTGTTGATGGTCAAGGGGAACGATCGCGTCTGCTCAAAATCCGGCCGTCTAGGGACTTGGGCGCAAGCACACTCCGACTCGACCACTGCCTTGATACGGCCCATAATGCGCTCACGGTTTGCGGCTGTAGTTGACCGGGTGTCGATGCCCAGCACGGCCGAGTCCGCAATCACATTCTCGGCATCTCCGGCATGCACAGTCGCCACCGTGACAACACTGGAGTCGGCTGGATCAGTCTCCCGGCTCACCAGAGTTTGCAGTTTGAGGATTGTAGTAGCAGTGATGACAACGGGATCCACGGCAGTATGCGGCATGCTCGCGTGTGAGCTCTTGCCGTGGATAGTCACCTTCATACTGTCCGCGCTGGTGGCGACAATCCCCCTTCTTGTGCCGATTACGCCGGCACGTAGCGGCCTTACGTGAGCCCCCAGCACGATGTCTGGCAGAGGCACTCCGTGACGAGTGTAGAGGCCGTCATCAACCATTGCTTGAGCTCCTGTGCCTCGCTCCTCCGCCGGTTGGAATACCAGAACCAGCGTCCCGGCCCACGTGTCTCGAGACCGAAACAAGGTCGCTGCGGCACCTAGCAATGTGACGATATGCATGTCGTGGCCGCAAGCATGCATCACGGGCTTTTCGACACCTGTGGCAGCATGGATCGTCCGCTTCGTGCTCGCATACTCGAGCCCCGTTGTTTCTTCCACAGGCAGAGCGTCAATGTCTGCTCGCAGCAACACAGTAGGGCCGTCCCCGTTGCGTAGAACGGCAGCCAGGCCATGCCCGCCGATGTTAGTCTTGATCACCAAGTCAATCGGGCCAGTTTCTTTCAATCTCGCGGCGATGGTCGCGGCTGTCTCAACTTCCTGGTTGGAGAGTTCGGGGTTCAGGTGGAGATGTTTGTACAGCTGCTGGAGAGGCTCCAGGTCAGGCCGACGTTGGTTGATAACTTGAGAAAGTACCGCCGCCATGTTTGCTTTATCCTTTGTCTGAATGTGCTAGTTGATCGGCAGCGGACAGCTAGCAGTGTTTTTATTCCTGCCCCCGCCCGTGACTCAAGGATTACGTTCATGTGGAGCACAACGTGATCATTGTTGAGGATGACAACTCCGAACCTCGGATATGACCCGAACTCCTGCCGGATCAGTTGTTGTGACTAGTTCTGCTCCACTACGGTGTGCTATAGAACATCGAATAGAATATTCTAATTTCAGAAAATATGACCTGATACATTCTTTATTTACTTACGAAGGTGAGTAATTACTAATGACGAATGCAGATCTTAAGTGTCGTCCGACTTTGACTAAAACGCCCGGACTATTCTTATATCCTAACCTTCCGCCATGATTCAGAGTCATATACAAAAAGACATCCAAACAAGTCAAAGCTTTTGAGGCAGAGCAAGCGGTTGCAACACCTCTCTGAACATCCTATTTGGTTTAACCACTGCAAGTGGACACTAACCAGATGTCAACCCAGTCTTGAGAATATCTCGTGGCTGCAGGTTTTCATTGTATCCAACAGCTCTCATCCATTCCTCGACCGTTCGGATACGGTCCGGCTTAATGGCATCCAGCCGAGAATAATCCCTTGTCCAAAGCCCCGTGTTCCCAATGCTTTCTTCCCAGATTCCCCACCATGGTACGAACATTTCTCTCATGGTAACCAGCGTCGGGTCTTCAAACCCTGGAGAATGAGCCGTTCCAAGCTTAAATTCAGGGAGCTCTTTCTGGTTATGCTCTCTGGTCTTGGCCACGAAAGCTGCCGGTTTACCCGTGACGGATGTGAAAGCGTCGGCAATCATCTGACCAGATGCATGTTCAATCCCAACACTCAATTCATCGCCGCGGAATTTCTCGGGGTTCTCGAACATATGTCTTGCGAACCAAGCCAGGTCATCGAGTGAAACCAGTGCCATTGACCCCTGTTCGCCAATGGCTATGGTGAAGACATAGACGCCGTCGGCATTTCGAACTGGGAGCTCTTTGAAGAGGAAGAAATCCGCGTATGGACCACTCTCAAGAATGCTCCAGTTCATCCTGTCCGTCGGTTGCGATTTTAGATACTCTGGGTACACGAAGCCGAATCAGTTACTTTATGCAATACAAACAAGGGTCGCTGCAACTTGAACCTACCCACAACCTTGGCTTTTCCATCGACAAACGGAACGCGGTACTTCGGGTCGTACCCGCCCTTCTTGGAAACATAAGGCAAGGAGCTATAGATGAAATGCTTAACTCCTGACATATAAGCCAGCTCGTAAATCCGGATGCCCCAGTATATCTCGCTCTTTTCACCAATGGCAAAACCGTTGGTGTTTACAAAGACAGCATCGATGTCCTTGAAGCCTTGGATGAGGGTCTTCTCATCGTAGGCATCGCCTTCCAAGACCTTGATGTTTTGCAATTTAGAAAGAGACTTTGCTTGTTCCGAAGAGGGATCGCGAGTGAGAATGCTGACGGAGTGTCCTGCTCGTGCGAGATCACGAGCGACATAGCTATTCTGAGCCCCTGCGCCGCCGAGGATGAGAATTTTGAGGGGTGAAGCCATTGAAATAATGTTATGCGAGTGAGATGTCCTGTCTAATATGCTAGGATGATTAAGAAAACATAAAATAAAAGAATTCTTTGCTAGCGAGAAGCACTTTTAAGTCAGTTCTTTGACAGCCGTGCTTAATCCGAATCATTCGCTCAAACGAGACGTTTCTAAATTTTCGGGTCAGATTTGTCACAGCTACTCTATTGGTAACCACGAATGGGCGAATTTCGGGCTTGGCTCTGACTTGTCCATTTCTAAGCCGCGACGGCTGAGTGATGATCACATCGCGATCATGATAATTACCAATACGTCACCACCACCGTATTACAATTCGAATGGCTATTATTTCCGGAATTGCCGGTTTTCAAGCTATTTTCAATTACGTATTGACGGACTGTCTAGACTGCAGTGTGGTCTGCTTAGTCGTCTTGTAACAGAAGCGTGCAACTATCGGGTCATTTATATAATGCTACCGTCTTAGCAACAGCGGTAAGTATTTCGTAGTAGCATCAAGCTAGCAACTTGTGAATTTCAAGACGTGATTGCAGGACTACGGAAATAAATAAAGATTCTCTTATTTCGCTCTCTAATACAACAATTCTATCTTACTTGCAGCTCATGGCCCAGCGTTCTTGTCTCACTAGAGCTAGAGTCCGGTGGCGGCGCTGCCCTTGATGAAGTCTTTGATTTGCTGATTGGAGAGGAGAAAACAATCCTTACCCAGTCTACTGTGTCTAGCCATGTGTCCTGTATCCATTCCCTCATGTTAGAGTTCAATAAAATGGTCACTGCCAGATACAAACCAAACACACTTGCCGGCAATGCTAAAGTACCGACAATGATCATGCCGATTTGACAAATCCTAGCGATTGTTTGAGCAAACTCCGGATCTTTGCATATTCCTTCATCGTGAGTCTTGCCGTGCACCTCGCAATTTGGTACGTGCAAATGCAGTGCGGCAGCATTCACGCCAAGGGAAATAGCCCAAGCAAACGTATCCATGAAGCCGAACACGGTGGACATATTCGCCATGATGAGCCACCGAGAGTAGAAGTTTTGTCTCATGGTCCATAGGTAGGCGCAGAAAGTCGTAAATGGAGCAACCCAGGGGGGATAGAGTAGCCTATAACTATATGTGAGCGAGTATGACATATAGTGCTGAAAGGTGATGATAGACTTACCAGTCAATCCCATTCATAGTACGAGAAAAATGAACGGTTGCAACAATATTAAAAACTAATTGTGCGCACCACATCACGAACATATAGGGCGTATGAAACAAGATTATTTCGGCGGGCTGGGTGTTCCTCCAACTCAACTTTGCTTCACTGCCCCAGCGAGACATTTTTTCAGAATTCCGTAACTGCATTGATTGAGTGCCATCCGGCAGTAGCAACCGCGGATCACTATCAGAGTATACACCCCGGGACTTATCGAAAAATGAGACTTGAGCGGTGCGATCGCTCCCGCCATCGAACCGTAGGTTTTGGTACCATCCTTGCGGTAAACGGTGCATGGCTGTCAAACGTGGGTCATGTGTCACATATGTCAAAGAGTTGTGAGAGAAGAACCTTTCCCCCTCCTCCTCTGGGTTGCTAACCTTCTGCCACCCAGGTGGCAAGTGGCCATCTTCCTCTTGCCGGCTTAGCGGCTGCCCGCCCTTGGGGCCTGTCCACGTAGTCAAGCCATTGCTGTGGTTGACAAGTAGGAACCTCCTGTATCTGTTGATCCATATCGACTCCCACCTGCGACCAGCTCGGTCCTTGCTGCTACCCAGTACGTTCGGCAGAGGAGGTTTGTTCCAGGTGGTGTATCTGTTGTTGTGGTCAATGTAGTAGACCCTTCCCTTGGCATCGTAATCGCATGTCCACCCCGTGCGCCGACGAGGATCTCTCCAGATGGCCGTCGAGGGCTTTGATGTATGCCAAAACCTCCGCTTTCCATCTTCATCTTGAGTCATACTCCATCCATCAGGGAGCTCGACATCGTCGCACGAGGTCCAGGTTCTCGTTTGCCAACGGTATATGGGAGGCTCGTCCTCATCAAGAGGGGCCACCACTGCAGATCCCTGACTTCTAGGCACAGATGGCGAGCTTTGAAGTTGTTGAATATATAACTGTCCAAGTCGACCATCGGCTTTTGTCGCTGCTAAGGAGAATCGTTCAGTCACGACCACGTCAAAAGATTTCGGCTGTAAACCAGAAATGGTTCGAGCTCTGTCGCGCAAGTAGAAAGGTATCGTCTGATAGAGGCCCAACAAGGGAGGAAACAACACTAGGAAGAAGTATGCTAGCTTCGGTTTCGCAGACGGCGTCTCAATGACGACGCAAACAAAACAAGCTATCGACAAGGCGAGGGCCACAAATACTGTGACGAGATGAAACAGGATCATGCGATGCTTGGGCTCAACCTTGAAGAGCCTAAATTTGAGAAGAATAGAAACTGCAAAGTAGGCACTTGCGACAACGATATGCAAATGAAATGTCCTTTGACTCAGATGACTGAAACCAATCTGCGAAAGCGCAATTAGGATACAGACGACAACATCCAGCAAAGTGCAGAACGGCCACCACAAAACCAGCCTACTGTACCATTCCACGTAGACGGCTGGAGCATTACATTGCTTGAGATGGAATTTTACATGATTCCACCTGGTCATGATTGGAGCGGTAGAATGAGGTTGTAGAAAGGCAGACGTGAAGGCAGGAGACTCGCCGTTGAAAACCCTCACGACAACATGGGTCAAAGGCTTGAAAAGATTAACAGTGGATGAAGCATGAAATTAGGGGGGAGTAAGCTGCATATTTCATCTCACTGTGGGGGCTGAGTACACCCGCAGGCGCCGGCGTTTGCCCAGTTGTCCCATGGCCAAGGATTCAATCCTTGGATGGTCTCTGCTGATCTGCTTGGCGGCGCTTAAAGGATGCGGGCCACGTCCTTGCTAGGCTCTCAGCCTTACCAAAAGTTCTTTTATCCAGGGCTTGTCGCGTCCGCGAGACAAAACGTATCCAGAAGGAGGTTTATGTACTCAATTTATCATCACTCCGGTTCAACTTAACGCCCATGAAACAATATGCGTCTCTGTACTAACTGCGCCGCGTTGGACATTCGACAGTTGAGAGCCGACCGACTTACTACATACGTCTCTATTGATTCGAGATGGACTAAAGAAGCCGCGAAGAAAGGGTGTCAGTTTTGCGCCTTGCTACTCGAGTCCGCCACAGCCATATATGAAGCACGTCGCGATCGATTAAAAGCTACTGATCCCAACAATGCTGAAAACTCGGATCTATTTACCGAATTCCCGTGGCTGCTTATTGGGTCCCCGGCAGAAAAGCCCTTTTTCTGGTGGAAGAAGCGGGTGCCTCCTCGATATAGAAAGCTCAACGTGACTCTCAGCAAGTATCACTTTAGGCTAGAGCACTCGGGAGATATAGGTCAAGTGACGCAAGAAGATGTAGACTTTGAGATCTGCCTTGCGGCTGCTCCGGGTTCGTCCTTTTGATACATTCAATGCCAAAAGGAGCTCCATGCTGACATGAAGCCACAACGCAGATAGCCCGGCTTATAAGAGAAAAGTAATTGGCGGCAGATTCCTGGGTGACACTAGAGATTGCCCAGAGTTTTATAACGCTCTGAGGGAATGGCTCAAGACATGTTTGGAGAGCAGTAAGTCCGGTCACGAACTCTGCTGCAAGTCCATGTCCCGGTTGTATACACTCGATCCTTCTGATTCTCCTCTACCTACACGGTGCTTGGAAATTACAGATAATTGCGTTCGTCTTGCCGAAAATCGGGATCAAAGAGGGAAATATGTGACCCTCAGCCATCGGTGGCATCCAAACACAAGTAGCTTCAACACAACTACAGCTAACTACAGCCGGCGCCTGAATGAAGGGGTTGGAGAACTGTCGTTTAACTTCGAAGATGCCATTACGCTCTGTCGAGAGCTAGGTATTCGTTACCTTTGGATAGACAGTATCTGCATCATCCAGGCAGGCGATGGGGGTGCAGACTGGGACGAGGAGTCCAAGAAGATGGGCTCTTACTACCAAAATTCCATTCTTACCATATTCGCCGTGTCCGGAGCACAAGATCGAGGCTTCTTGCAGATGAAGGCGGATCTAATTGACCATATAGTCCAACTGCCGTTTTTCAAAAGAAGTCATATGGCTGATCAGAAGGTGCAGGATGGCCACTTTTATGCCTTCCGCCGGCCTACGAAATCCGACAATATCTTTTTGAATGAGGTGGATCGAGGTGAACTCCTATCTAGAGGGTGGGGTGAGTCAACGTCCATCTGTTCACTGCTATGGAACTTTGGAAACTAAACGTAATCACACAGTCTTCCAAGAACACCTTCTTTCCAGGAGAATTGTATACTTCACCGAACAAGAAACCTTTGTTGAATGCGCGTCCCGCTCGCCCATGAGCTTATCCGGAGACCCGATCCAGGTTGGAGACGGGGCAGTCACAAGGAGGCCGCGGCAGCGCGGCGATTTCAATTTTCGGACGAAAAAGGTCCGCGCTCGGCTTAACCACAGCTTCAAGAAGGACATTATGCACGAATCTGGAAATCCGTACACGGGCGTATTCTATTACCCTTGGATACTGATCGTCTGTGACAACTGGTACAACGTCGTCATGGATTACTCAAGCACAGCGTTGACCTTCCATTCAGACCATCTGAGAGCCATTTCTGGTATAGCAATCGAAGTGGGAAACGTCCTGAAGCAAGAGCGCGGGATCAAGTATGTATCTGGTCTTTGGCTTGGCGACTTCCACCGAGGCCTCTTGTGGCGATCGCGTGCGCCACAAGCAGTGGGTTGTACGTGCGGTGCTCCTTCATGGTCTTGGCTGGCGCTTTCTAGCCCTGTGCAATGGTCCTGGAGGCACGATGATACAATAAAGGAGCTTCGGGTTCTCAAGTTCTCGCCAGAGCTGCCAAAAGAATTTGACCCGGTGTGGATGTCAACGGGGATGCTAGTCCGGGCATCCCTGATGGAAGTGGTAATCAAAGGCCCTGACGACAATCCAGTGGATGATGAGGGAAAGCCTCGTGAACAACGATACAAGACTAATGCTATCCGACAAAAGACTGGCGACATTGATAGGGAACCAGATAGTAAACTCTTCTCAAGGATTGGACCAAACAGCCGTCGAGATGCGGGTGTGTTCTACGGCGTTTTCAGTAAGTCGGAACCAGATATTGTGGCTGGCTGGGCCTCCATGGACGAGCCGCAGTATTATTCGAGCGACTCCGATTCCCACGGCTACGCGGGCACTGTTATTGCCTGCCACATCGAGACAAGAAGGAGCATTCGCCAGAGCAACATAACAAGACTGCGGCTTCCCGATCGAGCGTCCCACCATGGGTTCTTAAACAAAGTGTACGACGTGCTGTTCCTTAAGCGGGTGGGAGTTCTTGGCCATGGCACGTATTCTTACCAGAGAATAGGGATGGGAAGTATCTACGGAAGGACAATGCAGAATGAGTTTGATGCAGAGGTAGCAGATATCTTTGAACTAGTGTAGCCACTATTGTCAATACCATGGTCTTTGTACAATCCCACGGAAAGTTCTCTTTTAAATCTATTGCAATATAACGACACACGCCCTCAGAGAGAAAAATCTACATTTTCCAGTTCATACTAAGCAACAGCTCATCCAGCTTCTGCACCGCCAGCTCAATACGCTCTGCCGTAACCTCCCCCAAGTTAGCTCTCCCAGTTGTCCTTCATCCCAAGCAGTCTCTTCCTTAATTCCTAGTTGCTGATTATATATACCAATCTATCTCTGAAATAATCCTTTGAAGTTTAGAGATTTGATTAGTATTTTTAGTTTTTTTCTTAAGAAAAAATAAGAAGCTTCTCTCTTATATTAATATTGTATCCTTTACTACTATAGAGCTCTTATGGATTTCTCTTCCATAATGTCTTCCTAATACTTAATTATTAGCTATTAATATACGAGGCTCTAAGATGGCGAATATCAAATCCCAATACGACCTGGGCCCAGATGTGAGTGTTGCACGCATTGGCGCTTATGATATGAATTCCCATGCAAAGGGTGGCCTGAAATGAAACGTGAAGGGCGAGAATGACTCAGAGGGTCATCAAAATCCCATCAGGCCTTCGACAAAATATCACAGGCAGTCAGTTCAATATGATAACTCGACAGGTTGCTGAGAAGAGGCGAAGAGGGCCTGAGATGATAAGTCGAATCCCTCTACATTAACTCCCAGCAACGACTCCCAATCAGGTTCATGCACAATTGTGTGAAGCTCCGCTGGAAGCTGAAGGATGTAGGGACAAGGAATTTCCCGACAAGAATGCCTGAAAGCCCTGTAGCGTGCCACATCAGAGCCCATCTCCACACACACACACGCCATTGCACACATCCTGGGAAGAAGCTGAGCCCCCTGTAAGAAGTCAGCTTTACAGCTTGGCTAGGCTCATGCAGCCAAGCGCCAAAGCGCAGCCACAATGTGTTGGATGGCTGTTGGTGGTGCTTTGTGTTCGTTGCCTTGATGCCACCAAGGACGACGCGCAAGACACCTCCCAGCACACGCCTTATGTATGTGGCTATGTGTTTCTGATGGTAGGATTGATAGTCCGTATGTAAGGCAAGCCTGTATCGAGCCATCGTTCACGCTACACATTACCGTCGTGCCGTCGCGAAAGCGTCAAATCCGATATCTAGCCCTGGTCGTCCATCCACCTGCCTCCCTGCGAGCCGTCCATCCATCCGCATCTTGCACTAAACTTATAATTGCAAACATCCAAACAATGGATTATCTCTTTCGACGACGTCGTAGAAGCTTGTCACCACCACGTCACAGCAGGCCGTCAAGAAGAGCGTCATTCTCGCACTCATCACAGCCATCACGGAGACCATCCCCAAGGCGATCCCCGCATCCGCCATCATCTTTCCCCCTTCGGCCATCATCCTCACAGCAGCACAGTCGTTTCCCCAAAATGACATCAAACAATCAGAAAGATCATGGCCTCATGGCCGACGGCGAGGAGACTCGTCAACTAGTCCCCGAGCTGCTGGCCAAGCTTGGACGAACCAGAGACGCCTGCTCCGCCCATAGGCACTCAACTCATTCACTACCCTACCTGGATCCCAACAGATGCCCTCTATTCCCAGAGCCGGCGACCATCCGCGTCGTCAATGAAGACACGCTCAACGCCGCCCTGCGCATGTCCGAGGAAGCATGGGACGAAGACAACGCCAGCGCCAACGCCTGCACCGAGGAGGACCCGCGCCCAATCCAGCGCCTGCACCCACTGATCGTCAACTTCGCCAACGGCGAGAAGCCCTGCGGCGGCTGGCTCAACGGCAAGCTGGCCCAGGAGGAGGCCATCTGCTACCGCAGCTCGCTCTACAAGAGCCTCACCTCGCGCGACTACCCCCTCAGCTGGGACAACGTCATCTACAGCCCCTACGTGCTCGTCCTGCGCCAGAGCCTCGCCGAGGGCCACCGGCTGTACAAGTTCCCGCCCGACCTGCTCCCCCACGTCAGCTGCCTGACGGTGGCGGCCATACGCGGGCCGCGGACGCACACGTTCGTGCTGGACGGCGAGCGCAGCCAGGGCCGGCCGCGCGAGAAGCACATCTACGCCAGCGACAAGGACCGCAGCATCACCAAGGCCAAGATGAGGCTGACGCTGCGGGCGGCGGCGCGGCACGGGCAGCACTCGCTGGTGCTGGGGGCGCTGGGGTGTGGTGTGTACGGGAACCCGGCCGAGGAGGTGGCCCACTGCTGGCTCGAGGTGCTGCGGGAGAACGAGTTTGCGGGCAACTGGTGGAAGAGGGTGTGGTTCGCGGTCTACGACCCCAAGGAGGATGGGAACTTTGATACATTTCACCGGGTGCTACATGGCCAGCAGGTGTAAGTTGCAGGGGATGGATGGGATCATCGGCCATTGAGATCGGGTTCATGGGATGGCCTGGCAGGGACAGAAGTTGTGTTTCCTGCGCGGGATCGTAGGATCCGCCATTTGCCAGGTCCAGCTTATTCAGTTACGATAAGAATGTTACTTGAAGCACGAGTGAATATGAAATTAATCTCACGCATCGCTGGCCCAACCTTGCTCTCCCTCCATGCCATCAAACAGCATTACGAGCCGGTCCGTCCATCAAAAGTGCATAGGTAGTAAACAGAGTGGAATCCTCGGGTGACAGGTCGTCTTCACAGCCAATGGCGCCTTGCCGTCTTACACAATTGTGCGTGTATGAGGATGTGTTGAGAGAATCCGCCTCACCTTTTTACTCCAGATCCCTCCCCGCCTCTCATCCAGGTCCCAGAATGCCTCGTCTTCCGGTAGCGAGGACCCCTAGCCGCTTTGGCCCCTCGAAGCTGGGCAGGTATTGGCGAGGCACGACAAGGGTGTCGGCCCAGAACAAATGTGTAAATGATAGCTGACAGCTAGCGCTGCAGGAGGCCAGCCTTTCAATAATCCAAAGGAATAGCTCAGGCTCTAATGCACCCCGAGTCTCACAAACAGAAAGCCACACCTGTGAGCTCCTCAGCTCCTGTAGGCGAGAGAAACTGGCATGCGAGAACAAGCCCCCTCGCACGCTGCCAGCCCCCCATGCCGTGTGAGCCATGCTGCCTAGCCGCTGCCTCCGTACGGCTGTTTGACCACAGCTGAACGCCCATGGTGTTGTATTAGATACCCATGGTCTCGTCTTTGAGGGTGACATCTAGCTCCTCTACCTGTGATGAGCCCTTTGCTCGCACACTGAGTGCTTCGTCTGTACGTATCTACCTCTTTGCTGTCCTTTGAAGCATATTCATATCATCAAACACCCACCTGGTCGTGCCCTAAATCCTGAGCACAATGCCGATAGTACGTCCATTTTGTGTCACGCTCGACGAACCCCGGCAGGACTGACGCTTTAAACTAGACATTCGGACGACTAGATCCAACACACCACGAACACAGACTCTGTATGTTCAAACCAACAATCACCGAATCGTACAAAGCTAATACGGCCTGGGCAGATACACAAAAATTCAATGAAGGCTGGGCACATTCTGGAAAGACGGGCCAAGTGCAGGCCATCTACATGGCCAAGGGCACCGAACTGAGAACCTCATACCGTGGCCAGCGATTCGGGAAGTACCTGTAAGTGGCCCCCAGCACGTCCTTTGTCCCATCACCCTGCTCACGCCAAAGCCGACAGGAAAGCCAACGGCAACGAATTCAAAACGCTCTTTCACGGGACGAGGCGGTCCTGCAAAAATGGTGATGGCGGAAACACGTTGCAGCCTTGCCAGGATGCCGACTGCTACATGTGCAGCGTGTTGACTCACTCGTTCCAGCTCAAACATGCCAGTGAGTATATCCCCTAACAGATGCCGTTCTGCTCGACTTCAACTAACACAGTCCAGGGGCCGACGGCACGTTAATGTTCGGCCCAGGCATTTACTCCTCTCCGATCACTTCCAGTACGTCCCCGTCCAATCTCCTATCAAATTTATACGACTTCGGATGTTAACTCGATGCTGCAGAAGCCGATCGCTACGCCATGAACCACCACGTCCGATCCCAATTACACGCCATGTTCATCTGTCGTGTCGTCGTCACAAAGCCCCAGCGCCTGAAGCAGGCGGATAATACCCGAACCTGCCCTGACCCTGGGTTCAATTGCGTACGTGCACGGAAGAACCGGGAAGTGACATGCTGAGAAACAGTGGCTAACCCGCCCTCGCAGATCCAAGGCCTCACCGTGCAGGAGGGAGGATGCCTGCAATTCCCCGAGTTTGTCGTCTACGACGAGTCGGCCATCGTCCCGGTCGGCGTGATAATGTACACTAGGCAAGGCTGGACGGGGTAGGAGATTGATTGATGAATAACGGTGTATATGGAGTTCCTTTTCCATTCTTTTTTACAGATTGGACATGCGAGCGATGGTGACCGCCCCAACGAAGGGGCCTTTTTTATTTCAATCAGCGACAATGCTGAATTTTCTCCCTGATCACATTTTACCAGGCAGATGGAGTATACAAATGGCAATTTTAGACGCACGCTCATTTAAGCCAGGTTGGGTATCTCAATGTAAATTTAAAATCAGATAAGAAAACAAATTGTAGAAAAATAAATCCAAATATATGAACGTTGAATAATTACCCGGGTCCTCCAGGGATATGAAAAAAAAAAAAATGCGCCGTCGTCTCCCATGTGTAACTTCGAATGATAAATAATAAGTTTTTGTTCGCCAGGGCCAGCCCGATGAGTATCGCATCAACACATGCCCAGCTCGTCCCGTCTCAAGACATGCCCGGGACTTCGGAACGCGGTTTGCAGCTCCCTTCGTAGCAGACTTTGCCGTGGAAGCATAACCTGCGGCAGGTAGGGACGAGGAAACGTCGTTCTTCTCGAGCCTCGACTGCAGGCGGCGGAGGTGCGCTGTCGACTGGTTTGGGCGTCGGAAAAGCGGTGGCAACCTGGGAGAGGCCCAGGACGATGCCCACTAACAGGGCCTTGCTGATGAGCATGGTGGTTGATTTGGGCTGTCGCAATATACGGTCGGAATTTTTTGTGTTTTAAATTTCTCGTTGGATATAGAAGACTCTTATTGAATTCGTTTGTTCGCTTTGGTTTGTTCAAGATCAATTTGGTGCCTATGCCACCGCGATAAGTTGGACATGCTCAGGATATATCCCATTTCCAGCTTCTAATTTTAACAGCACTGGCTCTTACTCAGCTGGTGGACAGGGGCGAACTGCGAAGGGACGCGGAGTGGAGAGGCGAAATCAGGCCAAAAGTTCCACAGCAGACTCACAACACGCGTTGACACGGCCCTGGTATGGGCAAAATCCAGTCCACTTTAAGCCCCAAATCGGAAGAGAATGGCCACATAAGAAAAATATACAACGTAATTGCAAAAGCAATATACTAAAAGAGCAAACAACTGAGGGTAAAGGTACCTAAAGTGGTGCGGGTTGGAAGGCACATGATTAGGTAAGCATGCCTAATTTCGGCGTGCTACTCACACTCACTCACTCTTCGCAATGTCACAACCGCAAGACTCCGACTCCAAGAAAACACCCAACGAGACCGGCAGAGCTGAGGATTGTTGGAATCTTATCATAAAAAAACAGAGAAACATTCGGAAGAGCAAAAATGCGTAATCTGGGAATCGAACCCAGGGCTCCCCGACGCTGCTCGGATGGCAACGGAGAATTTTACCACTAAACCAATTACGCTGTTGATATCAGGGGGTTTACTAAATTGTATTACATAGCAAACCCAATTATAGCCAATTGATCTTCTGTGAACAAACGGACGGAACGCCCTGGAAGGTTTCATACTCATTCTCAATTTTTTGTAAATGGTATGATTTTATCATTATTTAGCTAATAAACCATTAAGCATAGTGGCAACGAGTACACTGACTGATAGACCAATAACAAAACTTCTCATCCAGCTGTATAACTACCCAAGTAGGCGTTCGATAATCTACACAAAGTACTCAAATTATTTAACAATCACATCGCACTGAATTTAACCGATGTTTCTAGATTTTTGGGCACTGCCACCTACGGTAGCTTTGACGTGTTGAAAACGGACACAGTTTGTTGCCGCTGTCTCCCAGGAACTATAGGGTAGGCACCCCTCTTCGACAGGAGACCAAACAATCATGGCGGATTTTTTTGCACAGCGGTTGATATAAGATTTGATTCAAGATTAAGCAAATAAGTTTTTAAATATATGATGAATTAATATTTGATCTGGGAGCTAGGACACAAAGATGAAATGAAAACTCTAACCTTGCGGCTGGGAGCTGGAACGAAGTATCACATCCACCATCAACTCGGATCTCTCGCAACAATTTTATGTCTGGCTCAGTTGAGCGCTGATGAATGTTCTCTTAGACTTGATGGAGGAACCCCCCCTGGACTAACTTCCTAAGCAACCACAAAAGCCTTCGCGTGCCAGCCGAGTCTCCTTCGCAGTCGACCTGCTATGCGTCGTACCTGATGGGGCGAGAATGTCGGGTCCGGGTGTGGTTTATGGAAGAGCAGAGCATTTCCTGTTGTCTGGTTCGTAAACCTCCAAATTGACCCACCTACTGGTTCTATAGAATAGAGCCCCTTGTAGGTCATTGCGTAGACAAAGTCCTTCCAAGACAGCGTCCCTGCTTCTGAATGCGCATCAGGATCAAAGAATAGTTTACGGAAAACACGCAGGGCTTTTGCGTTGACCTGGATTGGTTCGACGATTGGTTCCACCTCTTCGTCATCAATAGGAACAGGAAGTGGCGGATCCTGCGTCGAGGGCTGACCTCGTGTCTTCGTTTTGGGTTTTCTAGGCTCCTCGCTGGCGGGGCTCTGTTCGCTCGCAATGCGAAGACTTTCCAGGACACTAAACGGAACCTCATCTTCGGTGCGAGGCTGTGAAGGGGCATGGTTAAGCGGTGTTGGTGATGGCTCTATCCACTCAGGCGTGCGATGCTTCGGATGTGGGACGTAATGGAAGAACCTCATCAAGCAATTATAGGCCAGATTCTGGTCTCGAGTGGCCTTCTCGTCCATATAGTCCCAGATTAAATCCAAATTGCCTTCCGCGTGCCGCATCTTATCCGTGTTCTCCTTTGTCTTACGCTTCGTAGACGGATGATCGTATTTGTGATCCGTCGGATCACATAACAAGGGAACATCTTTGAGCAGTGACCCGACTAGGGGAGAAGTCGCTTTGGCAATGGGCTCGAAACATGATTCCCACACAACGGAGATTATGTCATCGACTCTTTCCATTTCTTGTTCAAAGCTTCGAGACCAGGGAAAAAACATCTGGAGCTGGTTGGTACACTGTGCGATGATGGAGAGGTCGCCGATAATGCCCGCCGTCATCGGGCTTAGAAGGTCGCGAGCCTGTGGCTCATCCGTCATGTACCGGGATAGCTCATCCAAATAAGCAGACATCTTATCTAGGTCAGAGGCTTCAATGCACTGAAGCAATGGCAGTATTTTGTTAATGAACTTAATGCCAAGTGATGACTTGTCGACTGAGTATTTGATCTGAGCTTCCTGACGATGACTATCCGGGCGAAGGAAGAATCGGCGCAGAGGCGGCGAAGGTGGCACTTGATCATGAATTGCGTGCAGGAGTATGACGAGCGACTTGTGAAGTGCGCTTCGGAAACCGACCAACGAATGGAAGAGTGGCATGGGCAGATCCTTTTCCGGAGTTAATGATGGCCCATGCATCAAGTATTCTTCCTTTACCTTCGCCGATAGCCCCTGAAGCCTGCTGAACATCTCTAATTGTTCGTACGCTCTCTGTCTCATCCGGGCCAATGAGTGAGCCCACACTATAGAGTAATCCGGTCGCGATACTGTTCTACATAACCTTTTCGTCCTTGGCTGTCTTGGACTGTACCCGGGTTGTGCTCCAGTTCTTCTTTCCATTCTCTCACGAAGTACGCAGGATCTTCACGAAGCGCCACCATGTGATCCACGGCTGCGGCAAACCTGGCATCGAGAAGCGCATGGATACGGTGGATATCGAGACCAGGAGGAGGGAGGTAGGCAGCCTCCTCGACTATAGTTGAGACAGATGTGTACCGACTCTCATCAGCCTGAATCTTCTTCAGCTTTGGCTCAGGTTGAATTGGATACTTGCTAGAGATCATCTCATCAGAAGGAATATCGTGTAGTATGGACATGCAGCAGCAGATCAAAAACACTAGCAGGAACTTCTGAAATAAAAGAATATTGAATGCTTCGGGGATTTGAAACAGTATACCGGGATGAAGGCTATTATAGGGGGGTGGGACGTCATCTCGCAACATGATTTTCCCGTAGTCCTCTTCGCCGTTGAGGAAGACCACGCTTTCGGTTCGGATTGTTTCTTTGTACTGTTTCAAGGCCCCGTTATATAGGCTCGCCCCATCTTGTCCAGCAAATGTAAAGGGGTGAAGACGTGCTCTTGACTTTATCAACGATAGAAGATTTAGCGGCCTGCATAGATCTTCTAAGTTGATATGTGTGCATGTATTTAGTGTTGAGAGATCGGATATGTCTGGCTGATCTCTGTTGGCTGAGAGCTTCCAGGGAGTTCTTTTCCCCGCCATGTTCGCTGCAGACATGTGGCCTTGTCTTCGCTTGGCAATGTCCGGCCAAACTTGACGCAAGAGGCTTGCACGTTGATCCTTGGTCTTTTTGGACCAACGTTTTTGAATTGTGGCCTCATGACGCATCACAATGGCCTGCAGGTTACGGTAGTCACTAAGAACTTCGGCAACACACCGTTCAATATTCGCGTGCTCGGCAGGCGTTGATGTTGTTTGGGACATTGTGTCTTAAGTTTTAGATAAAAGGGAAGGTGAGTTTTGTATTGGATAACAGGGAGGGCTAGAGCCCTAAAGATGTTTAATGGGTTGGAAGACAGGAATATGGGAATGATGATTCTCTTTCTCAAATAGATGGCAGAGCGTGATGGGCCTTTTATGTCGAAACGGAATATGCCAACTCCTAGTTCCGTTGCAGAAACTCGTAAACAAGAAAACCTAGGTGTTTGTTTTCAGAAAGTTAAAAAAAAAGCGACAAAGAGATTGTGATGTGAAACTAATACAAGCAATAGAAGAATCCTCATGTCTCTATGACGTTTCGGGTACCGTGCTCTTACCTATCGAGTGAACAAACAAAGCTTGTATTCTGTCTCTAGGATAAACCTGCTCCACCATCTCGACCCGATTTGAGCGGTCGGCTGCATGCGAGAGCCGGAGAGTTGGCGTTATGCTTCTATCATTAAGAGCAACTACCGCAGCAGCACCAGTTCATCTATGTTATTACAAGCTTAGATCCAGTATTCTCGCAACCCCTGCATTTGAATTGTGTTATTTGGAAAATCCTACTATCTCGGAGAATTCAAACCAACACTGAGGTCCCAATATTGCAAGTCCTCATAGCTTCCTCAACATGTTACTCATCTCCATGCATCTATTGAACTGAACTATTGCATCCCTAAGCTGTAGCTAGGCATCGCACACGCCTAACTCCTGCATAATCCACCGACTTTTGACTGCTGCGAACGTCTTTCCATGCATCACCGAAACAATTGTCCGTACTGGTTCTCGTACATGTATATAAATATCGATGCAAATACTTATCTTGGGTGTCATGGACACTTACATATACAATAGGCAATGATACCCAGGGGCGATAGAGATGGACCTGAAGCTGAAAGTGCTATGCCGTGCTTTCCATTAGGTCGTTCGTTCACAAAGTCTTGGATGGTCAACGGCGTACTCACTGCGTATAAATAACTACCCAGCATTGCCCATCCCCGGGGAATTGTGCCGTGACCCCCTTGAAGTCTTTTTTTGTATGGATCTTGCTCTTTCAGACGATTAACACTATTTACGATACGGAAATCATCGTTATTCATATTACCGTGGGCACATTCTGTCCTAAGGCCATAGGGAGCGCAGCAAAGATAAGTGGGAAGATCTTTGTGAAAGCATGTTTTTAGTGTGGAAAGTATTGTCTTTGCGAACTTGTAGAAGACAAAGAGGTGAGGATGGGCCAAGCTTATTCAGAGAAAATGGCGGAGCTATTTATGCAAAAATATGGTGGGCGAACAAGTGTGCTGAATTGAAACACTCCTGAGAAGGTGTTTTCGTCTGATACTATGAGATCTAAGTAGTACTAGGTTGACGTGACCATGATATTGCAAATTGTTACTTGTCCTGCTTCGCCCCTGATTTTGCTGAGCCAAGATCGAGTTGCATGACCTTACATTCACCTGGCCCAATCCGCAAACCGTGCTGCCGAGGTGGCTTGACTCATGTGACGTTCACCTAGTTCCACCATCGCCGGTCTGGAATGAGTTCGAGGCACCTCGATAACTTTTGAGAGATAGTTCTCAGTGGAATGTCTCATGTTCGTCGTAAGCTCGGAGCCACTCAAAACCCGCCATTACTTTTGCCACTGGAGATGTGTTTCGCAATGAGTCTAAAGGAATCGTGGATCAGAATTCAAAGATTCTCGTTTGATGCCTACCTGTAATCGATGGTTGGTCATACAATGAAAAGCGAACTGGCACTACCCACCAACATAAAAATTCTGGCCGAACTTTCCACAGACACTTATCGTGCTTGTTCCCGTCGAATTTCACAAAGACTTGCAGCTTGGGGGATATTTTTAGGTAATTAATCGTTGACTTGTGTCCTCCCCTTTGTGATAACCGGTAGCTCATTATTACACACACTTTGGTCGCTTCTTTGACTGACTGTAGCCAAACTATGCTTTGTTGTCAAAGATTGCCAAGATCACTTATCTTTGGCCCCTTATTAGCCTTTCTTTTCACGGTGTGTACATCCTGATATATACTAAAGCGAGTGACATGTTTCAAAGGATGCCTCGTACACGACAAGTTTTAACTCAAATGTATTGTGACAATGTCTTATATATGGAGACATTCTGATATCCACTAATAGTTTACGTTTGCTTGTACGATTAAGACGCACTAACTAATGTCCGACCATGGCTTGGTGAGCAGGGCCGTACCGGTTGCCCGCAGGCTTAGCTTCGTTCACAATCTTCCTGATTTCCTTCTTCTCATCATCTGTAAGATCCACGTTCCTTGAAGAAAAGTTCTCCTCCAGTCGCTGTACTTTGGTGGTTCCGGGGATGGCGATCATCCCCTGTGCGGCGACCCAAGCTAGGGCGATTTGAGGCAAGGTGCAGCCTTTGCGGACTGCCAGCTGCTTCATCGCCTCGACAATGGCTTTGTTCTTGAAGAAGTTTTCTCCTTGGAACTTAGGGGCTGTGAGACGTAGAATGAGCTATTATATTCCAACAGTTGGGCAGAGGAAAGACTTACATCCTCGTCGAAAGTCGTCCGCGGAGAAATCGTCAGGCGTCTTGTAAGGAAAATCATCTACCAGCCAGCCATGGCCCAGAGGGCTATAGGCCACGTATGCCACACCCAACTCCTTCGCTGTGTCGATGAGTCCATCTGTTTCGTGGATGGTCTCAAACGCCGAATACTCTGCCTGAATGGCATCGATCTTGGCAACTAGTGATACCAGTGAGTAATATGCACTCGTTACAGAAGCTAAAATACTTGGGGAGAAACTATACTGGAGTTAGCTTTGCGGAGAGTTGCAGCTGAGCACTCGGAAAGCCCAATGTACTTGGCCTTTCCTTGCTTTCGGAGCACGTCGAGCGCGGGGATGGACTCTTCAAGCGGGGTGTCTGGAAGGCACATGTGATTAGCACGGGAAAAGCTAAAGCCCACATCTGTTCTTACTTGGATCAATCCTGTGGAGGTAATACAGGTCCGGCGCAAAACCTAACCTTTCGATAGTACCGTCAATGTACTCGGCGATGTGTGAGGCTGAGTTGGTAACTTTGAAATCCGCAGTAAAGCCGCATTTTGAAGCAACTGGGCGAGGCACGTGAATCAGTAACATGACACAAAACAGAATCAATAGACTGAACTCACTGAAGATTTTGTCACGGAGGTTGTGCTTGCGAATGAAATCTCCAAGGAGCTTCTCATTGACACCTTGGCGATAAACCACCTAATGCCTCTGAGGGTTAAATCCAACGGTCTTTTACTTCGATTCACAAGGGAAAATGTAACTCACTGCAGTATCCCAGAAGGTGCATCCAAGCTCAATGGCCTTCAGGAGAACAGGTTCGGCTTCTTCGAGGCTCAAGTTGCTTCCTAGGCCATGGCTGAGGCCCATGGCTCCATAGCCTGGTACCGGGACCTGGATACTTCCGAAAGGGATTGTTTGCACCATTGTAGGGAATTGAGTGGGATGTAGTTTGATGGATGTAGGCAAAGTTTGCTGGGCTCATCTCATTCCCAACACCGGCCATAGAGGTCAGTAGACAGTTCATATATAGTACTTCAATGGTCTCGGGCATGACGGAGATAGGATTTAGCCAAAACTCTGATAGCCGTTGCATCATCCATCTCAAGACTCCAACCCACACATGCATCTGGCTTATGAATTAGTGGGCCCATCTAGTTGGTATTAGCTACAATTTCCCCGTCAGAGGGTTGATCTCTCTACGGAGGTCAAAGTGTGGAACTTTATGAACTTTTGTAGGTTTTATAAATTCTGGGAAATATCTCGACTGTAACTTAAATCTCAAATACCAATGGCGCTTCTCCTCTTCTAGCCCTCCAGGAATTGGTTGACGCGAGAATGCCGGGACAGCCTTTAACGAGGAAACCCCATTTTCGTAAAAACGCTGCATTTACTTCCCAAACTGTATCATCTGAGGCTTGACCCCAAACGATCATCGCCGGCCTGTTGATTAGATTTGGATCTGAGTCACTAATATCCATCAGATCACAGCACAGGTGATCGTCATCCACAATACCAGCCTCCATTTCTCGAAGGAGGTTGTTTCGCAGTGCTGGGAAGGGTATTAGGTCGATCCAGGGATGGTGAATGACTCTTATTTGTAGTTCGGTTGGCGCTAATGTATCCGGGCACTCGGTTTTGGGTACTGTTTGCCACGTCTGAATAGGGCCAGCGAAGTTGAACGGTGATATCATATCATCGTTACATAAAGAACATGGCGACAAGCCGATTTTATATGCGTTGTTTGCCAACGCATTCAGAAGATTGAGACGGACGAGAAATGGTAGACTGGCTGGGCGAGGATCTTTTAGAGAATATTCTTCATAGGCTCGTCTCATCAGACTTATCGCAACTTGTCGCTTCCGATCATTGTCGATCATATGTGGCCCGCCTAATAGTGTTTTCATGGCCGGAGGAATTACTGAGAAGAAGTCTTCCCTCTTGGTTAGGGTGTTGGATGTGGCGTTGAGAGCTGGCGTGGGACCCAAGCCCTCGGCTCGACGTTGAGACTTCTGTCTTCGGCCTATGCAACTGTAAGTTTGACTGATTAAAATATCATTTTGAATTAGATGCAAGAATAGACTTTAGTTTGGTAATACGTACGCCAGGCCCTCTGATTTAAGCGATTCTGCAGCTTCTTACGCTCCGCGGTGCCGCTGATACCTGTCCAGTCGTCTGTAGAGGCTCGCAGCTCGGGGAAATGGCGGAAACTGCCGACCGTCAAGGCCTGGGGACCTAATTCGGGTTCGACATTTCCAGCCATGGCAGCTACTGGGACGAATCACGAGCTGATGATGCTACAATATCCGAATGAAGCTTCACTTGACTTCGAAGGATAACTGAATGCCGCTGGCTCACCTCGACATCCAATTAACTTGACTTTTCTGAGAAGAAAAGGTGATACAAGGCTCAAATTCTCGGTGGTGCCAATTTCATTGTGGAGATCTTTCTAGGCGTCAAGTCTTCGGGCCAGAGTCAGTTGATCTCGGAGTTACTGGAGCCCACTAACACATCAATGATTGGCTGAGACATGCCTGTCAAAGGCTAAATCGTAAGCCGGTTGCATTAGCGCGAATCGATTTGAATGTCACTGGTGGAACCATTTGAAAGGTCGAGTTAGACCCAGCTGCTGTGACTGCCACTGCCAGGTCCAAGGGATTGTATATATTAATCTTTTTTGTGTCTTCATGATGTTGGTAGTTATTTCCCACCTTTCTCCGTAATCCTGTGGTTATCGATCTGAAATTCTCTCCGGTCTATGAATCTTGACCAATTTTTTACGATGACAAGTTTATCGTACAAGCAAAAAATGATGTTATCTGTGGCGGTGGCCAAGAAACGGGCCTCTGAACCATTTCTACTAACCACAAATTCGTTTGGTACAAAAAAGTGCCGAGAGTAGGCGGAATTGGGGTTCTGATTATTGAGGTCTCTCAGGCTCAGGGTGGAGAGCCATGAATTTCGATGCAAAAAGTTGATGTTTTTGGTCACCGGGCTGATTGATAGGAAGCGTTTGCAGAAGTCCGCTTCTAGTCTGCAAGATGGCTCTAATTCTTGGTTCTTCGATTTAGCAAGCTCGAAGACGTAAGTTGTTGAAGCTTTCTGAAAGCTAACATGATGCTCAGACTCGAGGACCAGGGTCTGGCCATCTGGATGAACGGCTCCTGAAATGTAGCTAAAATTGTCATCATTGAGTTCTTTGTCAACTTGGAATTTAATCTCGGATCCTTCAACGGCTGTAGAAAAGTCGTGACTTGAATATCGAGTTAACTTCCAGTTATCGACTAGGAAGAAGTCAGATCCCTTTCCACGGGCTGGTATTGGGAACCATCGGCAAGCGGTTCTCTCATCATCTGTGATTTGACGCGTATGTACCAACGATCCATCGTTGGAGAAGAAGCGGTGGGAATCCCTGCTAGAAATCACGAGATAATCTCCTGAATCACGATAGCAAAGCTGGTTTACAACTTGCTGGATGCGTTCTTCGTAGAGGATACTCGAGGTGACTTTTGACGATGAGAGCTGGCTGAGGTCAAGCTTGTGCATCAAAACACAAGCACTATCCGCTGAGGTCAGTGTATTGTTTCTGCTGACAGCGATATGAGATATAGCGTGTTTTAGTGAATGCGAATAGAGCTCGCCCAATTTCAATCCTGTCTCTGAACTATACGCGGTGACGGCACCCATGAAACTGCCGGCGAATACCAAAGGCAACGAGGGGTGCGCACACAAGGCAGTGATCCTGGTCGATCTCATTTGATTGTACTCTCCTCTGGCAGCGGGGATGGCTACCGCATCGTCACTGATGCTTTCTTCTTCTTCCATGCTCTTGCGAATGAGGGCACTGGGTGACCAGACACGCATACTCTGAGAAGTGATGTCAATGATGCTGGTTCCGCTGGACGTGAACCTGATATTTCTGGAAGATGAAGAGGGCGCCTCGAGATGGTATAACAATGTCAAAGTTTCGAAGTCCCATATTTGTAGATGACCCAGCGTATTAGTTGTAGCGAGCGTCCTCCCATCAGGTGAGCACGTAGCCCCTGATACGCCGCTTTGTCGAGGAGGCGTATATGAGTGAACCATCTGCCCCCAGCCAGTCTCATATAGAGTCATAGTGTGGTTTTTATACAACACCACGAAGAGGTTAACATTCGGGTTTGGGTTGAAAATGATGTGTGAGGGCTGTCTGTCCATGTCATCCAAAGCCCAGGTTATGAACTCTTTGCTCTGAAGGTCCCACAGGCAGACAGTACCACTTCTGTACCCTAGCGCCAACACCTCCATATCGGGTGATATTGACGCGACCGAAGGCACTCTTTCTTTGAGCTGATTGTACTCTGTATCCGCTTGATGATTCCTGAACTCAAAACGATGGTTTTCCAGGAGCTTACCATCAGACATTGCCCATGTCAACACGGAGCTATGCTCACTGACTCCAAAGATTTTGTCCTCATGTATCGTAAGATAGATACAGCGAGTTCTTGTTTTCTTTTCCCACAGTTTTTCCCCTTGTCTGTCGAAGAGGGAAAGGGTTTTGGTGCTACAGACAACGATTGATTCATTTGTGAAATAAACAATGTCCACTGGCCACTTTGAATGCAGAGCACCGACTTGCTGGAAACTTTGGGCACTATAAAGGTTTACCAAGCCTGAGGCCATGGAGACAGCAACGATGTTCTCTCCACATGAGACTGAGGATGCTATTTCCTCTCCGAAGGTTAGCTCTGCAGCACAGTCGTCCCATGCTTCTCGATTGAAACCAATAATCTTCAAGCTCCCCTGCTTGCCTCCAAACTGGCTATGTATAGCTGAATTTCGGGGGCAGAGCGGAGGTATCAAAAAGTAGATGGCAGATGGGTTCACTAGTAATGCATCACCGAACTTGGTAAGTATTCTACTGAGATCTGTGGACCAATCTTCGATGTTTTTCACCTGGTGGTTGAGTGGTGATTTGTACTTGGCTCTTCGATCTAGGTACGCTTTTAGATTTTTTGAGGCTCTCATGAGTACGTGAAGATCCCCTTTGTGAGCGATATGCTCAATCCAAATTAGAGCATTGGTGCGAAAGAATCGATCAATTTCCATCAAAAGATCGTTGGTCTCAGACGATGCGCCCTGGACATGCTCTGAAAACTGCGTCAAGGCATAGGATAAAAACGGCGACTGTGACACCCGTCTCTGCGCGCCTGGGCGGCCACGGCTGGGTTGCAACTCATGACTCATTAAGGCTTTGAGGCAAACAAGAGCAATTCTTTCGTGAGCTACAGAGCGTCGTATTTTAAACTCTCCTGCAGCATCCGTCAGGAGAAACTCTCGGACGGTGGGATGAACGACATCAACGATGCCGGAATGCTTGTCAACCGAGATCAGCTGACCGCAAAGGCCTTCGATGGCATTCTCCGTGTTTGGTAGGTTGATTTCTATGTCCATCTTCAAAGCCTGAGAGAGTTCCGTTGTTTTCAACCGCCTGGTACTTCCCACAGTCCAGAGTAGGACAGCCTTTGCAATATGTTTTTCGTGCTTGTTACTTGCCATTGCCGCAATTGTCCGTTCGTAATATGGAATCATGCTATCTGGAATTGCATGCAGCACCTGAAAGATGCTTTCACTGGAGTAAACTTGCTCAAGCTCGTCCAAAACTAGCCTTACCCACAGGAAACAGGCGTTTGACCGTCTAAGGATTTCTGCTGCTAATTCGGACTGTTCTTCAGCACTCGTAGCAGGGAGGCTATCTCTGCGAGCCTCGATATAACAGCTTATATCGTACATGCTGGAGCGCTCCGGAATCTCAAGGCTACTCAATGTCAAAGAAGTTTCTAGAGGTCGACAAAGACGAGCCATATCTGAAACTGTCCGGCTTGTGACAAATATGCGCAATGGGAAGCTAGGCTGTTCACCTTTCAGCATGGTGAAAAACTCTTGATATTTGGCGCACTCGTCCATCGCATCAATGACCCAGTACTGCGGAGCAAGTCCATGAATCTAGAAGAGCGAAATATATTAGTCTGTGGCACTTTGCTCAACCGCGAGTGGGATGAAATACCTGGAAAATCCCCTTGCTGAAAAGCTTCGCCCAAATGGAACGGCTATCATCCAGGTCCGGCAAAGTGGTTTCATTGCAAAGATTGAAAAGCCTATCGCGAATAACTGTGTTCTGTGCGGCCATTTGGAAAGCGAGGGACCGCAAGAAGTACGCCAACGACTGTGACGCTTTGCCACCAATATGGAAATAGTGATAAGCACAATCGAATTTGAAGTCCTGGAGCTGTTTGACGACGTGGGCAGCGAGAACAGTTTTACCTGTCCCTGGATTTGCATGAACCCACAGGAACGCGGGAGGATATCTGGAGGATTCTGTATGGGGGACCAATGTGTTTGCATCGACATTTTTCCAATCTTGGAATTCTTTGCAGTCGTCGAGCCATTGACATGATCCCTCAACCGCATGGTAGTGTTCATCGAGACGCTCGGAGAGTGATAAAAATGCCATTAGGGAACTCAGTTGCTCTTTACTCTCCTCACTCTTCCCACTGCGCCCTATGGAATGTCAGTCTGGCTGTTTACATGGGTGGTTGTTGTAGGTAGTACCATTCGTCAGTAAGTCTTCAATAGCCCCAGACAAGGCATTTGCAAGCCTTGTGAAATTGGGGTCCTTAGGGCTGTTGAATTTACACATTTCTTTGTGGTCTGCAATGAGGTATTGGACGCGTTCATTCTTGAAACCCGGGCCTAGGAGGTTGGTTTGATGGTAAGACGCGTTGTCGAGGTTAAGATAATGATGAAATACTTACCCAAAATAGCAGAATTTCTGGGTACAACTATGTCAGACTTTGCCCCAAGCTTCATGTCCTTTGTTTCATAAAAGGAGTAGATAGGAATATCGTGAGCCTGCCTGCCAAAGTCATCGTTAAGCACCTGGGTGGCTACCGAGTCAAGCCTTAGGTCTTTCACATAATTTGGAGATGACGAGCTAGAAAGGCTGAGGATCCTGCTTAGTATTTTGGCGTATTCAGACCCTCTATGAGGTGTGCCAAGAAAGAAGATGGTTCGTATCCGATTCTGAAAGTTGGGGGTCTCTCTAGCAAGTAGGAATGCCTAATCAAATTTAATGAACAATGTTCTTGAATGCTTAGGCCTCGTTGTAGGGGGTGGGAGGTTGGGGGAAGAACTTCTCGAGAACCGCCTACCTTCTTAACGACTAGCCCACCGAGCGAATGTCCAAGCATGATGATCGGGCCCTGAAACACGTTAGCAGTTTATCTCCCTACCTACTTAGTGATCATAAACATACTCTCTCGTTATTTCTCAAATGTGGGCAATTCCGCATCTGCTCAAATAATGATTGGCCAAAATCGTGAATGGTCAATATATTCGCCATCTTAGCACCTGAGAAGTCGGCTTCATAGCCAAAAGTATGGATATTGACATGATGGAAACCAGGCTCGGATGGTAACCAGCACTGCGGCCAAAATGTTTCGGCATCTCCACTCTTGTGCCAGGTCTTGATTGAATGTCCTTTTAGGCCATGGACCAATATCAGATCCAATAGAGGATCATTTGAGGGATGCAGAAGCCTCAGCCCAGTAGAAACTGGCTCTTCTTCCCGAGCACTCTTATCCCGCCATTTATACGGCAACGTCTTCGTAAATCGCCTCGTAAAATGGAAACCACTGGTCGGGTCGGACTCGCTATCGCCGGTATCGTCGGAAAACTTGTTGTTCTCGAGCGTATTGTTTGAGCTCGTTCGGTGTTGTTGCCAGCCCTGAGTATCGGATTCGGCGTTCGTTTCCCCGCTCAGACTAACATCGCTGTGTTTTCGGTCGCTCGTGGCCTGGACAAAGGTCTAAGCTGCTAGAATATACTGGATCTTCGGGGATACATACCGACATCTCGAGCACAGCGAACTATTGCTCGGCTACGCACTCATGGGGCGCGTACGAGGTCTGGAACGAAATCCAAGATGTTCATCGTTCAGTGCAGAAAAACAACCAACCACCTAAGCAACTTGCTGATTGTAGAAGAGAATGGCATTGCCACGTGATACAGACCAATAGGCCTTGTTAACGTAGCAATAAGGCCTGGTAGCGCCGGGTAATGAAACATCGCACAGCACGCCTCACCTAATCCTTGTCCTTCCTGTTATTCGCTCTTCCGTCTTACGAGATCCACGCGGAAATGCACATCTCACTCCTTCGACCCCACGTCCTGCATGGTACTTCATCTTCATTGGTAGAGAGCGCAGCTGAAATGAGCTGGCTGGAAGAGGCGTTTCTGCTTACCCTTGGCAGGCGCCTAATCGTAATGAGGGGGCACCTTCCGGCCGGCCAGAAGAAAAGTATGGGGGGCTCCCCCTCAAACAGAGAAGCTTACGAGCGCCTATATTTATGTCTTGGAAGCTTCACTCTGTTTAAAGCTTCATATTCATTACGCTTTGTCCTTCAACTGCGGCCGTCATGGACACCGATACGTTGACTCTCGACCCGGCTATTACCGCAGGTAATTTTCTCTCGATCACTTGCCCCTGTTGATGAATGCTGATCTCTCCACCAGCGCTTCCCGTCCAGGGTGAGGTGGTTGCCATCTCCAGGCATGGAGACACGAATGTAACAAAAGAAACATGACTCAAACTATTTCAGTACAATAATAATTCTAACTCGCCAGTTGCCAGTGGTCGACCGGGTATAAAATTATTATTGAGGTCGATGATGATGATCACGAGTTCTTCATTAAGGTGCTTAGTTGTTCATCTACATTCCACTGTTTGGTCTAGCTAATTAAACTCATGAAGATCCTTGACCGAGAAGACGCAAGAGAGCTTGCAGAAGGAGAATTTGAGTCGATGACCCTCATGCACGAACTCATCCCGGAAGCCATTGTTCCTCCGATTGCCTGGGGCATGTTCGAGACTGATAACTCCAAAGCTTTCTACCTCACATACTTCCGCGATCTTGATAAGAAGCACCCACCTGATGATAGTTTGATACGGCTCATTAGTAAAATTCACGAAAAGGAATCGCCAACTGGGAAATTCGGCTTCCATGTTCCCACTTTCTATGGTTGCCGGAAGGTGGATAACACCTGGTGTCAGAGCTGGGAGGAATTCTTTTCTCGGGAGTTGCGTTCATCTATCAACTTTGCCCAAGCCGTCTTACAGCATGATGAAGAGCTTGAGGGGCTAGCGAAAACCTTCTTCGATCTTGTGGTTCCGAGGCTTCTTCGGCCACTTGAGACGGGTGGTAGGAGCATTAAACCTCAGCTCGTCTTTGGCGATCTTTGGGATGCGAATGTGCAAGTCGACAATCGTACTAGAGCCGCGGCATTGTTTGATCCATGCTGCTTTTATGGCCATTTCGAGTGTGAGCACCATCCAATGGCAGGGGTGGTACAAGTTCTAATTCCCGACACAGATGATTTTCAATGCATGACTTCCGACCGTTACTCTCTTAATTACAATTTTGTCAATCTATACAGAGAACGTGTGGGGGTTTCCGAACCTGCAGAAGAATTCGATGATCGCGTTGCTCTTTACGCACTGTGAGTTTATCAGGTATCTTTCCTCTCAGATTGGCACTCAAAAACCTATAGAAGAAACGACTTCCATACTATGGGTATGTGGCCTCAGTGGACCTCAGTTCTTGATCAGTAAGTCAGATTGAACACTCATGACGAGCCTTTGATACTTGCCCCTTTGACCCAAGCTAAGTTGAATTTTATAGTGTGAAATCTGAAATGAATCGACTCATTAAAAAGTATCCCGATGGGCTTCAAGGATTTGCAGCCAACGCAGCTCTCAAAAACAATGCTGCCTTTGAACAAAACGCCGCCCTTGAATACAATACTTCCCTTGGAGAAAACGCTGCAGATAGCACTACCATTCAAGGAAATGAGGACATCCCATCCTCCAATTCCATCGTCCCTAGCCAGAGTGGAAATTTGGCCCCCACCAAGGTGGACTCCGCGTGATGAAGCATCACAGAATAATTATAGAGCGGTTCAGTCCGCAAATGTCACATATGCGGATCATCAAACTGTGTCATCTAAATCTGATCAGTAGAGGCAGCCCGGAACACATCTTTGCACTGCAGATGAAAATGTGAACCGACAGCAAGAGCTAATGACGATGCAGGAATGCGAGCTTATACTTACCGGAGACGAGACGGGTTTGATCGCGAATTCTAGTTTCGAAATGAGAATATAAATATTTGTGTTTGTCGAAACTATACACCTATGGAATGAACACTTGATGATGGCTTGTTGGTTAACTACTGCTATGCCTTTATGAACATACAGGTTACAATTCCAATATTATTCTATGAATCATAGATTTTTTCTGAATAGATTAAGAGACATTGGAAGGTTCTTTTCCCTTTCTTCTTCTTCTTCTTTTTTGTTTTTGATACTATCTAAACCGTAAATTTAACCTCATATACTGTAGTAAGGCTAGGACCAGTGCCTTTCTATTAATGGCCCCTGTGTAGTGGGTGGCCCTTGCATTGCTTCCAGGTGCGTGCAGTAAGTGGGCGTTGATCAGGACTCAGATTGACATTACTCATCAAGTCCGAGTGATCAAATATTTACAAGGATGCGAAATTATGTTATCGTCCGCTTTTAGAGAGCTGCAGCCCGCAAACGTCTCACAAATGAACCAACACCGCACATTGGAGTAGGAACACTGACCGACTCTTAATCATGGTAGCCTCACAACCCAGCCACCTGGACACTCCCAAAGGTCCATCTTCGACAGGAGAATTGAAAGATGGACCTGGATCGCCTCAGAAAAATTCGATATCGCAATCGGAACAGGTTCCAGTCGTGATTGCCGAGCCACCGTATACTGTCTTTACGACCCCGCACAAGATATTCATCTCCTTAGTTGCCTCATTTTCAGGAATGTTTTCAACTCTCTGCAGCTACATATACTATCCTGCTATCGTTTCCATTTCTCGAGATCTTGAAAGCTCTGTCCGTCTCATCAACCTTACTGTTACCTCATATTTCGTGATTGCGGCTGTGGCTCCAGCATTCATGGGTGACCTAGCAGATCGGCTCGGCAGGCGTCCTATTTATATTCTCATGTTTAGCTTCTTCATCGGTGCCAATATCAGCATCGCCTTGGTCCAGAACTTTCCGGGCCTGCTAGTCCTACGCATGCTACAAAGCGCTGGATCTTCAGGTAAGTCACTGTCTCCGAGCCAAGGTACATATTACTGATAATCGCTGGAGGCCTGCTTGCGGTTTGCTACGGCGTTATTGCTGATATCACCACGCCTGAGAATAGAGGTGGTTATGTGGGGATGTTCGATTTGCTGTGAGTACTCAAGGACCCGTACAAACTGATATTCAAGTGCTGAGAGGGCTATAGAATAAATTTTGCCGTGAGCGTCGGCCCAGTTATTGGCGGCTTGATAACACAGTATCTCTCCTGGAGATGGATTTTCTACTTCTTGTTGATACTCACCTCATCTCAATTCCTGCTGATGATTTTAGTTTTTCCAGAGACTCAGCGGAAAATAGTAGGAAATGGTTCAGCCCGCGTTTCGGGAGTGTACTGGTCTCTTTTTACTTGGTTCCAACGGGGAATCACTAGAACCGACCCGCCAGAGCGAAAGGCCAGCAAGTCCCAATGGCTCCCCAACCCGTTTGCTTGCTTGAAAATCTTCGCCAACATTGAATCTACGATGGTTATCTTATTATACTCTCTCACATATAATGTGAAAATGAGCACGCAGGCATCGTTAGGATCGCAGTGTGTTGATATTTATGGCTTAGATTACTTGACGGCCGGCCTAGTATATCTACCTTCGGGTGTCGGTGGCGTCTTTGCTTCGTTTGCTACGGGTTTGTTGGCATCTCATCTAGTTCATATTGTGACTCTACTTACGTCTAATAGGCAAATATCTCGACAGAGTATATTTGAAAGATGCTAAGAGCTTCTATGGGACAGACAACATCCCGGGACGACACGACTACCCGCCAGAATTTCCAATTGAGAAAATAAGACTGCATGGCGTTTTCCTTTTTATTGGAGGTGCAGTGTTGTCAACTGTTGGGTACGGCCTGGCATTAATGACTCAAGCTGTAAGTACTGTTGTCATCTTTGCAACTCTAGTAATCCTTTGGGTCTGCAACCGGAAGCAGTTGCTGATTATGGATGACTTATCTATAGCATGTTTCCGTTATGATTTTAATGCAATTCTTCATTGGAGTCTCTACATCATGCATATTCACGGTAGCTCATGTCAAATACCCTTTATGTAGTCAAACGACCTCTAACTCTTCACATTCTCTCAAGCAATCCGCTACCCTACTTACGGATTTAAACAAAGATCGTTCGGCAACTGCTCAAGGTGCCAACAGTCTGGTCCGCTGCCTACTTGCGGCAGCTGGGGTCGCAGCGCTGGAGCCTCTGGCTGATGCCGCCGGCCTGGGATGGTGCTTTGGCATATATGCTGCATCGCTTAGTATAGAATTGCTCTTGGCTTGGCTTTTGAGAACGCGAGGGGTTTCTTGGAGAACGAAGAAGTACCCAGATCGATGAGTGCACCTTGTTCAAATGTGGCGAGACACGTTACTGGTTTGTCCAAGAGGTTAGTATGGGCCAAGATAACACTCAAAGGATACAAGTCTCTATAGGAGAGCTGATCATTCATTTCTTGTTTTTGCTCTGAATCTTGCTTGCTGTACGAGTTGGGCTTGTCGGGCTGATGAGACGCCGGATGTAGGTAGATAATAACAAAAGTGGAGAACCGCAAGTTCCGTCTACGGAGAACAAGTTCCAAGCAGTTAATAGTAAGGGGGCGAATGAACAGGATCATGGACGAGAGCGGGCCAATATAGCTCATATCCGAAGCAATGAAACAAGTCGGCTCAGTCCGGGCTGATTGGGCCGGATGGCAGGGTCGTTTTCCAATCAAACCAGCGGACAAGATCAATCAAAGGCTAGCTTGAACCTTTAAGGATTCCAAGGTTGGTTCCAAAATGCGCGGCTGAGCGGTATTAGCGGCAGTCTTCGATTACATCCGAAATTTATTGCGGCGCCTCTCACCATTCTCAGCTTGGGCTTACACGCACGGTGCCAGTAGCCAATCAATATTCAGACTTTCCGAGCCACCCAATCACAACAGGCAAGAGGGGCATCCAACGATGGCTCAATCTTCATGTTCTTCGGGGACATGCGGCGCTTTGACGTTATGGTGATGCTAAGTATAAAAAGTAGGAGTTGTCCGTGTCTTTGAAATGGCGTACTACACCAGGCAACCAGTATCTTGTTCTTCTCTGTAGCCCCCCTCACGTATCATAACCACGGACCTTCTAATCAACAGACAAGATGGGCCAGAGTTTATCCAACTTTTCTCAGTTCTTCCCACCGAAGCCAACATTCACGGAGGCCAATATCCCGGACCTAAAGGATAAGGTACCTCGATACTCGCCATGCCCTACAACGAAAGGAATCTATCTAACCGTTAATGACAGGTTTATCTTGTGACGGGAGCAAACACCGGTGTTGGTAAAGATGTCGCTCGGATACTCTACTCAAAGAACGCCAAAGTATATATTGCAGCGCGCTCCGAGGAGAAGACAAACAAGGCAATTGATGAGATCAAAAAGTCATCGCCAGGATCCACAGGCTCTCTAGGCTTCCATCATCTGGATCTTGCCGATCTCAACTCAGTCAAGAAGTCAGCTGAGAAATTTATTGCATCGGAAAGCAAGCTACACGTTCTGTTTAGCAACGCCGGTGTACAGTCTCCCGACGCTGATGGAAAGACTGCGCAAGGACATGAAATCCACGTGGGGGTTAACTGCCTCGGGACATTTCTATTCACCAAGTTGTTGACACCATTGCTGGCTAATACCGCCAAGACCGCCGACCCTGGAACAGTCCGTGTCGTCTGGGTTTCTTCCTTCGTGGACCTTGTCGCCGATAAGAGAACAGGCTTACCGCTAGACAAGATGGACTTCTTGAAGATAGGGTCTCCTTTGGACAGGTATGCCTACAGCAAAGTCGGCAATTATTTACACGCGGTCGAGTATGCTAGGAGGCATAAGGAAGATGGTATCATCTGTGTTCCTCTGAACCCTGGAAATCTTGCATCAGACCTCTACCGAGACCAAGCCGGAATTTTCAAGTTCTTTGTGGGCCTCATAGTGCACCCTGTTATCAATGGAGCATACACAGAGTTGTTTGCTGGGCTTACTCCCAAGATCAGCCTACAAAATACAGGAGCCTGGGGTCAGTTTACCGCACGCATCTTTAATCATTCGTTGCTAACACACCATTTAGTTATTCCATTTGCCAGGCTTTCGACGATCAGGAAGGATCTTGAGGATGTTCTGAAAACTGAAGAACAAGGGGGCACAGATGCGGCAAGGAAGTGGTGGACATGGTCTGAGGAGCAAGTCAAGCCATACGAGTAACCCTTACCGGTTCGTGCAACCTTTGCTTGTTGCTGCACGGGAAGAAATCCCTTAATTATAGCATTTATTTATTTTTTCTTTTTCTTTTTAGACATGTACTTTGAAAGCAACTGTTGGTTAGATAATATTGGAGCAAGTTGTGGTAGTTGACGTGGGACCTTTTTTTCCATCCGGTTGGATCCCAATCATCACAATATTTTTCATCATTTTGCTTTCTTCCTCCAAGCTCAAACACAGGAAATGTTCTAGACCCCTTATTTCTTTTCTTTTCTTTTGTTCGATGTGACGTGACGCTGCCAGTGCATATTTACCTGTCACGTGACGACATCCACTTGAGGACGTCAGGGGCTCCAATTGAATCCAATCTCCTTCTCACCAATTGTTTACTTTTTCTGTCGAATGAAATCTACACATCTCTGAAACAACACCTGTGCTGGTGCGAGGGTGGCAAATTTTCGACGCGAGGACACCCATTCTACAGCGAGAATAACCACGAACAGAGACGAACTTTCCCCTATGCTATCCGTATTCTGGCGTGGCGTAAACACGTGATAGTCTCCCAGGCTTACCATGAACGCCCAGCCTTCAGAGTGTCAGGCGCTGGAGCTCTCGAGGGCTGAAAAATGCCACAATGAAGCTACTCATGCGGAAGGCCTATTTTGTTGGTTTCACTCCAAGCAGGTCTATGGCCTCTATCTCGGCTACAAGCGACGCAACGCCCGGTTGGACGCGTTGGATGATGATGCACCCGAGTATTTGAAAAGCTCGACTGTCCCGCTTGCCAACCAGACATTCCAGGATCTGGATGACGAAAAGGCACTGCAAGAGGTGCACGCGCATCTATTTGAGAAGTACAACCTGTTAGGGAGAGTTATTGACGCTCGGAGGCTTCATCATAAGCACTTTTATTCTCTAAAAGTCGACTATGGGCACCAAGCATACCTTGACAAGCTCAGTAGCCAACGGCACACTGTCCTCCGAGCCTTGGAGAAGCTGGATCGACGGATTGCAAAGTTGCTCTATGAAAAAGAGCAGTGGTTTGCATGGGCTCGTCAGGCCCAGGATGAGGAGGAAGAGAACCGTGACAAAGAGCAGAAGAAGATCAAGCAGGAAGCTGCTCTGTTTAAACGCCACTGGGCAGTGGTCCAGGCCAGACTGAAGAGCAAGCGACAGAAGGAGGAGAAGAAGCGTCATGAAGCATACCTTGAGGCAGCCTATCAAGAGAGAAAGGCGATGGACTCGGCAGGAGAGGATGGAGACGAGGAGTGGGATCCTATTGAAGACGAAGACCTGGACAAGCGCAACCAGTATGTTGATCTGATTAAGCACTTCCTTTGGATGGAGGTACTGGAGCAGGATCAAAGCGCATCTAACATCGAGCCTGTCACCACCGGAAACCTTGAGGACTCTGCCCTTGGGAAAGAGGTCTCGACTCCTGCTAAAAAGCCAAAGAAAAAGAGCAAGAAGGGTGACCCCTCAAAGACTGCATCGGATTCCAGCAGCTTTAAGGCAGTTCACGGACCGGAGAGCGGCCAGAAGACACTACTTGCCATGCAAGCAAGCGGTCCGGTTGTCATCGGCGAAGAAAAACGAGAACCCGATAAAGGCAGCATTGAGACAGAGGTGGATATGAGGAAACGTCTGAAAGAGGGAGTCGAGAAGGACCACTCCCATTCTTGGGGCACTCAGCTCGTTGGCTCTCTTGAAAATCCCCACGCGACATTTGACAGGACAGCCGCGATGACTGACGAGGACATTGATTCTACGGTCGAGGAAGTAAAGGAGATCAAGCTCCTGTTGTTTTGTCGCCTTGTTCTTGCACACGCCTCGCTATTGCCTGCTGCTCTACGAGCTAGCAACGTGGAAGAGTTCTTGCAAGATGCTGAAATTACGGAGTCTGATTTGCGAGATATCTGCTTGAAGGTCGAGGCTCCGACTTTACAGAATATTCGAGATGCATGTGCTGATTTCGCCCGTGGAGATGAACTTGAAGATGACCCGGGTGAAAATATCGAGGATGAAGAGGAAACTGAAGACTTTCAGGATTTGCTCAACGGAGACAAGCGCTACCAGCACTTGCACAGCAAGGACTGGTTGTTGGAGCATATCATGGATGGCCAAAACCGTATCGATGAAGCTGGGAAGACCAAGAGCAAGAAGAGGAGAGACAAGAAGAAGAGCAAAAAGGCTAAGGATCTTACAAACAAGAAAACCAAGATCACAATCTGCGGCAAAACCATTTGGAACCATGCCAGCGAGAAAGCAATGTCGAGAGATGGCTGGCTCCAGTTTTCCATCATCGCCAAAGACTGTGACCTTAAACACGCGATCCAACTTTGCCGGAACTGGAGCGAGTTCTCCGACTTGAATCTTCTTGCACTTTGGCAATTTTTCCCTGCGTCGAATTGGGTGGCCTGGACCCCAAACCAAATGGTTGAGCACCTCCAAAAGCTCGAATTCTTTCCATATTTCATCGACACCAATGCGCAACAGCACAGCCGCTACTACCAGGTCGGTGGGAGGGGCCAGGCAAGACGCCAGCACGATATCATCGAGGCAAGGAACATCATTGTTGGCCATATGAAACGCAACGACCCAGTAACTCGTCGATTTCTCCAGTACATGATCATGAGAACTGGGGAGGTGTTGGTTTTAGTGCGGGACGGGAAGACTGGTCGTGTGATAACAGCACCTCCTGACGAACATTTGTGGACATACCGCCGCAAGTCAGGAATCGGCAGGGCCTCAAAAAACGAATGGTTTAACATACTCGAAGTTGGACCTCAATTCTTTGCCTTGAACGACAAGTACCGAGAGTGGCGTTTTGGGTTTGACGATTACTACGACGTGTATATCTGGGACTTTGTCCCTTGCCAGACTGTTAGCTCGCTATCTAACACTATCATATATGTGAGTTTCGCTTCCCTTTTTCATCCCTCTAATGACATTTTTAGCCTTAAGCTAATACTCTACCCCAAACTAGGAACTCCGAAATGCATGGCGCCTAACCAACCCACGCGAAATTTATTCGCACATGGAGCCATTGCTGAGTTCTCTCACAAGAGAAGAGACAACCATGAGGACCCGCAAGATAAAGCCAGGGGAAGATGTTCGGACCCTCTGGGACATCGTTAACAGCGACTCTAGCGAATTCATCATGTATCAAGTCAATGAGAGTGACAAGAAAGTTGTTACTAAAAAGGGCGCTGAGCTCGCTAAGTGTTCGTACCTTTTCTACAATGAGGGCAACGTTCTTGAAGACGCGATCCTATTTCCGGATGAACTGCAGGCAAACCACAAAAGTGTGCCATTTCGAGAGATCAAGAACCCCATCGATCGGATAGAGACGGGAATTATGAATCCTGATATGCGCGGCTGGGCAAAGGTAATGGATGTCATAACCAGTGACTTTCCGAGTACAACCATGCATGCCCATGAAGAAGAGGACAAGATTGAACAATGGATATGGGAGTGGCCTGAGATTTGGGAGAGTGGCCTGGATGCGCTTTGCTCCAATACATACCCTAAAGAGATGGAAGAAGTCCTCATGCGGACTCGCGTTACTGAGATTGGAAGTCTAGAGCTCCACGAGCATTATGAAACTTCCAGTAAGGTGGAGGTCATAGAACGAGAACGATCCATCGGTGAGTCGTGGCTACGAAGTCAAGCGGTTCCCACCAATGTCTACCGAAACAAGCTGACCACATTGTTTAGCATTCAAACAAACATTCCACGAGGGAGACCTCGAGCCAGAGGCGGCTGAGAACTTCAAGAAAGTACAGGAAGTGATACGCACTATGCTGGGATTCACTCATGAGGGACCAGTCGATTGGGTTTGGTTCATTGTTGAGACGTTGGATTGGCTTGGTATCGTAGCTGATGAGCCCATGCCCAACGATTTAAGTGCCCCATGGCCGCACTCGTTCATTGTCAACGATATAGTGCGGGCCTTTGCAACCATGGCGATGTTCTTCCCTGAGCTTGAAGTAACCACTCTTGTCACCAAGTTCATCCGATCAGACCAATGTGAGAGCTTTAGGAACTCGCTGCTGTTCAACCCACGGGAGAGAGGAAAGACGCAACCGGACCGCAGGACCCGAACAAGTCAAAAGCTTCGCGATTCCAAGTTTTGGGATGAGTGGAACAAAGTGTGGGATGCGGAAGGTTACTATACGGAAAATATCCCCTTGGAATGGAACATTGCAATCCGCCCTATCATCGCTAAACGTTCGTTATAATCTCAGCCTGCATTCAAGGCACGGTATTTCTGGCTAACATGCTTTATCATAGTGTATCGAGCGGGTGTCATCACGCCAACGTATGCTGAGAATGACCGTCTAATCATTCTAGGCGTTGCCACAGCCAATACCGAGCCACACCGGCCAGGCAAGCTGGACTTGTTCATCAACTACCATAATCCGTATTGCGAATTTGTTCCTGGCTTGCCACCCAACTATACTCCACCCGACAGATGGCCAGTGCTGCTCCCACTCGCCCAGAAGTTCGCCAGTAAGCACGAGGGAGCTCGGTTCGCGCTTCTCCGTCTCTGGTCCGCACCGCATTTCTATCCTCTTATGGTCGGGCCGAACAATCGCTCGAATACTACTTTCCTCGATGGCGTAGGCAGACCATGGGAGTTCAGATTTGTGCCCAAGGACATGCTTGCCACCGAGTCGATGATACACACTATCGTCCAGACGAGATTGAAGTTCATTCACAAACAGGTTGGTGATCAGGTTGCGCATCGGGGAGATTTGATTTTGGTGATGGCAGAAGATTCTAAGCAACTCTTCAAGTATGCTACTGCGGTTACATTTGCACTGCAGACGAGACCTTGGATCAGGGAAGTTGATCTGTGGAAGAGCTTTGTAAATGTGGAATTGGATGTGCTTGAGGGCTTAGATCCTTACTGGTGGGACTGAGTGTTAAATCAAGGCATCACGTCTCCATGATGTGCAAATACATGATGATTGGTCTGCCTAAATAAATAATAAATAGGACAGAGATGCCAAATTGTCACCTCCTCAACTAGTACTCCGTATCCGAGGTCGTGGTATTATCTAGCCTCAAACATCAAATGTCAAGCTCCACCACCTGACCGCCGATAGAAGCTGCCTCGTCGCCTGCTGTGGCAATGAAAAGCTTCTTCTCGTTCCCGCTGAGTGCCACAGAAGCCGGGGCAACAATCGTACCATTCAACACAACGGTCTTTTCACCCGCCGGAGTAACCTTGTACAAGAGGTTCGGACGCACCGTAACAAAGGCGTTTCCGTTTTTATCCATGACGAAGTCATCCGTGGCAGCACCGGAATCAGCGTCTCCAAATTGGGCAATGAGCTCGGCGGGTTCGACCTTGTTTCCAAAGGCGTCGATCTTGACTCGTCCAAGAGCTCGCCGTTTGGTACACGTGAAGTAGAGATAGCCTTCGAATATCTTCAGCCCATTGACGCCAAAGTCATACGGTCCAACAGGGCCGGGGGTCAGTAACTCGTCCTCGATAATAACCTTGGCGTCGCCAGAGGTGGTGTCAACACGCCAAACCACCCCCTTCGTCGAGTCTGCACCCAGGACAAAATTCGGGTGCGATGGCAGCGTGACCAATCCATTCAGCGGTCCAACATCACCTCCCCGAAGTATGAAGTCGATTGATGGAGCTGTAGTGTTCTTATGTGTTCCACAGCGGTCCTTGCTGAAATCAGCCCGGATCATCTGGATTGAGCCAGGTGTAAACCCAACCTCCGTGCTGTACTCCGCTCCTGTGATGGCAAATACGTCTTTGCCAATCTCAGTAATACCTGCTGCAGCGCTGATTTGATCGAAGCTAGCCACAATCTGTGCTTTGGCATTTGGACGGGATGGGTTGAACGAGTAGATGTCCCCCTTGTCGATTGTGGTCAACAACAAATCCCCGTTGTGTCGCACAGCGATGTTTTCTATCCATATCCCTGGGAGCTGCAGAAGCTCTCGAGGCTGGTGTTTAGAAGAGCGTGTAGTCTGTATTGGGTTTGCTGAAGCATGGAAGCTGAACGCCCCAGCGACGAGGAGGACAGCGGACAACGAAGCACGCATGGCAGTGGAATTACTAGAGGAAGAGAAAAGGTCAAAGTAGGGGTAATGTTCTCAAAAAAGAACAGGCATAGCTCAGAACATCGAATTGTATGATCTTTCATCAGTATTTATATTTCAAAGCCACTTTCTTTGCGAGGTGATCGATCTCTACCCATACGCGCTGATTTATAAGCCGAGCTATTGTAATGATCATCGACCAACCTGTTCTCTATCCTATTGGGCATCTCTACGAACAGATTCATGTTGTTCAACCTCGCATCATGTACATAAGCTACGAAAACAGGGGTCATACTCCGTCAACAACTGGGAGGCCCACCAAATTAAAACATGCCATGGAACGGGACCGTCGATTTTCATGTTGTCTCCACTTAGATTCCCTGCTAAGTGAGAGGATCACGCAGAACGACCAGGTTTGATTTATAAGCTGACAGATAGCTTTCTAGATCTAGCAATACCCGAAATCCATACTGAAGGTTGTCGTTTCTACATAGAATTTTCTCTACGAAATGAGGAGAAGTCATGACACAGGAACCCTCTGCCCTTCACCCAGAAGAGTTGCTCGTGTATGACGACGAGTACCAAGTCATCATCTGCCAACAATGCCAATACGCACTTCGTGGAACCGCCATTGACAGGCATCTGAAAGAAGTCCATAAGATTCTCCGATCGTCACGGCGCCCGTACATGGCCTACGTCTCCAAGTTTCCTCTCCTCGAGCCCGAAGAAGTTATCAATAAGCCTCTGAACGATTTCCCCGTTCCTTTCCTGCCTGTCTTCGACGGCCTGAAGTGCATGGATGGTTCTTGTAGCTACCTGTGCATTTCTGTGAAGCGGATGCAAAAACATTGGCTGTCGGAACACGGAAGACATGGGTATGACAACAAAGACTGGCAACATGCCTTACTTCAAACATTCTTCAGGGGAAACTCGCTACGATACTTTACGGGGCCTTCGAAGGAGCCAGTTTGTGGAGAAAGCCAGGTCGGTAATGTCTTAATATCATACCAAGAAGTTTGAGGTTCTAATTAAGCGGAGTTCATCAGGTTATGAAAGGTTGTAGGTCGCCAAGGATTATCAAAATGCCTGATAATGGGTATTTATTTCCCTCCAAGGATGAGCTCTTGGACCACTTTCAAACGTCAACATTCAGCACAATCGTAAAAGGCGAGGAAGATCTTTGGCGCCATGCTGTGCCCGAAATTGCCACCTCCCACCAATTTCTGATGCATGCCATTCTCGCTTGCTCGGCATTGCACCTCGCTGCTAAACATCCGTTACAACAGCAATACTTGATTTGCGCATTCAAATATCAGAGCATTGCCATGCCTCTGTTTCGAGATGCTGTAGCAAAGGTCACAGAAGATAATTGCCACGCTATTCTTGGATTCATGCACCTTCTAGTTGTATATTCTTTCGGTGCAGAGAGACATGAGGATTCTCTCCTCTTGATTGATACCTCAAGTCCAGAGCCCGACTTCTTGTTGAGCTGGCTGTACTTCCGACGCAATGGATGCACACTTTTAGGCAATTACAAGGAGCTGATCTCGTCTGGGCCTTTGAAACAGCTCTGTCGATGTTCTCACCTACCAGATATAACAACTGAAAAGCTCCCACAGACACTGGATGTATTGCTTGTAGCCCTAGAGGACCTGCTTGAGTCTCTCCACAAGGGGGACGAGCTTTCAATGGAAGACTGTCAAGCATTTGAACAAGCAGGCCACCAACTACTTCGTTCATTTGTCAGGGCCGGTAACTTGGGCAGTGACTTCAACCCATGGGATGCTGTCTGCGGCTGGCCAATGCTAGTCTCGTTGCAATACACGCGTCTTCTCGCGCAGCAGCATCCCGTTGCTTTGATTCTTCTAGGATACTATTGCTTGCTCCTCAAAAAGCTACAAGGGTACTGGTTCATTGGCACCTATCCTCTACGACTTCTGTATCTCATCAAAGGGGGTTTAGAACAACGATGGCATTGCTATATTGATGCTCTGATATCTAGGTGGGAGGAAGGATTATAGGAGCATGTGTGTACACGCGGTAGAAAGGAGACGGTGATTATGTATGTTTTGGGGGAAGTCCCAAACGTATCTACCTTAATTATCTGCCTTGGATCGCGAAAGACAAATCAGTATATAACCGACAGCAACTCCAAAAATCAAAAAGTCTAATCTAATAGGGCAGCCATCCATATCAACACTCCAAATTCATCCAAGGTCCTGCTCCATTTCGTGACTTCAGGCGTGGGATCGACAGTACTTCTTTCAGACCCTCTCGGTTCCATCGTGCGCCTTGAAAGCTGGAGATCTGAAAGTTTCAGCAGTCGATTCATCTTGTTACCTTTCTCTTGGCTCTCAAACCGATAGCCCCATTCCTCATTTGACAGCGGCTGCCACAGGTCACGACTGCATGGAAGCGGAACCAAGGAGTATCCACCACATGATGCCCTGTCAGTATGGCTTAGATTCACGTCGATAAGAAGCTCAATTCCGTATAGTAAGCATATTGTCCTATAAGAAATTCAGCTACGGAATTCACTCAATTCCAGGGTCAGAATATACCTTCGGACACTCTCTCGGAAATTCCACTCTGTTCGATTCAAGCTATGGCCAATTGGTATGTTGGATTCGTATTCACACATGTTGTGTAGTCTCTTTGCCATGTCCTATGAGTATAGGAGTGATTAGCATTCATTCGTCAATAGCAGCCAATTCTGAGAAGCGACACCCGGTACCAGGGCTGGGCTGTTCTCACCCCAGGTGTTTCGATCAACAAATTCACATCATGATCCTTCACGGAGTCGGGATCGCTGGCCTGAAGGAGTAGATACACTATTGAAGCTTGCAGGGCCTCAAGTAATTCTTCTCGAGAATAGCTTTCACACTAATTTTATCCGCCATGTCAGTTATAGGAAGTATAGATCTAAATTCAGATAGTAAACACTCACGTTGTGGCTGAACCTCTCCAACTCAGATAATATACTTCTCCATATAAACTCCACACTCCCTTGTGTTCTTGACTCGAACGATTGAACCAAACTGCTACAAATAGCGAGGGATTCAGGGAGGCATTTGTGAAATCCGTTCGAGCTGCACTTATTGCTGGCAGCTAGGCCCCCTGTGCCGCAGGGTGGAAAGATGAACGGAGGCAGGCGTCCTCCCCCAACCATCATGGAAGGATAAGAAAGGAGTTGGCCCAAGAGTAGCTCCGTGGTTATCCTATTATCGACACCCGATGTTCGAAGCTTGGAAAAGGGTTTGATTCTATAATTCTTTCGCGGTGACAACAGAGCTCGGCGTTGCCTGGAGCCCTCCCAAAGTGGCAACAGACTCGAGTCTACAGTTGGTGGTGTTGGCTGCTGTGTCTGTGGCTCCTCGGTATGAAGTGTGGAGTCATGTTCAAACGAAGAGCCGAAAGAAGGAATGTCTAAACCAGAAGAATCTGAGCTGTATATCGGACAATCGCCAAACAAAGGCTGCTCAAAGTTGGCCAGATTACTCGGGTCAACCAGAAGCATATCCGAGATGCTCAGTTCCATTGGGTCTAGCATGTTCGAGGGGCATGGCTGTATATCGGGAACAGGGTGGGCCAGAGAGCACCCCTGATCGCCAGACGGCAAGCTGGTAGCTCCCGATTCAAGTTGCGGGATCAGTCTAAGAGGCTGCGAGCCCGGGGGGTGACTTTGCACTGTCGCCTCATCCGAGGAGGTTTCATGCCCCCCAGATCCAATTGGTCTCAAAGTCCGAAGCCTCCGCCGCTGCGCGATGGCCACGTTGTCGTACTTGCAGTCCCAGTTCCGTTCTTGGCAGTGGAAGCACGGTTTGCCTTGGGAGCACCTCGCTTTTTGGTTTCGGCACTGTATGCACGATTTCTTCCGAGACGATACCATATTTGTTAGTACAGGCAATCGCGTACCGGTCTTCAATATCCATTCAAAGTTCGTCGGTGAGATGGAGGTAAACAGACGATTTGTCAGTATCAAAGTCGGTCCCAGTTTGTCAGCAACTCCGCGGAGTTCAGGCCAATCAGATCCCGCCATGAGCGCTTACCCTACACGCTGAACAACAACCAACCACCGAGGAGTTTTGATGACTTGCCATTGCGTGATATACTTTATTTAGTAGTATGGGGATTGAAGTGTACCTCGGAGACTTTAAAGTAAGAGAGAATCACAATACCTAAGCAAGCATATCACATCAGAGTACAAAAATTGACTGTCCCATCGCTCTTTGCTGACTAGGTTATAGTTCCTCCATCCCAACAACAGCATCAATCACAACATTTCTAAAACTATTTCATTAATCAAATTTATCACTATGGCTGTTACTCGGGTTGGTTTAGTTGGCCTTATCAGCAAGAAGCCCGAAGGGTTGGGTCCCCACGCCTGGGCCGCGTTTGCCCTTCTTCCCGTCTTCCTTCACTCTCCTGACTATGAGTTAGTTGCGCTGTGCAACTCTTCACTCGAGTCCGCTCGCCGTGCAATTGAAGCGTATGAGCTACCTTCATCTGTGAAAGCATACGGAAACCCCGAAGATCTTGCCAAAGATCCGGACGTTGATCTAGTCGTCATCAGCGTGGGAGTCGGCAAGCATTTCCAAATCGCCAAGCCTGCACTCCTCGAGGGGAAGAAAGTTTTTGTCGAATGGCCACTGGGAGCGTCGACAGAGGAAGCGGAAATACTCACGACCCTCGCTCGTGAGAAGAATATCAAGACGATTGTCGGAGTCCAGGCAAGAGCAGACCCTCTCATCCTCAAGGTTAGGGAAATTGTCCAGAGCGGAAAGCTTGGCAAAATCACTAGCTCCAATGTTCTTGGGTCTACAAGTGGCCTGCCATCTCATTTCTGGTTCAATGGAATGGACTACTATCTGGACATTAAATCCGGAGGCAATTTGTATCACATCTACTTTGGTCACTGTATGTTGACTGCCTACCAAGACCCCAAGATACCTATTTCGAGCAGCGAAGCTAACAATATGATTTTCCAGTCCTTGATTCCTTTACCTATGTTCTAGGCGATTTTGAGACACTCCAATCAGATCTCAAAACCGAAATCACCGAAATACCTGTGATGAAAGATGACGGAACTCTCACGGAGCCCCTGAAGAAAAATACCCCTGACCACGTCCTTGTCCAAGGAAGACTTAAGAGTGGCGCCATGGCTTCCATCGCCTACCGCTGGTGCTACCTCCAAGAGGCCGTGGGTGACGTGGGAATTCGGTGGATCGTCTCTGGGACAGAGGGTGAACTTGAGTTGACAACGGATCAAGGATCGTGGCAAATGAATTTCCCGAATCGGAAGCTCAAGTTGAGGCTCAGGGGAAAACCGGAAGAAGACGTCGATTTCTCGGTTGCGAATGCTGGATTTGTCCAGAACATGGAATACTTTGGGCAGAACAGCGGGCGGATCTTGGACGCCTTTGCCAACGGGGACCAAACTGTATATGCTGACTTTAGCTCTGCCACGCAGACCCACAAGCTTCTTGATGAGATCCTTAAGAAGTCTGCACATGAGCTTTAATGGCTTACTCACTCGGCTTCCCCTACTTTCAGGGATGGATCAAATGATCTGCGGAGCAAGGAGATATCAAAGGCCGAGAGTATCAAGCATGCTGGGTGTTGTAGGGACAAGCAAATTTTACTTTGCCTGTAATACTGATATCTTGCGTGAAATCTTTGTTCCTCCTTATGTTTGTAGTCATCGTTATAGAATTCAAATTTGATTCGACTGTACCAACACATAGCTTCCATGTCATGTGAACATTCTCTTAAAGCTACATTCATACGATTGATAAATGCTTGGATATGGAAGATTCCGCCGCAAAGTCATTCTCTGTTATTTTGACAGTATATTTGATCAGTAAAACACCTGCTGTGACGAGCAGTGTCGACAGCAAGATAAATGAGGACAAAATTTCCCTGTTGTTCAGGGGGACCTTCTGTTGCAGGGAGGGCATTGAAAACCCAAGTAATTACCAATAAAGAATACACTAGACCAGACCTTTCTCTCTCCACACAGCTTCACACCCCTCTAGTGCCCCGGGGTACCGATGCACGCCGGCAAGTGTGCAATTCTTCCAGTACCGGCGGAGAGTATTACAGTGTTGGGGAGTCGCCGCCTCCATGCCAGCCAAGTATGCTGGTAATGACATGAAGACGGTGTAAGGGTTTGAGTCTGAACTGGAATCAAGGACGAGACACAGTCGATCTACTGCCGAAACCAATGTCTGTTGCTTGAACGGCTCCGAATCTCTGTCTTTCAACCGCGTAATAGCCGCGATGGCAGCGGCACAACGATGGGTATCTGCACAGTGGCTATAATCGCTGTTGTCGAGACCGACTTTGGACAACTGGTTTATGACTTGCATGGTGGTACCCAGAGGATTTGATAGCGCACTGCCTTTGGTTATATCATGTAGAACTCTGTAGCAGTCGGCCGGGCATCCTACCATGCGAAAAAAGTCGTCGTCGAAAACATCATGATGCCAGTCATCTAAGATTAACGTCGAACCGTCCGTTTTGGTGAGCGTGCCACATAGATCGAACCATGCGAGCCTTGCAACAACATCAATCAGTCCAGGGATGGATTTCGAAAGTTTATTCAGGTCGTCCCGGCTCCGGCAGTGGTGGTCAAGGAGAGACTTGGCCCCGCGGATATGATGTTGCCACTGCCCGAATGGGCCATTGCAAACTTCAAACACAGCAAATGCTGCAATTCCAAGAATGGCAAATGGGTTAGCAGTTTGGAGTGCCTTGTTGAGGCAAACGAGAAGGGTCAACTGGTGGGCGGCCGCTTCGACGCTCTCAGGACAGTCGTTGTTAAGAAAGTCGTTGGCAGACGATAATGTTTGGACAAAGTCGCATACTGTGGTAACCAAGTCGATAGTCTCTGAAGATATGTGGTTTTGTCCACTCTCTCGTGTTTGCTGAGCCTCGGAGTTGATGCGGTTGCAGAAGGAGAAGAGATGCTGCAGAAAGCTTTTCTCCTTCAAACCGCTCGACAAAGCCTGCTCCGTGGCAGAACTCGGAGTAATGACTTCTTCATGCAGCCGTATTTTGGTCACGCTTTCCGGCCGATCCGTTTCTTCCTTTATCGATGAAGGTCCTGGGACGCGTCTTGTGCCTGGTTTGTTGTCGGAAACCCAGACGACCCGACGAGCGTAGCCACCGCATGATAAGCCCGCAAGTTTGCAAGGGAGACAACCCGGACGATTAAGGTCGCATTTGACATTCCTCGACTTGCAAGTGATACAGTCACGATCTCGACGTATACCACGGGGCTTACCGCGGGGCTTGATTGATGCAATGTGAGGAGCGTTGGGCATCGCTAGGGTTCCCCAAGCGGACCATTTCCCAGAAGAGAAGGGAATCAATCTTTCTGGGGCAAGGAATCAAATCCACAAAGAGGAGGGCGGGGATGGACTCTTATAACCCCACCCAGGCTGATAAGCTTGCCGTCTTTGCCCACTAGTTCTATTGCCATAGTTCCGGAACCAATCCCCGCTGATAAGACCGTTCAGGGATTGCTGTTTGTATGGGACTGTAAGCTCAGTTCTTAGCGGCGGACGACTCAGCGGTTGTCAGCTATCATTAGCAGAGAGTCAATGCACTGATTACGATCTCTCAAGGAATATTGATATACGACTCCGTAGCGCAACTGAAGCCTTGGGCTCCATCTCTCTGTGCGGAGAAACACTTCTCATCTTCATGGGTTAATCAAGATAAATACTACCCGTGTTTTTGATCATTGTTCGTAAGTTTATGTTTTTTTGATCCTTCACTTTTAACTCAAAACGGTTTTACCACCTTTGCGCGGTGCGTGCATAGCATACTACGGAAAGATGTCTGCTAGGGTTCGTGACTATCTTCACATTGACTTGACTGACTATCCCCTTGACAGATTTCATTGGCGCCAAACGCTATCTCGTGAGCTATTTTATCGGAATCACGGGCATCTACACGTCGGTTATGGTGATTGTTGCTGCCAAGAGCCTCGAGACTCCCTTGTTAATCACCGTGACATTTGCCACCTACTACTAAGTTAAATCGGTCTACATTTGCCAAATAGCCTTCTTCGCATGTACAATGATACCATGCGATTCCGCAAGCCCATGTTCCGTGATATCTTGCTTGCTGGTATGAATCTAAGTGCCAACTCCATTACTGCTTGGTGGAGGATTCTTTTAGCTTTGATGGTCCCATGGTTTGACGTGTATCACCTATTTCTTAAGCTCCGTTCGTGAATACTCCTTGCTGACTTTCCCTTCTGTAGCGAGGTATGTGGGCAAGATTGCCTGCTCCATCGGATTGGTCTCTTGGATTATTCCTCTCTCAATCAAACCATTCAGACATAACACCCACAAGATCATGGAGGCGGAGGAGGAGCCTATACGGACCAGCAACATTTTGGACCGCAAGGGAGATAAGGTCTAGATGGCTAGGGAGCGGTCAATCTGTTATTCAGTTGTAAAACCCAGTGATAATGGCATTTTGAAATGGTAACGAAGGCTGGTAATGTCTAACAATTGTAATGTCTAGCATTCAATTTGCAACACAATACTAATTTGAATCACACTGGGCACATGTGCTATCATTAAATACGTTCAGACGGATGGCTTCGTTTTCGGGTCTTAGCATGCCAAGTTTCACTATGCCCTTATTCAATCCATCTCTCACCATCTTACCTTGTCGACGAGCTGTTCCACGTTCAAGTTCCGCGTTATCAAAGTTCTGTTCCATTCTTGATTACTTACCTATCACGGCTAGTTCCTTTCTAGTCCTGTTCCCACTTTGAAATTGCTTTGATGCGCTGATTGGACTTAGAGATCATTTCAGTTAGGTTGGTTTCCACTTTGGGAAGGTTTTCAACCATGGTGATAGATAACTTGATGCTAACTAACTTAGATAACGATTATTGGTCCATCTTTACCGTCACAGGAACTGCAAAATGCAAGGATGGCGATAGCTCCTATCTCAATAGCGAGCTGAGTTTGGTTTATTAGTCGTTCCAAGGTTATCGAGGTCCAAGAGCAGAATGGAAACCCAACAATTCCTACGATCAAGCTCGAGGATGCTGCTCTTCAAACAGCGACGATGTTTCGATATGCCTATCATCCTTCTTCATTAATTTCCCACCAATTTCTTTAGGCCCTATTATATATCTGGTAGTAGGCTTTATACATCTCAACTAACGATTAATTATTCATTATAACCTACAAGCAATCCGCGACGATGTTAGAACTGGGAAACAACGAACGTCATACGTCTTCTCCGGCGACGCAAACCGAAGAGAATATCCTGCTTGACTCCAAAGACCCAGACCATCCTCGCAACTGGTCAACTGTTGCTAAGATGTCATTTTGCACTATTGTGTGTGCGGCCGTGTTTGGGGTTTCCTTCGCATCTAGTATTCTCGGTCCAGCTGCCTCCATCATTGCACACCAGTACCATGTATCCGAGATTATCATGCAACTAGGCGTCTCACTCTTTGTTGCTGGATTTGCTGCTGGCCCCCTTGTATGGGGTCCTTTTGCAGAAGCCTTTGGCAATAGAATAACGCTTATCATTGGGGTCATACTTTGCGGAATTTGGCAAATTCCATTAGGGGTGGCAAACAACGTCCCAACAATCCTTGTCTCTCGATTTCTCGCCGGTTCTTTCGGAAGTTCGATAACTACAGTTGGCTCTGGAATCTTGGCGGACCTTTACGACCCCATTCCCCGAGGGACAGTCCTGGCTTTCGCGGCAGTTTCTATCAACCTCGGAAGTTCTTTCGCTCCGATCGTAGCCAGCTATTTAACGATCAAACACAGCTGGAGATGGCTTGCCTGGATTCCCTTGATATATTTTGGCTGCCTAGCTCTGATTGTTCTACTATTCTTGCGAGAGTCGGATCCTTCCCGAATCTTGGCCGCTCGACGGAAAGGGGGCAGGCAGGATAGTAGCAGCGATGATGAAGAGCACTCAACCACCAACCCGAGATCCCCAGTCGGCCAATCACACGAGCTACTAGTCAAATACCTTAAGAAGCCTATACTGCTGTTCGTACAGGAGCCCATCCTCATAATTCTCACTATCTACATGGCGTTTGTGTATGGGCTGCTCTACCTCTCCTATCAACTATTCCCAATCGCATTCCGAACTCGTGGTTGGTCAACCCCGACAGCCACTCTACCCTTCATATCCGTGGCCGTTGGGCTATTCAGTTCTGTTGCTGTCATCGCCATCTTCATGAATACTTGGTACAAGCGAAAATGGCTGGAGAGCGGCCAAATTTCCACTCCCGAGGACTGTCTGCCACCGATGATTCTTGGCTCCATGGTTTTACCCCCGGCAATATTCTGGTTTGGCTGGACCCTTGATTCACATCCCATCTCACAACTTCTTGCGGCCGGGTTCATAGGTCTGGGTCTTCAGCTAGTGTTCACTGTGGGTGTGGTATACATTGTCAACGTCTACCGGGCCCATGTGGTGTCCGCATTTGCCATTCACATCACCGTTCGAAGTTTGGTAGCATCGACGTTTCCGATATGGACTCAATCCATGTATCTTGGGCTCGGATTCAGGAATATGACAAATGTTCTAGGCGCATTCGCGGCCCTGATGCTGCCATTTCCATTACTATTTTTCTTCTGCGGTCCTCGTATAAGGAGCTGGAGTCGGTATTCGGAAAGCTGAGAACCGGATACGGATTGGAGTACAACAAGTCAGCGTCTTTCAAGATACCATAAAAGGTTCAGTGAAGAGGAAGGGGGGGGATTTACTGACGCAAGATCATCGTTGAATTAGTTTTACCTGACGATTTGTTCTGCTTGGATGACTGTGGCAACCTCGTCTGGAAGGGATCGATAGCTCATGGATATCTGAAATCTATATAGATGTATTTATGCGATATTCGTTGCATTGAAACTTATTAACTACCACCGAGCATATATAGGAATATAGATGACCTTTTTTTAGCCTACTGGTTGTCTGGAGTTTACACATGTAGTGTTGAAAACATTGAGTATGCTTACTACAACTCTCTGAATGTACTAGTCTTCGTTTTCTATTTAGATCATCTTCTAGAGCCGACCCACTCGGTCCGTGAACCTCTTCCTCGGGTATGAAAGATTATCCCTTTCACCCTTTTGTTGATATGTAAACACCAGGATTTGACGATCAACTCCTCAGTACAGTCCCAATTTATATTCTAACAACATGACAGATCACCACATACGACCATACCTACCAGAGAAAACTGGATCCCGTCTGCTCTCCGTACGTCAAGCTGGTAAGGGGCCGATTAGTAGTTGGGTCGGTGACGACCAGCGAATACCGGCTGTTGTATGTTTCTTTTTGCCTTTTGCTGAGCAGTTGTCAATCAATTGCTTGTGTGAAGGCGTAGCTGAAGGAAGACTAGTAAAGGATGATTCACGATATCAAAAGGGAGTAGAAAATTGCCTTTCACTAATTCATGGGACACATCTGTCTAATCAAGTCTATGAAAGTCTTAATATCTTTGCTAGGGTATTCTCCACCATCCTTCATGCAGTTTTCTCAGATCCTGTGGCCCAGGCTGTAGATAATCCGTCATACTCTCACTCTGGTCTGTTTCTTTGCCTGTGAAGCCATTTCCAAAGAAGAAAGAGAATCGGTTCTCAGGAGTCTTGTACTCATATTCCCAGTCCTCCCATCTTGGATCCAGATACGCTATCGACTTATGTGCCGCACTTCCCGGCCAAACCCCGTGGACGCGCTCTCCTGGTCGGCCACCATTGTACCAGGAGCTACAATCCTCAGAGAGGACAGTCTTGCTGAAGAATGAATCTGCGTATTGCGCAAAATCATCAGTCGCTCTTGGGGATGGTGCGATAGCCTTGATCCCTTCTCGTGAGACTTTGCGAAGGATCCTCGCGAAGAGAGTAAGCTGGATCTCAACGCCGTGTGTCACGGTACCAGACCTAGCACCGCCATAAGGGCCCAGGGTGAAGAGAAGATTGGGGAACCCCGGTGTGGCAATTCCAAGATAGCTGTAAGGGAAGCCGTATGCTCCGTTTTTGTGCCACAGCTCACCCAGGTTATGGCCATACGCTCGGATAGGGAATTGCTGTACCATGTCCACGTTGGCACCTGTGGCGCAAAACACAGCATCAACTTCTCTATGACTCCCATCTTCAGTCTCGATGCCTGTTTCGGTGAAGCGCTTAATCTTGGTCTGAATATAGTCGACGTTTTCCGAATCAATGGCCTCAAAATATCCCGGGCCAGGCGTTAATCGGCGACAGTTGGGTGAGAATTCCGGGATGACATGTTCCAAAAGCTCTGGCTTATTCTTGAGTCGCTCTTTGGCAATCTTGATGAATTTCTCTCTGGTCTCTTGGACTTCCGCCGTTCCTTTATACCACCCCCCAAAGCGTCTCCAATACTTGCCTTCTAGTTCCTTACGAAACTCGAGATAGGCCTCAGGGTCCTTAAACTCCTTTTTTTTGCTCTCTGGGATCAATTTCGGAGTAATCGAGGTGTCGTCTCCAGCAAAAGATGCTGCAATCCATGTTTTGTTCCGCACGTAGTGATCAAGGCGAGCTACGCGAGATTGAATGTTGGCCACAAGTTGGATGCCGCTGGCTCCGTTGCCAATGACAGCCACTCTCTTGCCGGTAGGGTCGAACGTTTTATCCCAGTTGGAAGTGTGTCGGAGAATTCCTTTAAAGTCTTTGATCCCGGGGTAGTCTGGAAGCCTCCAAGCGTTGAAGCGTCCAATTGCCGTGATGACAAAGTCGAATGTTTGTGATTCTTTTTTCCCAGATTCCACGATGTCCAAGTTGACGGTCCACTGAGAAGTGTCCTCGTCCCAGGAAATCTCTTCGACTTTGTGTCCAAACTTGATGTAGTCGTAGACTCCGTATTTAGAAGCCACCTTCTCCCAGTATCTGTGCACACAAAGTGTCAGGCATTCTCGAGTAACAAATGTAAGGATACATCCCAAGTGCATACGTACTCTCGAATCTCAGCCCCTTGGGCAAATTCTTCCGACCAGTTCACATTTGGCTCATATGTCGATTGGTAAACATGCGCAGGGATGTCACAACGCACGCCTGGATAAACGTTTTCAAACCAAGTTCCTCCCTATAATCCCAACGTGAGCACAGTCCTTTTGCTATTTATTGTCTGTCACCAGGGGCAGATTACATACCACTCCAGCATTCTTCTCGAATATGACTAACTCAATATTGGGAACCTTTGCAGGGAGGATAACACCAGCTTGAACGCCTGCAAGCCCTGCTCCAATCACAGCTACCCGCAGACGAGGGGGCTGGTCAATTGATCTATCTATCAAATCATCCGTAACCCTTGGGAGTGGCTTGTTTGGGAGGGTCGTTGAGATGCCACCAGGGGCAGTTCCATTTGCATGCCGCGGTATGTCATCTTGGTTTAAGATATTCTCCTTAACTGTACCATTACCATGCTTGGTCCCATTCAAAATCTTCGGGTCGGGCTGAGCCTCAGGGATGACGTTGTTAGTGATGCCAGGCATGCTGATGAATGTGATGGGCCCAATAAACTTGTTGATTGCCCTCTCTAAACCCTCAAGCATTATTAGATAGAAGACCGTAAAGACATGAGACTTCCCATTTTCTATCCCATGCTGTTGCTCCCCACGATCACGAATATCTGGCTGCAAAGCACGTCATGTCCACTGCGGTAACGGAAGCACGCCACCACCTCTGCGAATCACTTATTACTACGCCCAACCTTCCGCGCCCTAGATATTAATAATACGTAGATAAGATTGTACCATCCGGGGAATCAAATCTGCATCGGAAGCACCCCGACAGTTACCAGAAACGCGCAATCCGGCTCCATGCCTCGTATCGTGGACGCCCAGACGGGGAATCATTAGCCGGTATCCTCCCCACAGTAACATGACTTTCTTTCAGGGGGTGCGATGGTTAGACAACGCTGAAAACCGCTAGCTGAATTGCGTCTTTAGTGGCCAATACGCGTCATTGGAGTCATTTGCTTGGCTGTTGAAGCGAAGAGGAGCCACTGAGCTAGTTGATTCATGCCAACCTATAGACACCTACAGAGGTCCTCTCCATCAACTCCGGCGTGTTCATTCTTTGAAAGTGTCTTCAACGAAGCACGACAAGATTGCGAGTTAAACTTCCTTTCTTTGGGCAAATCGAATCAATTCATGTCTAAGATAATACCAGTGATATTGGGGTTGACTGAGGCATTCAATTTCCCAAAAAAGGCTGCAAGTCTCCTGGAAATGATAGAATTTGATTATTCAGAAGATTTCTTATCTACTATTTACTCTTTTCCTCTTACTCCAGATTTTCCCTCATAGGTATAGCTCCTATGCTGTTCTCATGTAGTACAGGGAACGGGGAAAGACAACAGGGTAGCAACATGTTCCTCTCTATTTCTCTTTACGCGTCTCCTGCTTGATCCTAGACATACTGGTCACCAGTCTTAATTACTCGCACTACCCGGCTTCACCTGGGTCTCAGTCGTCGTGACCCCCTTCGCATTTTCCACGGACTCTTCAGGTCCGCTCTCAACTGTCGTGTCAGTTACGACAGCAGACGCTTTCGGGCTATTAAGAATCTAGTTAGAAAGAGGTCCTTAGGTTTCTTCTGGGATCGATGACTTACTCGACACGCTTCAAATAAAGATTCAAGGCATGAGCTGCGATAATGGTTGCGAGCGTCATGGCCAGCACAAATGCATATCCCTTCGGAAACCGAGGTGACTCGACAGTTGGGAACACCAGCAGTGGCGTCCATGCCGTGGAGGATTGTGAAATTGCATTGATCAAAACCAGCGTAAAAGAACGCTGGCCGGGCGAAGATCGAAGCTGGCTGTTGACCCATCCGTGGAACACGCTGGACATGGCGACGGAGGCATAGATGGTCGACCAAGCGAACCAGAGGGCCGGTTCGGGGACCTTCCATATGACAAGTATGATCAAGCCGAGGGCGTTCCAGCCGTGCGACATGGTGATCGCCCAGGCAGGACCCAGATACAGATCAGAAGCGAAGCAGGTAAACAGCGTGTAGAAAATACCGAGACTGGGCGCAATGACACCCAGCTCGTTCACCTTAGCAGCAGGGAAACGATTCAAGCTCTTGATCCACAGCAGGAACGCGCCGGAGGAAGTGTGCAGGCCAGAATTCCAGAAGAATACATCCACAAGGATGATGGCCCAGAACTGGTACTTAAAAACAATGTCCTTCAGACTTCTCCATTGGAACTTGCCGTGGGACTCGTGTCCACTGCGCTTCAACCTCCTTTCCCCAATGTCGATGTCGTTTTGGCTCAAAACCTTTCGATTTGGTTGGTCTGGGGTGCCGGGAATGACAAAGTAGCCAAGGATACCGACGGGGATGGTGATAATGGCACAGATGATATACATCCATCGCCATCCTGCCAGACCATGAACGCCGTCGAGACGTGCAGATGCTCCAGCTTGGATCAATCCAGCAGTCAAAGTACCGAGGGATAGGCCACAGTAGAAGAGACCACCTCGGCGAGCAATTTCAGTTCCCTTGTACCAGGATCCTTCGAAAGGAGGCAAGGTCAGTCAATTGATTCCAACAAAACTTTGAACTAGATTAAGAGCAGACGTACCGAAAAGATAGTGCATGATGGGGAAAAAGGCTGCCTCGAACCATCCAACCAGAAAGCGGTAGGCGGCCAGTTCGGCAAAGCCTGTCACCCTGAACTGGAGCAGGGTGAAAACGCCCCAAGCGACATCAAGAAATGGAAGAAGATAATGAATCGGGACATATGTGAGGAGGAAGAAGAAGGGGATCTGTCCAAGAACAGCGCCAAGGATATAAAACGTCTGAAGCTGAACGAGTTCATTGCCCTTGAACCCAAGGTCTTCCTTCAAACCAGCGACGTAGGCATTGTCTGTTGAGTCGTCAGCGCCGGAGTCTTCTGTCTCTCATTTCTTTAGTTGACTTACTCAAATTCGATTGGTCAATGTATTTGACCCAGTAGGCAATGATGGCGTATGGGACGATGAGGGCGTCGATCTTGATGAGGAACTTGCGCTCCTCCGGGGTATCAGTATCTGCGTACCACTTGAGGTGATACCACTTCTTTCTTTCTACACCATACATCTTGGGAGAAGGTTGACAAGAATCACGGTTTAAAGAATGTGCCGGGTGAAAGAGTCGCGGCAACGAGCAAGATCGGCAATCAATCATATATGAACGGACACTCGGTCTGACCCTGGTCTCGGCTTTTCTCAGACCTGATCGGTCAGGGCTGATACAACGTCTAAATTAGCTCATGATCGTGGGGCTGGCCAAGGCAGGCGAGGGTTCGCCCAGGAGCCGGGAGCTTGGGAGCTGGGATCTGAAGGATCTGACTCGACGGCGATCGTTCGTCATATCACGTTTTTTGAGCCAAGTTTGCTCTATGAGAGGGCAAAAGGGATCTAGAACGTGGTGCCACGAGGGAAAAAAGCTGATAGAAATTCAATAGATCAGCCAAATGAATGTCATCGACTTGCCTACGAGGAGAAACCGTCACGGCCGGGGTCTAGACCCAGCACACTCGATTACGTTTCCAGGAGGGTGCGCGGCTAACAGTCGTTGCTGCATCTAAGTTAATCCAACCACCTATGAAGCATGATCCCAGTACCTGAAGACGCACTTGGATGATCAAATTGTGCAATATGCTAGAAATGGCATGGGTAGGCCTGAGTGATTCCGTCATCTCAACCCCAAGTCACGTCTTCCCGACGCTAAAACACGGGATGGCTTCTTCCAGCCCCCTTCACCACCCTCTATTATCAAACTAACTGACTCAACGGGCATCGAGCAGGCATTTAGAACCTGGTACGAATGAACCTACGGCTTGCCACGGATCTCACTTTGCTGTAAACGTCCACGACCTAATTGTCTTCATCCTTGGTTACAGTCGACAGCATGACACCCCCATGCTCAACGCCCAACCCACCACTCTTCATGCATGTCACTTCTCCACCTCACGGCAACGGTCATGTCGCTTCGAGTTTTGGATGGCTGCCGAGATGCAGAAGATAACGCATATCCTTTACCACTACTCTATGCAACGTCCGACGCCATAACGACATCTGATCGCCCAATGACGCTACAACCCCACACCCTCAAGATCCCTTTCCGCGGCCGTTATCGCTGCCACCCCAAGCAATGGATCTGATTACTTGTAGTAGATTAAGGGCCTTGAGCCGGTCGAAGAATGTCGCCCATGTAAAAATCAGAGTCAACCGGGGCTGAGACACAAAACAGGAAATTAAAGACCTAGCCTCCTTTTAGTCTTTACAACCAGGGAAAATATCTATCAAAATGACTACCACATCAGATGCGGGCGTCAATGCCGGTACCAGTGGCGAAAATCGCCCGAAGAAACAAATTATCCTGAATGCTTTTGATATGTCCACTGTTGGCCATATGGCCCCTGGTCAATGGAAGGTATAGTCAACCTGGAAGACTCTTTCCTTGATTAGTTGAATGGCTCTGACGGGACAGACGATAGGATCCCGAGGATAGGTCCGCTTTCAAGCGAGACCTGACTTACTGGACAGACCTAGCCAAGATCCTGGACAAGGGTGGCATTAACGCATTGTTCCTGGCAGACACATATGGCGGATATGACACATACGAGGGCAGTTTGGACAATTGCATTCGCCGAGCGGCACAGTGGCCCATGACTGACCCTACGATTGTAAGTCCCTATATGGAGATTTCACTCGAGGCCCCTTGCTAACAATGAGCATGAAGCCCATCAGTGCCATGGCCGCTGTGACCAAGAATTTATCTTTTGCTATCACAGCTTCAACATCTTTTGAGCCCCCCTTCCTACTAGCTAAGAGATTATCAACCCTCGATCACTTCACAAGGGGTCGTGTAGGTTGGAACATTGTCACATCCTGGAAAAAGGCCGCTTTCAAGGCCATTGGGCTGGACAACCCAATCGAGCACGATGAGCGATACGCTCAGGCAGATGAATATCTTCGTGTGCTATACAAGTAAGTATGCTCTTTAGGGATTCTTCTTGTGTTTTCTTTTGGGCTTTGATTAATGGATTTACCCAATACAGGCTCTGGGAAGGTTCTTGGGCAGATGACGCCATCATCGCCAACCGTGAGACTGATGAATATGCCGATCCGGATAAGATCCGTACTATCCGCCATCATGGAAAGTACTACAACGTCGACAGCCGACATATCGTAGATCCCTCTCCACAAAGAACGCCTTTCCTCTTCCAGGCCGGCACATCTTCCGCAGGGTCAGCCTTTGGAGCCACTCATGCAGAGGGTATCTTTGTCTCTTCCCATTCTCCATCCGTCCTCAGGCCCAAGATCCAAGCCATCCGGAAGCAGGCAGCGGAACTCGGCCGAGACCCTCAGTCACTAAAATTCTTTGCTACCTTCACACCCATCATCGGGCGTACTGAAGAGGAGGCCCAGGAGAAGTTCGCGCGAGCGCAGAAGCATGCTTCGACGATAGGAGGGCTCGTCCTCGTAAGTGGCTGGACGGGTATCGACCTTTCCAAGATCCCGCTGGACCAAGAACTCAGCGCGTCCGACTCATTGGAGGCACACAAAGTACGCAGTGTTCTTGACTCCTTCACCACAACCAGCAAGGAAATTCCAAAGTGGACACCGAGAGTCATTGCGGAAAAGGCATCCATTGGAGGTCTTGCCTCTGTGTCTGTGGGAACCGCCGCAACTGTGGCGGATGAGATGGAACGGTGGATCAATGAGGGTGATCTCGATGGATTCAACGTGGCATATGTCACTACTCCCGGCACGTTTGAGGATGTGGTAGAGCTGCTTGTTCCTGAACTGAGGCGTCGTGGTCTATACCCCAAGGCGCGATCTGAGGAAGAATCCGGTCTCACTCTGAGGGAGAGCGTGTATGGGAAAGGACAAGCAGGCTTGCGAAGCGATCATCCTGGCTCGCAATACAAGTACGATGTGTACAAAGAAGAGTGATTGCCATACGATGCTGAAGACAGAAGCAAATAAAATATTTAATACTGAACCTGAACATTTACTTGTTGGCCGGTCTCTCTTAGCCTTCCAAATGCTGCATTAGAAGAGAAAGAACTTATGACTAACATCAAGCCACATCAGTACTTTATTTCCTTGGGGGAAAATGCAGCTAGTTTAATACATGTTTTACACGTTCACAGCGAATTAGATGCAATAATGCTGTTGTGCCCTGACGAGCTGGGATCTTTGACAAAAGTATATGTTAACAACGCGAGCGCCGCTGACTCACTCTTCAAAATTTAGGCTCTGGTCACTGCAATATTCATCAATTCCCTTTAAATCAATCATAACATAGGTAAGGTAAGTTATCGAGGTTAGATTTCCGACCTCCATCATGTTAGTTACCCTGTAGTTGATTCCAAGTTTAATCGAGATTTGATACTGACAAGTCGAGAAGAACAGGTTTCAAGAATTTAACCATAAAACACATAATCCAATTGCCTGGGAACAAAACAAAGTAGGTTCCATGGCCAAAACAAAGAACATGTCTACCGGTTGACGTGGAATGATAAGACGTTAAGGTTGTTAAACATGTTCGGGTTGCCCAGCAAAATGGGGCACTTTGGTTTACGGATCAACAGCCCCGAAATATCCCCGAGCAGAGTGACTCACAGCCCCACAACGGCTAAAAAAATTTCAACCCTCATAAGACAGCATAATCAACGCCTGAGACCCAAACGACAACAAAAACGACAAAAGGAAAGGGTCTGGCCGGGGATTGAACCCGGGACCTCGCGCAAGATAGCTGTAGGGTTTACCCTAAGCGCGAATCATACCACTAGACCACCAGACCGGTCGATCATCAGATCGGATGAACTGATCGTGAGACCAATTCGATGGAAGGCGAGCTATTATTCTGGATTATATGCCATTGAGACCTAAGATTCATACCATAGGCTACTAGACAGACCTGATGAACAACCATCGCAATGTGCTTGCTGGTCCTGGTCTTGAACTGTACAACAGCCCCTCTGAGTCATGCCCCGGACCGCAAGCTCTGTAGACTCGGGATCGCTGCTCAGCCATCACTCTTCTTGTATACTTGACTAGGCATGCCGGGTGATCCGTATGGTGAGGACTACTTAGGCTCCCAAGTTGAATTTGTCACTCGATATGACCGTGTCCGATCCTTGGTGGCGAGGCGTCTTAAGCCAGGAACTATATATATATATTGATACCTCGATTGTAGGCTGAATGTACATTTCACTGCCTTTTCTGCTGTACAGAAGTGACTCCCAGTATGTAAGGGTGTATGGAGGTAATTAACTAGCCGGGCGCGCTGGTTCGGGAGCAAAATACTTAGTTAGGAGGCAACACCGTGGGAGCCCAAAGCATGGGCACGAGTTGCTTGTCTACAGATAGTAGCACTTGAATCGCAAAAAGACAACTTGATCTTTAGCTATGGGGGAACTATATTGTGCCCCTGGCGCTGGGGGACTACATTACGCCAGATTCGCCCTGACAAGGCCCGGAGAGTCTCTGACTACCTGATCAATGGCCGTCGCCACCTTGCTTAGATTTGACTCGTTCAATCCAGAGACGTTGATTCGGCCGTTCGGAGGTAGGTAGATATGGTACTTGTCAATGAGCTTCTTACACTGTGCGGGCGTGAGCGTTAAGTATCTATAAAGCCTCGTTAGCACGACGTTCGGTCTGAGCACCTTGAAGACAGACGCACGAAAAGAGTCCTGTTTCCCTCGTAATGTGGCTCCAGTCTCCTGGTGTCTAATCACAATTGGTTAGTTACGGGAACTGTTTTGGGAGACCGGATCTGATCCTTGCCTGAAGTTGATGAGCGAGCATGAAATACAACTCTTGTCGCAGTGTCTTGATTCTTTGTTGCATGGCCCCAAGCTCCTCTTGCCTGCAAAAGTCTCAGCGTCAGTTGGATACCATACTGTTGTTTTGGATCCTCATGAACATACCATTGCGCCCTGAGAGCATCCGATCCTAGGGTAATGTTTACAAGCCGACTGCCAAACGCCGGCGCAGACGAGAACTCCCAGCGGATAAGACAGCGAAGCCGATCGCGCACATTTGCAGCCTGCCGAGCATCGCCACAGACCGCGTGAAGCGCACCGCACCTCTCGCCGTACAGGGCAAAGTTCTTGGAGAAGGACTGGCACACCAACATGTCAAAGCCCATGCGGGCAAACGCCCTCACACTGTACACATCCTCCTCCAACCCATTGCCCAACCCTTGGTATGCGACGTCGAACAGGGGGAGGTGGCCGCGCTGCTTAAGGCACAGGGCAAGCTCGTCCCATTGCGCAGGAGTCGGATCTGCACCGGTTGGGTTGTGACAGCAGCCTTGAAGGACGAAGACGCTGCCCGAGGGGGCATCGCGTGCTGCCCGCAGGATAGCTGCGAAGTCGATGGATCGGTTGACGCTGTCATAGTACGTGTACTCGACCACGTCAAGGCCGACGAGCTTCATCAGAGGCTTGTAGTTTCCCCATGCTGGAACGCCAACGTATACGGTCGGTGGGTTCGTCGTCGGGTTTAGTTGCGTCAGTAGAGACGCCGCGAGATGGACAGCGCCTGTCCCCGAGATGGTCTGAACCGAGGCGATGTGGTTGGTCGACAGACGCGGGCAGTCTTGTCCGAACATAAGCTCTGCCGCGTTTCGTAGGAATAGCTCATTGCCTGTGGTGACCTCATACTAGAATTGTGAGCCACTTTAGTAGACGTCCACGCAGGACGCATCGAGATGACTTACATCGTGGCCAGGGTCATTCTGCGCCAGAATCTTCTTGGCCTGCGAAGAACACCGAATTCAGCTCCTGTCCGACTGCGTAAAGCTTGCAGACATCTCACCTCCTTGACCACATGAAGCTCTTGGTACTGGCCAGCGTTGTTGCGATAGATACCAACGCCTAGGTCTACCTTGGCCTCGGATGTGTCATTGTCAGCCCGCACCTTGAGGTCGTACATGACGTCCGGGGGACCAGGCAGTATTGATTCGAACATGGCGCCTCTGTCAACCTGTCAGATTTGCGTAACTTGTGACTGTCAAATCAGATCTTGGTCTCTGTCTGTGCTGGCTCTATTGATGCTACGGCTTAGTCCCCAATTGGATGATAGACGATTTGGCTGTGGTGAAACAACGCGGCCAAGACCGTATCTCCAAAGCGCCCTTCTAACTTGATTTTATTCATTTACATGAGTTGGAGCGACATTCCGGGCTTTCGCAAGCTACCTCGCGGCAATCCCTGCCCCGGTGATCAACTTATCTGTGCTCGGTGGGCGATCGCGAGGCTCGGGAACAGGGGCGGTGCCAAGCGGGTTGCCCTTTCGGCTTCGCTCACCGCTGTCGTCGCTTCACATGAGACATATACTTCACGTGGGATGACCGGTAATTACGCACTATCTCTTGATGACCCGTAAGCAAAGGCCCGAGCTGAACTTAGTTCCCTCTCAACCAATTTTCGATTTCATATCGCAGTTCAGTAGTCCGCACCGAGGTGGGCTCGGTCGGTGGGGCCGTATTGCGGTCTCGTGCCATATCATCATCCCTCATGAGTCGTGACCCGGATCCATGTAGCAGTGGAGAGAAGCCAAGGGCACTCAGCGAGTGATACACATGTATTGTCAAAAGATCACGGACACTATGCAGCATATTTATTAGTGCTATAGCTTGTGTGAGTAATATATAGATATACGTGTTGACAGTCACCTCAGAGTCAAGATATCACAATCATATAAACTTCAAATCCTCATCTCAACCTATAGACGTGTCAAGAGACTAGCATAAATAGATCACTTATTGCTCAAGAAGGGTTCAGCATCGACGATTTACCCCGATCTCGCTCTCGTGAGAAGATGACCAACTATATTCGTGGAGATATCTAGCGATTCCTCTACTTGAGGACACATAAAGTTTAATTACATCAACGATACCTCTCTCAGGTCCCCTTGGCTACCTTGAGCTCGGATTTATACCAATTTTGCATGGCTCTAACGTCGTAGCTCAATGCTACGGTATCAAAGGTCTGTAGATGCTGCTTGGTCAAGGCGCCTGTGTTTGAGAGGCGTGCTACCCATTTCCCATGCTTTCTAGCGGCAGCGACAATCTTGTCAATAGCCTCAACAAACTCCGGTTCATCCCCTTTTGCGGGGACGTAGCCAAGAAGAGATAATGCAAGGTCATTGGGCCCGATAAACAGCATGTCTATGTCACAAGGTTAGCAACGCCCCAAGGAAGATAGTTGATTACTCACCAACACCCTCTACTGCGCTGATAGCATCTACATTCTCGACACCTTGTCTTGATTCGACCTGTATGCAAGTGATCAACGTCTCATTTGCAGACCGCATATACTCTGGGGTATCGATGTCGAGCGCAATGGCAGGAAAAGCTGATCCCTGACCGCGAAAGCCCTGCGGCGGGAATTTTGCGTTGGCAACCACAGCCCGAGCCTCCTCAGGTGTGTTAATCATAGGCACAACAATGCCGCTAGACATTGATGAGTCAAAGAAGCAAGTCAGGCTGAATTACTACTCACTGTGCGCCAGCATCTAGCGCTCTCTTGATCAGGTCGGCATGGGTCATCCTGATTCGAACAAGCGGTGACACCCCCATGGATGCAATGGCAGAAACTGACCCGTGCATAGAATCATCGCTAATATGGCCATGCTCACAGTCGATTATTATGCCCTGTCGGTTTCAGCAGTTGTCCCTCTGGGTTGGTGGAGGGGGCACGAACATCAAGCCCAGTCTGTGCTACTATTTGCGCTGTACGGATCGACGGAAGTCCCAAGAAGGTCATTACAGGCTTTGAACCCTTCCGTAACGCATTTAGTAGTCGTAGGCGTGGGTTTACTACCTTGGTGGTAAGGGGTGTCGCGAAAGACATTTTGTGTTTAGGATAGTCTTTTGCTTAGAAAAAGTGCTTTAGTAGGTAGGTAGATAGCAAAAGTGTCGCTCAATGCAGGTATTGTAATAACTTGGGTGTACGTACTAACGAAGATCTTGAAAATTCAGATAGGAACGTTTACAAAACGAGGCAGACAGAGCTGGTTGGTTTGCAGCTCTTTGAGTGCTCGGCCACGAGCACCGAGATTAGTCTATGCCAGGGGCCGAGATTGAGCGGTCTACTCACTTTTGTACCCTCATATACTTGCGGTAAAGCACGCCGAAGAGGGTCATCGGGTGAGGACGACTTTGCACCCCCGTTGTCGGTGATTGAGTGCGAATAAGAAGACGCCGTTTCTATATGGCTCGGTCGGCCAGCCCGTCGGCTAAGAATTGGAGCTGGAATTGCAAGACTAGAAATTGAGGTTTGACTTACATACAACTTTTACTAATTAAACGAATAGCTTCTGGTATCCTCACCTGCCACCATTAGCTCTTCTTTCAAGTTTCGTTTCTTACAGCCTCCTCAGGCATCACCTCAAGATGGGTATCGGCGCAATCATCATCGTGGGCGCTGGTGTTGTTGCGCTTTCCACCGCGTACGATTTGCTCGCTCAACACCCTGCCACACGCGTCTTGATCATCGCCGCCGAACTGCCCACCGACCCGGCGAGCTCATGGACGGCCGACTACGCCTCCATGTGGGCGGGCGCGCACTACCGCCCCATTGCTCCTTCGACGCCGCAACTTCGAGCTGAATTCGCCCTGGCTCAGAACACGCACCGGATGATGAAGCGCATTGCGAGAGATAAGCCGGAGTCGGGATGCGGGTTCATGGGAGCCGTGGAGTACATGGAGAACCCAGGCGAGAGGGAACTACAGCTGAAGAGCCGGGACATCTTTGCGGGTGAGGGCGATGGCTTCCGAGTCCTCAGCCCCGAGGAGCTGCCCGACAAAGTGAAGTGGGGATGCGAGTACGACGCATATTGCATCGACACACAGAAGTACTGCCAGTGGCTTCTGCATCAGATACAGAAAACGGGACAAGTTCGTGTTCTACGGCGGCAGTTGAGTCAGGTTCTAGATGCATTTGAGGCGGCAGAGGCCGTCAATTTTCCAAAGGCCAAGATAGTGGTCAACTGCTCCGGTAGAGGCTTTGGAGATCCAAAGAGTAAGATTGTCAGGGGTCAGACGGTACTGGTAAAACAACAATACCACAAATCAGTCACAAGGCAATGCGCGGATGGATCGTGGACGTTCCTGATACCCAGACCAAATATGGGAGGGACTATTGTAGGTGGGACAAAGGAGGAGGACGATTGGCGGAGCGAGCCACGTGAAAGCACTAGAAAAGCCGTACTGCAAAAGGCCGTGGAATGTTTCCCTTACTTTGTTGACGATGTCAGTCAGTTCGAAGTGATTCGAGACAATGTTGGTAGACGGCCGTTCAGAGACGGAGGATTGCGAATGGAGCTGGAGGAGCTGGATGGTGACAGGCGCATCGTTCATGGCTACGGAGCTGGAAGTCGCGGGTATGAGCTTAGTTGGGGGATCGCTGGCAAGTTGGTGAAGTTGTTAGAGCAAGCGACGGTTTCTCGGGCTTCTCTTTAATTGTAAAGATGACGCTGTCCTTTTCCATAATCAGGGTCACATAGGCTCGACTTAGCTGAAACAAGATGAAGATTGGTTCCTGCCTACGGTCGTTCCATCGCTGCTCGTTTATCGAAATCCCTAACAGTACATGAATGATACTCCTAATTTCCAGGGGTTTTATATATCCATGTACTACTCAGCAGCCCAGCTAGCTAATTCCTATTTTCGAACCAAGTACTATGTAATGCTTTACAGGCGCGAAGACTCAGAAGCACTTGGAACAGCAGCTACCAGCTCGAGCTCCACGTCGGTGGACAGGGGCAGCTCCTTGACGCACACACAAGTACGGGCCTGGGAAGATGGGATTGTTTAGAGTCGATATGCGCACAGCAGGACGGGGAAGAGGGAGCAGGGAGACATACGGGACGGGGAGTGCCAGTGAATGAAGCCTCGTATAATTTGTTAAACTCTGGAAATACTGCCATGTCCGTCAAGTAGATGTTCACTTTGATGACATCCTGGAGACTGGAGCCAGCCTCTTTGAGAATGGCCTCTAGGTTGCGAATAGCTTGAGCCTACATGTTCAGACCGATTAGTAACTCATCCGACCATGCCTGTGTCAAAGAGGAGACTACGACGAACGAACGAACGAACGAATCAACATTAAATAAAGGGGACTGAAAGAGGTTTCCAGTTTAGATAAAGCAAACGACTGAGTGGAAAGCACATACCGCGCGAGCTGTCGTGGGGCCTTCCACAAGCTTGGATGATACCGGATCAACACCTATGGCGCCAGAACAGAAAATCAAGCCGTTGCATACAATGGCTTGCGAGTTTGAGGGCCGGGGGGCAGGGGCCCGGTCTGTTCGTATCTCAGTTCTGTTCGACATGTCTGTTGGAGGGGCAAAAAGTGTCTGTTTTTGGCAATTTCTGTGAATAAATGACACGACTCAGTGACATGCCGAATTGGAGGACTATCTACTACTTATCTCATGTGGCTCTCCGGCTGAGCGACAATTGCCTATGACGAACTCACCGAGAACGGAGAAAGAGGCCCGAAAAGGTAGCTTTCCCCGTGCTAGAGGCCGTTATCTAAGTATCTTGAGGTAGCCGCTACGCCTTGCCAGGTTCGAGTCAGAGGCTCGGTGTCGACCCCCGAGGTGGAGCAATATTTCCCCCTTGAAGTCCTAACGAGGTGTTCATTGGTGCATGGGAAGATGGGAAGAACCTGGGGCCCCAGAGTCTAGAAAATAGCAAAAGGTATTTAGGGATACTTAGATTCTGCAAAGACCCTGCTCGGCAAGCACTTCAACTCTCCCTTGCTGCTTCCATTCTACCCCCCTTGTTGCACTTTTGACGAGTTATCTGACATCGTTCAGCGTCGCCTTGGAACCTCTCCAGGGGTGCCTGCTGTCGAAACCCTTTGCCTTTTGATCCGTCCACGTCTTCCTAAGCTTCCCCAAACAACTCTACCAGCCGCTAGGAACGAATACACGCAATGGCGGAGAAGACACCCTCGATGCTCGCCTCGGAGGCGGACTTGGGCGAGGTTAGGTCTCAGCATGACGGTACTGTTGCCGAAGGCGGCCTCCAGAAGAGCTTGAAGGATCGCCACCTGAGCATGATTGCTCTTGGAGGCGCCTTGGGCACAGGACTGCTTGTAGGAACGTACGTACAACGGAGAGAACCTTCCTTTCCTGTGCTTTTTAACTAAAGTGACTTTTCAGAGGTTCGGCTCTTGCCAAGACTGGTCCCGCTGGTATCTTCATTGATTTCAGCGTCATTGGTCTTACCGTGTTCTGCGTCATGGCCGCCCTTGGCGAGATGCTCTCCTTTGCTCCCATGGCTCGTAAGTTCTCTCGCCCCATCTCTAATCCCCTTCTACTCAGTGGAAGACGAGAACTGATTATAGTCTAATCTAGGTGGCTTCGGCGGCTACGCAACACGTTTCGTTGACCCTGCTCTGGGCTTTGCTACCGGTTACGCCTATCTTTTCAAATACCTCTTAGCCACACCGAATCAAATGGCTGCTACAGCTCTGATTATGGAGGTAAGTGATGGCCGCGAAACACAGTCCTCTACGCCGGCATTTCCCCGCCTTCCTTTACGCCCACAAGCTCTCATCTAATAGCCTCACATTGCAGTTCTGGACTCAAGACCGAATAAACCCAGCCGTATGGATCAGCATCGTTCTGGTACTCATCATCATCGTCAATTTCTGCGGCGTCAAAGTATTTGGAGAGATGGAGTTTTGGGTATCTTCGTTGAAGGTCATCATCCTTACGGGCGTCATACTCATCATGCTTATTCTAGCTTGTGGAGGTGGTCCTACGTAAGTACTCTATCGATTCATCGTGCTTACCAAGGGGCACCTACCTGACTCGTTACTTGATAGGCATGATGTAAAGGGATTCAAGTACTGGAGTGACCCCGGGGCTTTCGCAGAGTACAAGGTCAAAGGTGACGTAGGAAAGTTCACTGGTGTTTGGAGCACCATGATTCAAGCGTACGTCGTCACAAGAATCTCAAACTCATGCATAAACCTCCTATAACCCACCTTTTGGCTGACATTTACGTTAAACTAGGGTCTATGCATTTGGTGGCACCGAACTCGTTGGTGTGACTGTGGCAGAGGCAAAGAACCCTCGCATTGCAATGCCCAAGGCCGTCAAGATGACCTTCTTCCGGATCGCCTTTTTCTACATCGTCTCAGTCTTTCTCCTCGGCATGGTCGTTCCCTACAACAGTCCGGAGCTGGCATTCGCCCTTACAGCCAAAACCTCGGCGGCAGCCTCGCCGTTCGTTGTGGCTATCACAAACGCTAAAATCAAGGGACTTGACCATGTCATCAACGCGTCCCTCCTCATCTTTGTCGTCTCATCTGCAGTATCCGGTATGTGAAAAGCTGGCCTGTACGGACCAACTTGTAGAGTAGGGGGACTAACAAAGTGATTTATAGATTTGTATATTTCGACGAGAACACTCTACGGTATCGCGTGCGACGGCAAGGCTCCCAAGATCCTGACACGCACAACGAAGCTTGGCGTGCCGTATGTCGCCATGATTATCCCGCTTGCCTTCACCTGTCTCTCCTACATGAGTGTTCAGGCCGGAGCCAAGCAAGTCTTCAATTACCTGACCAACATGGTCGCAATTTTTGGTGAGTCTTTCCCCCTGTCTCGTACCAGGGGATGCTTGAGCTAAACTGATGATAGGCATGCTCACTTGGATCGGTATCCTCGTCTCTCACGTAGGGTTCATCAAAGCGACCAAGGCACAACAAATCCCGGACGACCGATTCCCATACCGCTCCCCCTTCGGCCTCGTTGGATCTTACATCGCCCTGGCTTTCCTGTCGATCCTCATTCTGACCAAGAGCTTTGATGTCTTCGTGGGTGGCTTCGATTACAAGGGCTTCATCGTAGGCTACATCGGCCTCCCCGTGTACCTAACACTCCTCTTTGGCTATAAATTCTGGCGCGGAACTAAGAGGGTGACGAATTCCGAGGCGGATCTAGTCACTGGCGTGCCAACTATCTCTTTCGCTGAGGAGAGGGCCCTTCACGAGGCCGAGGAGCGTGAAAGGGCCAAGGACCAAACAGGAGTGGCACGTGTTATTGGTCAGGTCTATCGACGCACTCTTGCGTGGCTTTTCTAGTGCTGGGGCGGTATACCAACATTCGGTTTGTAGGCAGTGGAGGTCGTCGCAACGGAATGCACTTGTTATTATATGTAGCTACAGAGGAATTAGCCGACCTGTGTTTTCAAACACTCCTGCACACCTCATCAATATGTCGCCGTTGGAATGAATCTCTAGCTTGAAGATCAAGAAGTGTAGCGATTGGCATCCGCGGATACTGTCATGGCGGAGGCTTATCCTTTGAGACTCGTGAGAATGGCGCTGGAAGCTTCTCATGGACACCACTTGTCGAGCACTTATGCCCTGGGCAGAGCATGCAAGCGCAAAGGGGAAGATGCAAGACACCGAATAAATTATGCTGCGGACTGGCTGAATCAATCACCAGGTCATGCGCCAAGCCGATAGTGCCACAGGCTGACACACTGCATTTACACAAAAGAAAGCAGCCGTTACGGAACCTACGATGAGCCTGTCCTTCAAAAACTTACCATGCCATCCACATGCTTCGCCTGTCGACTGCTTGCTGACTCCCTGCATCTATATGAAGAGTCTTTAGCCAGGAACATCCCATCTTGGGAACCACGGGACTTCTTTCTCGGCTCTCCCGCCGATATTCAGTCGCGGAGCACTGCCACTGGGTGCCCCTCGTGCCAATCCATCCTCCTCTCAACAGATCACTCGCCCAGCAGTATCCTCACTGCGCACTTCTCCGCCGAACAACCTCGAGTGTCGATAGTTGCGGGTGAGCCAGATGACAAAGGAACGGCTGAGACCCTCGCGTCCCGGAGGGAGGTTTCGAACACGGGCAGTGTCAGCGAAGAGGTCAATATCAGCTATTTCCTGACCACCAGGAGCGTGACACCGCAGGAACCGTGCGCAAGAATCGTCAGTCCCTCCCATGTGGACACGAAGCTCATCAAATCATGGATCGCTCACTGCGACGTTTCTCACAAACACATCTGCCACCGCCTCTATGACACCTACCTCCTGCCCAAAGCGCCCCTGAGTTTCATCGACGTCCACGACCTGTGTATCGTCTCACCTCCCCCCGTCGGTAAAGATGATCCGCCGCACAGATACATAGCACTGAGTTACGTCTGGGGCACTGCCCAGGTTCAACTCGCGCTTAAGGAGAATGTAGCAGAGCTCCATAAGCCAGGCGCGTTTGGCGAGGGAGGGGCGTTTACCCTACCGCGGACTGTGCGAAATGCAATAGAAGTGACCGCCGAGCTGGGCGTGCCGTACTTGTGGGTGGACAGCGTGTGCATCGTGCAGGATGACGCGGAGACCCAGAAAGAGCAGCTCCAAGGGATGGGTGCCGTGTATGCGAATGCGTATCTCACACTTGTTGCCGCATCTGGGGAAGACGCCAATGCAGGTATTCCTCGTGTAGGATTATCACCAGTCCCGGAAGATGAGCAGGAGCCGATTCAGCGTGTGATAACACTCCCAGACAATCCTCTGATCAGGACACAGGGTCGGGAATCCTTGAACCGAAAGGCCCTGAATTCTTCTAGCCTCAAATGGAACACACGAGGGTGGACTCTCCAAGAGAAGGTGTTTTCTCGGCGCCTGCTCGGGCTGGGCCACATGGCGACTTGGACTTGTTTCGGCGATGAATGGGCTGAGGATATAAGCTTGCCGAGCGAGAGGTCTCAGGACCCGGCTCCCGCTTCTCGTAATGATAAGAACAAGAAGATGGGCATAGTGACGTGGCACAGTATTGGCGAGTATAGCAGCCTGGCGACCGAATATGCGAGACGAGACCTGACATGGTCTACTGATGCTATCAACGCGTTCTTGGGAGTCATGACGCCCATGGCTGCGTGGTTCCCCGGCGGTCTCTTACATGGCATTGCAGAGTATACATTCGATATCGGCATGCTGTGGGATGTGGGCCCTGCTGGTACACATCTGAGGAGAGACCCGGGTTCTGTGCGTCCCCTACATGCCACTAATTTTAAGCATCCTTCTTGGTCGTGGGTGTCGTGGCAGGGAGATCTGAGCTTTGATATGTGGAAGGCTGCCGAGGACTACAGCTTCCCTCGAGGACCGCTAATAGTACATCCCTTGGCCACATGGCACAAACAGCTTTTGACCGGGGAATGGGTTAAAATCGACAACACATACCACGTTGTGCGAAAGCACTTCGAGCGCGAGGGCACCAGCATCCCGGAGGATTGGACACGGCACACAGAGGACCAGGACGGCAAGACATACTATCAAAACAAAAGCCATGAGCATATAGTCCCCCATCCAGCCTTCAACTACCCGATCCCGCCTCACGTACGATATCGTGACATCGATCAACGACCTTTTCACCCTCATATTCGCTTTCAGGGGATGCTCGCACACCTTCTAGTCGACGTGACGGAAGAAGACCAAGAATTCCTTCGCAGCAAGCTTTATGAGTCAGACGCAACATTAGAGACGGATCTCATATCCCCGGATGGGTTTTGGTGCGGCCACATAACTCTTCCTTTCGAGAAGGGAGAACACGTGCCATCCACACATGAAGTCGAGGTGATTGCCATGTCCGAGGGTGTGATGGACCTCAAGGCACCATCTCGTATTCCACATATGTTTCACAATATTAGGGAAAGGCCGGAGTTTGAAGATTCAGACGTATATGAGGTTGTTAATGTGCTTTATATTGGACGCTGTGTAAATGGAATGGTCTATCGCCGAGCACTGGGCGGAATCTGGAAACAGGCATGGGATGAGCTGGTGACGGAAGATGTTGAGCTTTTGTTGACATGAGGGTTCAAGAGATGATGTTTGACTGGTAGTATAAATTTCAATAGGTTCCGCAGTATGGCCTTCTCGTCTCAGGTCTCCATAGAAAAGACGAACGTCCCTCCGAAGAGTGTCTTGTTCGACATCAGCCTAGGTAGTTATGAAATAGTACAGAAGTTCCTCTATCTTATTCCACATTTTCTCGGAGCCGGTCGACTCTATCTAGAATTTCCTCACATCTTCTCCAAATCCTTTGGCGGTTTTTCAATCCCTTCAGCTCGTCATTGGACATCTGCTTCGATATCCATCTGAAGACCGAACCCCAGTTTATCACATCTGTGTCAGATATCACAACTTGCTTGCCAGGAGGCTTAACCGATTCCCGCAAATCTCGCGCTGTCGGCCCTACCCACACAGAGTATTCCCGCTTGGACCAAGCCTCCCAAAGCCATGGCCACTCTAGAATGAGCCGACGTCTTAACTCATTATGAGAAGAGCGGTTCGAAAGGGGAGATGCTAGGAGAAAGTTGGATATTTCTTCCAGACTCAGATGATTGAATATCAGGCTGACAACTTCCGACGGCAGACTGGAGAAGACGTCCTCATGTCCGGCAGGACTGGCAGCTTGAGGAGCCATAGTCACGAAAGCTTTATCCAGGTCTGGCACAAGGCAAGGATTTGCGGCGAGGTATTCCGATCCTTGATTATGCCGCCACCACTGAGAACTACCTTCTCTCACATCCTCATCCTCGATCGGAACGGGTGACTCTTCATCACTGTTCATCTCCCACCACTGTATGAATGCCCCTACGTCGACACGGTCATATCGGCGGAGGGTGGCTCGTTTGAATGTTTCAAGGCAGGCGGGATGGAATGGAATGGAATAGAAGTCAGCGTGATAGCAATCCTCCACTATATCCCGATAGCGAGTGATAGGGAATACATTGCCGCAGCCGTGCCTTTTTGGATAGTTTGACTCATAGTACAGACTGTCGATGTTTGTTACAGAGTCAACCAAGCCGCTGAGGAAGTATCGTCCTGATTTCTCAAAGTCCTCGTCCCCATCCTCGGGCTCCCAGTTGGGAGATTTCGCAATGAGCCCCTGCATCGTAGAACAGGTTCTCATCTCTTCAACAGAGATCTTGCTCCCGTGATACCCGTCTCCGGCGCCGCATTGTGGACCTGCGACATGTTCCAAGCAGTACTTCTCTTCGACGTCGACAAGTCGTTTCAAAATCTTGGCCCTCTCGTGCTTTGAATAGCCGCGCATGTCTTCAGGATACATCTCCTCTTCGGGATGCCGGCTAAGTGCAAGTAGATCTGCATCCTCGTGGTCCCGGTCCGCTCGGACAGCAATCATGCACCCGCCGGATACATTTCTAGCAGATTTCTCTTCATCAAAATCGTCCTCCTCAGGTGGATAGCACGAGACAAAACTGCCACGGCCGGTCCCCCAATTACTCCACGCAGCGGTCGGTGGCTCTTGCGGCGTGCGAATGCGAGCGATGGCAAAAGTCACGCCGCAGATCTGGCATTCAATCTCAGACCATCCCATCCTCAAAGGTGAGGCTCTAAGGTCAATCTGAGGGGCGGTGTGTGAAATTTTGAGAGTAAGAAGATTTTATGCGGTCAGCAACGAGATGTTCCATTTCAGGTGCTGGTTAAATAAGAGCTGCACTTGCAGGGATGAGCACCGTTAAACATTAAACACATGCTGACAGGCAAGCACATTTCAGTCGTTTCCGTCACTGAAAGGCACGATGGAAGTATACAAAATAGAGCACCTATGTGAATTCCCCGTGAATTGGGTAGAGTTGAAGGTTTTGAGAGGATTTGGCTATGTGCCTAGAGACCCAAAAACAATACATGTGGTAAACCTATCCAACCAGTCAACAAAATTCGCTCGATAATCAATGTCTTGTGAGATTGTGGCAGTTATTAGACTCGTCTAGGCATGCGCCAGTATAACTCTGCTGTATTGGTTATGTGGTTAGTTGTGCTATGCCCTAGAGTGCACGCTTCCGCGTTTCAAAATACGCTACGGGCTCCAGCTGTCATCCATCGTTCAATGGTGCAGTTGACATCATGGACCGAGGGTTTTCTGCCGTTTGCGGGGGATGTACAGGGGAAAGGCCCTTCTAGGGTTGCACTAAAGCGCCGCAGGTCAGTTGACTGTGCCGAACAGCGCCACTAATTCTACAGCAGGAGGCACTTTCATTGAGCTGACTGGTGCCAGCGCTGAGGACAACACTGCCTGGGTAGGGAGCCAGCCACCAGCAAAAACTTGCATGGATCATGCGTTTCATCGGCTTCTTCATGCGTCGGCGCAGAATCCCTTTTCTCAGCCACCTTGCATCACGCGAGCGCCCAAATGGCATGTCTACCCCCCCTTTGGCTAACCTATTTGAAGGCCTTGGCTGGCAACAACGGCACTCAGAGCCGAGCACGGCACTGGAATACCGCCAACAGCCACTGAAATCCATGAATGAACCCCCGGAACAACAAACGGACCGATGTTTCAGTGGGCATTGCGCAAGCAATTGGCCCACACGTTTGACGTTTGACGTCACGCGCCTCGAGCTTCAGATCAAGCCACAGCGCGAGTCAATTTCACACACGCGAACCGACCATCCATCCATCCCTCCATTCATAAAATATCCCCTGTCCGCTGTCCGCGCCTCCCTCTCTCTCGCTGCAACGCCAACAAAAGCCGCCGCTCGTTCAGAACTTGATTTCCCCTCCCCTCCATCTCCACTGATCGGCCTCGATGCAGCCCGATCCGAGCGGAGACCAAGAGGAGGACACACTTGCCGTCATCATCAGCTAGAATCCCAGGAACAACATCTTCGACACTTCACTCGACACTTCGCTGTCGTCCGCTCGCTCACCCCCGAAACACCGCAGGCTTGGCATCGTCCAAGGGCAGTATTTTCTCCTCAGCTAGTCTTGAAAGGGAGGATCCCGCTCGTTTCTCATCGGCGACGCTCATCACGCCACCTTAATTACGCGACCGCCATGTCTCTCACCATCCGCGAAAAGCCACAGGTTGGCGACTCAAAGCGGTGGATTATTATTGGCACTATTGGGTAAGCAGAAATCATTTGCTAGAGGCGGTGGCAGCACAGAGAAGATGCCGGCATTCAATCCGCACTGCCATTCGCCTGGTTTCGGCCTCTCGCGCCATCATTCCAAGCTCAACTAACCGTCCTTTTCTTTGCTCGTCACTCTAGAGGCGCATTTCTCATCATCCTCATGGGAGCTTTGGTAGTGCTGCACATCAGGCGCCGCAAGCGCGACAAGCGGGAGGGCGTGGACATTGAAGGGGACGACGAGGTGACGGGCCACGACCTCGACAATCTCGGAGTCACGGGCCAGCAGGGCCGCAGCGGCGCCGGCCAGAACCAAAACGCTTTCTCGCATCGTGACGGCTCCCCGTCGGGCTCGTACATGGGCGGGCAGCAGCCGCGCGGGCAGTTCGGGGCGTACAAGGCGGATTCAATTTCTAGTGAGGATACCGGCAACCCCAATCACCCAGGTGCGCGAAAAGCGCAGTTCAGCTAAGCAGGAGGTCCCAGCGCCGGGTTCTTCGTTCCTTTTGTCCTTCAAGAGGACCCTCTGGGGTTCTCTTTGTAATGTAGTACCGCGAACACGTCGAGATGTTATGATAATATCTTTCAGTTTGGGGGCTCACACTGGTGTGAGTCCTTCCAAAGGGTTTATTGTTTTCGGGGAGAAGGGGAGTTGGTTGTATGATGTGTACTTATTAATGCCATTATATATGCATCACAAATGTTTGTCTTGTCTGTTGAACCGAGAAAAGCGTATGAAAACAATGCACGCCGGACACTCATTGTCGAGACGTAGAAGCAAGTGATGACCGCTATCAGGTAATTGGATGTCGTCTCCTCTGTGCAACATGATTTTAGCTACAAGGTTATCACGTGAATCACCTGGTGTGGGTTAGATGTCTGCTACGGTAGCAGACAGAACTGAATGAGCACTGCCGCGTTCCTTGAAACTGCGCTCAATCGTAGCAGTCTTGCAGCTCTATTCAAACTTAGGCTCTATCACAGCCAAGTGCAATCATACACAATGAGCTCTGTGTGCTCTCATATTATAGTTATCTCAATACGATGCGCCTTCTCCCACCATGACTTGTCTTTTGATCTGATCAACCCAACCCTCTTGAACTGCGTGCTGGCATCAAGCTCCCCTGAAGGTACCAGCGCAAGAGCGTCAATCCACCCATACTCTTCCTCTCGGCGGCATGCAAAGCAAAACACGACCTCACAAGCCTCTGAAGGTACGTCGAATATAGCATTACCAACCTTCCGCAGCCCGTCAGGCCCAGTGACCATGATAGACCGCTCATCTGCTTGTAGATTGTCTTCTTCTCTCCACAACGCTGCAGCCAGTACGAATAACCCTCTAATCCGGAGCCGTCCTCCGACAACCATGCCGAAAGGGTCGTTGCCTGCTGGCTCAGTACTCATCTCAAGGATCTCTGGCGTAAAGGTGCTATCGATGGGTCGGGAACCGTCCCTCTTGTTGAACCAATCTACAGTCCCCTTCACCGATGCCCACGACCACGACGGGGCCAGGTAGTCCCTCGAGCGCTCGCTCTTCTCCGCCTCCTTCTGCCACTCGCCCTGCACTTTCCAAGTGAGAGCCATGGGCCCGTGTGATGCAAAGAGCCCAGCGTGGTAGGCATCACCCGTCTGTTTGGCGAAATAACGTGCAATGCCGGAGATGGCAGGCAGAACATCAGATTGCTTCGTCAGTGATCGTTTGCTGTATCTTTCCACCACCTCGTACCACACAAGGGCATTCTTTTGTACGTCCGCATCGTCATAATATGTGGCCTTCTCCTCTTGTGGGTGTATCTGGCCCATGTCGAATGCACGGAGTGCCATGTTGAACGGCAGCTTGTCTTCCCAGGGAAACTCGAGCGTCGCCTTCAGCGTTGCGCACTCCCACCGAATCGAGTCCTTGGAGTAGTGGACGACTCGGGGAGATAGTTCACGCTCCTGCAGAGTCCAACCTCGCTTGATCAGGGGGTCCTGCATCAGTACATTGACAGTCTGGATGTTAGGCTGGCCGAAGACGCGGATGGTTCTGGCGCTTGATGTGACACCATTTTGGTCATCGCTCGTCTCTTCCCATGTCAGATCAGCCGGTCCGACATGGACTTCTTTTGACTCTCCTAAACGACAGCCACCGGTGCCATCAGAAGATCCTGATGCAGCTACGGTCACATACGCGTTAGAGTAAACAGCTGCCATCTGGGACGCTTCGGCTTCCCAATCTGCGCGGGAGTCTTGGATGATGCAGAGGGAGTCGATCCAAACATAGCGCACGCCGAGATTTCTTGTGATTTCTATCATGTCAGCAAACGTCCTTGACAGGTCCTCTATGCGTATCGACGTAGTATGCTGGTCAAGGTTCGCTGCCACCGTCTTGGCCGAAGCAGGCATGCTCAGCCCCCAGCAATGACTCGCAGCGACATATCGCTTGTCTTCCATTACTGCCCCCTTCGTCAACACCAGCCGAACCGTCCCTGTTTCCGAACCATGGACATCGACCAGCCGTGAGGGCACGTACGAAGAATCAAAGTCCTTCTTACACGCCTCATGGCCCTCCCAGCACGTCCTCAGCCACCACTTCAGCGTTCCGACCTCCCGCGATGGATTCGACGACTCCGACAGCTCAGGCGCAGCAACGAGTCCGTCCTCCCAGCCCTCCGGGACCTGGATCCCCCGCAGGCTCCCGACGTCCGCCCACTCGACGCAGACCCATTGCTGGCCAAACTTCGTGCTCCGCAGCTGCACCTGCTTGGACAGGTCCACGGGTTTGCCAAACGTGTTGCGCAGGTGGCCGTCCTGGTCGGCGCGGCGCCGCATCGCCCCCAGCATCACGGCGCACATGGGACAGCCCGCCGCGGCTGAGGCCTCGAGCGCGAGGACATTCTCGTGGTGGGCGAGGCTGCATTGCTCCTTTCGGCCGGAGCTGAAGAGGTTGAAGGGGATGGTTTTGCAGAGTGTGCAGAGGGGCATTGTGGCTGGCTCTCTCTTGCTTTCAACTTCCGGTGAGGGCTTTGGAGATGTGTTGGTAGAGGATCCTCTGCGGATGTTCGGCACGGTTGGGAACAGACGAGAGTGAAGGAGGCGGGGTTGCTGTGGCTTATGCGTGAAACAGCGCTATTAATTCTCGTATTACAACCTCGAGAGTGTTGAAGTCTTGATATGGGCCTGGGGTTCAAGGGCGGATAGTGAAATCAACATCTTGGTGTGCAGTATTGCAAAATACTTCCTTCCTTAAAGGTTATCATGTGCGCTCACAGTGAATGTTTTGAAGAATATTGACGCAAACAATTCTAGTCTGCCTTTCAACGATATTGCAGACGTACATGAATAAATGATCTTTGCCAACAACCACACGAAATCGGGACACCTCCGTCGCTCCGGGCTTGAAATACATTGTCTCCTCACTCCCGCCATCGGTATTGGGGACGGAAGAAAATGGTCTGAAAACATGAGAACAATTCTCATGTCGAGATCACACCTGGAAGTAAGCTTCAAAAGAAGCTTCTCTTTCTCCTCTTGGGAGAGGCAGCCTTTTGAGGAGCAGTCTTCTTAGGGGTAGGAGCTTTCTGAGGAGCAACCTTCGTAGGAGGAGTGACTATCTTAGGGGCAGGCTTCTTAGGAGGAGTAACCGTCTTAGGAGCGACTTTCTTGGGAAGAGCCTTCTTAGGAGGAGCCTTCTTAGAAACAACCTTCCTAGGAGCAGTAGGCCTCCTTGAAAGAGCAGTCTTCTTAGGCGTGGTGGCTTTCTTCAAAGGCGAAGCCTTCTTTGGGGTAGCGATCTTCTTTTGAGCAGTAGGTTTCCTAGGAACAGTTGGCCTTTGAGATACAGCGCCCTTTTTGATAGAGGCCTTCTTAGAAGCAGGAGCTTTCTTCAGCCTTGTATCTTTCTTGAGGGGGATGATCTTCTTTGAATTGCCCGACTTCTTGGGGGTGACAGGTTTCTTTCCCGATTTCTTCAGAGCAGCAGGTTTCTTGATCATCTTCTTTCCAGTCAGAGGCCTCCGATCAGCACTCTTCCTGTCAGCACCTTTCTTGCCAAGCTTCTGGGAAGGTTTTTTAGCTGCCTTTTTAGAAACAATGGCCTTGCTGTGAGGCTTCCTGGAATCTGCAGTCTCCTTGAGAGCAGTGGCACCCTTCCTGTCAGGCTTCTTGGACGTAGAAGCATTTTTGACAGGCTTCTTAGGAACAGAACCCTTCCCCCCCGACTTTTTCAGCTTGTTTCCTTTTTTGTGAACAATAGCCTTCTTTCCAGACTTCCTGGCAGCAGCAACATTCTTAATAGCCTTCTTGGGAATAAAGCCCTTCTTGCCTGACTTTTTAACATTAACACCTTTCTTAGAGGCAGTGGCCTTCCGGTGTGGCTTTTTGAGAGTAGCGCCCTTCTTCCCTGACTTTTTGAGATTAGCCCCTTTGTTAAGAATAGCCTTCCTGTGTGATTTCTTTGAGATAGCATCGTTCTTGGCTGGTTTCTTAGGAGGAGCACCCTTTTTAGGGATAGCCGTCTTCTTCTTGCCCCCAGCCTTCATTACACCCTGGGCAGCGTTTTTCTTGTGCCTGCCTCTGACGGGTACCTTTTCAGTACTGAAGGCCTTTCTTGCACCAGATTTGCCGGGTGCCTGTTTGGTCTGCTTTTCGGTGGGCTTTCTGGAAGACTGCTTCCCCTTGCTCCTTGCTCCTTGAATTGCTGGTCGTTTTCCATGAGGCCGTCCAGACTTCCTGCCCTCTTGCTTTCCTAACTTCTTCCCAGGCCCCGTTGCAGGCTTAGGGCCTGGGTGCTTGTTCAACACAGTTGCCGGACTCTTCGCTGCTGGGCTCTTCTTCGCATTGGCGGCACCGCAACCTCTTCGTTGTAGGCCCCGTGGGCCGTAGCTGACCGAGCACGACTCACCGCTGCCGGTCGTGTCTGTTCCCCATTCTGCCGCTTGTTGCTTGAGTTCCTTCACTGCGTCGCTGAGTTCCTTGTCCGTTGGCGGGGGCCTTGGCGCACCAGATCTTATCTCTTCTGCATCTTTCACTATCTGGTCCTGCGCTAGCTGGTCCTGCGCTGGTTGGTTCCGTGCTGGTTGGTTCCGTGCTGGTTGGTTCTGGGCTGGTTGGTTCCGTGCTGGTTGGTTCTGGGCTGGTTGGTTCAGGGCTGGTAGAATCCGTGCTGGCCGTTTCTGTGCTGGTTGGTCCTGTGCTAGTTGGTCCTGCGCTGGCCGCTTCGGTGGATGTTTGCGCCTCTCTCTTTCACGCCTTTTTTTGTGGTACTCAGCTGTGGTTTGTTTCTGAGGTGCTGAGACGCCTTGAATGGTGGTAGTGCCATCAGCGTTCATAATGTGCTTGCCCGAATGCTCCCCGGGTACAGTAACAGGATGTTCGCGAGCGGCGACCGCAAGGACTATCGCTTGTGCCCCCTGGCCTACCAGAATCTCTTTGGCTTTTGAAGCAGCAAGATCCTTAGCAGTGTTTAGTTCATTTTGCTTCGCTGTCATACCCTCTCTTGTCTCTGTCCTCATCAGGTCAGCATTGTTTTGCAAAGCCTCTTGTTCGACGTATTTCTTGTCCGGGACGGTTAGGTGCATCTTCATTTCGCCCCCCTGAATATTTTCATCCTTCACCTTGCTCTTCACCCTCTCCATATGTTCTTCCACTTGATTAAGGCCGATCTTGGCCATGATCTTCCTGTGTTCTTCATTCACGTTCTTGCCTTCCACAGCGACGCTGATAGAATCTTGAAGGCCGACAACTTGGAGTTTAGCATCTTGGGGCCCAGCGACCACGTCTCCGTCGTCATGAGCTGTGGTCGATGGATCATCAGCCGCTCGTGTGACGGCTGCGAACGCGTAAAGAAGAAGAAATAATTTCATTCTATGATCTCGATATTGGCTCAAAGAATGGGAAGAGATTCAAACGAAAATAATACCGAGCAATTATGGATGAGTGTTTGTATTCGAAGGGTGAAATGATCAAACAGGAGCGTACTGATTCATATTAAATTTGAAATTTTCGGGACAGCCCAAGTGCGATATGAGTAATATTTAGCTACTAGTTATATAGTTTCTTATTTAAGATATAGCCCCTGGGCCCATGTAATTCCTTGCAGCTGTTTGAGTTGCCCCGAGTTTTCCCTTTTCCTAGCTCACATGCATTGCTCCCAAGTATGAAGGCCGATCGGATGAGAGTGAGTGTAACTGTTGTAGTATTAATTCAAAAAGCGTAGTTCTATTATTATGTTTATTATCTGGTACATCCAAGGCCACATGTTCAACACCTGTTTTGAAGTAGCTCTATTCAGACCAGCAACTACCAACAAACTTATGGTGCATAAAGGAGTGGCGCCAGATAGTTAGGATTATCTCAAAATAGCAGATGTGTAGGTCATAAGGTTTAATTTAGTAACGCATTGGAGGATTACCAACAGCAGGTTATGTACAAGAACCCTTACTTACGACCAACAGCTTGATATCCGTGCATCCATTGGTTGACATCGGCTGTAGCTCGGTGCATACTACTACATTCAAAACTAATTACTACATGATGAGGTAATGCATACCAGCGTTAAGGAACAGTAATCTTCCCATAATAGTGTTCGCTAACGTGCAAGTTGATTGGATTATTGGTTCTGTTGGTTGCATCCCTGTCCAAGGCAGAAGGGGGCGGAGTGTGAGGCATTATCATCCATGACACAACCAACCAGTGCATCATCTTCACTCAATCTTACGATAATTGATCAATACTCTCAGCATACCACTCAATTAATCGACATTTTCTTTCAGTGCCGTACCCTAAATCGCTATATCATTCCTTCGCATTATCACCATCTTACAGACCTTAAGGCCACAATCATGGACGCGTACCAACCCTCTTTTCAGACCCTTAATCATCTTCATTTCTCAAATCTGGCCTCCAAACCTCTCTCGTTTCACTTTTTCCCTAGTCTCCCTGCCGAGGTCAGGCTCGAAATATGGAAATCGTTCCTTCTGGCTAGACGCCGATTTTTCACCGTACGCCTTGCTACCGAGGATGGGTATGTCGCTGGCCAATATGACCTCTTGGTGGAGCAGAAGCCTCGCATCAATCAACTTTGGAATGTGTGCAGGGAATCCAGGGCAGCTGCTCGGGACCATTTCCGACTTCCTATTCCTGTTGGCCCTAGCAACACTTCGACACTCTGGTTAAGCCCTGAGAGTGATTATCTCTTTATACGTCTCTTCGAAACGAAGATCAGTCTATTTATCAACTTCATCAATGATCTAAAAGCATCTGATCCGCGTGGTGTTGGTTTACTTCATCTTGTTTTAAATGGCAGCCGTGACCGAACTCCAAAAGCTTTGAGAGCATTCAATCCGGAGCCGGACCACACACTAGGCATCTCACAAGATGCCCTTGAGACCTTCAAGAAATGCATCACAGACCTTCAGTCAGTGTGGTTTATCAAGTTCTTGCCTGAAAGTGCTCGTGTCGGCCTGAGCGCTTTCCATCCATTTGCGGGTCTCAATCGAGCAACGCCGCTATTCCCACATGGTATTGAATTTGATTTGTTCAGCTTGGACCCGCGGCCAATTCAACCAAGCATGAAGAAGAACGAAGTAATATGGGGCGACCCTAGAGATGTTGTCCATGCATGGGTGGACATGGAAAGGAAGCTAGGCTTTCATAACGAAGGCGGCAGTGATAACGAGCTTACCCGTGAGATCTCTCATCTTCTCACGGTAGGAGCTACACGTTGGGCTCCGCACCATCCTACGCTTGAGGTTAGATGTGATCAAACTATGGATGCATTTCTACAATTGGAGCAAGACAGAGTCCACAAGAAATATCAAGATGGAGAGTTTAAGGGTTGGCAGGAACCCGAAGAACGCAAGAAGAACCTCCTATCGGCGGCAGGTTTTTGGCTTTTCCCACTTGGGACGTTTGATGCTTGGCAACATATTATGATGGAAGAGGGACGCCTAGACTTAAGAGGCCTACAGCCGGGATTGGGGCTTTTCGAACTGCCACAACAGATGGAGGAGACTGACCTATTCCATTGTGAGAGACCCTGGGCATCAAGTTAAGAACAGACCTCTGCATATTGAAAGCCGTCTATGAAATCAAGTAGTTAATCAGTAAGCCTTATCTACTTAAATGTTTGCAGCTGTTGTAAAATTGGAATATAAGTGTCTAATAAATAGTCTTTCATCGATGGCTTTCATTACCGGGGTATTTCTTTTTGAACACGGAAATACATTCAAGTTTCCTTTTTAATAGCATCTAATTCAAGCTAATGCTTGAGAATGGTTTTACATATTTTTCGAATCATCCTTGCACAAGAAGTCGATGACTTTGTCAAAAAGATCTGTGGTTGCTTCGCTGAGAGCGGGGCCAAGGAGTCGAATTATTGGTTTCCCCTCCTAACGGAAGCTATAACCGTACGTTTTCAGGTAATTTAGTTTATTGAATTTCTTCGCTTCATAATTGGTACCAAGAAGGAAAGGTGAAGTAGGAAATCTTTCCTACACAAGCTGATACCTGGCCGAGACGGTTGATGAGGATCAAATCCTCTGGGTGGAAGTAAAGCTATGCAGCACTAACGGGAAAAAACCAGTGATGTAGATCAAGTTCGTAAAGATGCGCAACTAGATCGCCCCGGTATTTTTGCCTGCCTTTGCTGGCTAAGTAGATCGGGTTATGAGAGGGATTTACCTGGACCACTGCTAAGGTGGCTGAGCCATAGTTGAGGTTGGGCCAGTGCCATTCTCGTTATATAAATCATATGGAATGTAAAGCTAAGACTCTCAATCAGTATAACCCTAGCCGAGCCCACTCAATTGATCAACATCGCAAAAGGTCCTTTGGGGGAGCTCATTATTGCATGCTCAGCCACCACCATTTCAAAGAAAGATAGGCAGACAGACACTAGACCAAGCAAATAGCCACGGCAAGAAGATTTTGGGAACAAAAATAGTGATCCAATCCATTGTGAGGTGGATCACTCCTTTCTTTCGCCCAATGTTGTCACATTGATACCGTTATTTCTCTCGTTATTTCTCTACAAGCTTGCTCGCATTGCGAATACCCGTTAGAGTGAATCTTATCAAGCCCCAGCGACTCAGCCTTGACACATGGCACGCTAACTATTGAATTCCATCTTGTAGGCTGAAGTTCCGTTACCCTGGTAGTGACAACGCCAAGGACGCCAAAGTCTTTTTGTAAGCCTCTAGCTTACTGCGCGTAAACTGTATCACGCCCGAGATATGAGATCTGGCCCTTTATAAACATGGCATTGTCGTTCATGGTTTCACAAGTGTCGCGAGCTGAAGTTGTGAGCTGAACTCGTGGCTTCACACTTGTGACCTGGACCTGAGAGCTGGACTTGCGCGATGGCTACAAGGTTTCCACGCGGGACATCCAAATGGGGATGGTCACCTTAGTGCGACAGCCCCGTTGTCTAGCTCCATATTATGAATGGATTATGTAGAGTTGGGCTGACAACGTCTTGGCAACCCAGTCGCGAAGAAAGGGGGCGTTATGGACGAGGAGATGGCAGAGAGGTCTGGGGTGAGGGTGAAGGGAAACTCTAGTTAATTAAAGCCGCACAAGGCAATCGATCTCTCGGCGTATAGATCGTGTTATCACCAAATTCTCTGAAGCTCTCCCTTTAGCCCTGCTAATAAGCACCTTGGCTGCGGTGTATGGGTCGGGCTTGGCCGTAAGCACAGGGCTCCTTGTAAGGCTGTGCGCGCCAATGGAAGCCGGGCTGTGCTTAAAATTTGCTGAAGGATGTGGACTTCGGTTGGGGTCTAAGACCAGGGTCGCAACCCTCAATGATATTAGTCTGACCTATTTTGGGGGCTCGACTCCGCGAGATTGGATGTCAATCATTGGCGGAGAGGCGCAGCTCCTCTAAACATGCGGATTCTCTCAGCCCTTTTCCTCGTCTAGGTCCCTATTTTTGGCAAGCGGCCGGGGGATGCTTCCAGGATGGAAAGACGTGCAGGAGGTATATTACAACGGCCTCAGCCCAACAGCTTGAGCGACACCAAGCCAGTCTTCTCCGCCTATTTCTGTTCACGACAACCGACAGCATCCTCTTCGTTGGACCTCCTCTCATCGACTTGCAAATATGAGTGCTCTCGTTGGAGTCGCCGTGGGCGGTATGATCATTGGCGTCCTGTCCCTGATCGCCGCCATCGTCATCATCGTCCTTTCTATTGTCATTCTGTGCCGATGCCACAAGCAGAATGACAGGGCCCGTACTGGTGTTACCTACCTCAAAGTCACGGCCGGGTTTATTTTGCTGTTTGTCTTCCCGAAAGCTATCATAGTTATTCTTCCAAGTGTCTGACCATCTTCATTTCTAGTTACGAAGTCCTTGTCATTGTCGGCATCGTCCTATCAGTCACGACAGCCAGTACCCGATACCCAGGCAAATCTATCCGAATGAATGTAGCCGCCGCCCATATTGAGGCCATCAACACAGTCTTCTCGACCGCCTGCATGGCTCTCTTCATCGCCACCCAGTTCGAATTTGCCCGAGGGCTCAAGATGATTGCTGCCATGTCTGGTCACGGAGAAAGCGCCAACACCGTCGAGGTCAAGGCGCGAAAGAGCCGCTTCTTCAGCGTCTTCGCCTTGGCTCTCGTCATGATCGTTTCTATTGCCGCCTTCGGTCTCTACGAGGCTTATATTGCCGGCAACTACAACATGGGGGAGGCCCAGAGCTATCTCGTCTTTGCCGTCGAAGCCATTCTCGCCATCGCTGCGATTGTTTGTCTCGTCTTCACAGCTCGCCAGCCCCGAATCCCTCCTCACAGCGGCGTAAGTCTTCCACCATCACATCCCCTCATCTACCAAACAAATTCTAACATGAAGAATGATTCACAGCTTGCTACTCACTTGATCGTCATTTCCACCCTGACCGCTATCCGACACATTGCTCTGGCTGCTATCAGGGGATACCTCACCTGGGGTCTCTGGGCTCTGCTCGACAGTGACCGCACCGGTACCGCTGCCGGTCTCACCGCCGCCAGCGCCTTAGTAGTTGTTGCTAACAGTTGGACGTTCTGCATCACCCTCGGCATGGCATATGGCGTCTGCAGGAAGGAGTACGGAGGCTTGCGCGCCAACACCGTTTACGCCCCTGTCAAGACTGGACATGTCTAAGAAGGCCAACAGGGCTGAAACTTGACATTGAAACGAACATACCTTAATGAAGGAGACGGTTCTGTTTCTACTTTAACCTCATTCGCCTGTCTATATTTTTGTTGGTTATACGTTTTGTTGTTGGATGATGGAGTATGCATACGAGCCCGGCGTTGAATTTGGTATTTAAATAACGACTCGTAAACCTGGACTAAGTACGATCACGAATTGATGCTTGTTCACTTACTTTGAGTTCTTCCTACTTTTCAATATTGTGTTACGCAATTTGTGAAAGTTGAACCTTTTGCCTCTGAAGGTTAATATCATACACAATAAATTTGTCCTTGTCCTTTCCAGGTCAGTAATATTCTGCTTAGAGTAGAACTAGAAGACAAACAGTCTCAATTTAGCCGGCTTTGATCCCGTCGACGAGCTTCAAGTCGTCCATTCCCTTCATGAAGGCCCCAACATTGAGCACCATCTGAGAAAGCTCAATTGACTAGCGAACCCGCCTTGCTTACACTCAATTTGACTTCTTTCTATCACGCACGAAGAAGAGTTCAGTGAATATAAAAATTTCCAAGTTCTTTGTGCCTAACATTGAAATCTTCTCTTTTAATGGCATTTTATGTGCAGTAGCGAGCAAACCGTAATGGTAGACTAGGTCCACTGCTTCTCAGATAGCACGGAAATTCGGTACCAATTCCGACTCCAACACCCAGGAACTCATTAGGCAAGGTAAAAGTCTCAAATCCCGTCGTAGACACCTTTTCCCCGATCTCCTGAGGATAAACTTATATCAAGCCCGATTCCGCTGAAGGGTTCCTCGCCTTCGTATCCCACTGGGAACGGTACCTCAGACACCGTCACGTCTTGTTGGCAGCAGCAGCGATTGACGAGATCTCTGAGGTGGAGAAACGACATAAAAGCGAGGACATCTTGGCAAAGATCTCGCCAGCCTATATTATATGTTTATTTTCGAATGAATTTGCATTCGTCGGGATTAGGAAGTGCATTTTGCACAGTAGCAGGCGTTTGCCCCCCCCCCCTTTCTCGGCTCAAACGCACACACTTCAACCCGGTGAGGCTGGCTGACGGAAGAGGTTACCTAAAAAGACAATGATACACGGCTACTTACCCGCTGCCAATCAGAAGCTTGTTATCTACCTCTTGGACTACTAGTTGTGCTCATCCTGGGTAGCGGGAACAAATCGGAACGGAGCTCGGAAAGTCGGAACGTAGTATATCGGTCCCGTCGACAAGATCCACATATGCGCCTATTGTAGACGGCTTATAAGCTCTGCCAGGCTCTAGATTGGTGTTCAAATAAGCTGGCTGCTTAGAAAATATCGATTGCTCCCGAGACTTCCGTGTGTACGTGTAAATTGCGTTGAAATCAAGTGCCGAAATGCCTGCCTCTTTGTTGATCTCCGGTGTGAACGGGCGCCAAATCAAGGGTATGTTTGCCGTTCAAATTTATGATTCAAGAGCTCACCAGTCATAGTCCCAAGCGGGCTTTTCATAAACAACGAGTTTGTCCCCGCTGCTGGCGATGCAGTGGTAGAGATTGAGAACCCATACAATGGGCAGAAGCTGGGTTCCATCTCTGCGGCACAGGTGGCCGATGTCGACAGAGCTGTCTCAGCTGCGAGCAAGGCATTCCACACGACATGGTCGACGGCAGCACCTGAGCTGCGACGAAACCTGCTAAACCGCCTTGGAGATTTGATAGAGCGCGAGACAGAATCCCTCGCTTCTCTAGAAGCAGTGGATGCGGGGATTCTGTACAGAGACTCAAGCCAAAAGTTCGTCCCCCAGGCCGCCGAGACATGCCGGTACTATGCGGGATGGGCGGATAAGGTGGACGGAACCTCGTTGCCCATCACAGAGGGCATGGCATACACCAAACGTGCTCCCTATGGTGTTTGTGCAGCCATTATTCCTTGGAACTCTCCACTGTCAGTCGATGATAGTATAACTAGTTTGCGGTCTAAAGCTCTAACTTTGTGTCTAGCATGATCACCCTGTGGAAAGTCGCCCCGGCCGTCGCCGCCGGAAACACCATCATTGTTAAAACCCCAGAGATGTCTCCCTTGTACGGCCAGAAGCTGGCCGAGCTAGTAACGGAGGCAGGCTTCCCTCCCGGAGTTATCAACATTCTTTGTGGTCTAGGTACCGTGGCAGGCCAGGCATTGGCTGATCATTTGGAAATCCGCAAGATCTCATTCACTGGCAGTACTGCTGTTGGTCGCCATATTCTGGCTTCATCAGCAAAGACGAACCTGAAGAAGGTAACACTCGAGCTCGGTGGTAAAGGGCCCAGCATTGTCTTTGCAGACGCCGATTGGGACAATGCTCTTGCCTGGACCACAGCAGGCATCACAGCCAACAACGGCCAGATCTGCGCAGCTGGCAGCAGAATATACGTACAAGACACCATCTACGACCGTTTCGTGCGCGAGTTCTCCAGATTATCCAAGGATGCAATCGCAGGAGACCCGCTGTTGGCAGAGACAACCAAGGGCCCCTTGATCAACAAGACGCAGAAAGACCGTGTCATGGAGTTCATCCGCAAGGGCACTACAGAGAATACCGCGAAGCTACTTCACGGTGGTGATGATTCAAAACTGCCCAGCGGCGGACACTTTGTGCCTAACACTGCCTTTTATGATGTCGATCGCAATGCCACAATCATCAACGAGGAGATCTTCGGCCCCGTGGCCTCGATCGCCCGCTTTAGCACAGAGAAGGAGGCTGTTGAACTAGCTAACTCCACATCGTACGGTCTTGCATCGGCAGTTTTCACCGAGGATGTCAACAAGGCTGTTCGCGTGAGCGAGGCCATGGAGACTGGGCAAGTGACTGTGAACATGTGGGGGAGCGTCAATGCGAACACACCATTCGGAGGCGTCAAGGAGAGCGGCTTCGGGAGAGATTTGGGCAAGGATGCCTTGGAAGACTGGACTTACGTCAAATGTATCAAGTTCAAGATCTCTAAACTTTAGATTGTAGTTAATCAAATCGATATCTGTGATTGATGAGGGTATTGGATCCCCCCCAGTCTTAGGCTTCCACTCCTTCACAGCAGTAATCGAATTTCCATTTATACAACTCTTGTGTTTGTCTTGCCAAATTATCCTTATCTGGTCTCGGCCTCATTCGAGAGTCAATTGTTACTATAGAGTTGAGTATGAGGATTCTGCTCACGGTCTCGCATTAAGGCCAATAATCACCATAAATGTCTAACTCATGGCCATTCCAGTCCATTTCTGAAAGTAGACGAATCCCAAATCCAGTATATATTGTTATAGCCAGGTTTAACAAATTTAGCTACCACTGCTTTGAACTGCAAACGTCAGCAATCTACCTCCCTCCCCTCCTGTTATGGAAGTCGATAGCCGAGACTCATGCGGAGACAACTCCAACCGATTCCGACTCGGAGCTCCAGTACCGTCGACCAGTCAGTCTATGGCACCTCCTCCACCACCAAGCAAATGCCAATGTAAGCTTTTTTGAGGACTTCAATATAGTCAGATTCTTCAAGGATCTAAGATAGTCGCTGGAGCCAACTCCACGGACAGTTTACCGGTAACCCCTGTACTAAGCACAAGTCAGCAATGCACAACCTGTAGGTAGTATTGACCCCGTTGATGTAACATCAGATGCTGACATGTGGAAAGTGAGAGATATTCGGCTTCGTTTGCATTTTTCGAGGGCCTTTGGGAGGTAATAACTGCTCGAATCTATCCCTACTTGACAACGATTAATTGATGAGGCGGTAGGCTGGTATTCGTTATGTCTTCGTCAACCTTGGCTCGGACCATCCAGCCATTATGGAGTCCCTCGCCCACGGCGCTCAACTAAAAGGTGTCAACTTCCCCGAGGTCATCACCTGCCCTCATGAGGTCAGATTCCCAGCTCAAGGTCATGTATTATAACCACTCGGCTAACCCCAAACGCAAAGATGGTCGCCATGTCTATGGCTGACGGGTTTGCACGCTTAACAGGCAAGCCGCAATGCGTTCTTGTGCATGTTGATGTCGGAACCCAGAACCTTGGCTGCGCTTTGCACAACGCCTCCGTAGGACGATGCCCGGTTCTCATCTTCGCTGGATTATCTCCCTTCACACAGGAAGGGGAGATGCGCGGGTCACGAACGGAGTATATCCACTGGCTTCAAGACTCGCGTGATCAGAAGCAGATTGTGTCTCAATACTGTCGGTTCACAGGTGAATTTAAAACTGGTAAGAACATCAAGCAAGTCCTCAATCGAGCACTGCAGTTTGCTACAAGCGATCCTAAGGGGCCGGTGTACCTTGTTGGTGCCCGGGAGGTGATGGAAGAAGAGATTCAGCCATACCACCTCGATCAGAATGTTTGGGGTAGTGTTTCCCCGGCTGGGTTGCCTCCTAATGCCCTCGAGACCATTGTATCGCTATTGGCTGAAGCAGAGGAACCATTGATTATTGTTGGATGGACCGGAAGAAATCATGCAACGGTACCGGCCCTGGTACAACTCACGGAGTCCATTCCAGGAGTCAAGGTGCTAGACGGCCTTGGAAGCGACGTTTGCTTCCCATATAGTCATCGCGCTTTTCAGGGGGTCGCAATTGGTCTCCACGAGGTTATCCAAACAGCCGATGCCATTCTTGTTATTGATTGCGATGTGCCTTGGATCCTGACTCGGTGCAAGCCCCGTGCTGATGCCAAAATTATCCATATCGACGTTGATCCCTTAAAGGAGACCATGCCACTGCACTACATCAATGCGTTCCGCCGGTATCGTGCGGATTCAGAAACAGCTCTCCAGCAACTCAATGACTACATCTCGACCCACGCTCAGTTCTCGTCCTTCCGAGAGGCTGAGCCCTACAGAAAACGTTGGGAGCAACTCGCCGAAAGCCATCGGCTGCGACTAAAAACCCTCGCGAAATTAGCGGAAGCTCCCTCGGACACTTCAAGCCCGCCAAGTGTCTCCTATCTTTCCGCTCAGCTTCGCAAAACGTGCCCTCAAGATACGATATGGTGTATAGAAGCCGTTACCAACGGTCCGTTTATCTACGAACAGCTGCAGATTGACGAGCCAGGCCATGTTTTCAACTGTGGGGGAGGTGGTCTCGGCTGGTCTGGGGGAGCAGCTCTAGGTGTCAAGCTTGCCTCAGACCACCTCGCTGGCGGTCCGGGCAAGGGCAAGTTTGTGACTCTGGTTGTGGGCGACGGGACCTACATGTTTGGTGTCCCTGGGTCTGTCTACTGGATTGCCAGAAGATACGGGCTGCCCACCCTCACCATCGTGCTCAGCAACAAAGGTTGGTATCTTCGTACTCACTTTGAATGTGGGAAATGCTAAAAGGAAACTAGGTTGGAACGCTCCTCGCAACTCGCTAAATTTGGTGCATCCTGATGGGTACGGGTCAAAGCTGTCAAACGAAGGACTAAATATTTCATTCTCACCTACGCCCGACTTCTCCGGAATAGCCAAGGCAGCATCTGGGGGCAGTGCTTGGAGTGGGGTGGCTTCTTCAGTTGATGATTTGCATCGCTTATTGCCGGAGGCGGTCCAAAGTGTCCAGAGCGGCGTCTCGGCTGTAGTCGAAGTGAGACTGAAGGGATCATGGGAGGAGGCTAAGCTGTAAACGCGCATATCTTCTTTCCCAGTGTTTTATGCCTTTGGGACCAAATCTCATTGTTATCTACCTTCGCCAGAATTCCAGTCCGTTTACTTCCAGATATGATGCGAATACGGCAAACAGTATCATAGAAGCGTATGGATGATGTTCAAGTGTTGCCTATCCTACAATCGTGGCCTATGTCTTACAATCTTTCTAGCATAAGGGTGCTCCTCTTCCGGAATTAAGTGATCAAGACGGTTCGTATTGATAAATCGCGGATGAGCATCTCGCATTAGATCAGTCATCCCACATAGCCGCATTGCGGTTTCGATCTCATCGCGCAAGACTATGGGTAAACTTGTCAGCTTTAGGTCATACTCATGTCGGAAATTCAAAGACACTTACTGTCAATAACCCGCTCAACTCCTTCCTGGCCATAGCTAAGAGAAAACAGAAAGCTTCTGCCCAAGCCGACTGCAGACGCCCCAAGACAAATAGCTTTGACAACATCTGCTCCCCTGCGGAACCCTCCATCAACTAAGACCTCCATAGATGAGAGGACCTCGGGGCAGTGCTTCTGTAACTCCAGCAGAATCAGGATGGCCGGAGGTGCGTGGTCAGCCGCTCTGCCTCCGTGGTTGCTGAGCACGATGCCATCGCACCCCATAGAGTGGGCGATTCTGGCGTCCTCGGCCGTCTGAATCCCTTTGACTAAGACCGGCAAGGATGTCAGGCTTCGAAGCCATGGAATAAGACTCCAATCCACGGTAGAGTCAATGAATCCAGAGCTCTGTCTCGCAAGCCCTCCTCCTTTCTTATCCCCGCCGGTGACGGTCGTCTTCACACCGGCGATCACTATGGCTTCATTCGATTTGATACGCTCATCATCCTCGCGCTTTGGGACTACAGGGACATCAACTGTGACCAATATAGCCTTGACCTTCCCTGAAGCACCGATTTTCCGAATTGCGGCTTCGGATTGTGCTCGGTCCTTGTTGACGTACAGCTGGAAAAGAGCTCGTTCTGGAGTAGCTTCGAGAATCTCATCGTAAGGATACGAAGATGGTGTTGCGAAGCAGTGGATGATTCCTCCAGCGGCTGCCCCTCGAGCAAAGGTCAACTCTCCTTCAGCGCCACCGGTCCTTGCTCCGCCCGTTGGAGCAATGTAAACTGGCAGATCCAGCTGGGCTCCGAACAACGTAGTGGCCGTGTTCACGTCCTTGACGTTCTTCATTACTCGGGGCCGAAGCCATATGCTGTTCAGCGCCGAGCGATTTGCATCCCTGGTAATATTGTCATTGGAGCCACCGCCTATGAAGGCCATGGCTTTGGCTGACAGAGATTTGGTTGCTGCTCGCTCAAAATCATCCAAATTGATGATAGAATCCAGGCTCGGTCTCTCTGCTGATTCCTTCATTTTTGAATCAGTCTGTTTTTTGCCTGTTTTAGACTCCTTTGGAAGACTTTCTGGATCGATTGATCCCATGTGAAACTTGACATCAAGAGACTTCCTGATCAACGAGGGCCCGTGAGCCTCATTGTACGCCGATGATGCATCGTTTCCACCGTATTCATAAATCACTGATGATTTAAATTCGCCTTAGCTTTGACGTGTTATAAGACAGAAGTTGAACTTACCATCAGGTCCTCCAGGATGTTCCTGGGCAAACTCGGTCATATCATACACCTCTCCATTTACAGCAATCCACAGGTCATCCACAGAGCCATGCTTGGCCAGCTCTGTATAGTCCACGCTCTTCGGCATTTCGATCAAATTTCGCTTCGTAACTATGTGTAATTCAATATTCGAAGACCTCCGAGCACGTCTCGATCAGACTCCCCCAGAGTTTTGGTGGGGTTGCGTGGACAAGGAGAAGTGTATCCGGAACTAGAACCGGAACGCGGATCTGGGGTACGGAAGTTCCGGCCTTTCAGAGCCGATTAATTAGTAATTGATCGATCGATATATTACTAAATTGATGCCAGAATCAATTTGAGCAACAATTACATGATTCCGGTTTGGCGTTCCGAACTAATTTCCTAAGAAACCACCAAACTCCACGACTCGCAAAAGTGTTCACCGAGCGAGTGTCATGGCAATCGAGTCTAAATGCTACTACTCGTGGAATGTATATCCGAGTCCTCGGGCAATTATAAATAGTCACAACTGTCAGAAATATTCCTCGCGACCATTTAGAGATATAAAGATGTCAAATCTAGCGCCGCAGTCTCTTGCACCAGAAGCAAATCACGCTGGCATGCATGAGAGATGAGTTCCACCCAGGTCATGGAACTGATATTTGACTGCGAAGTACGAACGGAGAATGATATATCTGACACTATATACTCATTGTAGAGGTTTGATCCCCCATGAGTTCAAAGCATTATATTTTCCTCCGTAAATCAGAATAGGGTTGGGTCAGGGAATGCAGCTAACTTCATCCTTATATACCAACGCACTGGAATCCTTCGAGGCCCGACGTGTCGAATCCTGAGCATGTCCATTGCGCCGACTTCCCACTTGGTGGCCGTACCGTAATATTTGTTGCGCGGAAGTTAAGGCACCTCTGTATTATGCATTAGTAACTCTGCCATGGCTACTAAGAACGCAAGAAGGGGATACTCACTTCTGGAGACGAACAGATGAGTTGTCCCACTTTTGGGTCATTCTTCGTAGATGTGGTCCCGGACATGTTCTTAATGAGAACATCTGACATTGTCATATTTGACTGAAAACGGAGTTAGTTCGAGGCAGTTTAGTAGCTTAGAAGGAACATGGCAGGAGATACCGGATATTCCTGGCAAAGAGTCTTGTTTGAGACACCGTAACACTGGTCAATCTGAATCGCCCAGTCATTGTTCACATTCTGGAAAAGATCGTAGGTCACATTCTTAACATATCCACCGCCGCCACCAACATTGGTCTTTGTCTCACCAGGAGCAATGCCCGGCCAGACCTTGAGACGAGCGCCGTCCGTGGCATTAGCCATAGAAACGTTGTAGATGTGGAGATCTTCAACAATATCGACCTGGCCCAGATATTGACCAAGTGAACCAACCGAGATGCCGTGTGAGCCATGGCACTGGAGGTTCTGTACAACGATAGAGGAGCTGTTCGGCTTGAAAGAAACACAATCATCTGTGTTGTGAACAACCGAGTTTTGTATGATCACATTCGATGTGCGAAGCGTATCAAATCCGTCTGTGTTTCGAGGGTTCACCGTCGAGTTGGTACTGAACGCAAGCAGATTCATGTCAGAAATGACGAGGTCTGAACTGTTGTGATACAGGGAGAACCACTAATGTCTCTTCTAGTCAGTAAGGGCATTCCATCTTAACAAATGCAGCACCCACGTTTGGTGAATTGAGTAAATTCAATCCCGATATTGAGCCACTGTGAAGGCCATCGATCATCAATAGGAGGGGCCGCAGGAGTGTACTATTATAAGGGGCCATGTTGTACCATATCTGCCCATTTCCATCAATGGTCCCGACACCATGGCCAAATATGTTGACATCTTTCCCTCCAAAGCGCCAGAATGTGGATGAATCTTGGAAGGCGTATTTGAAAGAGTGCTCGACCCAATACTCCCAGCTGTCAGTAAATTTAATTGTTCCGAGAATTGCAACGTCGATACTATCAAGGAACGTCAAGTCCAACGGCGAGGCTATGGTGTAATTTCCATCCAGAATTACCGTTCCACCATGGTTGCAGTCCTTGAAAGCCTTGAGGATGGCGGGTGCTGAATCCTTGCATCGTTCTGCCTTGACGCGGCAGAGCCTGTTTGGATCGCGTGCTGCGGATACTGGAAATGGTTTTCCAGTGTGGTAAGGTCCAATCTGAATATTTGGACGCTTTATTAAACTGCTGGGGATATCGAAGGCTTCACTTGACACATTATGAACAAGGAGTGCTCCCAACGATATGATGGTGGTGAGTCGAGGAAACATCATGGTCAGTATTTGATAAGTTTTGCATTGGTCTCTTCTTCTATTCTAATCAACCCCAAAAGCGCATATATATATCAAATCCCAGGTCCTTGGTAGAATTCCCATTAACCGTGGATAACAATGATTAATCTGAGGGCAGCATCAAGTTCCCAACTATCCACGCCGGTCTTACAAGACATTGGTGGACCAATACTGCTCGACTCTAGGCTAAAGTGGGCTCGGAAAGATTCTCGGAAATATCGGCACGGGTCTTTTCTTTAGCCTATTATCGATCCAGCAGCGCTCCAGGAAGGGGTGCGATCTCATGCTTGATATTATAAATAAAAAATACTTGAAGAAGTGAAGAAATAATTGGGGTAGTTTGTATTTTGTTTGAGTTACGTTTGATAAATGTTAACAATGGTTCCGTTGTTAGGCATATCAAAGGGCCTACCATACTTTTCTTTGGCCACAAAGTCCATGAAGCAAGCGATAGGAGCGATAACGTTCAAAGTACGTGCCGAATTCAGGCCTCTTTGGTCCCATCTCAGCTTTAATTCTACCTGATCATTCTCCCTAACCATACCAGTTCATGATAAGCAGAATCCTTTAAATCAAAGGGGAGACGGAGCTGGGTGTAGGGTAAGCTGCGATATCGAAGATGCCCCGTTTAAGCCCATAAATACCCGTGGCGGAGTTGAACCGGATCAAATCAACCAATTAAACTTAGCAATCTGCTGACAAGCTGCTATGGGGATACTCATAACGAGTGTGATTAGATAGAATCAGAGAATATATGGACCAACTTTGCCTGTCTGACCTCCATGTCTCCGCAAAGCATCTGGGTGGGGTACATGAATGAGATTGTCGATAGATGCTATCGATAATTCCTTATCTTTCGCCGATGCATCGTTAGTCCTCTCTTCCCTCTTTCTTCATCCATCCATTCGCCCATCCTCGCTGCCGCCGCCGCTGGCTAAAGATCGCTTGCCTGACGACTAACCTCCCGCTCCTCTTCTGCGAGCCATACTCGAGACACGCGTGCACGAACCGGCTGACAATGTCCACGATTTCCGCCGACAAGCCAAAACCGA